GGGGGAGAAGCTCAAATCGCCGTCAGTTTTCAGTTGGTGGCAAAATATAAAATAAAAATGGCATGATGACCATGCAAAGGAGGAACCGTCGCTCAATGGCAGGGCAAATGCTTGGCATGCAGAAGTTCTCACCAAGGGCTGTCTTAAGCATATGTGGTGCCAGGGTGCAAAGATCCGCCTGGCGCCCCTCTCCCCAGGTTGCCCAGTCCCAGGCACGCAGGAGGGAGGAGCTGGCCAGCCGCCTCAGTGTCTCACTGGCTTGGTCGCCCCCGAACTTGCGGCACAAAGCCGCCTGCAGCAGAAGAACCTGCCGCAGCAGTCTGAGTGACTGGCGGGCTCTTTCCCGGACTCAACTCTCAGGCCCTGAACTCTCGGCCTGGTGCCCCTGAGAGCCCGGCGCCTGGGTGCCCCGCACCCCTGGCACCTATGGGTAAGACGGCCCTGTTCTCACCTTCTGCCCCAACCTTTCAAGCTTAGAAGGAATCAGCTGGTAGGTGGTGAGATTGACCTCTTCCTGGCTGATATCCTGGAAAATGGCAGAGATTGCGAGGAGGGAATTCCCTGCTAAGGATCTTTGGGAAAGGAATTAAAAATACAACTCCCAATAACCACAGTGTCGCTATGTAAATCTACAGTGGTGCCGCACTTGGGATATTGAGCATGGTTCCGGATACTGCCCCTCAAAAAGGATATTACAGAGCTGCAAGTGGTTCAGATAAGGGCATCCTAAATGATCAAGTGGGTGGAACAACTCCTTATGAGAAAAGGCTGCAGTATTTGAGGATTTTCAGTTTAGGGGGAAAGGTGAGTAATATGGTGGTCATGATCACACCAGGTGTGTAAGATTGTGAAGACGGTTGATAAAGGTAGATTTTTCTTCCACTCTTGTAAAATTTGAACTCAGGGCCACTCAACGACGCTGAATGTTGGAAGTTTCAGGTGAAATCAGCGCTTTCTTCTGCCAATGCCATCTGTCATTCGAAAAGTACAAGCGGGTCACAAGGACACATTTAGGGTACATTGGGTTGTAGTGTTTCAGAACCATACCTACCCTAAAGAAAACATTTGCACAACTAGGTTATCAGTGCCATCAGTTCAACTCTTCTGAAAGTTAATGATTCGTACATGCTTCTAGGAGCATAAAAAGTTGCTTTTCACCAAGTCAGACGGTTCTCCTTCCAGCCCATAATTGTCCAGAGCTTCTAGCAGGAGTCTCATGCCATCTGCTCTTTGATACTTTCCCGTGGTACAGCGGTAAATTTTGAAGTGCAGGACACAAAAACATTTGGCGGGGGGAGAGAGAGACCAGACTGACCAAGGCTGCACAGGGGGATATTGTGGGGGACTTGGCCCCTCTTGAATATTTGAGTTTCTTTCCCATAATTTTCAGTTTTCATCTTTTAAAAACCTCTCTTCCTTTTACTTGTGAAGCTTTAACCCAAAGCATGCAGACAAAATTGTGCAGATGGGTTACATTTTTTTTTTAAAGATATTTCCAAGCCAACCCCAAGTTTCTAGTCCTATCTGAGAACTTTTTGTTTGATGCATACTTTAAGGAGGAGTAAACTCCTTCCCTGTGCACCACACCATAATTAAAGAAAAACTGGAAGCAATTTTCAGAAACTGGGTTGTTAACTCTGTCAATTTGACGCAGAAGTGTCATAATCCAAAATTAGCTGTACTCAGAGACATTTTAATCTCTTCATGCTGCAAAGTCACAACAGGGAAGTGTCAGAATAAATACTCTGTTGGACGTAGGGTGGTGGCTGTTCTCAGGATTTTTCACAGTAAATAACCCACAAGGAACCAACAACAACAACAAATGCATTGAGTACAGCACTTTGTTGCAAAATTAAGTTGTCTGGTTATGTGAGGTTCAGCCATATATTCCCTTTGGGATGTTGAGCTTTTGAAACCCTATTATTATTGTCTGGCTAACCCTTATGATGGGACACAGGTGGCGCTGTAGGTTAAACCACAGAGCCTAGGGCTTGCCGATCAGCAGGTCAGCGGTTCAAATCCCTGCGATGGGGTGAGCTCCCGTTGTTCGGTCCCTGCTCCTGCTGACCTAGCAGTTCGAAAGCATGTCAAAGTGCAAGTAGATAAATAGGTACTGCTCTGGCGGGAAGGTAAACGGCATTTCTGTGCACCGCTCTGGTTAGCCAGAAGCGGCTTAGTCATGCTGGCCACAGAACCCAGAAGCTGTATGCCAACTCCCTCGGCCAATAAAGCGAGATGAATGCCGCAACCCCAGAGTCGTCCGTGACTGGACCAAATGGTCAGGGGTCCCTTTACCTTTACCTTTAACCCTTATGATAGAGATAAGGAACTTCTGGCCTTCCAGATGTTTCTGGACTGCAACTCCCATCATTCTTGATTCTGGCCATGCTGACTGGGGCTGATGGGAGTTGAAGTCCAACAACATCTAAAGCAGGGGTGAGGAGGACATTGGAAGCTGCCTTATGCCTGATTATACCATTGGTCCATATAGTTCAGTATTGTCTGCAGCAGCTTTCACAGTTTCAGGTGGGATTCTCTCCCACCTTTCCTGGAGTTGCTGGAGATTGAACCTGGGACCCCTTGCATGCAAGGCAGATGCTCTCCTGCTAATTCATGCAAGATAGATCAGGGATTTCTACCATAGCTGAGATTCCTGCATTGCAAGGGGTTGGGCTGGATGTCCCTGGGGTCCCTCCCAACTTATGACTCTATGAAATATCTGGCTGATGTGCTGTGGATCAGGAAGAGTTTCTGACACCCAGTTACAGAACAGAACAATTTATTGCACCTTTTAAAATTTACAGATTGCTCTTTGTTGAAAGAAAACTACATGGAAATGATGTATAGATGGTATATAACACCAGTGCAAATATATGCTGGAAATGTAAGGAAAAAGAAGGGACTTTTTACCATATGTGGTGGGGTGGGACTGCAGTAAAATTTTAAAAATTTGAGAAATGATATACAATGAGTTGAAGAAAATGTTCCAATTAACATTTGTAAAAAAGCCTGAAGCATTTTTGTTAGGCATTGTAGGAGAAGACCTGCCAAGGAAATTGAAAAACATCTTCATGTACGTGACAACGGCAGCAAGAGTCTTAATAGCACAAGGATGGAATAACGAGGAAATCCCGACTAAAGAACTGTGGCAAGAGAAACTGGTAGACTATGCGGAATTGGCAAAATTGACACACAAACTACGTGATAAGGACAACTGTAACTTTAAGAAGAAGAATGGGAACCTTTTACAAAGTACTTAAAGAAACAACAAAATGAACTGGAGTCCTTAGCAGGTTTTGAATAAACATTCACAAACTTTTTATTGGTAATATATAGATAGATAAGTTAAGGATCTTTACAATTTTATAATATGCAGAGAATAACATGTGCTGAAAAACCAGAGAGAGGAGCTGAGGGAAGTCTGGGGGGTGGGGTGGGGGTTCTTCTTTGGGGGGGGAAATGGGGGGATGAGGATGATGTATTTGTGACAAATTGTTATGTTGAAATTCCTAATAAAAATGTTTTTTTAAAAAAGAACAATTTATTGCACCTGAGCTCAGTTCAGTTCTGAAAACAAACTCCTGGGCTCAGATGGGGAACAAGGGAGAGAGATGATTTAGCTCCCACTGAAAGGTGAATCGGTCTAATTACCACTTCCAAAAATGAGAGGCAAATGGAAATATAGCCGTCCCTCAAAATTTGTGCTTCTCTGAATTTTGCAATGCACTTCTCCAGCCAAGTAATGTGTGCAGCAATATCTATACCAGGGTGAAGTGCGCATGAAAATCCATACTGTACTCTTCAGGCCCAGCCCACCTGCAGAAGTGCCTCTTTGCCACAGACTCTCCCTGTTTCCCATGCAAAGAACTGTGGCCACTCCACTCTTCAAAAGAAAGGGGCAGTGACGGTATCGCTTGTTGGAACTACATCTTTGCTTGCACCTAGCCATGCATCTAAACCTTCTTTGTACCTGCTATACTTTGCAACCAGTGCCTTGCCCATCTGATTGACTCTTGAAAGACTTTGGCAAAAGCAGAACTGAAAATGCAAGGGCTTCATCCAGCACTGAGGGGCAGGACATTCCCTTTGGATTTAGATGGTGCTTCTGCCTCATGCTGATGTTGCGGGGAGAACTTATGAGAGCTATTTGCTGAGAGGGGATCTCACACTTGGAGCTGGCCCTGGAGTCCATCCCAGTAAGGCATGAATTGTCCCCACTGATCAGATTGACCTTAGGGTCCCATCTGCACAAAGGCCTTACTTCCAAAACCCCCCGAAAAAAGATGCAACAGCTGTGCAGCGTAATCCGTACCTTGCATATTTGCAAAGCGCAGAGATTGCCTAGGCCTCTCAACAGATGAGTTCTCAAACTCACAAGGGCTGGGTGTGACAAGGGGCAGCAAGGGCAGGGCATGCAATCCCAACCAGTGCCTTTGCATGCTGGTCCATGCCCCGGACCTTTGCATCCCATGCTGTTGAAGTGGGATGTCATTGCCCCCGCTAAGTGTTACAAAGGACCTTCCATGCATCATGCAGCGCCATACTTCCGGAAGCTGGATGTGAACACATTGCCCATTCCTGGAACACAAGGGCAATTTAGCTTTTGTCACAGAAGCGACCTGCCGTTTCCTTTTCTGCAGGCGGCAGTGGATTGCAATGGCAGGGTGAAATTTGCAGGTGTTGCCTATGACCCAGAGTGAGTGGCTTCAGAGATGCTGTCAACACACACATTCTTTTGGGATTTCACACAGCTGCCTACCTGTTCGAAGAATCACACATGCAGTTATTTTGCCACTCCTGCACATTCCTTGGTGGGAGAACGGCATTGTGAAATTTGGAGAAGCACAAATTTTGAAGGATGTTTCGGTTCGCGTGCATTTCAGAAAGTGCAAATTGCATAGATTCACATTTAAATGTGAACCGAATTGCATTTCTCTTCCATCCCTAATTTTTATATTGATGGGTAGCAGCTCTCGAGGGCTTCAGACAGAGATCCTTCCCAGCCCTACCCGGGGATTGAACCTGAGACCTTCTGCTTGCAAAACAAATGCTTTGCCCCTGAGCTATAGATGCTCCCCTTCCAGTTTCCTAAAATATTAGCCATAGGACAGTCTTCATCACACTGGTGATCTCCAGATGTTTTGGACTACAACCCCCATCACCCCATGGGCCTTCTGGAATGAATGGACCATCAACTGGGAGTCAGCTGTTGCTCTGCCCATGGACCACAATTGCAATCTGCACTCTTCCATCTCCTCTCAACAGTTGGGGGAAATTGTAGGAAATAATTCAGAGCAAATCTCTGTCTGACCTCTTGACCTGGAGGAGAGGAGACTGTGCAAAACCAGTGACCTGCTCACCTCCCTCATTCTGATATGTCATCCCTTATTCTGACATGTCATCCCACTTGCCATTTCCTGAACACCAAAATGATGATGTGGTTGCAATCAGGAAATATGGTATTAATTGAAAGACAAGTAGAAAATGTGCCTCCAGCAACAGAGTCATTCTGGGAACTGAAAGCTAGTTTCACCCATAGTGACAAAGGTGTCAGTTTACCAGTCTGTGCCTCCCATTGCCCGTCAGCTCTGAGTGCAAATTCTGCCCTCTGTGACATCTTCTGTTGACCCAGTGGCTGTGGACCTGGAACTATCACCTCCATGTGTCATGGGACAGATTACTATTTCTTTAAAGCAACTGGCATTTGGCCTCTCAAAGGTTTATTATTATTTTATCATTATTTTATCTATTTCATGGGTAGGCAAACTAAGGCCCGTGGGCCAAATCCGGCCCAATTGCCTTCTAAATCCAGCCCACGGACGGTCCGGGAATCAGTGTTTTTACATGAGCAGAATGTTCCCTTTTATTTAAAATGCATCTCTGGGTTATTTGTGTGGCCTGCCTGGTGTTTTTACATGAGTAGAATGTGTGCTTTTATTTAAAATGCATCTCTGGGTTATTTGTGGGATATAGAAATTCATTCATTATTTTTTTCCAAAATATAGTCCGGCCCCCCACCAGGTCTGAGGGACATTGGACCAGCCCCCTGCTGAAAAAGTTTGCTGGCCCTTGAATTCTATTTATTTCAACCATTTGTTGTATACTGCCTAGTTGAGAGCCAGTGTGGTGTAGTGGTTAAGAGTGGTAGACTCATAATCTGGTGAATCGGATTCGCGTCTCTGCTCCTCCACATGCAGCTGCTGGGTGACCTTGGGCTAGTCACACTTCTTTGAAGTCTCTCAGCCCCTATATAGGGTTGCCATATTTCAAAAAGTTAAAATCCAGACACAGAAGTTGTTGAGCTTTTTTTGCAAAAATCTCAAAATAATATATACAGTGGTACCTCAGGTTAAGTACTTCATTCGTTCCGGAGGTCTGTACTTAACCTGAAACTGTTCTTAACCTGAAGCACCACTTTAGCTAATGGGGCCTCCTGCTGCTGCCACGCCACCAGAGCACAATTTCTGTTCTCATCCTGAAGCCAAGTTCTTAACCTGAAGCACTATTTCTGGGTTAGCGGAGTCTGTAACCTGAAGCGTATGTAACCCGAGGTACCACTGTATAAGGAAATTCGCTAAAATCTAGACTTCCAACATGGGATTCCATATGTCCAGATTTCCCCAGACAGTTCACAATTTTTGCCCTATTTCCGACTGCCATATTCCAGCTACATCCAGGAAATTCTGAGCGTATGGTAACCGTAATTAATGAGCTTTTAAAAAGTCAACAAGACTTGGTGGGGCCAGGGTCTTGGTGCATTTTGCTTATATTTTGAGATCTGGACACACACACACACACCCCAAAGTGCAAAAGTGTACTGCAGTCTGCCTCCAGGTGACTGCCTCCAGGTGCACCTTCAGACCACATGACTGGCACTTGGACCAGTTCAAAGGAGGAGAAATCACAGCGGAGGTGTTTGCAGCGTCAAGTACCGCATGCAGTTAGCTCCCCCTAATGGATCAGGGAAGAATGACAGAAATTCATGATCTTATATAAGGGATGAACGAGGTACAAACATTTGGCCTTTCACCTAGTTTATCCCTAATTTCCCTTTCATGAAGTATGATTTGCCTACAGGGACATTTCTTCAAAGAACTCCATTCCCATGTTTTTCATTCCCTTGTGGCTTAAGTTCAGGAATTGGTGGGAAAGGTTCGTGACATACAGGTGCTCTGATAATTGCTGGGCCCTTCCAGGCTGTTGTGTTGTTGTTGTTGTTGTTGTTGTTGTTGTTGTTGTTGTTTGGGTGCAATTCTGCAGCATGTCACTGATGCAATAATAGCGCATTCGGGGTGAATTTATACGGGACCAGCCACACACCATTCTGCTTTATTAGTTGCTCTGCAACACTTTCCCAAGGTTCATCCATTATTGCCACCTGTGGCATAAACAGTTACAGGATTTCAGCAGCAAGTTATGGGCCCTACAATGGTAAGAAATGAAGCAGGACGTGTACCCTGCAACTTGAGGCTGGGGTCGTGTATAAGTGCCCATGTACCATAATGGGAAGGAATCCTCACCGACTCACAATTAAAAGGACATCTGAAGAGGGCAACTGCTTTGCTGATTTTTCATAGGAACATTGGAAGCTGCTTGATACTGAGATACCCATGCTGCCCCTCCTACATGCCTACAGCTTCTGCCTGAAGTGATTGCCTCCCTCTGTCCAATGGTAGGGCTGGGCCTGGAGTGAGACACCAGGACTGAACCCCTGAGCTTTTTACTTTTCCTTCTGCCTAAATTGCCTCTCTTAAGAATATCAGAAGAGTCCTGCTGGATCAGGACAATGGACCATATAGTCTAGCATCCTCTACTCTCAGGGACGCGGGTGGCGCTGTGGTCTAAAGCACTGAGCCTCTTGGGCTTGCCGATCAGAAGGTTGGCAGTTCGAATCCCTGTGACGGGGTGAGTTGCCTCAGCTTTTGCCAATCTAGCAGTTCAAAAGCACGCCAGGGCAAGTAGATAAATAGGTACCACTGCAGCGGGAAGGTAAATGGCATTTCCGTGCACTCTGGTTTCCGTCACGGTGTCCTGTTGCACCAGAGGCAGTTTAGTCATGCTGGCCACATGACCCGGAAAGCTGACTGTGGGCAAACGCCAGCTCCCTCGGCCTGAAGCGAGATGAGCGCCACAACCCCATAGTCGCCTCTGACTGGACTTAACTGTCCAGGGGTCCTTTACCTTTACTTTCAGCAGCCAAATGGGACTTGAGTGCAACCAAATACTCCCCTCTGCAGCTGGAATTCAGAAACATTACTGCCTCTGAGAGTGGAGGTAGAATGTCAGGGTTACTAGCTAGTCATCAGTAACCTTATCCTAGAGACCCTTTGGGAACAATCCTGAACTCCTGCTTTCTATGCTATGGCAGCTATGGGGCTGTAGGAAGTGGTGTAACTGCTCCTGTGCCAGCGGTGATAGAGCTGTGCTGGTAGCGACAGGTATGTTGATGAAACTCACCTGGAACACCTGAGGCACGTCTGCAGCCACCCACCCCGCCATAGCTGTGGGTGATTATTATGAGATCAGCAAGCCTCATGCATGCAAGCTTTATTTGTGTTTTTGCCATTTAATCCACATTTACCCTTCCTGGGAGGAAATACAATAAGTTCTGCACTGTTCTTCCAGGGCTACTGCCATTAGAGATACATCCTGTATCTGCACAAACCTAAGATGACTAATAGCTCTCAGGATCTGTGGTTTGCTTTCTGTCATTCTGTTTTTACATGTTTTTATTTTGCTTTTAATTGCAATTTAAAAAAACAAAAAACTTGGTGTTTGAAGCCCTGGGAAGGAAGGGCGGGATATAAATTCAACAAATAACTCAATATCCTCCTAGGCCTTCCTGTTTTTGTTAAGCTGCAAAAACTACTCTAAGGATTGGTGTGTGTTTATGTACTGGTGACGGCGCGGGTGCTAGCCAATACGTGCCCACCACAGCTGGCTTTCCTCCAGTTCCAACAGAAGCTGACCAAAAATCTGGCAGAACTGGTTTCCCCAAAGATTGCTGCACAGCAGGGGAAATGTATGTCAGTTTGGAGTGCAGCAACAACCCTATAAAAGCCACCTCCACTCCCTTAAATGTTACATCTGTGTTTGTGGGTCAGACTGTTCCCATTCCTTTCTCTCACTTGTTGACGTTCAGTTTGAGACATTCCTGTCTCTTCCTCTCCCTTTGCTCCTTTTGTTCTCTGCGTAGGGACCAATGGAGCCCCTCCCTAACCTTCATGAAATTCAGTGCTGTCCCTTTGACAATGGAACAGTGGAAGACGAAGGAGGGGTTCAGCCAAACCCTGCCGTGTGCTCTTTCAACACACAAGGAGGCTGAGAGGTTGCCCAATCTTGCCATCTTGCTTGCCCCCATCATGTACTTCCCTCCCCCACCAGCCCTACATGTAGCCCCTTTGGTAGCCATGTGAAGGGGCTACATGTAGGGAGAGGGGAGAAATCTGACTTTGAAGGTGGCCCTCCCTAATTTGTACTTTCTGGAACAAGAAAGCAAAATTCAAATTTCTTTCAATTTTGTAAAGCAGCCAAGTAATGGCTAGGAAATTGCATATACGGTAACCTTGCAACTTATGTGCATTTAAGTTGTGCACATTCAGCTTTATGAGCTTAGAAATAATAATAATAATAATAATAATAATAATAATAATAATAATAATAATTGTCAGGGGTTCAGGAGCAGAGGCAAGGGCAAGGGAGGAAACAGAGAGCGAGGGGGAGGAGGCAGAAGAAAAGATGAGTGATGACGACGACCCGAGATCTCCGAGTCTTTCCAGTGAATCAGAAGATTCACAGAAAGGAGCACCAGTGGCCAGGGCAAGGGGGAGCCTAGGGGACACCCCAGGAAGATAGAGCCAGAGGGGACTCAGAGGGGAGCAGTTGGAAATCGGGACCAACGTCACCGCCAGAGAGCAGGGAAGAGGAAGGGCACCAGGGATCAAGCGCTGGCAACTCACAACAGGGGGGAGGGCACGAGTCAGGAGTGGCCACACCTCCATCGGGGAGCGAAGAAACGGTCAGACGGAAGGTGGAAGGTTGGGCGCGCGCGCCAAGTTCAAATGCACAGGAAGGTGGCGCAGTAGGCAGCCCGGAAAGGGAGCCAGGTCCCAAAGCCCGCCGAAAGGAGGGAGAAGAGTCAGGGAAGTCAGCGTCAGAGGAATCCCGGAAGGAAGAGACCCCGGGGGGGCAGAGGGACCCAGAGAAGAACAGTCAGGCGGAAAAGGTGGAGCAGGGCTAGGATATTAAGTTGGTGTACAAGGGGCGGAGACTCAGACGGAGCTTCGCCGGTCTAAGCATGAGACGTAGAGTTGCACGCAGCAGCTTGAGAATGGAAACTGTAACTCAATAAAGACTTTTGCTTAATGATCGCTGGCTAGCGTGATCCTCTGTGAGCTAGGATCTGGAAGCAGCTCTGACAGTAAGCTCCGTCTCCTAAATTGTGGGCATCTACGGCCTCGCGGAGAGGAGAGAAAGCGGGTGCCTACTAGCGAGCTCACGAACGGCAGACAATATGACGGCCGAACAGCAGATAGCGGAACTCAGAGAAGCAGTGTCACGACTGAATGCCGAGGCTCTTGCATCCAGGAAGAGAGAGGAGGACGCAGCTGCCGCCTACAGGGATCTCCAGGTCAGGTTGGAAGTGCTTACGAAGCAAGGGCAACTGACACCCAAACCGGAGGGGATTGGGTTGGGGAGACGAACAGGCGGTCTGGTCTCTCACTTCGATGGGAATTTGCAACAGTACCCCAACTTTAGAGCAGATGTAATGTGTGCACTGCAACTGCTGAACAAAGACTTTAGAGATGAGCAAGAGAAGGTGGGATTCATCATGTCCCATTTGCATGGAGATGCTAAAGCATGGCTGCGCAATTTGTGGAGAGATAAGGATCCGGCGCTCCAAAATGCGGATGCCTTTATTAAAGCGATGGATGGGTGCTTTTTATCAAGCATTGACGTGGATCTTGCTCGGCAGCAGATACATGGACTGAAGCAAGGGAGGGCCAGCGTAAGGCAGTACCATGCCCGCTTTTCGCTTTGGTCAGTGCTCTGGAATGGGACAGAGATTCGGCTCCTGTAAGAGACCTGTTTTGGGAGGGATTGCACGGCTCGGTTAAAGATGAAATTGCGAGGGGGGAGAGACCCCGGACCACGCAGGAGATCGTTCAGAGGGCGCTGGCGGTGGGGGTGCGGCTGGAAGAACGTCCGTGGAGCAGGGATGAAGGGCGTGGAGGGCGCGAACCAGCCAGGGGCTCCTCCTTCCTTCCCAGAGAAGCAGCGCGTGCGCAATCCACGCCTCCGCCAGGAGGAGGAGCGGAACCTATGGAGGTTGGAGGTGCAAGGGCTCAGTCAGCAGCCAGAGCCCTAGCACCGGCAGCAGTGAAAGCGAAGCCTCCTAGAGGGAACAGGAAGTGTTACATCTGCGATGATCCACAGCATATGGCGAAAGAGTGTCCCCAGAGGCTCCACAAGCACACTGCAGCCTCAGCAATGGTAACTGCAGCAACGCAGCAAGGAGAACCACGGCAGGGAAACGACGGAGTCTGGCTGGAGGAAGAGGCACTGGGGCCCAGCCAGACGTGTCAGTGAAGCAGTCCCCAGAGATTTTACAGCCCATGGACCCCTCCCGCCCAAACCAGTAGTGAGGCTCACCGCGTCGCTCCAGCTGCCCAATGGCATCAACATGGACGTGCCAATCACCATTGACTCCGGAAGCAATGCGGACTTTATAGGGCAGGACTTTGTCGACCGGCACGCTATACAGTTGCTGCCTGCCACGCTGCCCCTGCAGGTTGTCACGGTGGATGGCAGGGAGCTGCTAGGGGGGCAAGTGGTGAAGCAGACGCCACCAATGGTGATGAGACTTGGGAATCACAGGGAAATCATCAGCTTCAATGTCACTCAACTATCGGACACGCCCATTGTATTGGGCATGAGTTGGCTGGACAAGCACAGCCCGACGCTGGCTTGGTACCAGAGGCAGCTGACCTTCGGCTCTTCCTTTTGCGCTGAACACTGCATCGTGCCCCGGCAGGAAGGAGAGGAAGAGGAGTCACAGCTGCAGCTCGGCACGCTGCAAGCGGTTCCCCACAAGTACGCAGCATTTTTGGAGGTTTTCTGTGAGAAGGAGGCAGACAGGCTACCCCCACAGACCATATGACTGCAAAATTGACCTGCTGCCGGGGGCGGCGCTGCCCAAAGGGAAGTTGTATTCCATGTCTGAGGACGAACTGCAGGAACTCAAAGAGTTCATAGATCATAATTTGGAGCGCGGTTTCATCCGAGAGTCCACGGCAGCGGGGGGCAGTCCGGTATTCTTTGTTAAGAAGAGGGACACGCCCCAAAAAAGACTTGTAGTGGACTATCGCATTTTGAACAGCGTGACCAAGCCATCGGACTTCCCCATGCCCCGAATCGACGACCTCCTCGCGAAGGTACGGAAGGGCAGCGTGTTCACCAAGTTGGACCTGCGAGGGGCGTACAACCTCATTCGCATGCGGGAAGGAGATGAGTGGAAGACAGCCATGTTCACGCCCCTGGGCACCTACGAATATAGAGTTATGCCTTTGGATTGCAAAATGGTTCCCACGTTTTTCAAGCTTTCATGCATCACGTGTTGGCGGGGCTCCTCTACAAGACGTGCGTCTGTTTCTTGGATGACATCCTGATCTTTTCGGAATCGCAGCAGGAGCATGACAGGCACGTCAAAGAAGTGCTGAGCAGGCTACAGCAACATAGGCTTTACGCCAAGCTGGAGAAGTGCCAATTCGACGTGACGGAGGTGGATTTCCTGGGCTACAAGTTGTCTGATAAAGGGCTCGCCATGGACAGCACCAAGGTCCGAGCAGTGTTGGATTGGAAAAGCCCACGCAACCGGAAGGAGGTCCAACGGTTTGTCGGCTTTGCGAACTTCTATCGCAAGTTTATCAAAGGCTTTGCCATGCAGACAGCGGCCATCACGGACACGCTCAGCTCCAAGAAAAAGAAGTTCATCTGGACAGAGCAGGCGGAGCAGTCCTTTCAGGCACTCAAGCCGTCTCTTCGCGTCGGAAGAGCAACTGCTTCATGTCAACCCCAGCAGGCCGATGAGGGTGGAGACAGACGCTTCGGACAGAGCCGTGGGAGCAGTCCTGCTGCAGAAGGACCCGCAGGGGGTTTGGAGGCCGGGAGCGTTTTACTCAAGGAAGCTCAGCAAGTCCGAACAGAACTACACCATCTGGGACAGGGAGTTGCTGGCCATTCATGCAGCGTTCAAAGCGTGGAGGCACTTCCTGATCGGCGCCAAGCACACGGTGCAGGTCTGCACGGACCACAAGAATCTAGAGCACTGGCGCACGGCACAGTTCCTGAACCAGAGGCAGATACGTTGGGCTGAGTTCTTTGCGAATTTCGACTTCCGAATAGAGTATGTCCCGGGGACACCAACATCATGGCGGATGCTCTCTCCCGTAAGCCACAGTATTTGGAGGAGGCAACGCCAGCGGCCGCCATGCACATCTTCGCACCGACAGTGTGGGCGTGCACGGCGGCGACAGTTGACCTGGAGGCGGTGCGACGAGCGTTGCAGGATGACTCCTTCGCGCAAGCAAAGATGGCAGAGGCGCACAGGGGCACGGCAGCGACCGACGAGTTCCAGCTGCGAGATGGTTTGCTCATCCGTAAAGGGGCCATCTACGTGCCGGGAGACGAACTTCGCGCCAAGGTACTGCAGCAGCTGCACGACGCGCCCACTGCCGGGCACTTTGGCAAGGAGAAAACGGTGGAATTAGTAGCCAGAGACTTCTGGTGGCCAGGAATGAGAGGGGAAGTCGCGGACTACGTGGCGAGGTGTGACACCTGCCAGAGGGCCAAACCAGTGCACAGACCGCCGGCCGGACTGCTGGAACCGCTGCAAACTCCGTTCGAACCATGGGAGAGAGTGGCCCTGGACTTTGTCACGGATCTGCCCAGCTCGAGGGGCAAGACGGCTGTGCTGGTGGTGGTGGACTTGTTCTCCAAGATGGCACATTTCATTCCGTGTGCGAAGGTGGCCACGGCGGAACAAACCGCCAAACTGTTCATAGACCACGTGTTCAAGGTTCACGGTCTGCCGCGGTCTATTCTGTCCGACCGAGGGCGACAGTTCATCTCGAACTTCTGGCAGAGGCTGATGGGCTTCCTGAACGTCAAGATCAACCTGGCGTCGGCTAGACACCCGCAGACCAATGGGCAAGCGGAGCGGGTCAATGCCATCATGCAGCAGTACCTGAGATGTTATGCGAATCAACAGCCTGCGACGTGGGTGGATTACCTGCCTCTCGCCGAGTTTGCCTACAACAACACGAAGCACGTGTCCACGGGGGTCACGCCGTTCTTCGCCAACAACGGGAGGCACCCCAGAACCTTCCCGGGACTGGAAAGAATGGGGGAGGGGGAGCCGCAGACAGCAGATGCATTCGCGTCGGAGTTGCAGGAGGTCCACGATCAGCTGCGGCGGCACCTGGAGCTGGCTAAACACGCATACAAGGTACAAGCGGACAAACACCGAAGGGTTGGCGAAGAGATCCATGTGGGAGACTGGGTCTGGTTAGCAGCCCACGCAGTGCCGGCCAGGTCGTTGGCGAAGAAGAAACTAGGGCATAAACAACTGGGGCCCTACCAAGTCGAAGAACAGGTCAACCCGGTAGCTTTCAGGCTGGCTCTTCCGGAGGGTTCCAGAATGCATCCGGTGTTCCACAGATCGGTGCTCACTCCCTACAAGGCACCTCACAGGTTTCAGGAACCAGGAACGGCACCGGGTCCGCTCCGAGAGAGAACCGGGCAGGGGGGAGTGGCACGGGAGGAGCGCATCAACGAAGTCACGGAGATTTTGGACTCCAGATGGGGGGAAGAGGGGGTAGAATACCTTCTCGCCAAGGAGGGCACCCCGGCCAGTGCCAACAGCTGGGTGCCGGGCTACGCTTTAGACGAACCTCTGCTCAAAGAAGAGTTTCATGCCCTCTTCCCACATAGGCCAATGCCAGCAGACTTTTTCGACGACTGGCTTTTCACGCCCACGCTTTCAGCCAGCACGGTCCGGGGGTTCGACTCGGACGAGGAACCGACACGAGACGCCCGTTCCCCGGAGGGGTCACCCTCAGGATCTGCTTCAGAACCCTCGTATTGGTGGGATGATCGACCAGAGGAGCAGTTCCGTAGAAGGTGGCTGGAGGTCCCAGGACGAGCAACGTCTCCAGAAGGCAACGAGGGAGAGACGGACATGGACTTTTTCGGGACGACCCGGGCTTCGAGCACGGCGGCACAGAGATGGAAGCGGAGGTGACCGTCGTCAACGAGAGCAGGGAGGAAGAACCGGAAGACTTCAGATGGCGGCCCGCCACGGGACGCGAACTGTATCCGACATTCGTCCCCTGACACGGCAGCACCCAGATCCCGCACCGGAAGGAGGGGAGGGGGAAGAGGGGGCTTCGAGGGGGATGGATGTCAGGGGTTCAGGAGCAGAGGCAAGGGCAAGGGAGGAAACAGAGAGCGAGGGGGAGGAGGCAGAAGAAAAGATGAGTGATGACGACGACCCGAGATCTCCGAGTCTTTCCAGTGAATCAGAAGATTCACAGAAAGGAGCACCAGTGGCCAGGGCAAGGGGGGAGCCTAGGGGGACACCCCAGGAAGATAGAGCCAGAGGGGACTCAGAGGGGAGCAGTTGGAAATCGGGACCAACGTCACCGCCAGAGAGCAGGGAAGAGGAAGGGCACCAGGGATCAAGCGCTGGCAACTCACAACAGGGGGGAGGGCACGAGTCAGGAGTGGCCACACCTCCATCGGGGAGCGAAGAAACGGTCAGACGGAAGGTGGAAGGTTGGGCGCGCGCGCCAAGTTCAAATGCACAGGAAGGTGGCGCAGTAGGCAGCCCGGAAAGGGAGCCAGGTCCCAAAGCCCGCCGAAAGGAGGGAGAAGAGTCAGGGAGTCAGCGTCAGCGCCAGAGGAATCCCGGAAGGAAGAGACCCCGGGGGGGCAGAGGGACCCAGAGAAGAACAGTCAGGCGGAAAAGGTGGAGCAGGGCTAGGATATTAAGTTGGTGTACAAGGGGCGGAGACTCAGACGGAGCTTCGCCGGTCTAAGCATGAGACGTAGAGTTGCACGCAGCAGCTTGAGAATGGAAACTGTAACTCAATAAAGACTTTTGCTTAATGATCGCTGGCTAGCGTGATCCTCTGTGAGCTAGGATCTGGAAGCAGCTCTGACAATAATAATAAAAAATAAGGGGGCAGAAAGGGGTCCAAGCATCCGGGAAAATAAACTTTGGCAATCCCACCCACCATTGCACCCAAAGAACTTTGATTTGGGCTTTATGGATGGTCCCTGGAACATAAACCTCACATAAGTTTTGGGCCTACTGTACTTCTGTGAAGTGTGCATAGCAATGCATAGATCAGTGAAAGTAACGTACACAAATGCATTATATTAGAGGAAATATAAATATTAGGGAAATATTATACGCTTTGGCTATTGTGCATGTTAGGCAAAAAGGCATATAAAAATTAGGAGACATTCACTCTAAAATGCTACTGAATTTTCACAATGATTTTTTTTAAAAAAAAGATATTAAAATGCTAATTAATGAGGAGAACTGACCTTAAGATTGGAAAGATAAGAAACAGAGAAACCGAAACTGATCTAGTGACTGATCTGTCACTAGATACACTAGATAGTAAAGGTAAAGGGACCCCTGACCATTAGGTCCAGTCGTGATCGACTCTGGTGTTGCGTGCTCATCTCGCTCTATAGGCCAAGGGAGCCGGCGTTTGTCCGCAGACAGCTTCCGGGTCATGTGGCCAGCATGACTAAGCCGCTTCTGGCGAACCAGAGCAGCTCACGGAAACACCGTTTACCTTCCCGCCGGAGCGGTACCTATTTATCTACTTTGACTTTGACGTGCTTTCAAACTGCTAGGTTGGCAGGAGCAGGGACCAAACAACGGGGGCTCACCCCATCGCGGGGATTCGAACCGCGACCTTCTGATCGGCAAGTCCTAGGCTCTGTGGTTTAACCCACAGCGCCACCCGTGTCCCAGATACACTAGATACACTTTGATAAATGTTTACCACACACATAAGCTCTCCCTTGACAGATTTCCCCTCAAATGGAGACCCCTGTATGTGAATACAATCCTTCCATGGGGCTTGCGGCACATCATGTATCACTTAACATGTTAAAAGATGGTTCTACATTTGAATGAGTCCCCTAATTGCAGAGCTGCCCAGCCAAAGCCTGATCAAAGTCTTTTTGTTTTTGCTCCTGATCTGTGTGTCACAGTTTTGCTCATTTGGGGGGGGAGGGTCCTGATCCATAGATCTTATTTTTGCTCTCTCTTTTTTTGGAGTCCTGAGGTCCCCAAAATGAGAGAAAACGTGGCCTGTGTGTCAGAGCAAAAAAAGTGAGAGAAATCACAAGAGGGAAATCATTCTTTCTAGTCCAGATCTGCTGTTTCAGGTCCATGACATCCTTCCCCCCCCCACAGTGACCAAGCAGGATCTGAGCACAAGAACACGCTCCCGTTCTGTGGGTTCCAACAACTGGTATTCAGCAGTATTATTGCCTCTGACTGACCACGGAGGCAAAGAATAGCTATCTTGACTAGCAGCCATTAGATAGTGTCAGTCTGCATTACTCAGTACAGAAAGTATTGATCTGATGTGTAGAGATCTTTTCTGTTCTGCTTAGTTAAAGAGGGTTCTGGAAAGTTTTCTTTCTATGTGAAAGAAACAGGCAGAAGGTTCTTGTTTGGGTTACCGTATTTTCGTCCCATAGGACGCACCTAGTTTTTGGGGGAAATAAAGGGAATTTCCCCCTTTATTTCCCCCAAAAAACCAGGTCGGGAAACCAAACCAGGTCGGGGAACAGCAGGATGGCGGCGCTGCGCCTCCCCGCTGTCCCCCAAGGTTGTGGGGCTGGCCAATGTCTGCCTGGCACGCGGGGCACTCTGCTTCAGGGCATCCCGCGTGCCGGGCGGCAGGCTGCTATCCGCAGTCTAGGGAGCCCTGCGGGAACTCCCGCGGGCTCCCCAGGCTTGCTGATAGCTTCTTGAAGCCTGGAGAATGAGAGGGGTCGGTGCGCCCCGACCCCTCTCGTTTTCCAAGCTTCAGTGAAAGCCTGTATTCGCCCCATAGGATGCGCACAGATTTCCCCTTCATTTTTGGAGGGGAACAAGTGTGTCCTATAGGGCGAAAAATACGGTATTTCTTCTGGGAAGCTGAGTACAACTGGTTTAAACTGGTTCTGTTACTATAATAGTAAGACCAGGAGGAGCCTGGGTCTCATGTCTGAGATATCTTGATTTATTGCTCAGATAAGCGTCCGGCACGCTTCCCCCATTGCGTAGGCCTCTGCATTCCAAAGGGCACATTCCGATACTTCTGAGCATAGCAGAGTTCGTCAGCGGCTAGAGGAAGCCAAAACACTCCAGTGCATTCTTCAGTGTGCTTAAATGAAGTCCACTCAGGATATTAGCAGCTAAAAGCAGCTTTATTTACAGCAGGCTATCCATTATCTATCACAGCGAACAGCATCGCGAAAACACGTCCTCTCTCCTCAAAAGCGAAAGTAGAGAGACAGAACAAAGACTTTAGTCTCTCGGAACTGACGTAGCTCCCCCCTCCCAACTGTAGGCAGGGCGTACAGTCTGAGCTGTTTAACCCTGTAAGCTCAGGTTCTCCTCACACCCCCTCTCGCCCTGCGCTACTGTGGGGACAGTAAGTACAGAACTTACCCCCAACTCCAAACCACCACAAAACTCCCCATGACGCTGGAAGCTTAAAGGTTTGGTAAATCCATCGGCCAGGTTACTGTGACTGGCACAGTACTTCAGTCGTATCAAACCTGACTGAACACTCTGACACACATTTTGGAAACGTATGTCCAGATGCTTGGTTCTCGCCTTAAATTGCGCAGATTCAGCCAACTTCAAACAAGGCTGATTGTCTTCCCAAACCGTGATGGGCAAGCTACAATCCCCATAGATCTCTTGCACCAAGCATCTATAGAACTCTAGTTCTCGGCACAAGTCTGACAGTGCACTGAATTCAGCCTCAGTAGAAGACAGCGCAATGAGACTTTGCTTCCGGGACTTCCACCCAACCAGTGACTTCCCAAACTTTATCACCAACCCAGACACAGACTTGCGGTCCTGCGAATTCGCCCAGTCACTGTCCGCATAGCATGTGAGCTTCGCCTCACCTTCAGCTGGCAGCTTAAGACAGAAGTCTTTGGTATGCTGCAGGTAGCGCAGTACCCGCTTGATACCGTGCCAAGCACTCACACTGGGCTTTGACGCTTCCCTACTTAGCAGGTTGGTAGCAAAGGCAATGTCTGGTCTGCTCCATTGGGACAGATACAACAGACTACCTAGAGCTGACTGAAAGAGCTCAGCATTCTCAAACTCAGCACTTTCTGCTTGCTGGCTATCTTTCACGAAGTTCGTCTCCATGGGTGTCCGAACTCCTGCACAATCGGACATTCTGAACTTCTCCAGCAACTGCTCAATCTTGCCTTTCTGACTGAGCAAGAAGCTACCATCCTCAGTTCTCGCTATCTGGACACCTAGGTAGATCTTTACTGCACCCAGGTCCTTGAGCTGAAACCGTTTCCCAAGCTCTTTGGCAAACTTCTGCACCTGTTTGTCTGCCTTTCCAACATGGATGATGTCATCAACGTAAAACAACACCAGTTCCTGTGAGTCTCCTGATCCTCTAAGGAACAGGCAACTGTCAGCAAGACTCTTCCTGAAACCTAGCTTCTCCAAAGCTTCATTCAGGCACAAGTTCCAATTCCTGGCCGACTGCTTCAGGCCGTAAATTGACTTGTGAAGTTTCCACACAGTACCTCGCTCATTGCCCTCAAACCCTGGAGGAGGAAGCATGTACAGATCCTCCTGGAGGTCTGAGTTCAAGTAAGCAACATCCACATCAAAGTGATGCACCAGCAAACCTCTTTGTGCAGCGATGGCCAAGACCAAGCGTAGAGACTCACTCCTACACGTGGGCGCATAACTCTCCGTATAATGCAACCCCTCTGCTGCGTGAATCCTCTCGCCACTAATCTGGCCTTATACTGCGGTTCTCCTGTCGCTGTGGGCTTAAGACGGTAAACCCAGCGGCTACCCACTGCCTTTTCACCCACCGGCAACTTCGTGAGGGAGAACACACCTAGAGACTCCATTGAGTTCATCTCCTTCTGCATCGCCTCATGCCATTTCCTGGCTTCTTCCTGAGGCAGTTTCTGAACATCCTCAAAACTCTCGGGTTCACACTGTGCCATTCCGACCCACACACTAGTGACGGCAAACCTTTCAGGAGGTTTTCCCTTGGTCGTCCGCGTTGAACGGCGCAGCACTACTTCAGGAACCCCCTCTGACCCACTAGGGCCAGCCAGAACGTCCTTGGCATCAGAGAGCTCCCCTCTGACTTACTGCGCCTTCTGGACTTCTCAGCCGAACCTGTGGGGAAGATGGAGCACTGCGTTGCTCACTCTTCACAGCCTTGGGAGAAGTTCTCCCTCTGCCTGCACTGGGCCTGGACTCTGAGCCTCAGTAGCAGGTTCAACCTCTTCCTCTCCTTCATCAGCAGAGTCTAGCAGACTCTCTGACAGGATGTCAGGGTTCCCATGTATCCTTGCCCAGCCACTCTGCTCACAGAATTCAGCACTGTTGCTGAGCAGAATCCTGGACTGATTCCCTGACGGATAAGCAAACCTCCACCCCTTGGTCCCTGGCTCATACCCACAAAAATCATCTTCTGGGACCTGGGTTCACCTTTCTTGCGTTTGGCCTTTGGTATGAGGACCCAAGCCTCACAGCCAAAAACGCGGAAGTAGTGCACTTTCGGTTTCTTGCCATGGAGCAAGAAGTACGGTGTGTCACCTACCACTGAATTGAACGACCTGTTCAGAACAAAGTTGGCCGTTCGCCAAGCCTCCCCCCAAAAGCGCTGTGGGAGCCCGGCATCAAACAAAAGAGCTGCGGACATCCCCCTAGAGTCCTGTTCCTGCGTTCCGCGATCCCATTCTGTTGGGGACTGTGTGGAGAAGTCAACCTGTGTTGAATCCCCTTTTTGCGGAAGAAACTTTGCAGTGCAGACCCGGTGAACTCCCCACCGCGATCGCTCTGAAAGTTTTGCACCCGTGTGGAAAACTGCAGTTCCACAGCCGCAATCCAGTCTTTGATTAGCGGCGCAGCTTCATCTTTGCGCCGAATCGTGAAACACCAAGAATTCCTAGTATGGTCATCAATCAGAACCAGCGAATATTTGGCTCCGCCCAAACTGCTCACAGAAAACGGTCCACACAAATCTGCATGAATTAATTGAAAAGCCCTAGTGGTCACCCTCTCAGACCTAGGGTATGTGCACGTTTTCACCTTTGCGGACTTGCACGCTCTGCAATCTAGAAACTTAGCACATGATTTCATTTTGCACCCTTGCGTATACTCTGGGATCCTTCTCACCGACCCCCACGACACGTGTGCCATACGTCTGTGCCAGAGATGTTGACACGCATCATGAACTGGAACATTGGCACACTGCGCTTGAGCCTCCTCCGTGTCATCCGTGTCATCTGGACCTGCAAAAGAAGCATTTATCACAAACAACCTGTCTTTACATTCAACACTGACTAGGTGCTGTCCATTCTTGGAAATAGAACACTTATTGTTCTCAAAACACACTCTGTAGTTCTCAGCAAGAAGTGCACTGACAGACAGCAACGCGCAGGACAGTCCTGGAACAACAAAAGCCTGGATTGAGTCCTGCAAGAAAGAACAAAACAGTGAGCCACTCTGCGTGAGTGGGTGTCGAGTCCCATCTGCTAAACAGACAGTCTTCCCAGTTTTTACAGAGGTGCAGTTCTCCAGGAATCCACCAGATGGCACGAGATGATGAGATGATCCTGAGTCTATCACAAAAGCCAGCTCTGCATCCTGTTGACAACTTTTGACTACAGCCATAGAGGCAGCCAAATGTTTACGTTCAGTGTCTCTGCCAGCTGCCTTCGGCTTGCCTTTCCCACGCTTTGAAGAAGAGCTCTTTATCTGGTTGCTACGGGAGACGGCCTTGGGCTGTTCCTCCACTGGACATTCTCTCACCAGATGGGAGGGGAGCCACAGCGATAACAGCGGCGACGCGTAGCAACAGCTCTCACAGCTCCCTCTTCAGCCATTCCTTTGTTCCCTGCACCCCCACCTTTGGGTGCACAGCCTGGGCCTGCACGCTCCCCAGCACTCTGGTTGTAGGCCTCAACATCACACGGCCCCTCGGAGACAAAGCAGCTACTCCCAGCTGTAACTTCAGGAACATGGCCAGCAGCCCCCTCTGGGCTCTCAGCTTCCTCCCTGCTCTCGGCTTTCTCCCGGCCCTGGGCTCCTGCTGAGTTCTCACACAGACTCCTCAGCACCTGCCAGGCGGCCTGAGCCGACTCAATGCCCTCCAGGTGGGGCAACAGCATAGCGTCCACGCTTGCTCTCAACATGCAGAGCTCCCTTTGCATTCTCAGCTCTCTATCTTCCAGGAGAGCAGCCTCCAGTTCTGCTCCTCCTTCTTCAGCAGCAACTGGCATGGGTGGGGCGGGCTCCTTCTGGGCTATATCCCAGAACCCTGTGGCCAAAAACCACCCCTGACTCTTCTAACCCAGATATCCCAGGACTGGGTTGTGAGCTTTTCAAACGGGACATCATAAAAGTCCTGGAGCTCAGCCATCTCCTCCCCCAGTGTTCCCATTGGGGTGATGAAGTACTCACGCGTACCAGCCAGCTTCAAAGGAGAGGCCTCCAGTGGCTCTTTGCAGCACACAGCTTTTTCCCAGGCGAAGCCTCAAGGCAGGACTTTTGCTTTCCGGCAGCAAAACAACAGCTTCTCAGTTTTCCAGCCTTCTTAAGCACACAGCACATCAAAGCAGGCTTCCTCTAATTGCAATTACTGCCTCCATAACCTCTGAGATATCTTGATTTATTGCTCAGATAAGCGTCCGGCACGCTTCCCCCATTGCGTAGGCCTCTGCATTCCAAAGGGCACATTCCGATACTTCTGAGCATAGCAGAGTTCGTCAGCGGCTAGAGGAAACCAAAACACTCCAGTGCATTCTTCAGTGTGCTTAAATGAAGTCCACTCAGGATATTAGCAGCTAAAAGCAGCTTTATTTACAGCAGGCTATCCATTATCTATCACAGCGAACAGCATCGCGAAAACACGTCCTCTCTCCTCAAAAGCGAAAGTAGAGAGACAGAACAAAGACTTTAGTCTCTCGGAACTGACGTAGCTCCCCCCTCCCAACTGTAGGCAGGGCGTACATTCTGAGCTGTTTAACCCTGTAAGCTCAGGTTCTCCTCACATCATGCACTTTTCTCTTTCTGTATCTCTGCTCTAGATTTTTGATGGACTGTGCCAATCCTGAATGTATTGGATTTGTGACCATGATGCTCATTTGCCTTCAGCAAAGCTCAGATGAACAACAGATAGCTCTATTGTCCATAAATTTGTCCAATCACCTTATAAGCCAACTGGTTTGGTGACCCTCACTGCCCCCTGGGGGGAGAAAATGCCGGAGTTTAAGTTTGTGCTGCATGAATTATTATTATTAAAATAAAATTTAATATTTAATTTAATTTAAAATTAAAATTTTAAAATTAAAATTATTATTAAAATTCATCCATTCATTCATACAATGTAAAAACACAAAAATACATAACATAGCATGTGATGGGATGATGAGCTGCTTGTGCGTAAAATCGTATCCCCTCAGAGTTTGTTCAAGTCCACAAACCTCTGTCTGTGACAGAGCCCCTCAGACATGGCTACTCTAGTCACTAGCAGATTCCGACAGTGGTTGCTTTCGTAATCGCTTCCAACATAAAAGCTCCTTAACGGAAACACGTCTTCTGGAATCTCTGCGTGACAGTTTCCGGCGAGGAGTGGGTGTTCTTACAGGAGGTCCTGAAACCTCTCCACTGTTTTCGCTGGAAGTGTCTCTGAGCCATCCCTCCAGCTCAGCTCCTCTATCCCTTCTTGTTCAATCATCAGCTGCTGCGTCTCTCCCAACCTGTGTGAGCCCTTTCACCTCCCTGTTGGTTTCCTCTTCAGCTGCTGCGTCTCTCCCAACCTGTGTGAGCCCTTTCACCTCCCTTCCGTCCGATGGCAGTTCCCTGACATCCACCTCCCTCCAGGGCCCCCTTCACCCCCTCTCGCCCTCCTCTACGGGCGGTGAGGAGGCAAAACCCCGGAATGAACTTCCTTCATCTTCCGATGTCTCGAACACTTCTCTCAACCTGTTGCGGTTCCTGGTCTCGAAGTACACCTCCTCCTCAGAGTCCATCTCCCCTTCCCCTTCCGAGTCCGGGAATCCTTCCAACTCCTCCCCTTCATCAGTGGTCCCAAAGTATTCCCTCCGGAACCTCTCCACAGGCTGAGGTTTCCTTGGGAACCTTTGATGGAACGTTTCTATCAATACCTCGTCATTGATATCTTCAGCCATTACCCAAGTGTTTTCTGACTCCGGTTCTCCTTCCCACGCTACCAAATACTCCACCTGATCCCCCTTCCACCTGGCGTCGAGGATTTCTGCCACATGGCTGCTGCATTCTCTTTCTTCTACGACCGGTCCCCGAGTGGCCAGCCCTTCTCGTCCCCTTCGTACGGTGACAGTAACGACCTGTGAAATACTGGGTGCAGTTTCATGTGGTTGGGTAACCGGAGCCTGAAAGCCACTGGGTTGACCTGTTGAATGACCTCAAAGGGACCCAACCTCCTGGGTCTTAATTTCTTACAACCTCCTTTGAACGGCAACCCTTGGGTTGACAGCCACACCCTATCTCCCACCCTTATGGTTTCACCTTCCCTTCGGTTCTTGTCTGCCTGCCTCTTGTATTCTTCCTTCGCCCTTTCTAAGTTGAGTTGGAGCTGACGATGGATTGCTTCCATTTCTTCCACAAAATGCTCGGCTGCCGGGACGCTCCATCTCTCCCCTCTCCCCTGGGAAAGCCCTGGGATGACACCCATAATTAGCCAAGAAGGGGCTCATCCCTGTGGACACATTCTCGGCATTGTTGTAGGCAAATTCCGCCAGCGCCAACTTTTCTACCCAGTCATTCTCTCTGTCATTGACATAACACCTCAGGTATTGCTGGAGGACACCGTTTGCTCTTTCCGCCTGCCCGTTGGTTTCAGGGTGCCGGGCAGTCGAAAATTGACCTCCACCTGCAGTAAGCTCATGAGCTTCCTCCAGAACCTGGAAGTAAATTGTTTTCCTCGGTCTGAGACCACCCTCAATGGCACCCCGTGCAACCTAAAAATGTTTTCTACAAATAACTTCGCTGTCTCTTCCGCCGTGACTGCATGCGAGCAAGCTACAAAGTGGCACATCTTTGTTAGTAGGTCTACCACCACCATGATGGCTGTTTTCCCTTTGGACTTCGGCAGATCAGTCATAAAATCTATCGACACTGCCTCCCAAGGTCGTTCTGGGGTTGGTAAGGGTTCTAACAGCCCCGCCGGCGCCCGCCTTTCCCCTTTGGCTCGCTGGCATTGCTCGCACCCTCTTACATACTCACGTACATCTTCCCTCACCTTAGGCCACCAAAATTCCCTGGTGACCAACCACATGGTTTTGTGTTGTCCAAAATGCCCCGCCGTAGGGCTGTCGTGCAACTGCTTGAGTACCCTCCCCTTAACTCTCCTTCAGGGATATACAGTGCCCCTTTGTAATACAAAGCTCCATTTCTTTCCTCGAAACCCCTGGTTCCTCTCCATCACCCCTAAGACCTCTGAGCTTATTCTGGGCGTATTCATCATTCTCTGTTTCCTCTACCAGTTCTCTTTGTCCCACCAATGCCGCCCCACACACCCAGCGGTCTTCTGGAATGACATGTCTCTCTTCGGGTGCCCCTCCCCTCCAAATATTCAGGTTTGCGTGAGAGAGCGTCCGCCCTAATGTTCTCTGGGCCTGGCACGTAACTAATCTCAAAGTTAAATTTGGAGAACTCCTGGGCCCATCTCACTTGCCGTTGGCTGAGCACTCGTGCCGTCCTCCAATACTCTAGGTTCTTGTGGTCAGTGCACACTTGCACCTTATGTTGTGCGCCAATTAGCAGGTGCCTCCATCTCCGGAACGCCTCATGAATGGCTAGTAGTTCTCGGTCATACACCGTGTAGTTCCTCTCGGATTTGTTCAGCTTTCGCGAAAAAAGGCACACGGTCTCCACTCTGACCCCTTCTTGCCTGGCTGCAGAAGCACCGCCCCAATCGCTCTGTCTGATGCGTCAGTTTCCACTCTCATCGGTTTTTGTAAATCCACATGCAGGAGTTGTTGTTCCGAGGCGAAGGCCCTTTTAGTTCCTCAAATGCTCGCTCCGCCTCCTCAGTCCACACGAACTTCTTCTTACTGCTGAGACAGTCCGTAATGGGCGCCGTCAGGTGGGCAAAGTTTCGGATGAACTTACGATAGAAGTTCCCAAATCCTAGGAACCTCTGCACATCCTTCTTTGTTTTGGGTGTTTTCCATTCCAGCACAGCCTGGACCTTGCCGGGATCCATGGCCAATCCCTTGTCTGACAGGCGATACCCCAGGAATTCCACCTCCTTGGTATGAAACTGACACTTCTCCAGTTTCACCCACAGCAGGCTGGCTTGCAGCCTGCTCAACACTTCTCTGACGTCTCTCACATGCTGCTCCTCATTCTCAGAATACACCAACACGTCGTCTAAAAAGGCCACACAATTCTTGTAAAGCAAAGGCCCCAGGACGTGGTTCATAAACGATTGAAATGTTGCGGAGCCTGCTTGTAGGCCGAAGGGCATAACCAAATATTCAAATGCCCCTAAAGGGGTGAACATAGTGGTTTTCCATTCATCCCCCTTCCTTATTCGTACCAGGTTGTACGCCCCCCTTAGGTCCAGCTTTGTAAAAATCTTTCCCTTCCGCACCCTTGTCAAAATGTCGTCAATCCTGGGCATAGGGAAGGCTACTGGTTCTGACACTGCATTTAAGGCCCTGAAGTCACACACCAGCCTCGGCTTGTTCGTGTTTTTCTTATCCACAAAAACACTGGGCTGCCCCCACCGCCCTGGACTCTCTGATGAACCCTCTCTTCAGGTTCTTGTCAATGAACTCTCTTAACTCCTGCATCTCTCTGTCTGACATGGCGTACAGCTTGCCTACAGGGAGCTGTGCTCCAGGGAGTAAGTTGATTTGACAGTCAAAGGGTCTATGCGGGGTAGTTGGTCAGCTTCCCTTTCGCTGAAGACGTCACGGAGATCTGCATATTGTCGTGGTACCTTCACGTTCTCTGTTACTTCAGTCCCTGCTAGGGTGGCTTGGACCCCTGCCAAACCCTTTCCCTCTTTGCAGTGTTCTAAGCAATGTGCTGAACCAAAAGAAACCACTCTCTGATGCCAGCCCACCAGCGGATCATGTAACGCTAGCCAGCTCATCCCCAATATAATGGGAGCTCCTCCCAAGGTGGCCACATTAAAAGCTATCAGTTCGGTGTGCCTTGCTACCTTCATTATCATTGGGACGGTCTGCAAGCTGACTTCTCCACCCAACAGCTCCCTGCCATCGATCGTGGTCACCTGCAGGGGGCTGCTTAAAGGGATTGTCTGTATCTGGTGTTCAGCTGCAAACTCTTTGCTCATGAAATTGCAGGAGCTGCCTGAGTCCAACAGCGCCTTTATCTTTAGAGGGTGTCCGTTTGGCAGCTCTAGCGTCACTTCTATCACTAGGGCGGGTTTAGGAGGTTCTGGCGTGGGCACTCACTGCTCTTTGGCCTGGCTGCTGTGCCCTGACAGTGGCAGCCAGGCGTTGGCTTTTACTTGCTCCGGTATATTTTCCTCTCTTCCATCCACAGCCCCTACCATCCCTTGCCATTCTTTCCTCTGGGGGCAGACTCTGGCAAAGTGACCTGGCTGTTGGCAGAGATAGCATTTCCGGGCGCCTTTTCCCTCCTTCTTTGCCCCCTCACTGGGCTTTGAAACTGCGCGCGCGCTGTTCCGATTTCCATCGGCTCTGCCGGTGGGAAAGTTGGCTCTGGAATGTCTGGAATGCGGAACTCCTTCCAACGTTCCCCTTCCCTTCCCGCCTCTCCAATGCTCTCGCCTCCTGGCGCGCCTCCTATGGCCAGCGCTGATTTGGTCAGCTGGTCCATAGACTCCGCCCTGGGCGCCCGGGAAAGTTCGTCTTTCACAGCCGAAGAAAGCCCTTCTTCAAAGAGCATTTGAATGGGTTCCGCCGATAAGTCCCACCCCAATCTGTGAACAAGCATGGTGAACTCAGTCCAGTACTCACGGACAGATCGGCTCCCCTGTTTGCAACCCATTAACTGTCTGCGCACCACTCCCTTTTCAATATCGCTGGAAAACATCAGATCCATGGCGCGAAAGAACTTCATCGTGTCTTTTAAGACGTCACTATTCGCTGCCATCAGGGGTCTAACCCAGTCTCTCGGCCCCTTTTCAAGATGCTCAATCACGAAAGCCACTCGTGATTCCTCGTCAGGGAATTCATCAAACTGCAGATTGAGGGCATATTGCATTTCTGTCCGAAAACCATGATAGTTTTTGGGCTCCCCCAAACTTCTGCACCAATCCTGGTACCTTTCTGGCGAACTGGGTGGCTTTCCCCTTTGTCTGCATCCTGAGCCCTCCTCTCCTCAAGCCTCGCCGTCTGCATCGCTAGCTGGACCTCCAACATCTGGTACCTTTCTTCCAGGCTTGGACCCGCTCCAGCTCCTGCTTCTCCGGTTCCGGCTGGGTTGCTCATGATACCTTCTCCTGCACAAGCTGCTTTCAAAGACTGTCGGAATGCTGTGATGGGATGATGAGCTGCTTGTGCGTAAAATCGTATCCCCTCAGAGTTTGTTCAAGTCCACAAACCTCTGTCTGTGACAGAGCCCCTCAGACATGGCTACTCTAGTCACTAGCAGATTCCGACAGTGGTTGCTTTCGTAATCGCTTCCAACATAAAAGCTCCTTAACGGAAACACGTCTTCTGGAATCTCTGCGTGACAGTTTCCGGCGAGGAGTGGGTGTTCTTACAGGAGGTCCTGAAACCTCTCCACTGTTTTCGCTGGAAGTGTCTCTGAGCCATCCCTCCAGCTCAGCTCCTCTCACACTGCAGGTTCCCTCATCAGCTGCTGCGTCTCTCCCAACCTGTGTGAGCCCTTTCACCTCCCTGTTGGTTTCCTCTTCAGCTGCTGCGTCTCTCCCAACCTGTGTGAGCCCTTTCACCTCCCTTCCGTCCGATGGCAGTTCCCTGACATAGCACAAACAATAACAATACTCTCCCCCCTACACACATACAGCTTAAAAGGCCATAGATTGTTTAATTAGCCAAAGTACTTTCTTTCCTCTGTCTTGAATCTTCCAACATTCAGCCTCCTTGGCTGTCTAAGGAAGTTCTAAGTGTTATGAGAGAGGGAGAATCTATCTACTTTCTCTATTTTAAAAAATTTGATCGTGTCCCCACTTACGCACCTCTCCCCTAAATTAAAAGCTCTCTCAAACGCTGCAAATGGGATGCCTTTATATTTTTGATGTTCTCCTGCTCAGAAGTAAGTCCTCCTGAGTTCAGTGGGATTTAGTCCCAGGTAAATGTGCAGGCAAATGTCCTGGCAAATAGAAGGGGAAGAAATGGAGGCAGTGAGAGATTTTACTTTCTTGGGCTCCATGATCACTGCAGATGGTGACAGCAGCCATGAAATTAAGAGACGCCTGCTTCTTGGGAGGAAAGCAATGACCAACCGAGACAGCATCTTAAAAAGTAGAGACATCACCTTGCCAACAAAGGTCCGTATAGTTAAAGCTATGGTTTTCCCAGTAGTGATGTATGGAAGTGAGAGCTGGACCATAAAGAAGGCTGATCGCCGAAGAATTGATGCTTTTGAATTATGGTGCTGGAGGAGACTCTTGCAAGAAGATCAAACCTATCCATTCTTCAGGAAATCAGCCCTGAGTGCTCACTGGAAGGACAGATCATGAAGCTGAGGCTCCAATACTTTGGCCACCTCATGAGAAGAGAAGACTCCCTGGAAAAGAACCTGACGTTGGGAAAGATGGAGGGCACAAGGAGAAGGGGATGACAGAGGACGAGATGGTTGGACAGTGTTCTCGAAGCTACCAGCATGAGTTTGACCAAGCTGCGGGGGGCAGTGGAATACAGGAGTGCCTGGTGTGCTCTGGTCCATGGGGTCACGAAGAGTCGAACACAACTAACCGACTAAACACAACAACAAATGTGCAATATTGCAGCTTTATTACCTCTGATTTTGACCCTTTGCTTCTGCTGACTTTAAAATTATTTAACGACTTTAAAATTATTTATAGACTGCTCCAATTGCTTGCATCCTTATTAAAGAGCCAAGCCGCACGTTTAACGTGGCGTCTGCTGAGTCATGATGAGTCGACTGATGTCTCAAGAATGCTGCTGTTCCATAGCTTCCCTGTAGGCTTAATGGCTGGACCTTTCCAATCCTAAATTAGAGCACGCAAAGGGAATTCCGCACAGCGATGATGCACAGGAAAATAAGTGTCAATTATACGGTAGTGTGCTTAGTGATGCTAGAGGGCCGCGGTGTGCCAAGAATCCTGCACACCGGACCATTCCTCTGCTATTGGGTGCATCTGCCCATGAGGCTATTTCCTTCCCAACTGGGATGGGAAGGTGCCAGCCTGAGAGATGGCACAAATGATAATGACAGATCAGGAGGCGTCCCCCCAGCCAGTAAATGCCACCTGCCACCTGAGGGCACCTGCTGCGGGGCCCAGGGAGGGTTAAAAGCATGTGGCATAGGGAAAGGCCAGTCGTGAGTCAGAGGCTATAGGAGCCTGGCCATCGGCAAGGAGACAAGCTGCTGGGAGGTCTTGCCAACAGAGGGTTGCATCCCGGGGATTCTGCTTTTAAGCTGGTAAGCACAAGGGGAGGTGTTACTAGGGATAGAGGATAAATTCAGTTTTGTTTGCATTTTGGTGAGAAGCAACCTAATCTGAACTTCCAGAAGCAATAGGCAAACCAAAACCTTTGAAATTTGCACTTCTCCAAATTCTGTGATGTGTCTCTGCAACCAAAGAATGTGTGTACAATTGCACGTGCTAATGAAAAGAACTTACCAAAATGCATTATATTGTGGGGGGGGGGTGCTTGCAAAAATGTGCTTTATATGGAGTAATTCCCACTAAAATGCTGACAATTTTCCTGGCGGATAATAATACAGTGGTACCTCGGGTTACAGACATTTCAGGTTACAGATGCTTCAGGTTACAGACCCCATTAACCCAGAAATAGTACCTCAGGTTAAGAACTTTACCTCAGGATGAGAACAGAAATTGTGCTCCGGCGGCAGCGGGAGGCCCCATTAGCTAAAGTGGTACCTCAGGTTAAGAACAGTTTCAGGTTAAGAACAGACCTCCAGAATGAATTAAGTTCTTAACCCCAGGTACCACTGTAACAACAACAACAACAACAATTTGCTGTGGAAATGCAGAAAACTGAATTTAAGATTTGAAGAACGAGAAATTGAGAGAAATGGAAATTTCCAGATCCATTCACCTCTTATGTTTCAGAGGCCTTCATTTGTTAAATGAATGGCATCAGCACCAGGGCAGTCCCCTATTTCAATTTGAAAGTCTGTTTGGTCCAAGTCCAATTTAAAGATAGTGACCCATAAGAAGGAAGAACCTTGAAGTTTGACACCAGCAGTTAAAAGTACCTGGGCAACAGACTGAGCAGGCAGGCAGCTCCCCCTGGTCAGTCTTTATAACCATGGGTTATCTCCAGTGTTAATCCTATTCAAAAGCAGTTTCCTTAAAAATAATGGACATGAATACCTTAGATCAGTGTTTCCCAAACTTAGGTCTCCAGTTGTTGGACTACAACTCCCATTAGTCCTAGCTAAGAGGACAAGTAGTCAGGGATTACGGGAACTATAGTCCAGATACAGCTGCAGACCCAAGTCTGGGAAACGCTGCCCTTGATCCTTTACAGTAAACCTTGCTAAATTGGCACAAGGACGTTTTATGCAAATTGGTGTCTTATTTCAACCCCTAGTGCACGTCCTCCTTTTTTTGGCAATGCAGAAAAATCTTAATCTTTGGGCAGCTGCCAGGGGGCACGGTATCTCCAAACCAGCATTTTGTGCTGTGCCTGGATGCAATCCCCCTTTTAGTTTCTCACAGCACCACTAAACCTAGTGTCAGTCTGGGTCATGGTGCCTGAAGTGCTGCCACAGCTTCCAGAAAAGCCCACCAAAGCTCATTGCCTGAAACCCTGGAGAATTGCTTGCCAGTGTAGACATTACTGAGCTAGATGGACTCACTATAAGGCAGTTTACTAAATCCCCATGTTTCCTTGAAGACAGAGCCAATCCTGCCTTGGTTCACCTCTTGCAGCAGGGACTGCTTTGACTGATAGCAGCAGGTCTTCAAGACTCTTGAAGCGTCTTACCTTGTTGTGTTATCTGAGATCATTCACTGACCTTGGAAACTGTTTTATTCTGAGTCATATCCTTGGTCCGTTTAGCTCGCAGTTAACAGAAGCAGCTCCAGGACTAGCGCTTCTAAATATCTTCCAAGACACACGCTACACACATAACAGCTTATAAGTCACTTACTCTCAGCAGCTAGGAGTGTCATAACCAGATGCTGGAGGGAGCTGTTCGAAGCGAATATGGACCACTGGTACCAAACTGCTCTACTAGAAAAACTAACCAACAAATTGAAACTATCAAGGGGACAAACAAAGACGGACCCCTTGACCCTTGGGTAGCTCCCCTTTATCACATACACAGGCCAACAAGACAATGACCAATCCCTCACAACCGACAACATACGAATCAATATGGCGGACTTAACCCAGCAATGCCCCCCACCCACCCCAAACACGGACAAAGCACACTGCAACCAACCATGCCTTGGGCCTTTTGGTCTCTTGCTCCGCCAGCAAAAATAAGACACCTATCCACACAACACTGATTTTTTAAAAAGTTCCACTTATATACTATGTCAAGAATGAAACTTGAATGTCTCCCTCACCCCACTTTTTCTGTTCCTGTTTTTCCATTTCTCCATTTTCTCCTGTCTCTCTCTCTCTCCTTCCCCACCTCTCTTTCCCCCTCAACCTCATACAGTGGTACCTCAGGTTAAGAACTTAATTTGTTCTTAAGAGGTCCTTTCTTAACCTGAAACTGTTCTTAACCTGGGGGAGAGCCAGTGTGGTGTAGTGGTTAAGAGCGGTAGTCTCGTAATCTGGGGAACCGGGTTCGCGTCTCTGCTCCTCCACATGCAGCTGCTGGGTGACCTTGGGCCAGTCACACTTCTTTGAAGTCTCTCAGCCCCACTCACCTCACAGAGTGTTTGTTGTGGGGGAGGAAGGGAAAGGAGAATGTTAGCCACTTTGAGACTCCTGAAGGGGAGTGAAAGGCGGGATATCAAATCCAAACTCTTCTTCTTCTTCTTAACCTGAAGCACCACTTTAGCTAATGGGGCCTCCTGCTGCTGCCGCGCTGCCGGACCCCGATTCTGTTCTTATCCTGAAGCAAAGTTCTTAACCCAAGGTACTATTTCTGGGTTAGCGGAGTCTGTAACCTGAAGCATCTGTAACCCGAGGTACCACTGTATTACCTACAACAACAAAAATGTTTCAAACTGACTGCAATTGGCTTGTATGAAGGACTCTACGATTTGAAACAGAGACAATGAATGTACTGTACCTTTGTTACTTATGGAAAACCTTTCATTAAAAACATATGAAGGAGAGGAAGAGAGAAAGAGAAAGAGATGACACGGATTGGCAGTGTTATTCCAGGGATTCAGGCAAGGAATCCCTAACTAGAGATGCTGGGAACTGAACCTGGGACTTTCTGAACGCAAAGTTGGTTCTCTAGCACTGAGCTACAGCTCTCCCCCCGGATATCATTGTGCCAGGGGAAAAAATTCTCTTGCTCAGCTTCTGCACATCAGGATGCTGTTTCAAGGTGTGCAGGAGCAGGATGGAGAGCAAATTTGGCAACACATCTGCTCTGCCTCTGAGCTTCAGCCCTTCCTGCATGCTTTTCCACTGAGTCACGGCGCCTCCCGGTCTTAGGAACTGCCGCCTTAGGAACTCCCACAAAGCTGCCACAAGCAGTGCTCTCTACGGCCAGTTTTCAAAGCCCTCCCTTGACTTGGTGCCCAAGCTATGCCAAAGTTTTTATGGGTGGTTTTTTTGGGGGGGGGGGGAGAAAGACTCTTAGGAGTGTTTGATTTGTAACACAGAGCACAGCTACTTTATAACATGATCACAGGACATCCAGAAACAATTGTTCTGATATGATACTGTGCCACACTGAAATGTTCAAATGTTTATTTGATTGCCCTTGAATCTTCCTGCCACACTTGGCATTCCTCCCCTGCCACACCCTTTGAGAACCGCTGCCTTAGACCATGCAAAGGATGCAGCTGTGTCTTAAGAAGGCAAAATGTCTGTTGTTAGGGATTGTAGGACAAGACCCGCCAAGGAAAATAAGGAACCTATTTATGTATGCTACAAGAGCGGCAAGAGTCTTGATAGCACAAGGATGGAAGAATGAGGAAACCCCGACAAAAGAACAGTGGCAAGAGAAATTGACGAACTATGCTGAACTGGCTAAATTGACATACAAATTGTGAGGCAAGGACAACTGTGACTTCAAGGAGGAATGAGAACTTTTCACAAATTATTTAAAAACACAACAAAATGAACTGGACTCCTTGGCAGGTTTTGAATAAACATACACAAATTTATTGTTGATAACACGATGGACAGATATGTAAGGATATATACATTTTTATAATATGCAGAGAAAATATGTGCAGCGAAATCAGGGAGAGGAGTTGAGGGAAGTCCTGGGGTGGGGAGAGGGAGAAAAATTATGTAGGCGATTATATGGTTTGATAATTTGTTATGTGGAAATTGAGCAATAAAAAATATTTTTTTAAAAAAAGAAAGAAGGCAAAATGTCTGGAGCCGCCTGAGTTATCCAGTCCAATGCAAGTCAAGCGAGTCCTCCTGATGATTCTGGATAACAAATGTTTGGGTCTCCTCCCTCTGCAGGACAGATCCTCGAGACGTCTCCAGCCACTCTCCACTCTGCTTGTGACAATGGCAGGCGTGAGGCAGCTGGCTGTTGCATTGCTCCTTGTCTCTGCTGGTAAGTGCAAAGTGCAGGCACAGCGAGGGGTGGGGTGGAATCAGTGGCCTCGGCAGTGGCGTAGCGTGGGTTGTCAGCACCCGGGGCAAGGCAAGTAATTTGCGCCCCCTAACCCGTGGATTTTAGTAGGGGCAGAGAGCTGTGAGTGTGAGCGCGCCCCCCCGATGTTGCGCCCGGTGCGGCCAGCCCCCCCTGCACCCCCCATGCTACGCCACTGGGCCTCGGGATGGTGCTGGACTCCAGCTCCCATCAGCCCCAGGCAGCCTGGCCAGTGATCAGGAATGATGGAGGTTTCTAAGCAGAGGTTAGGTGGCCAACTGTCATGGTTGCTTTAGCTGAGATTCCTGCATTTCAGGGGGTTGGACTAGATGACCCTTGGGGTCCCTTCCAACTCTACGATTCTATGATGGGGTTGTGGCCCAGCAACATCTGGAGGGTTACAGGTTCCTCACCCTGTTCTCCACTCAAAGCTACAATTTCAGAGTGGTTAATAATAATAATAATAATAATAATAATAATAATAATATTTGTACCCCACCCATCTGTCTGGGTTTAACATTCATTCCCTCTTCCCAGGGGACTCTGAGACCTATAGCTCTGTGAGGGTGGTTGGGGCATCCTAGCAACTCTCAGCACCATTAACAAACTACAGTTCCCAGGATTATTATTTTAAATGTGTAGTGCAGGTGGGGCCAATATTTCTCTTGTCAGTTTAAAAGGAGCACCATGCTCACTTTTCTGGCTTTTTAAAATACCCAGACAAGAAATTCCAGCAGGAAGTGATGGATTGGAGCAGATAAGGAGTCCCCCCTGCTCTCTCCGCGAGGTGTAAGGACTGAAGAGCAAAACCCTGGCTAGATATCTATCTATCTAAGTTCTGAAAATGCTCTGCAAAAAAGCAGTTGTAAAGCTCACAATTGAAAATATCATTGAGTTGCGATTTCAGCTCTGCAGCACCATCTGGTGTCAAAGTGTTATAACACATTTTGACTAACGTACATCTGAGTCCCATCTTTTCTCCAGCTCTTTCCCTCTCGATCCCCTACAGCAGGGGTGGCCAACTCCCAAGAGACTGCAATCTACTCACAGAGTTAAAAACTGGCAGTGATCTACCCCATTTTGGGGGGTTCAGGTCAAAGTTGTTGAGCTTGTTTTAGGAAGGAAAGCCCTGTTTTTTGGGGTTCAGGTCAAAGTTCTTGAGCGTTTTTTAGGGGAGCCAAAGTTGTTGAGCTTCTTTGCGGGGGAGCCACTGATCTACCAGTGATCTACCACAAACGTCCACTGATCTACTGGTAGATCACAATCTACCTGTTGGACGTGCCTGCCCTACAGCAAAAAGGATCCTGGAACCACCTGATCCAGTAAAGATTCCATAAAAATGGCGAAAAGCAGGAAGGGCCTGAAGCCTGATTGTTCCCTCCCTCTTCCTCAGAGTCTCCAACCCTACTTTAAATAATTTACTGATTGGAATAGAGGGACAGTGTCACATAGTGGTTAGGGCGTTGGGCCTAGGACATGGGAGATCAGGCTTCAAATCCCCACTCAGCCCAGAAGCTCACTAGGTGAGCTTGGGCAAGACAACTCTCAACCTAACCTACCTCGCAGGGTTGTTGTTGTTGTCGTGCAGAGAATACAGAGATGCAGAGAACCATGTATGCCCCTTGGAGCTGCTTGGAGGGAAAGTAGGATATAATGCAATAATAATGTTGATGTGTTTTTGCAGTGTGCACCCAAGATGACGAGGGAAGGATCATTGGAGGCTATCCCTGCCTCCCCCATTCTCAGCCCTGGCAAGCATACCTGACTGGCACATACACTTGCGGGGGGACTTTGATCGCTGACTCCTGGGTAGTCACTGCTGCGCACTGCTATGGTGGGTGAGTCTGACCATGCACCGGAAATAGTCTTCTGCTGAGTCTGATTGGCCCATCTAGACCTGCCCAGATGACTGGGTGCAGACAGGGGTGAATGAAGGCGTTGTGACACCCGGGGCAGGGCATCACTACATAGGGCGCATGTGCGGTGTCGCTACGTACGACGCATGCACTGTACATAGCGACGCCACACATGCGCTGTACATAGCGGTTTGCCAGCAGTGGCGCTCCAGCACCGTACGGACGGTGCTGGGATCCCTCCATCGCCACTACAGCCACAAACAGAGGGATCCCACCACCATCTGTACGGCGCTTGAGCGGCGCCGGCAGCAAACCACTATGTACAGCGCATGTGAGCCATTGTTACGTACAGCACATACGTGTGACACCGCACATATGCTGTACATAGCAGTTTGCCGCTGGCACCGGGATCCTCTGCTTACGGTTGCAGCCGCGAGCGGAGGATCCTCCATATGCAGCTGTGGCGGCGCGATGGCTGCTTGCACAGCCGTGAGCCCACGCTGGGTGCCTTCTTGTCACCCTCCCATACATGGCACCTGGGGGTGCAGATCTCCAGGTACTCAGGGCAGATGTCTTACCCTGCCTTGCCACAACCCTGAAATTTCTTTAATGGAAGATGCTGGGGGATTGAACCTAGATCTCCTGTATGACAAGTAGCATGTGCTCTGTCACCAAGCTTTAATCCCAATCAAAGTGAGAAGAGTAAAGGGCAGCTATGTGCCCAGCTTGATAAAAGGACAGCCCTCAATTTGAAGGGCTGTCAGATAGGGATGGATGGCTCTGTCCGTTTCGGTTCTTTCTGTTTCTCTCCCCACCCCACCCATCTTAAATTCAGTCCCCCACCTTGGTGCAGCAATTTGCAAAAGGAAGGAAGGAAGGAAGGAAGGAAGGAAGGAAGGAAGGAAGGAAGGAAGGAAGGAAGGAAGGAAATAATGCTGCTGCCCTGGTCAGTGGTCAGGGATGATGGGAGTTGTAGTCCAGCAACATCTGGAAGGCCACAGGTTCCCCATCCCTGCCGCAAGGCTTCTTACCATTCAAATCCTGCTGAATCAACCATGTGATGAAAAAGACATTGCTGAGAGCAAATGCAAAGCTTTTGCAAATAGGTCAGGCAAAGGATTGTATTATACACAGATGAGCAGTGCCATCTGGTGGAGTGATTTTTACATCGCAAATCGTTACATTATTATCAAAAGGCTTGCAATCCACTGGGTTTGGAATATTTCATAGAAACATTGTGTACTGCAATTTGCTACGTTTTTGAGTGATTTTCAGAAAGAAACCATTTTCCCAAAGAGATGTTCAAAAGCAGCAATTTTTAAAAGTTCCTATATTTTATGATTTGGCTTCAGGATTTAGGGTGGTGACTTTTCCTTCCCTCTTTCTGCAATTTTCACTGGGACAGGAAGCAGATGATGGTGGGAAAAAAGTCTCTCAAAGCCAGTTTTGAACTGGAAATAAAGCTCCAGTTGCTTTGCAGGCACAGATCTAATTTTTGTGGGTGAAGCTGTAGCGAACTATCTCCTGTATCAGTCTGCCTTGGCTTTATGAACAGCCTCAGAGGTTAGGACCAGCCCTACTGTTAGGCAGAGTGAGACGGCTGCCTTAGGCAGCAGATGCTTGGAACACTGAGCAGTTGTGAGATGTGGGAAAGGCTGCATTTCCTAAGCAAGCATGCTGCCCTCAGGTGCACTCAGTTGCACCATTATGCAGTGGCAGCTCCCCGTCTTACTGCAACTAGGTGCAATGGAAGACCCTGTCCTGGCACTAGATTTGAATGGCAGTCCTTCCACTTCCTTAGGTGTGTGGGTGCCCCTTTGTCCTTTGTGTCAGGCAGCAAAGAGTCTTGGGCCCTGCCATCATCCTGAGCCACCTGGAGAGTGAGCATGAAACACGGGGCCTCTTCAGTGGTGGCACCATAATTCTGGAATAACCTGCCAACAGAATTCTTGCCATCATTTAAAATCTTCTTACCAACAGGCTTTTCATGCTCAATTGTAGTGCAATCTGGTTTGCAGTGTTTCAGACTTCTGCTTTTCATTTAATCTTTGCAATTTTATTTTATTTTTAATTGTTACATGCAACCTCCGTCTCTGAACAGTAATAAATCTCTGGGTTTGGTTTCCTTGGAAGGAAGGTCACTGGAGGTGGGTAGCATTAATAAGGGTTATTTACACACATATGAAGGATGGGTGCAAGATGGAAGGTTCCCAGCATTAGCACCCCCATCAGATCCTGCTCCCATTTTAGGTATTGGGGGAGAGCACTGGGTTCTCGCAGAAAGCAAATCTGGCTTCTTAGTCTCCTTCTAGCCCAGTTCCAAGACAAGACTGCCAGGTTATTGTTGCTTCACATCCACACACCTTGGTGACCATACGTGGAAACAAAATCCATATCCAGAAATGGCTTTCTCCTTCCAGAAGAGCCCATCCATCTTCTCAGCAGGCCACTCTGCTACAGTCATCAAGGCACACATGCCATATATTTAAAGCACATTTAAAGAACTCCCCCTTCCCACAAATCCTGGGAACTGCAGTTTGTTAAGGGTGCTGGCAGTTGTAGCTCTGCAAAGGGTAAACTACAGTTCCCAGAATTCTTTGGGGGGAATTAATGTGCTTTAACAAGAGACGCAGGTGGCGCTGTGGGTTAAACCACAGAGCCTAGGACTTGCCGATCAGAAGGTCGGCGGATCGAATCCCCACGACGGGGTGAGCTCCGTTGCTCGGTCCCTGCTCCTGCCAACCTAGCAGTTCAAAAGCACGTCAAAGTGCAAGTAGATAAATAGGTACTGCTCCGGCGGGAAGGTAAACGGCATTTCCGTGCGCTGCTCTGGTTCGCCAGAAGCGGCTTAGTCATGCTGGCCACATGACTTGGAAGCTGTACGCCAGCTCCCTCTGCCAATAAAGCGAGATGAGCGCCACAACCCCAGAGTCAGCCACGACTGGGCCTAACGGTCAGGGGTCCCTTTACCTTTACCTAATGTGCTTTAAATGTACGGTTCGTGCACAGCCATAATCTCCAGCAGCCCTGCTGGCTCCGTTAAGTCTATTCAATCTTAAAATCAAGAATTACAGAGCTGTAAGGGATGCCTCAGACATTGCACGGACTACACCCTATCCCATTCCCCCCCCAACGCACTTTAACACATATTGATCCTATTGTGAAGCTACTCTGGGAGCTTTATGCTGCGAGCAGAAAAGCAGGGAGAGCAATGCGTTGAATGATTTACTGATGGCATACTCTGGTTGTGAGCCAGGGACAGCATGTGCAGTGGTGCTCTCTGTACAAACCAGCTTTTCTTCTCTCCTTGTTGCCTAGCAAAATAATTGTGCGGCTGGGGAAACACAACCTGGCGATCCGGGAAGAAGGGGAGCAGACCCGGAGGGTGGTCAGGTACTTCCGCCACCCGCGTTTTGACCCCCGTACCCTCAACAATGACGTCATGATGCTGAAGCTGGAGAGGCCAGTCCCCTTTACGCAGAATCTACATCCTCTGGAGTTACCCAGAGGCTGCTCTGCCCCTGGGACGGAGTGCCTTGTTTCTGGCTGGGGCACCCTCACTACGCCACAAGGTACATGCACGGGCGCAAAAGAACCAACTCTTTTTGCTCACCTTTATTGCACAGCTGGGGAACCGCTGGGCCTCCAGATGTAGCTGGACTACAGCTCCCCATCATCCCTAACCATTGGCTATTCTGGGCTAATGTAAGGTTGCCATGTGTCTTCTTTTTCTAGGACACGTCCTCTTTTTCAGGTGTAAAATTTCAATCCAGGTGGATTTTTTTAATTTTCCAAAACACGTCTGGCTATACTTTCTGGATGAGACATAAGACACATAACTGGTGCTTTCCTCTTCTCTTCTCCTGCTTCCCTCGGCAACATATCACAGCTTCTATAGCCTACGTATAGTAGGGGTATTTAAAATGAGAGTCGTCCTAGTCGTCCTCTTTTTTGCTCTTCAAAATATGGGCAACCCTAGCTGATGGGAACTGGGATCCAGCAACATCTGGAGGGACAAAGGTTCCTCAGCCCTGCCTTAATGCGCAGGTTGCCAATGCGCTGCTCACAGGCACACCTGCAAGTGCAGAGGCCTTCCCTGGTGCACAAAGGGGGGAGGATTAAATGTTGCACTATGCTGATCATTCAATCATTGCAGGCATCTCATGGAACAATCTCCCCTCCCTCTACATCCTGTTCTGTGGGTTCTCCCCCACCCAAAAAGAAACCCCTAGAGCCAATTTCCAGGGGCACATAGGAGTGGGGTGGGGTGGGGACCCACTGAGCAAGTGGTCTTCGACTGGTGGGACTCATTAGCTGAATCCTGCCCAGGGTCCCGTCTCCCTGCTGAAATTAATTTTGAAAGAGGCCCCAAGCCTAATTGTTGTGTCTGTGTTGGAGATCCTGGAAAATGCAGCTGGAGAGAGAAGATTCATTTTGCAGGAAGATGGCCCTTCATTAACCGCACAAAACCACAAAAAACCACACACACTTTTCATAGAATCATAGAATCATAGAGTTGGAAGAGACCACAAGGGCCATCGAGTCCAACCCCCTGCCAAGCAGGAAACACCATCAGAGCACTCCTGACATATGGTTGTCAAGCCTCTGCTTAAAGACCTCCAAAGAAGGAGACTCCACCACACTCCTTGGCAGCAAATTCCACTGTCGAACAGCTCTTACTGTCAGGAAGTTCTTCCTAATGTTTAGGTGGAATCTTCTTTCTTGTAGTTTGGATCCATTGCTCCGTGTCCGCTTCTCTGGAGCAGCAGAAAACAACCTTTCTCCCTCCTCTATGTGACATCCTTTTATATATTTGAACATGGCTATCATATCACCCCTTAACCTCCTCTTCTCCAGGCTAAACATGCCCAGCTCCCTTATCCGTTCCTCATAAGGCATCGTTTCCAGGCCTTTGACCATTCTGGTTGCCCTCCTCTGGACACGTTCCAGTTTGTCAGTGTCCTTCTTGAACTGTGGTGCCCAGAACTGGACACAGTACTCCAGGTGAGGTCTGACCAGAGCAGAATACAATGGCACTATTACTTCCCTATTACTTCTCCAGCCTAATTATTGGCAGGAAGAAGAGAAGGGGTGTGATGTGTATGCGTGTAGTATACGGGGTACCCCATGGCAGATTCTCCCGTTTGCAAAAGTTTCCATGGGCCTGTAAAGGTTGGTGACCCCTTAGAGCTCCTCCAGACCATCTGCTTATCTCGATTTGCTTGCATAGTGTTTCCCGAGTGGTAATAGCTCCTCATTCTTGAGAATTTGTTCTGGTTTGTTTACAGGGTGGGTTATATGTCAACAAGCATTCACCCCAATTTGCTGGCCAGGTGTTTACACGTCTTCCCATAAACCATTCATCCACCCCACACTTTTCAATACATTGCCTGTCACTTTCCTAACCTCAAAAAGCACGGCTTTTTAAAGATAAACGGATTTGCGTGTGCTAAAGCGACAGAACGCTTCGATCCGCTTTCACCACACGGACCTGAATTTTGGGCATGCGCTTGAACCAGTACTGCAAAATAGTGACAGTCCACAGGCACCCTTTGTGCACAATCAGAAAATCACTCCGTCCTTAAGTGTTGCGGATAATTTGGACATTGAGCAGCTATTAAATGGGGAGCGGGTGGTGTTGTCTTTTCTACAGCCACTTTCCCAAACATCCTGCAATGTGGAAACGTCAGGATTATCAGCTCAGAGAGATGTTCAGCTTCTTATCCTAACAGCATCACGAATGGGATGGTTTGTGCTGGTGTACCAGAAGGTGGAGTGGACTCCTGTCAGGTAGGATGGAGACATGGCATTGCTACCAAAGGCCGTCTAAAGAGAATTTTCCCCCACCTTCCATTCTTGCGTGTTCTCATCCTCAGTGCCCATTCTTCTGTGTCATGCCTTGTCCTTGCCTCTTGGGCTTGCTGATCGGAAGGTTGGCAGTTTGAATCCCTGTGACGGGGTGAGCTCCCATTGCTCTGTCCCAGCTCCTGCCAACCTAGCAGTTCGAAAGCACAACAGTGCAAGTAGATAAATAGGTACCACTGCGGCAGGAAGGTAAACGGCATTTCCGTGCGCTCTGGTTTCCATCACAGTGTTCCGTTGTGCCAGAAGCAGTTTAGTCCTGCTGGCCACACAACCCGGAAAGCTGTCTGTGGACAAACGCTGGCTCCCTCGGTCTGAAAGCAAGACGAGCGCCGCAACACCAGTCACCTATGACTGGACTTAACTGTCCAGGGGTCCTTTACCTTTTACCTTTTTTACATTGTCCCCCCACCCTGGCCCTCCTGCTAATGCCATCCTTCTCTCTCTCTCTCTCTCTCTCTCTCTCTCTCTCCCATCCATTGTTGTGCAATTATCTATCTGGCTTGCTTTCCCCTGCAATGATGCCAACCAGGGCAGGACTTTGGGGCAGACACCTGGGCTCACATCTGAAGGGCAGAATGTTGGCCACTCATAGACTATGCTTATATTTAGTACCAGTAGTTTGCTGGCGCCCTGTGGGACTTGTAGGGCAGACCAGCAGTAGGTGGAGCCAGAGTCAATAACTGGCAGGACCACCACACACACATACCCCAACTGGCTGCAAAGTAAGATGGCAGGCAGGTGGGGACCGGCTGAGGGTACCCTGGTGTGGGTGGGTGATGCTTCATTTGCCCTGGCGGACCAGGCTGCCATAGCAATACCACTGTTGTAGCCAAGTACCCTGCTCTGCCACAACGCTGCCCCTGTAGGCCGGGTGGACACAATGCAATCTCAGGAACTGTGCTGCCTTTCACAGGGCGACTCTGGAGGGCCTCTCGTCTGCAATCAGCAGCTGGAGGGGATCGTCTCCTGGGGCTTGGAGAAATGTGCCCAGCCCAACCGGCCAGGGGTTTACACCAGAGTATGCAAGTATGTCAACTGGATCCAACAAATCATGTGGAACAACTGATCCCGAGGAAAGAGCTCGTCTTATCCACATTGGTGTTCCAGCAATAATAAACAATTTTTGAGTGCAGGGGTTTAACGTCTCTCTTTCCATGAATTCTGCAAATATATATATTCTGCAAGTATTACAGCCAGTGGTGGGTAGAACAGGATAGCTTCCCTTCTTTGAAATAAATGTATATATTGGCTCTGCTTGTTTCTCTCTTCTCCAATGCAATGCTTTTAAAGCATTCCTCCCCCCACCAGCAACTTCTGGAGCTAATTGCAGAATACCCAAGAGACCTCCATGGCTTTGCTGGTCAGAAGTGCATTAGAAGTGCATGAGAATGTAGGGTGTTCTTTCAGAAGCTATAACCAGGAGGAGCTATCATTTTACTGTGCTGCGAAGAACATACTGGTTAAAGCAAGTGTCTCCAACATTTCCAAACCCAGGACCCACTTTTAGTCCAAGGATGCATTATGGAACCCATTTCCCAACCTTTTCCGATACATTTGCATGATGGTAGGGCTCCTTTGGGGACCCACCTCGGATCAGGCTGTGACCCACAAGTACAGAGCTTTCCAAACTTTGCGTGTTGGTGATGCACCTTTTTAGACAGGAATCATTCCACAACACAGTAATTCAGTTTCACTAGCAAACCAAAGGTTAAACTTAACTTTTTTTCCAAACCACGGGAGGAGCTCAGGGAGCGTTTGCGCGACACACCTACACACTGCAGTCGACACACTATTGTGTCACGACACACAGTTTGGAAAGCTCTGCACAAGTGGCTCCCACCCATCAGCTGAACCAGTGGGTTAAGGGACCAACAGAGAAAAGGTGTCAGAGGATTTTGACCCAGGCTAGATTTGCTGTGACTCCCCCAACCCACCATTCATATATTAAAAAATTATTAAATTTGTATACCGTGATTCATCCAAAGCGCTCCGGGTGGTTCACAGCATAAAAATACAAACAAAAGCACAAAATACATAATAAGAACAAAAACAAAACAAAACAATGCCACTCCCAACTGCCGTCCTCAGAATGAACCAAAAATCCGCCATTTAGTCCATCGAACTTAACAAGGTTAATTGTCCCCCGCACCCCACCCCGGTGTTTTAAACAGTGCAAAGCTGCTTGGAGCAGCTTCAAAGTGCGGTACCTCTGCAGTGCAGGGTAAAAATACTTTTTAAGATGCTGTGGGAAGAAACTGCACTTCCTGTGTAATTCTATACACAAAGGTCTATTGTACATACAACAAAATGGCTGCCCTCATTAGAACAGTAGCCTTGGTTCACTTTCTTAATACTCCTTATTTGCATGTGTGTGTTTATGACTGCTTAGACGTGTGAATTTTTAAAAAAGGATTTCCCTGGAATTCTCCTTTATAAATCCACAGATATAGGACAAGGAGGAATCATTCATCCCTCAACTTATGAGGGTGACGTAGACATGTTGGTCCTGTATATTTGCCTAAACACTCTCTTGTGTTTAAACCCTCACTTCATACAATACCAGCAGTTTATTTCCTTTTAAAACCTCAATTAATAGCCCTTCCTACACTAGGGCTTAGGTTCACCAAGATTTGTTTTGTTTTGTTTTTTAGGCCTGTGGGCATATTTTTATTTTTGTGCAAGTGTTGTGGGTACCACCTTCCCAAAAGGGACAAAAAAAAAAGTGCACCAACTTCATTTTCCCGAGAGCTCGGTAAAAGCTGTAATTAATCTGAGCCACGAAAAGCACACAGAGCTGCAAGAGGAAGTGAGAAAGAGTGCCATTCTTCCAACTTCCTGCTTTCAGCTCTATGTACTTTTCAAGGGAGGAAAAGGTCGGCACCATCTCAGGGACAAGGAGGCAGTGAGTGGTGGTAACTCAAGAGGCTTCATAGAGGTGCCAGGAGAAGACCTCAAGGGCACCATTGACGACCCTGGCTTAGAACACATTTCAAGAGTATTTTGGAATATTAGACAACTCTTTTAGACAGTTGTCTCCTAGAAATATCTCGTACCAGAAATATCGTGTGGTTGCATTGGGTGGCTGCCACTAGGAAGAAAAAGCAACCATTATTTAATTATAACTCCCAAGGGGTCGTTTTTTTCTTGGTGTTCTATCAGTTGTCACCAGTAGTAGGCAGATTGTGGTGCACAAAGAAGCTTGTTCAACCTCAGAATTCCTCCCAGTGTGCTACTCCATTTACTAGGTTCCAGACTTACGCAGGTGGTGCTATGGTCTACACCACAGAGCCTAGGGCTTGCCAATCAGGTCGGAGGTTCGAATCCCCACGACGGGGTGAGCTCCCGTTGCTCGGTCCCTGCTCCTGCCAACCTAGCAGTTCGAAAGCATGTCAAAGTGTAAGTAGATAAATAGGTACTGCTCCGGCGGGAAGGTAAACAGCGTTTCCGTGCGCTGCTCTGGTTCGCCAGAAGCGGCTTAGTCATGCTGGCCACATGACCCGGAAGCTGTACGCCAGCTCCCTCGGCCAATAAAGCGAGATGAGTGCTGCAACCCCAGAGTCGGTCACGACTGGACCTAATGGTCAGGGGTCCCTTTACCTTTACCTTTTAGACTTACCACACAAAAAACACACTGCTAGCCCCATATGATGACAAGGCTTTGGGGCCCACTGGGAAGACCAGTCAGCCAAGTGGTGTTCTCCCTTTTTCCATGACTGTCATTGAACAGAGACAGCTGATGCAAACAAACTGCACACTCCTGAGGGGCGGTAACTGCGATTAGTTTTGTTGTGGTGGGTGGGTAGGTGGGAGAAAAGAGTGCCTGCATGGCTAAGAAGTGTGTATAATATGCAAGTTAGTATGTGCCAAGTACAACCTACTTTGTCAGATGCATCTAACATTGTGCATTCTAGTCTACAAAGCTTAATAAATCTGTTAAGTCTTTAGATCACCCCAAAAAGTCAGACAAAAAGTCTCACACACACACCCAAAGTCACCTCAAATGTAAAGGATGTTGTGTTGGCCCACAAGAAACATTCCTAAATCCATTAGGGCAAAACCCTTATTAAGCACCAAAAACGTCACAAAATAGACCCAGGCCAATTCCCCATTACCCACCCACCACCCACAGAAGATGCGCTGCTGCAGCCAGTCAGTGAAATTTACTTCTTTTTAATCAGTGTAAATTCATTTGGCTGACTTATGATACTGCCAGTTTACTGGCAATCAGCAGAGCAATCTGCTTTCAAGTTGAACCAGCTATATACTCCTAAAGATTATGACAGCTGCCTCATTTCCACCTTCAGCTAACTACTGCCCTGATTTCTAAGATTGTGTTTACCAGAATGAGAGCTAGAAACATACTCTCCCCCCCCCCTTCAAATAAAACCTGAGATTTATCAGGACATCACAAAAGCTCAGAACAATACACAAACTCAAGCCCAACCGGACACTTGACACACTCTGGAAGAAAGAGAGCATTTGCAACTTTAATATAGTCACTGAGCAATTTGTTTTATTACATTTGTTGTGTGTGCAGAACACATACAGGGATCTCAAAACAATTCTTGTGAGAGACAGGCAAAAAAAAATCTATATAATGTAAAAAGGTGTGTGTTTAAATAATAAAGGCATTTAGCCTCCATATTCTGCCATCGCAGGAGGGGGAAACATGCATACAAAAAGCAAATGATGGAATCAACTGCAATTCCACATGAGCTCAATTGATCAGGAATAGTCACACTGCACTTCCATAGTCATGTAACAAACACACACAGCTCACTTCTAGTAGATTTTTTTTTAAAGGCACAGCCAGATTTCTTTACAAGAGAATGTGAATTTATTTGTGCTATCTATATCTGGGGTGATTTAGGAAAGATCTAGTATCAAGGGGTAAAAAATTGTGGGGTGTTATGCTATGTAACGTGTCCCCAAGTTAAAGTGGGGGGGGTGTTGTTAGCTATATTTCATTCCAGCATTCTTCCCTCCCCAAACATGCTTGTTTACAGCATTACTAGAAAGCAGCAAGCATTATTTGCATACATTTGCATAGTGAAGTACATCCAGTGTTTTAACAGTTTTATAAGCATTCGAGACAGTGTGAGGGGCTATCTAACACAATCACTTTATGAATTTCTCTCCCTTCATACAGCTGTTGTGGGGGTGCCACCACAGGTTGAGTAGACTAGCGGCAAACTGATTAGAGGAATAATTTTACTGTACCAACCCCACTGTTTTCTTCACCCTATTTGATGGTAGCAAAAGTGTGTGGTGTGTGCGCGTTTTGGTTATTGGGAAAGGTTCAAGGGGTGCCCAACTCACTGGCGCTCCTTCTGATTCCTGTGCTGCCGGCTGCCATTTTGAATTTCCCACAATGGCCCGGAAAGATGCCATGTCAGCGCAATGCCATCGGGGGCGGGGAGCTCACATTGGCATCCCACAGCACGGGAGCCAGAGAAGCACCGGTGACTTTTGCATAAAGGGCTTCCCAATTTGCTCCTCCCCACCACCATGAAAGGGGATGTGGTTTTGTGCACCCTCTTTTGCCGTGCCCTCAACCTCCTGCTCCCAGTTCAGGCCCAGAGCTCTCTTTTGAGATCTTGTTGTTGGTTTCTGCTTTCCTTCACTGTGCAGCAACTGCAGTCACAAGACATTGTTTTGCATTCCACAGTCTGTACTGTTGGAGTTTCTCACGGGAAAGGGAGACTGGATGTGACGTACACTGGTTTCCTGTTTTTTTTCACTGTCTGTGTGATTCTCTCCAAGCTGTCGAGGAGAGAGGATGCATTTTTCTGCTTTGGCAGAGGCAAGATGTCTTTCTGTAATATACCAGCTTTGAACTGTAAATAAAGCAATATAGAGTATGTAACACGTATCCTCATCCTTCCGCTGGCAACCAGACTCTGCTTTAAATCAACACGTGGTTATGGACTCCAGAGGTCGAATCAGAGTGCCGGCAAAGGATCGGAATGCAGAGGGAGGACAGATCGGAACGGAATCTGCTCTGCGCGTAGAAATGATTGATGAGGTATGTGCTACTGCTCCGGGCAGCCTGCCAGCTTCAAATTAATGGCTTTATGGCTGGACTTTGAACTTTTAAAGCCGGTTTTGCAAATAGGCAAAAGGCTCCCAGGCACAAGTCACTATGCTGGGGAAATCGAAAGTAACTTTTAAGTGTGCCTTTGTAATGAAGCAGCTGCAGCAGTGACGCAGCAAGATTTAAAGCAGCATATAATGACGCTGAAGGCTAATGCCAGAGTCATGATGGCCCTTCAGGATGCTTGTGGGATTCCTAAGCTCAACAAGACAAATTACAGTGGCTGGGTTCAGTATGCAGAGGCAATTCTGCGGAAAGAGGGTTTGTTTGAGGTGATTACAGAAACCCCCCCAGTTCCAGTTACAGATGCATGGGAAGCTAAGGATTCCAAAGCAAGGGGAACTCTTACATTGATAGTATCCCCAGAAGAGCTCTGTCTATTGCGTGATAAGACCTCAGCCAGAGAAATTTGGGACGCTCTGAGAGAGGCTCACTTAAGGACAGAAGCTGGATCTACTATGTTTTATTTTAACAAGCTGCATAATATGGCTCTTGCTGAAGGTGGAGATGTGCGTTTACATCTGATGCAGATGCAAAATCTGAGACATGAGCTGCAACAGAGAGGACTCAACTTTCCAGAGGCTGTGTATTCTTTCATGATACTACAATCTTTGGGTTCAGGTTGGGAGTCTGTTGCAACCCAGATTGCTGTGCAACCAACTGCTCAGCTGACAGTGGACTTTGTTACTGCCGTGATTTTAAATGAAGCAGATCGCCGGGGTGCTAGCTGCATGGACAAGGGAGTCTTCACAGACGTCATCCCATAGTGCAGTGGAACCACCAGATGGCGCCAAAGCTTTGAAGGCAGTCAAATGCTACTCGTGTGGACGTCTAGGCCATATGAAGAGGGAATGCAGACATCCCAGGGCCAAGACAGAGCAGCGCAGCGAAAGCTCATCGCGCGGAAAAGGCCGAGGCAAAGGCAAAGGTCCGGTGTCTAGGACAACGCAGCACAAGGCTATGGTTTCACGCTTCACTCCAAAGGTTGCAGAGGTCCAGAAGACGTCTAGATCTTTCTTCGTTGTTGATTCAGCGGCCACCCACCACATGTGCAACGATAAGAAACTGTTTGTGTCTTTTACACCGCAGGAAGGTGCGATTCACCAGGCGGATGACCACACTATTCCCAGTAAAGGCTACGGAACTGTAGTTCTTCACAGTTTGGACTTATCGATACAGAATGTGCTTTACGTGCCAGACGCCAAACATAATCTGCTCAGCGTTGGACAGCTGAATGAGCGGAACATTGACGTTTCCTTCAAGAACAAGAAGTGCATCATCACAAAGAAAAATGATTATGTATTGCATGCAGAATATGTTGATCATTTGTTTGTTTTGTATTATGATGATGTGGTGCAGGATGACACTTGTTGCATTGCAGGTTCTAACAAAAGTTTGCATGCAGAATGTATTCACGATTTTCATCGCAAATTTGGTCATTTGCATTTTGAGGCAGTATCTAAAATGCCTGCCTTGGTTGAAGGTATGACTATTAAACCCTGCAGGTACCACATGAAGTGCAAAGCATGCGCAGCAAACAAAGTGAAAATGGCTGCGAAGGTAAGGTGTCTAGTAGGAAAGCTACAGAACCATACCAGGTTGTTCATGCTGATTTGGTTGGTCCACTATCGCCCTCTTTGGGTGGAAATAGATACTTCATGGTTCTCATTGATGCATTTTCTAGATATATTTTTGTGTACAATCTCAAGCAGAAATCGGAGGCTTTTCCTAGATTCAAGGAATTCTGTGCTTGGTTGGAAAATGTGCATGGTAAGAAGATAAAGACTCTTTTCAGTGATCGAGGGGAATTCACTTCTCAGCAGTTTGAAGCTTTTCTGACTGAGAAAGGAATTCAACACGATTTGTCTAGTCCTCGCTCGCCATGGCAGAATGGACTTGCGGAACAGGCAAATCAGACATTGCTTCAAGGATTAAAAACCTTGCTGCATGATGCCAATCTTCCAGAGAGTTATTGGGCCGAATCTCTCTCGTGTTTTGTTTACAGTTACAATCGCCGGTTATCTTCAGCGATTGGTTGTACCCCCTATGAGAAGATGTTTGGCAAGAAGCCATACATCAAACACATGAAGATTTTTGGTTCTGACATGTGGGTTCGCTCACCACAAAACTCCAAGTTAGACAAGCGTGGATTGCATGGTATCTTTCTAGGTTATCAGAAAGGGTCTTACAGAATAATGATGACTGACTCTAAGACAATTAAGCTCACGAGAAGTGTTGAGTACAATGCAAAGTGGGGGAGAATGTGGGAATTTTCCAATGTTATCCTGATGACGGTGATGAGACTGAGGATAGTCAAAAGCAACCACAACAACCCACACCCACTGATGAAGGTTCTGAGTCTGAATCTGAAACTGAATCGGGTGATTCAGAGGATTTCAAGAGTGCGAAAGCCTCTATGCGACCCTCTGAAAGCTCTGATCAAGAATTGGAGGAACCATTGTTCACAATAGGTCGTTTTTCTCCTAAGAAGGAAGAGGAGAGTGTTGAAGACTTAAGGCTAATTCAGTAGGTCACAGAGAGCCACAAAGGCAAACCTCCAAAGAGATTTGCTGATGAGTTTGCTAAGATAGCAGTAACAGCTGTTAAAAGCTCCAAGAAGGTATTTGAACCTTCAAGTTTCCAAGAAATCCAGGGTTTGGATTCAAAGGAAGCTGAGCCATGGTTAAATGCCATGAAGGCTGAGCTTGATTCCTTAGAAAGGAACAAAACATGGGAGCTAGTTCCTGTAGTTCCAGGAATGAAACTGCTTGGAAGCAAATGGGTCTTCAAAGCGAAGACAGATCAAAATGGCAAGATAGTCAGACACAAAGCCAGATTGGTAGCCAGAGGTTTTGCACAGGTACCAGGTGAAGACTATCACGAGACCTATTCACCCACAGTGAGATATGAAAGCATTAGGCTTATGCTCAAGCTAGCTGCAGAGGAAAATCTACACATTAGTCACCATGATATTAATACAGCTTTTCTGTACGGATCTCTAGATGAATCACTTTATATGCTTCCACCTGATGGCGTACAGGTAAAACAGGGATTTGTTTGTGCTCTGAAGAAATCCCTTTATGGTCTCAAACAAAGTGCACGGTGTTGGCACACAAAACTCACTGAAGTATTGTTTTCTCTAGGTTTTCAGCAAGGAAAGCTGATCCATGTGTATTTGTCAAAGAGGAGGGGCAAAAGAAACTGTACTGTTTGTTTTATGTTGATGATTTATTATTCTTTTGGAAAGATGTTGCAATGTACAATAGCGCCCTAGCTCAACTGAAAGAGCACTTTGACATGAAAGATCTTGGTGAGGTAAACAACTACCTATCTCTGGAAATAGAGAGAGATCAAGATGGTAACATTCTAGTACACCAGTCACGGAAAATTGCTGATGTGTTAAGCAAACTAAATCTGATGGATGCTAACCCTGTAGACACACCGATGACAACAGGTTATCAGGTAGATGACACCGAAGAAGCATTTTCTTACACTACACTGTACAGGAGTGTGCTAGGCAAGCTAAACTTCATTGCCAGATGTTCAAGACCAGACATTGCTGTTAGCTGTAATTTGCTAAGCAGACAAGTCAACAATCCTAGTGTCAAGGATTGGAAAGCTCTGAAACGCATAGCGCGGTATTTGAAAGGCACTATGCATTACAGACTGAGATTTAACAATCAGAAGTCTGGTGGTCTTGAGATATTTGCAGATGCAAGTTTTGGAAGTGACACTACAGACAGGAAAAGTACGTCTGGAGTTTGCTACATGTACAATCAGAGTCTGTTTGATTGGTCATGCAAGAAGCAAACAACAGTTAGCTTAAGTACTTGTGAAGCTGAACTGAATGCACTGTCTTATTCACTTAAGGATTGTGAATGGTTAGTACAATTGTGCAAAGATATGAAAATTCCTGTCAAATGTCCAATCCAGGTTTACCAGGACAACAAAGCATGTTTGGCTTTGCTGAAGTCTGAAGGTTGTAAGCAAAGCACAAAGCACTTGCAATTAAAGTTGCAGCATGCTAGGGAATGTATTCAGAAGGGACTCGTAACGGTGTCCTATATGCCAGGTAATGAAATTCCTGCTGATGTATTGTCCAAGATTGTATCGAGGGATCAACACTGTACCTATGTGCAGAAGTTGGGTTTGTACTGATATTGTGCGAACACGCTGCCCAGTGATGTTCACAGAAAGGGGAGGATGTTGGTTTCTGCTTTCCTTCACTGTGCAGCAACTGCAGTCACAAGACATTGTATTGCATTCCAAAGTATGTACTTTTTGAGTTTCTCACGTGAAAGGGAGACTGGATGTGACGTACACTGGTTTCCTGTTTTTTCACTGTCTGTGTGATTCTCTCCAAGCTGTCGAGGAGAGAGGATGCATTTTTCTGCTTTGGCAGAGGCAAGATGTCTTTCTGTAATATACCAGCTTTGAACTGTAAATAAAGCAATATAGAGTATGTAACACGTATCCTCATCCTTCCGCTGGCAACCAGACTCTGCTTTAAATCAACACTTGTAGGCCAACCTAGAAAAGGCTTCCACTGATACACCTGAATGGTGTTGGGTGGGAAAATCCACCTGGCTGGTTGGAGGCGAGCGATTTGTGCGGCTGGGGTCAGTTTCAACCAACAGTATTGCCCCACACGGCAGGCCCTGAACCCAGAACCTGGCCAAAGAAAGGAACAGCAAGGTGATAGGCCACAAACAGGGCGTGTGATGAGGCCCGATTCCCATCAAAGTTCGCAGGTCAGGGTTATCTGCTTGTCTGAGCTTAGGGGTGGGAGGAATCTTTGGAAAAACAACTTATTCTAAGACCCTTTGGTTCATCTATCACTATACTGTCTACACTGACTGGCAGCATCTCTCCGGGAGTCTTTTCCCAGCCCTACCCAGGGGATTGAACCTGGGACCAACCTGCTTGCATAGCTCTGTCACTGAGCTATGGCCCGTCCCTAAGCCCCTGCTCCCGATCTAGCAGAAAATAAGGTCTGATACCCGCACATTCATGCCAGGCAATGGCGGAGGGAGAGGGCCATAATGAGTAATAACAATAATAAAGGCCCCCAAAGGGACACGACTTCAGCCCTGAGAAGTGCAGAGAACAACCATTCAAAACAAGCAGGAGAATATACACACAGCAGCTTCATAAATGTATGAGGCATCTCCCTGTGGTAACTTGGCAAGGCATTTTATTTCTTCATGCATTTTGCTCACACACCTGGAGCAAGCAGGAAACAATTGTTAGGGAGGGAGAAGCAGCATAAACAAAGAGACGTAGAAAAATATATATATATATAGGCACTGAAACTTAGGATTCTGCCTTTGAAGTGACAATTCTCCCCTCTTCAGCACTGAGCACCGTGCAGATTTCCAAACACCCTGAGTGCAGATTAAGGCTTCAGCATATGTACGTGATGAAGAACATTATTGCTTCACATGATGAAGAACATTGCTGCATAAGAAGCTAGGTGTTACTGGGTCTTGGTTAGATCGGCTTGTTTCAGCCATGTGAAACATGTATCCATTGCTATGTGAGAAGCATTCCACTCGCGCAATGCAATTGCCCCTTCCTCTACCCTCAGGAAGAGGGTCACCTGACCCTCCGAAGCAGATTTTGAGGGTAAGGTCTGCAGGAGAGAGGAGGAGGTCTGCTTCACAAATGAAAATCTGATGCATGAGTCAGACAGATACATAATAAATACCGTATTTTTTGCTCTATAAGACTCACTTTTTCCCTCCTAAAAAGTAAGGGGAAATGTGTGTGCGTCTTATGGAGCGAATGCAGGCTGCGCAGCTATCCCAGAAGCCAGAAAAGCAAGAGGGATTGCTGCTTTCACTGCGCAGCGATCCCTCTTGCTGTTCTGGCTTCTGAGATTCAGAATATTTTTTTTCTTGTTTTCCTCCTCCAAAAACTAGGTGCGTCTTGTGGTCTGGTGCATCTTATAGAGCGAAAAATACGGTAATTTGAGTTCGCTTGTTCTCAGGATGGTCAGTTCATTTCAAGATCTGCCAAGCAGGACTGAATCTAACTCGCAGTTTTATGGGAGCATCTGATGTAACAATGCGCACAAATCCAGATTCCTGGGAATCTCAGCTTTTCAGTTTTAAACCATGTTCACAAGTTTCTAGCCCTTATGGGTGTGATGATAAGACTTGGAATGCTGCAAGTCACGCCTGTTGGCATGCTGAGCATTTAAGTGAGAGGGGAAGCAATCCAGCCCCATGTGCCATGGCTGTTTCTCTAGATTTCTCCCCACAAGTTGGGATACAAGAATTCTATAGCCAGAGACACCCATAAGCAGTTTTATTTTGTGTCATCAGTTTGGATAATCATTTCACTGACAAAAAAAGGAGGAAGCAATCACCAGTGTAATTCATCAAAAAAAGAAATGCATATAGAATGGTTGGAAGCAAAAATAGCAAGTTACTAGCTATTTCATTTTAATTTTCAGTTATCTATTCAGGACTGCTGTAGTTTCCCAGAAAACATAAAAGCAGATCACGCTGCTTTGGGAAACACATTTTCTGTTAGCAAAATGAGACAGTTGTTCTTTGCACAGCCTGCCTGTCATATCAAAAAACCACAATCTGCTAACACTTTTTCATTGTTTCAAATCACTGGTTTTCAAACAGCCGTCTGGGAGAAGCCAGGTGTTTTTTGGAAGCTTGTCACTCAGTGAAAAGTGAACATGAAAAAACTCTCCGAATTTCATAACGCAGTTCTCCAGCCAAGCAATGTGTACAAAAATGCATATATATATACTGGGGTAAAGTGTACATAAAGATGCACTATATTAGGGGAAATTGCTCTGCAAAACTGTGTGTTTTAGGGGAAATTGCATGCAATTTTGTGCATACTAAGAGAAATTCACGCTAAAATGCTGATGATTAAAAAAGAAAAAATCACACACTGAAGTAGAAATGTGGAAAACTGAACCTAAGACTGGGAAAAAGTGAGAGGAACCAGAACTATCAGATTTCCCCATCCTTACTCTTTGCATCTTGCTGGGACTCAAGTCTCCTACCAGCTCCAGCAGCCACTGATCACTGATAAAAAATCCTGGGAGCTGTAATTTAATCTAACAATTTCTGGGGGTCCCAGTTTCCCCATCCCTACTCCCAAGACATTTTACGATGAAAATCCTACTGAATCAACAATGTGATGGGGGAAAAACACTGCTGGGAGTTCATGCAAAGCTTTTGTAAATACATCCATCAGAACGGGGGGGGGGGGGGGAATCATATGCCATGAATAAAGATCATAGCAGAAATCTCCCAAAGTAATTAGATGAATTATGACGGTGGATTCTGAGCACCATTAAAATATATGCAGCTATTTTCCATAAATGTGCTCCATATGCATGCTTCCTTCTGCATTTCTGTTGAATTCTGCGACTTGTCCAGAATATTTTGGCAAACTAGCAGCTTAGAAATGGGAGATCGTCTATGAAGCGGGCAGTGGAGGAACATTTGGCAATGGGGAGGTTTATCAGAAATCATGAAAGACATCCATCCATTCTTCAAGCTCTGCAGCCTTATTTTTGGCATCTGTAACCATGACAGCTAGAACCTTGCATTTTTAAAGTAATTTGAAGTAATAAAAACTAAGATCCTTAGGAATCCAAAGTGTGCAGAATTCTACAGGCACAGAAAGACAAACTACTTGCAGCTTTTTAGCTGAGTTTGGCCAGGAGTTCCAGAATGCTACGCTAAAAGCATGATAGCTTTTGAATTCTGTAATCACAAAACCTAAACTGAGGGTGTAGGGGAATTAACCAGATAATGAGAATTTGCAAGCTCTACTAGTAGTTGCTCTACTTTTACATGCCACTGTGTAATAATTTGCAGCAAGCGTGGTTTCTTTGGTTGTTTTAAAAAGAAATTCAAAATTCAGAGTTCAGTTGGTTTGCGAAGCACTAGACGAAGCCTGGATTAAGGCAAAAGAGGTGTGGAGTCAGGGAGAGAGGCTGATTATTATCCTAAATGAAGCCTCACATTTTCTTACCACCTGCAAGGGCTAGAAATTCAACATTGGTTTAAAGGTTTGGGTTCCGTTCAAGTTTCTGGAGCCGGCTTCAGATGCCATTATTTTGTGCAGAGCTCCTATCAACAACTCTTGCGTATTCTGGTTTATATAGACCATGTGCAGAGAAATGCTTTTTGTCTCTCTACGTGTGTGGGAAGCCTGTGGCTTTCCAGATTCTGTTGAATGCCAACTTCCAGCAGTCCCAGCCAGCATGGTCAATGGTTAAGGTTGAAAGGTGGTTGTGATCAAGCTAGAGATCAAGGTCCACAGGTTCCCCAGCCCTGCTCTCTTCCATTCCTAGAGTTACAGATCTAAAGTTTGGTGACAGGAGTTTCACATACAGACACTGTCCCAGGCAGTCGCCTAGACTCTTCCTGCTACAGAAGGACAGCAGTGTAACCTAAGAACAATGTACATCTCTTGAGTGTTATGTACAATTCCTATCTGCAAGGCAGCCAAAGGCATATATACATATATATATGTGAGCCTTGGTCTCACCCAAGCATGTACATATGTGTGCGTGTGTGCTTGGGTGAGGCCAAGGCTGCAATCCTAAGCATACTTGCCTAGATGTAAGCCCCACTGATCTCAACAGGACTGCCTTTTGAGTAAACATATACAGGATCAGGCTGCAGCTTACACTGAGCAGCACAACTCAGTGCACACAGCGTGCGTTGACCTGCGCAGCCCTTGGAAAACTGTACAGCTAAACTCTCCTAGGCTTTAAATCAAGAAACTTGTGTCCTTATTTTCAATGCACAGAATAAGCTTCAGTACAGTAGCATGATCTGTTTGGATGCACATGGGGCTGAGCAGAGATCTCCATTCTTTCCTTTTAGACAGAAGTTTTAGAACAACAACAACAACAAAAGAAACCCATCCATTTTTCACACATCAATTGCATTATCAGGAGGGGGGTTTAGAAAACAACAACAACCTGCTGCCACGACCATCCTGCCAGCAAGAGGTTGCGCCCCATAGCGGATGGCTCTCCATGCTCCTTACATCCCCGAATGAGGTGGGGGGTTGCCTGGGGTCGGAGGAGCGGCAGCCGGAGGGTTATGCAAGTTGGTTTCCTTGTAGACAAACCAAGCGTTCCCTGCCCAGAGGATCAGGTTGAGGAAACCAATGACCTAGGAGCAAGAAAAGGGGAAAAGAGATGGAGGTTTTGGCCTAAGAAGAAACTAGTGCACCTGCCTGATCCTACCAGCTGCATCCCACAATTTGCATTTCCGACATGAATTCCGGGGAGAAAATCATGAAGTGTTAGAATCCCAGAACAGACCTGCTCCAGTCCCTTCCTCCCCATCACTCCCATGAGGACTACAACTCCCATGATCCCTGACCACTGGGCCATGCTGGCTGGGAATGATGGGAGCTGTAGTCCAACAACCCATGGAGGGCTCCACATTAGCTGTCCCTGTTTTAGCTGTTAACCACTCAAGGTCAGAAGAAAACATTTCCCCCAAGGAATGTTGTTTTAACCCCAAAGAGGTGCAGGAAGTTGCTATCCGGACTGGGTGTTTGCCTCGGGGCAGGACGCAATTATCTCTTTCCTCTTGGGCCAGTTTTCTTATTTTAAAAAATTAAGTCTCCCTTGAGCTTTTTGTCCTGCAGCGGAAGAGGTAAAGGTACTCTTGATAAGAAAAACTGTACGATTCACAGAAACGGGGGGGGGGGGGGCACCTAATCTACCCAGATACTTCCGATTGAAACTGCAGCTTCCTGCAGCTGTTTTCTTTTTCTTTTTTTACCTTCAGGGGAAAATATTTCTGTGACAAAGCAGACTATGCCGTTTAACCCAGAGTGTTCAGGAAAAGCATTTTACTGTATCATATTAAACGAGAACCTCCTCCAACTTCAAAGCTATTGTCACCAAGACCTCAAAACCCTAAAAAAACAGAGTCACGAAAGTTCGGAATATGAAAATTGACCGGTCCAAACACATCTTGCTCTGAAGAGCTGTGTATGAATCCAAACTGATGAACTGGGATTAATATTTTTTTATTTGAGGATGTTTGATTCCAAATCAATCTACAGGAAGTACGGCAGCATATATCGCCCCTGAGGGATTTGGGTGTGCACAGAAGTGTTTTCAGCAGGCTGCAACAGGAAGAAGCATATAATATGGCATGCAAATCCTTCCAGGATGGACGAGTGGTAGGTCAAGGTTAAAACCCTGTTAGTGAATGTTGAATTCAGAGAATAGCCAGCCTACACTCTAGTGTCTTAGCCAAAAGGTTGAGATGCCAAGGATTGAACCTGCGACCTTCCGCACCTAAAGCAGAGGCTCTATCACTGAGCTATGGTCCTTCTACATGCTCTGAAGAAATTATGTGAAGCACAATTGCCTTGCTGGTTCCTCAAGACCAGGGACAGCTTATGTGGTGCCCTAAAGATGCTTGTGGGACCACAATATTCAGTGGTCCCAGCCAGCATGGCCAACAGTCAAGGGTGATGGAAGCCGTAGCCCAGTAACATCAGGAGGTCGCCATGTTAGCTATCCCCAAACTAGACCAGTATTCTGTCTCCTGGGACAACTCTCGAAGAAAGAATACATGAGGATCGTGGCTATTTCTGGTTGCTTGTAGCCCCAGCATCTAGTAATGCATACATACCACAGAGACATTCAAGGAACCCAAGCTTCTGATGTCATTGAATTGACATCGATTGGTGTTGCTCAAGCAAGGTTCAAGTTCAGTTATGCTGTGTCCGGTGGATGTTTTGATGTCTGTGAGGGCCTTAGCCCAGGCTGATGTGCTCACCAACCACAGGAAAGAGACGACTACTGTGATAACAAAGTCCTGCATCAGGAGAAAAGACAGGCACCCTTAGCGTTCTTTTCTTTCCTTTTCTTTAAAAGTTTTTATTTATACTTTTCCAGTTTATACATTTCATTAGTTTTACAGTCAATTTAACATTTCAAAGTTTGACTTCCTTCTCCCTCTTTCTGCGGTTCCTTAAATTTATTTTTTAAAAATATCTTCTGCATATCCAAATTCATTTAATTTGGATTCATTTAATCATCTACTTTAGATATATACTCTTATGAAACTGCAGGTTATTACAATAATCCTGCTAATGTTTTTATCTGTTTGCAATTTATCTGTAAATATTCAATAAACCATTTCCATTCTTTTATATAAAACGTTTGTTATCCTGATTTCTTAATTCTTCCGGTAGGTTTCGCCATTTCTGCATATTCCATAAGTTTTAGTATCCATTCTTCCTTTACTGGGACACCTGCTTCTTCCCACTTTGGGGCAAGTAACATTCTTGCTGCTATAGCAGCATACATAAATTTCTATACAATTTTGGTAGTTCTGTCCCTATAATTCCCAATTTCTATACAATTTTGGTAGTTCTGTCCCTATAATTCCCAAAAGAAAAGCTTCTGGGTTTTGGGGTTTGTTTTTTTACAAAAGTTGTTAGCTGTCTGTTCTGGAGGGGACGGTGGAAGATGCACACAACTGGTCACCAAACCAGGTCGCTGCTAAGGGCTACCCAGGGCTGATCCACACATACACCTTTATTATTGCTCAGTGACACAGCAGCTGAACATGTGGATTGCTTGCAACTCTATGTGGAGATGCCAAGGATGGAATTTGGGGCCTTCTTCATGCAAAGCCGATGCCCTACCAATGCTCTAAGGCCCTTCCCCATTGCTCCCTTTAACTGGAGAGGTCTAAAGACTGTACCTCGGACCTTGTACATGTTGAGCACCTGCCCTGCCACTGAGGAATAGGCCTTAATGTTTCTGTGCTTAAGAAACCCCGTAAAGAAGAAGGCTGGTAAGCTGGAGTGGGCCCTGTCTTGGTGTTCAGAATGCAACTCAACATGCGAAAGGAATGCCACACTCACCAGAGCTCCTGCAATCCCAGCGGCAAGGAGAATAGGAAGAAAGAATCATTGTATCGTAGTTAGAACATCTGGAGTGCACCACACCTGCCCAGCTTCAAGGGTAACCTCTCGAATACATCCAGAGGTCAGGTATGGGCCCTGGATGCTTCACACCCAGGAAAGGCATATTAAAAAGTACAAAATGCCCATATGTTGTGTATTAAAATAGCTTTAATTTAATCAAAAGTTAACTTTTGAGAGATCTCTAGGGTTTTAAAGAGAATTCCTATCTTCCAAAACAATCCACTTCCTAACACTTTTTAAAATAAGGATTTAAAAGTGTTTCGTTTGGTAAAATATCCAGTTAGTAACCAAGAAGAACACAGAACAATCTCCAAAGCTGTGCAGAACCAGCTATGTTGACTGGGGCTGATGGGAGATGGAGTCCAACAACCCTTTGAGGGTCGCCGGTTCCACCACCATCTACTACTAACAGAAATGGTCCACAAACAAGTGACAATCTGAATGTAATGATATTAAGAATAGGAATCACCAATTTAAATATATATATTTTTGTGGTGGTTGGATTGTTCCAGACAGTGCTTTTTTCTGGAGGGACGCAGGGGTACACATACCCCTAAACATTTTGGGACTCTTTCTACTTTTGTCCATTTACTGTATTTATTTTCCCCAATTTGAACAATAAAATTGTGATTTTCTTGAGTGAAAATGAGAGTACCCCTAAACATTTTTTTTAAAAGCACTGGTTCTAGACATAGCAGCCCATTTACAGCTCTCTCTTGGAGCATGGAACACACAAATCAAGTACACTCAATGTATCAAGTAGACTCTGATAGGCAGCACACATATCCTTATTGAGTCCTATAAATTATGGGGAAGCAAGGCGTTGCCAACTTACAATCATGGGGAGTTTACCAGTGCCCCGATACAAGTGCAAGTAACCCACGTAGAGCACCAAGGCAGCCATGCAGTACAGGAACACGAAGACTGCAAAAGTGACAAAAAATTGAGCGGGAGAGGCGAAGTCTCCCACCAGGTAGTAAGTATTGTTCCAGATGCTGTAACACTGCTTGCTTGAAGGAATGTCAAACGAAGACTGGTGCAACCTTGAGTTCCGGAGAGAGAGAGAGAGAGAGAATGCTGAAGCTCAATTCTCCAGTCACAAGAATCCCAACCAAACAGGGGGAAATGCAAAATCAACCCCCATGCAGCATTTCAGCTTGCGCTTCGTAGCTGACAATTGTTCTTTCCATCAACTTAGAAAACCATAGCAACTTTAAAAACTCTTTAAGTTTAAAACCATCTTGCCCAGAAGCTCTCACTCTGAAGAAGATCCCCCTGGCATTTCTCAGAGGAAGGAGGACGTTGCATAGGTAGCAAAGAGCCTTGCTTCACTTGGTGGGTAGGTGGCCAAACTAATATTAAGGTAAACAGGGGTGGGAGGGAGGAACCAATTCAATTCATCATAGGGCTCTGCCATAGGATTGCAGCCTTAGTTGAAAAAAAAAAAAAGTATAAGAGCTTCTGTAGTAGCTAATGTTGGGTTTTTAAAATTAATTTAATAATGTTAAAACACGTAAAGAGGAAAAGGATTACAGCTGTCAAAACAATACCATACACTTCAAAGAAACAAACGCAAGGCTGCAGGCCAATAAAGTACTGAACACCTTTTAACACCACATATTAACCAGAGATGTGGGTGCTCAGGAATGATGTTATATGGTCTAAAATGTTGTATGGTGGTTACTCGCCCTCCCTCGCCCTCAGGGCCCACCTTGCTGCTGGATTGGGACCTCTTCTTTCTGACCCAGGGCTCCAAGCAACATCGGACACCAGAATAATCACTGCCATTTGACTTTCCCAAGATGGCCCTCCATGATGCAACTCCGGGGGATTGTGGGAAACTGAAATGGCAGCCAGACCCAGCTGTCGTTGCTGCGCTGCTGTAAGAACCGCTGTGGTCTCCCATCAAGGTCAGCGAAAGGCATTTTGCTGCCCGAGGCAGATCAGCAAATGGTGCCACCTTTCCTGCCCCATTGCCCAAAGCCAGTCAAGTTATTTTGGCGCCTGAGGCAGAAAACCCCACAAGCCACCTCATTCTGCTCAGCAACAAGGCTGGCATTGCCTCTCACGGTGAAGTAAGCTCTGAAGGTCTCAACGACAGGTCCCAGCTTCGAAAGGCACCTTGCCCACAGCCTCCTCAAACCTGGAACCAGCCATTCCTGTCCACACACACGACATTCCCCAAGTCTAGGGCAGCTCTTTGGAGAGAGACGTGTTTGTTGCGTGGACAATTAGAAGGGCCTCTCTCTTTGTGCCACAAGTGGCAGCGTTCCTCAAAGGGATAGATGCTCTTACCTGAAAGGATACGCAAAGTTGGCTTGAAGAGAAGCGTTTGTGCCATTGTTGCAGTTGAGGATAAGGGAGGTTTTTCCACTGTAACCGCCACAGGTGGCAAATGCAAAGATGGCAAAAATCTGCGAAGAACCAAGACAAAAGCAAATGTACGTGTTAGTGCAGTTTTCGGGCGCATAGGCATGTACATCATGGAGGAGGGAATGCACGCTTTCTGGGGGCCCTTTTACATCATAAAAAGTTCCTGTGCTCTGACAGGGTGATCACTAATGGGTGATCTTAAATTGTGGACCTTCTGGGAGCCTGTTTGTTCCCCTCCGTTTGGATCCACTGCCTCTCTGTGATGCTATTGGGCTCAAGAAGCTTTGCCACCCTTCTGCCGGATTATCAACGTAATTATAATTGTTGTGACTGTTAATTTATAAGGCACCTAAAGTTGCAGATCATTCTAAATCAGCTGGGGCTGATGGGAGTTGAAGTCCAGCAACATCTGCAGGGCTGCAGATTACCCAACTAAGGTAGATAGACGCTTGGGGCACTACTGTGTACTCCAAGCAGGGGGAGACAATTCTTAACACTCTTCAGATTTATTTTATCTTAAAAACTACAATAGATTCTTCTGGCTGATCAGAAAGAAAGGCACCAGCCCATTCCAGACTCTTAATATTAACGCTATCGAACTTGAAGGGAGGATTTAAAAAAACAACAACTTTATTTTTTAAGAATTCAGAAAGATGATTCCCCACTTGCAGTCTGAAATGGTACAACGCATTCTACCGTTTCAAGAATCTTAACACTTTTATTTGACAAATTTATAGCAAATAAAGTGTTCTCAATTGCTGGTTGAAAGATAAAGTCCAGAAAGGACTAATAAAACAACAACAATGAAACACTGTTAACGGGGCCGATGGAAAAGCAGCTGGCATTAAGACAATATCTTACTCATAAAAGGGCTTCTGAGAAGAGAAAAGTCTTGACAGCTTGTTTAAAAAAAGAAAAGAAAAGGGGCTAATCTTCTGGGTCTGCAACACCAGATTCACTGATTCGAGAATCTGATGGCTAACAGTGAAAGAGTTTGGGGTCATATCCGTACCCTACATTCAAAGCACATGGATACCACTTTAACAGTCATGGCTTCTCCCAAAGAATCCTGGGAACTGTAGTTTACACCTCACCATTCACAAACAACAGCTCCCAGGCTTTGGGGATGGGACCTCCAGGGAACCTCTCTTTGCCTCTACAACCCACCAGTTTGAAAGAAAGGTCTAACCTTGCAGAAATCAAGCTTCCTTTCTCATTCAAGAGGCTCTGAGCCTGCCATGATCCTGCTTGCAGAGACACATATATATATTTTTTGTGCCACACAAGTTTCACATGAACTGCGCCAACTGGGTTGACCCAGTCTGTGGCCTGCTAGGTGAAGCAAGCAGAGAATATCCTGGAAAGCAACCGTGGGCAGCTGTACCACGGAAGTGTGGTAATTAGCCTCCTAGAAATGCCAGCTCTTATTGTATAAACCGCAAATTTTATAGTCCTAGGTTGTTACACAGGATCGGCCTTCCTGTAATCTTAGCATACACTTGCTTTGGTGAAGGTAAACTGTCCTTCTCCACCAGTTTATTTAACACACAACTTACAGTAGCCTAAGACGAGCTTTTCCCAACCTTGGGTCTCCTCCACCTGTTGTTGAACTACAACTCCCATCATCCCTACCTAGCAGGACCAGTGGTCAGGGATAATGGGAGTTGTAGTCCAACAACAACTGGGGAGCCAAGGTTAAGAAAGGCTGGTCTAGACTACCTTATAGCAACACAATCTACATGGGACTAATTATGAAGTTCCTTTGGGAACTTCCATTTATCCCAGAATGCAGCAAGTAAGTAAGCGGGCACTGACTCACATTACACTGATCTTGCAGTAGCTCCTCTGGCTATCAGTTTCTGGGCACAATTTAAAAATGTTAGGAAATACCTTTTAAGCCCTAAGTGGCTTGGGTCCATACCTAACGGACCACCTCCTCCTGCATCAGTCTACCAACTCCCTAAGCGCTAGTGAAGAGACCTTCTCTGTATCCCATATACACTGAAAGCATGGTCATCAGGGCCTTCTCAGTGGTGGCACCCAAATTGTGGAACATGAGGTTCAAGCGACCCCTCCTGAGTTGTCATTCAGGAAAGATCTCTTCATTCCATCTGGCTTTTATCTGAAGATGTTTTATCTAAAGATAAACTGAGTTATCAACCGAGTTCTAGTCACAGAACACACCTAATGAAAATAATGTCCCTGTGTTCGTCGTGTCCATTAATTTCAATAGGTCTGCTCTGAGTTATGATTAATACTGGATATAAAGTTGTGTCTTATCTGCAATGCCCATCTCTACTTGACCTGTCCAATGCCACTTTTATTGAACAATCCCTGGCACGTCGAGGCAAAGACTCCTCCCTGAAACCCTTGAGATTAAGGCTGGGCTATATCTGGTTTTCAACATCCTGATATATCACCAGCTGTTAACTCAGTCGGCTCAGCTCTCCCCTGCCACCTGCATGGGGCGACAAATCACAATAGCAAGCAACGGCAAAAAACACGTTTTCCCATGCATCGTGATTTGTATAAATATTCAGTGTCACTTGGGATAGAAAGTGATGGCCCTAGATTGGCTGATTGCTATCAGCCACATGCTAGCTTGAAAATAAGCTATTTCCAGTTTTAAAAATTGGGGGAGGGGTTTTGTTGAAAAAGGCTGAATTCATTGTATAAATCTTCTGCAAAAAAGGAGGGTTTCTGTTTTGAAATCTTAACTGGCAGTCATCAGAATGCACTTAATGCCCTGGGGAAACTGTGGATTCAATAGACCAGGTTCAATGGAACTGCCTTGCAACCATTTCCGGCCTTGGGGTGATATATTGCCCCATATCTCACTTTTTATGCAGGCAGCAGTGAAAGAGTCAATTCATTTCCCCATGTCACCATGTACTTCCTCCTCAACGCAATAGATTTATTACCCAATGTCAGTAGTATTACTAGAAGCATGGAAATGGCATTTATGAAGAACACCACCAGCCTAGCCTATATCAAAAACAGCAGAGACACAAAAATGACAGCCTATGTTTGCAGAGCCCAGATCCAGCAACGCAGGCAGCAAATTAAATTGGCCAGATCTGTGCTGCCCTGCTTATTTCATATTTGGTGCCCCAAATGTTGCTGTTTACATGTTGCCTTTATGTTCAGCATTCCAATAAGCAGGATATTTTTGGTACTCCCATCACATATACCAGGGGCTCTTCAACCTGTGGCCCTCCAGGATGTTATTAGACTCCAACACCCATTAGCCCCAGTCAGCATGACCTATATGGACAAGGATAATGGGACTTGGGTGTCAAGCAACATCTACAGAGTCACAGATTCCCCAGCCCTGATGTACCCATAGTGAATTCGACTCTCCCACTGCTCATCCTTGCAGCCAAAATGGTACAGTCAAACCTCGGTTCCCAAACACCTCCGTTATCGTACATTTTGGCTCCTGAACGCTGAAAACCCAGAAGTAAATGCTCTGTTTTTCGAACGTTTTTCGGAACCCGAAAGTCTGATGCGGCTTCTACTTGAGTGCAAGAAGCTCTTGCAACCAACTGGAAGCCACGCCTCGGTTGTCCAACATTTCAGAAGTCAAACAGTCTTCCGGAACGGATTACGTTCGACAACCGAGGTTTGACTGTACCATTCATACATACACAAGAGAGAACCATCCAACAGGCCTAGGAGAAACCCAAGGTTTGTTGACATAAAAATATTTCCAGGCAGGTTGGAAACCTAACAGGGGAAAGGAAACCCCAAAGCAACATAGTGAAGACTTGAGCATTTTCAATGGGCACAGAACACAGGCTAATATTGGACGAGGATGATGACAGAAAACAAGGGGGGATGAGAATGCAATACAGTATCCTGGAAAGGGACACTTCGAAATTTACTGTAGGCCTCACCTGGTAAATTTAGTTCTGATCTTGTAAATTTTACCCTATCCCCCATCTGTACATTTATTCCTGTAAATGCTTTTATCTTGGGACTAAGTGGGTTTTTTGCGTACCTTCACACCATCCGATCAGCTTAAGAATTTGTTTAAATCCTCAAGAATTTTAACGACTGAGGATTGTCATGAGGAGGCCTAGCAAGGCTTCAATGGCCCGCAGCTCCTCCTCTCTCACACTCAGGAGGAGCCAGTCATTCAAGCCGTGCTATACTTGGTTCTGCGCTCAGCCTCCTTGCCCTCACAATACTGAGGCATGAGCATAGCCGGGGGGGGGGGCAAGAAGGGGCAGCTACTCCCCCTAATATTGTTTAAAGGGAGCGCTGAGCAGAGCCTGTATGCATCCCAGGCTCTGCTCAGCGCTCCCTTTCACGAGCTGCGTGGAGCGCACGTGCGGCGCTTGCAGGCTTTTCATCAGCGACGGGCTGCCCTTCTCCCTCCTCGGGAAAAAGCCCCCAAGAGCCGCACGCACACTCCACATGGCTCTTTAAAGGGAGCGCTGAGCAGAGCCTCCCGCCTGCATTCACTCCATAAGACGCACACACATTCCCCCTTACTTTTTAGGAGGGGAAAAGTGTGTCTTATAGAGCGAAAAATACGGTAGCGGAGGTTCTGCCCCCCCCAACAAAAGGCCTGCTCCCCACTAACAAAAATCCTGGCTAAATCCATGCACTGAAGGGGTCCAGGCCCCCCCAAGAGATATTGGGGGAGACAAGACCCCTCAGTCCCAAAGAGCCCACGTCCCTGCTACCAAATGATACCCCCACCAATGGTGTGGCTCTTACTCTGGTGCCTGAAACCCTTCATTCATAACTCAAAGCTGATTCAGTCCCTACACCTGATATAATTGGGACTGTTTCCATTCCTCTTTTTGGTATGCTTGGAATTCTATGTGGAATCCCAAGAATATCAGCTTTCATTTGAGAGAGAGAAGCCTTGAGAAATCTGTCTGCTCTATCTGTTAACCGTTCTCCAATAACATCTGGAAGGAATTCTTGCAACCATCTTATTCACCACGTCTCCGAAGCTGTGTACACACGATATATTTAAAGCATACGCCCCACAAAAATTACGCAAAGTGTAGTTTACTTCTCATGGAGCTACAATTCCCAGCACGCTTAACAAGCTAGAGTTCCCAGCATTCTTTGGCAATGTGTTTTGAACGCACGGTGTGTACACATTCTTGCAAATTTTACTGTATGGTCAAAGATGCCGTAAAACAAATTAAAACACCAAGATCATACAGTTTCCAACACAAAGCATTAAACGGTACATTTCCTATGCTGCAGGAAATTATTCTTAACGGAGAATATCCAGTTTCCGGTTCCTCTCTCGTGGCCACCTCCTGTTCTAACAAAATAGTTACCTCATCGTGAAGCTTAAGCCTCAATATGGCTACTTGTGGAGAAACAGGAGTCTCAGTCAGAATGGGGGGCAGGGGCAGGAAGCACTTCAGATTCCTATAGTCAAGAATCCCCTTTTTAAAACACCAGCATAAATATTTCCGCCTACACCTTTATAGCTATGGGAAACATGCTGAATTTCTCAGAGGTCTACATTATTTTTGATCAGCCTTCATCAACCTGGTGCCCTCCAGATGTTTAGGACTATGGGCACCCCCAGACTGTCAGATTCTAGCGTATACCAGAACTTTAGGCTTCCAAAGTGGATTAACGTGCTGGTGCCTTGTGCAACAAATCATCATCATCATCAACAACAACAACCACCACCACCACCACCTGTACTTTTTCCAGTTTAGAAAGTAAGGGTGGAATGCACTGAGAAGTGTGGGATAAATGATTAATAGGGAGGCATGTTAGAGCGTGGTGCTGATAACGCCAAGGTTGCAGGTTTGATCCCCGTACAGGACAGCTGCAAATTCAGGTTGGACTAGATGATCACTCTATGTCAGGGGTCAGCAAACTTTTTTAGCAGGGGGCCGGTCCACTGTCCCTCAGACCTTGTGGGGCGGACGGCGGACTATATTTTTTGGGGGGGAAACGAATTCCTTTTCATGTAAAAACACCAGGCAGGCCCCACAAATAGCCCAGAGATGCATTTTAACTAAAAGGACACATTCTACTCATGTAAAAACACGCTGATTCCAGGATCGTCCGCGGGCCAGATTTAGAAGGCAATTGGGCCAGATCCGGCCCCCGGGCCTTAGTTTGCCTACCCATGCTCTATGTAAACACCCTGCAAACAAAATACGAGGAATTCTCACTGCCTGGCAAACAAATCGGAGCAAATACTCAGTCAACACCAGACGTTTTCTAACCGCCATGTAAGCTCTGTGCAAGCAAGATTCGGAAGAACGCTCAATAAGTAAGCTGCCTGGAAGAGCCCTGCCTCTCTCCATCAGCCACAGGCAACACGGCTGTGCTAGCTGAGGCTGATAGGAATTGCATGTCAAATTATCCAGAGGGCGCCACGTTGGCAAAGGCTGTTTTAGATGCTTTTGGCAATAGGGAGCTCCCCTGGCTACAGCTCTTCCAGAAAAGTTGAGCACAAAATACTACTATGCTGCAGAAATGAGACTTTTAATTCCCCAGCAGTGTAATTCCTTGAGGGGAGAACATGGAGAACATGCAGGTATCCCTGCTACCTTCTGTCCTGAAGTTCAGACCACACAAACAGCAAATGAAAGTTGGGAGATGAGATGCCCTGATTCTCTTTACTTTCCTGGGTGTGGCATCTTCAGAACGATCAAGAGGAGAGTCTCAGGAGACGTGTTAAAAGTCCATTTTACAGCTGTTAAAATTGCTTGCAAAGTTACACCACCAAACGTACAAAGTACACGTCAGGCTTTTTTTAAAAAGACAAGCTGCTTAGATGCAACCATTCCGTTTCTTTCAACACACACAAAAGCTAAAACAAAACAGCAAAACAATAACACACACACCCTTCCCAGACACATTTAAAAGGCTGTAGAATAATATTCAGAATATTAATCAGCCAGAGGCCTGGTTGAAGAGGAATGTTTTATACAATTAATTATATGGAATTCAAATTGTAATGCCGCATGAGAAATAAGAGAAACAATAAAAATTAAAAAATCATTCAGCATCTAGGCACAGCCCTTTACAATTGTTGTAACAGGCAGAAACATTATTAAGCGGTTCAACCAAGGCCTGCAACAATATTCAAATGGTCACTGTGGGGCCGGAGGAGCTTGGGAACTCGTAATTTAAACTGAGGGAGTGTAGGCCTTTCCATGCATGCCAATGATTCAACCAGAAACACCCCAATAGTCCTCTAACCTAGTAACAGTCTTATTCCTTTCTATTTATGCTGTCCTTTTCTTAATAAAGTTCTTGCCGGTTTTACCAGATGTTGACCTCGAACGCCCCATCTGCACATCTGGAAGAATTAATTTGTTTGTATGTTACATTTCCAGGCACTTAAAACATCTTGCACGCTCTAATGTTCCGGCATACCCCATAAGTCTTTGAAAAGGAAAGACGAGGATTTTGGAATAAACCGTCGCCATTGCTCCAGCAACCAGAGAGGGAAAACAGGCTATAGAGTGGGTGACTTTCAACAAAAAGGAAGGCGGGAAAACCCATTAATTCAACATTTCGTTCTGCCTACCTAAGCATGTATCAAAGAATTCGTACTATTAAAACAAACATGTTGCGGCTTGAAAAATGTCGTTGCCTCCCCCTTTCTGATCGCTACTAGCTCTCTTGATCTCTCAGGGTACTTGGGATATTTTTGCACCAGAGCTGGCGCAAGATAATTTGCTGTCTGTGGCAAAGGCTAAGACGGCACGCTCCCTTCATTTCATGAACAGAAGCTGACTGGGCTGGCAGCTGAATCTTAGTTCAGCACTTGCAAGGAGACAGGCTAGATGAGGAGGCCATGTGGAACGCACAAATGCACGCCCTCCAACATTCCTCAGATGAAAATAGGGTCATTTCTTACTCCCCTCCCAACCCTTTCCAGCAACTGCTACGAACTGCCCAAGGAAGGAGGACAGCGGCAGCAGCAGCCATGGAGAGGCCACAGAGAGGCCACAGGATGCTCCCTCGCAGCCACCGTCACTCAGGACAAACGCCGCCTCATCCTCCTCCCTGAGCTCAGCAGTGGCAGCACTGGCAAGGGAAACAGGGACATTCCGGGATAAATTAGAAGCTGTGATGGCTTTCGTAATTCCGGGACTGTTCCTGGAAAATCAGGACATTTGGAGGGTATGCAGCCATCTCAAAAACTTGCCAGTGCTCTCCACATCTGTTGCCTGAGGCAACTGCCTCCCTCTACCTAACGGTAGGGGTGGCCCTGCCTTCTGGACTAGGAGGGCATCCTTGGCTACTCCAGACAGGCTGTCACAGCTGATAGGCCATTGGGCCACATTTGTGCCAGAAATAAATGTCCAGACTTTGTCAATAGGCTGCACAATGCATACCCGTAGAGTTTCAAATACCCTCTGGCTTCTCCCCCGTCCCCTGCCTCGCGACCCTCTGTTAAGGGCTCACAAGAGGAGTAAGGTGTCTGCGGTCAAACCAAATTAAAAGCAACTGGATTGCAGCATATAATACACTTCCCAACATCTGACTTCAGCTCTAATTATTCACAAAATGGGTGGGCGGGCTTTAGGCTCACGGGAGCTACGTTGTTTTTGTGCTAGATCCCTCAGGTCTGCCAGCTGGAGTCAGGTGCAAAATACTACGGAGGGTGGGTGGAGGCAGATGCAAAATGGTGGCCCGAGGCAAAGCCAACTGCCAGCTGAACCAGAATAGCTTGCATATGCAAGGGCAAATCTATATCCAATTTGCAACTAGAGATGCATGAATCTGTCAATTTCAGGTTCTCCCAGTTTCTTTTTTTCCCCAGTCTTCAATTCTTCGCATTTCCAGCTTGTTCTTTTTTTTAAAAAAAAAGACCTCGTGAAAATGCAGCAGCATTTTTAGTGTAAATTTCTCCTAATATACACACATTTGTATGAAATTTTGCTTAACACACGCATTATTGCAAAGCAATTTCCGCTAATGTGATGGGTTTTTGCATGTTAATTTTGCTAATATATGCATTTCCATGTACACTTTATCTCAGTCTATACATTTTTGTACCCATTACTTGGCTAGAGAACTGCACTGCAACGCTTGGAGAATTTCAGTTCTTGTACTGTTTCATAAAGGTGTGATTTAGGTATGTTTGCCTTTAAATGCAAACTGAATCAAATTTATCCAACATCCCTACCTATAAAAATCCCTACCTATAAAAAGATCAGGGTTTCTAACAGGCCGCTAACTGGTAAGAGGGAAAATCTTCCGTGTTGCTGTCCTTAAACAATTGGGAGTCAGCAATCTAGACTAAACTATTGCAAAATCACTCAGATCTATGAGTAGATCTAGATCTGCCTCCCCACCACCTCACTATGCAAACACTGTTGTGCGTTTCCATAGGACATGAAAAATTCAACCTCATCTCACAGGAGACTGAAACTGAAAGTACTTTCTAGCAAAGGTATACTTCATACAGTACTCTCATTATAGCCCTATTTGAAACTCCAACTTTTTTCCCTTTTTAATATTATTTCCCCCCCCCCGGGTCATTTTTATGCAAAGTATTTTTTAAAATTAATTTTAATGAATTGGTGCATAAACATACATTTGAGAATTAAGCTTACACTGTTGCAGAGCACATCAATAATGTACACTCATATTAGGAACCATGTTTCAGTATATTAGAAATGAATGGGGTATAGATTGGTTGCTGCATCCAAGTAAAACTTAATGGGATAATGTGGTTTATTTATTTTTTTAAAGTGGATTTAATAGATCAAATAATAAGTGAACGTAGCAGCATATTTATGAATTTTGTAAGCTTAACTACACATCTTACAACACAATCCTATACATATTTACTTAGAATATCCCCATTGGGTTCAATAGATGTAACTCCCAGGCTGAGAATATCCTTGCAGCACTAATGCCTTAAGGTTTGTATTTTTGTGCGTTTGCAGGCAACACTCAACCCAAACCATGGCTGAGCATGAATGCGCAGGCCAAGAGAAAAAGCACAACCACTTTTCTCCTCCTCCAATCCTGTTAGCTGCTGCAGGTATGCTTACTCAGAGCTAAGCCATGGTTTGGCATAGTGTTACATCCAAACCCTGGCTTATGACTTGGTCTGTCCCAGACAAACCATGAGCAGTAACACAAGAACACACCTTGGCTACAGCTCATACAGTCATACCTCATGTTGCGTCCGCTTCAGGTTGCATGTTTTCGTCTTGCGTCCCACAGCAACCCGGAAGTACGGGTTACTTCTGGGTTTCACCACTCGCATATGCGCAGAAGCACTAAATAATGCCACGCGCAGGCGCAGCGCTTCAGCTTAGATCAGTTCCATGTTACGAACAGGCCTCCGGAATGGATCCTGTCCGTAACACGAGGTTCCACTATACTTTGTTTGGAGTGAGACAAACCATGAGCCATGAGGTTCAGATGGACTGGGGAAGGAGTAAAGTGGCTGTGATTTTTCCTCTCAACCTGTCCACTCACTCATTCATGCTTAAGCCATGGTTTGGCTTAAGACCACATGTAAACAAGGCATGCACCTACTAATTTAAACCTCAGATATAAAAATGCACGCTGTTGCTAGGCTTAAGCAACTGCCCACAGTAGCTAGAGACTCATAACCTTTCTCTCCTCCTTTGTACTGCAACCCCAAAGCGATCACAATCTATCTAACAACTTTGGGAATCCCTGGAAATGCCTATACAGTGGTACATCGGGTTAAGAGCTTAATTTGTTCTGGAGGTCTGTTCTTAACCTGAAACTGTTCTTAACCTGAAGCACCACTTTAGCTAATGGAGTCTCCTGCTGCCGCTGCGCCGCCACTGCACGATTTCTGTTCTCATCCTGAAGCAAAGTTCTTATCCCAAGGTAATATTTCTGGGTTAGCGGAGTCTGTAACCTGAAGCGTCTGTAACCTGAAGTGTCTGTAACCTGAAGCGTATGTAACCCGAGGTACCACTGTAATCAATGTCATGAAAAATCAGTACTATTTTTCTAGAAAAAGAGGTGCCGGAACTCACCATGAACGCCTCCCTTGTTGTCTTTTAATAGTTCCTGTGAGTTTCTGCTGAAAAAACTCCTATGAAAAACTATATAACCCCCTCCTCCCCATTAGTGTCCAAAGTTTTTCCAACTCCCGCATCTCCAAATAGAAAGCAAAGGATAGAGCCATTGTGCAAATTCCAGATGTTGGGTTTGCCAAAGACCTACAAGATGGCTAAGAGGTTTGGGGGCTGCTTTGTGATTTGGGGGTTTCTCTCTCTCTCTCTCTTAATTTACTTTAATGGATATTTATGCACACTTTCATGGGCCTGACCAGGAGTGCTTTTCATATGTTCGAAAATAAATGCTCAAAATAGCCAGCAGCACCATTTATGCAAGCCTGCACCACTCAAAATGCAAGGAGGAGAAAACGAACGATTGCATACTCCCTTGGGTCTAAAAACAAAACAAAACCTCAACCATGAAAAGCCATGGTGTGTCAGGAAGACGAGTTGCAGACCAGCCTTGTTACTGACACAATTGTTTCCTATGCACAAATGAGAATTGGTTTTCACATGGAGAAGCATTCAAGCATGCCCTCCACACCTACATTCTGCAAGTCTGTACCTGTCAGAATACAGGTGAAATAACTGTGGTGGAGTGCTTCTCGTGATCCAAGAACCCTATGTAGATACAGTATCGTGTGCACTTTCCTTAATGTGTAGATGCTTTCTCTCCCAGTCTTGGTGAGAGGGAGGTACAGTGGTAACCTTGGTTCTCAAACGGCTTGGCTCCCGAACAAGTCAGCTCCCAAACGCCGCAAATCCGGAAGTGGGTGTTCCAGTTTGCGAACGTTTTTTGGAAGCCGAACGTCCAACGCGACTTCCGATTGAGTGCAGTAAGCTCCTGCAGCCAATCGGAAGCCACGCCTTGGTTTTCGAACCGTTTTGGGAGGCGAACAGAATCCCGGAATGGATTAAATTCAACAACCAAGGTAACACTGTATTCCAGAAACCCTTGTGGAGTTTGCCCCCCATCCCCGCTCGTAAGGGGAAACAGTGTTTGACGCTCCCGCTGTTCTTTTCTTATATATAATAATTTTTATTAATTTTAACATATAAATTATAATACGTACCACAAAGCTTCACCACTTATACAATCTTTTTTTTTTTGACTTCCATCAGCACCTCTGATGATCCACCGTTTTAACCACTTCTTATGCATTTCTTAAATTCATATTGCCTTTAATTATCTTAACTAACCATCCTCCCATTTATCCATTTTTGCAATAGTTCCAATAATTCACCTCACAAAACTTCTTGCAAACCTACAAACGTAGTCTGATCATCACAATTACTTTTCAAATACCGTATTTTTCGCCCCATAGGGCGCACCTAGTTTTTGGGGGGGGAAATAAAGAAAAAAAATTATTCCCCCCCCCCCAGGTGCGGGGCTGGGGCGGGGGAAGCCCGAGCTTCCCCCGACCCCAGAACAGGCTGCTATCCCGAAGCCTGGGGAGTGCTGAGCTCAGCGCACCCCAAGCTTCTGGGTGCAGGCAAGCTCTCCGCAAGCCGTGGGAGAACTGCGCGAAGCCCGAAGCCTCGGGCGCGCTGAGCTAAGCGTGCCCCAGGCTTCGGGGTGCAGGCAGCTCTCCGCAAGCCGTGGGAGAGCTTCCTGAAGCCTGGAGAGCGAGCGGGGTCGGTGCGCACCGACCCGTCCCGCTCTCCAGGCTTCAGCGAAAGCCTGCATTCGCCCCATAGGATGCACACACATTTCCCCTTCATTTTTGGAGGGGGGAAAGTGCGTCCTATAGGGCGAAAAATATGGTGGTCTGTAAATTTACACCAGTCTTCTGTGAATTTCTGGTCCTGCAGATTTCGAATCCTTCCTGTTAATTTATCTAGTTCTGCATAGCTCCCGCTGTTCTAGGTGCATTTCGCAACATGGAATTTCATTAGTGTGAGCCGTTTCTGAGCTCTAGGCGCAGTTCTGCGCCTAAATTTTCAAATTAAAACTGCAGAGTGGAAGGAAAGGAGGACCTTTTTCTGCCTCCCCACTTCCAGCTACTCTCTGAAGACTGGAGAAAAGACTCTCTTAAGTATATTATGGGTGGGCAGGGGAAGGACTAGACCATGTGAAAAATAATTATTTTAGGTGCAGTTCATTCATTTTCAGCTTTGTATTCTTCGTTATTTAAAAAGTGCACCTAGACATTCTGTTGTCGCACCCATAACCTAGGTTTAAGGTGCCATTTAGCTCCTAGCTTTCACATCTTAGTTTCTAACACTGCTTACAGAGGCTCACATGCAGCACCTCCCCAGCGTGGGGAGCCTCAAGCGCCAAAACATCTCAGGCCACAACCTGTTCCTTCCTACTTATAGGAACATAGAAAACTGCCTTTTAACTGATAGTTCAGGGTGGTCTCCTCTGATTGACAGCAGCTCTCCAGGATTTGCAACAAGGATATGCTAAGGTCCTGCATAGCACTTCCTTGAAGGGACTTGACAGAGACCGGCCTCTAGTACAGTCATTGGGTTCCCTTTTGCCCCCAGAGTAAAAACTCCTTTGAGCAAGAATAATCCTCAGCCTGCATTATGAGAGTGGGCCAGTTCCTACAGTTCCACGGTCCACTGACCTAGAGAGACTGGATCTCCTCCACACCCTGAAATTCACCCGCTGCAATCCCGCTAAAAGTTTATTACGTTGCAGAGCATAAAACTACAAGTCACTTTTGGCACACGTGCTGCTCCTTCCAACGTGACGCACGGAAGGAAAGAGTCCAGGTTTTGCAGCAGCGGCTGAGAGCCGGAAGGCGACATTAACCTGCCCGCGTGAGTTTATGCGTGATCTCTCGTTCCCAACCCCCTCCAGCCCTCCCATGACCAGATCCCCACTCTGAAGCACATGGTTTGTTTGGAAATAGAACACAACAGACGTCCCCGCCCTGCACCAACTATGCAAGGGTGTGTGTGTGTGTGTGTGTTTAGAAGCGGCCCAGAATAGATCCCTGGAGCGGGGTGGGCTGGAAATACACGAGTCCCCTGCAAATCTAAGCGAGCTTCGAAAAGTACAGGCCGGAGGCCACGCCTGTGTTTATGAAGGGAGGAAGGCAGGAAGAAATTCCAGCGGGAGAGCCAAACAGGGCTCGCAGCCAATACCTGCCCAGGGGGGGTTGGGGGTGGGTAGGGTAGATCCTGCCAGGAAACGCGGTGATCAACCTCCCCCACCCCACCCCAAAAAACCGTTACCCCTCTGTGGCCACTGGCCCAGCCCCGCTCTCCGATCCCCCTGCCGTCGAGGACTCACCCACTCGAGGACTTTGATGAAGCCCAGCGGCTCCTTCACGGGTCCCAAGTTGATCTGCAGCCCGGACATTTTCTGTGCGGGAAAAGAGAGGCGGCGGAGAGGTGGCTCAGTCTCTCTCTCTCTCTCTCTCTCTCTCTCTCTCTCTCTCTCTCTCTCTCTCTTCCACCGAGAGGGGAGGAGCGGAGCAAGAAGGGGCGTTCACAGCCCGCTAGCCTCCTACCTGACTCACTCGCTCCAGGCTGGGCTCGGCCCGACGCTGCGCGCGCCCCGCCCCGAGAGCGCCCCGCGGCCAGAGCGCAGTCCCGGCCGCCCCAGGGGAGGGGCGCGCCTGCCCCAGCCCGCCTCCTCGGGGCGAGCCCCGCGCGCCCGCCCGCCCCAGGTTGCCATCTTAATCTCCGCTGGAGAGCTGCTTTTGCCCTCGACGTGCAGCGCAGCCGCCGGACGGGAAAAGCTGTTCTATGGCCGGCTTGACTTCCCTGGTGCTACAAGCGGCGGCGGCGGCGGCGGTTCTCTGCTGCCGGCTGGCTCGCCTTCCGCGCTTCTTTCCTCGCTTTGGTTTTGGTTTTTTTGTTGCATCCGCGCGGTAGAAATTCAACAGGTACTGCTGCTTGCCCAAAGTTGGAAAGACGACAAGGTCCCTGCCAGAGTGGACTGGCAGACTAAATGAATGGATTGTGCAGAGATGGCAAGAATGACTAGGGAAATCAGAAACCAGGAGGGTCAAAAGTTCAGCAAAGAATGGGAGAAATTTATGCAGTATTATATTTGACAGAGCACTGTAAACACTTGAACCCTTTGGCAGGTCTTAAATAACTCTTGTAATGTTACAAAGACTTTGGATATAATGGAGGACTGAAAAATTAGGACGACTTATAGCATGCAGTTGAAAAGGTTAGCTAAAGAATAATAAATAAATAAATTTTTATTTATATCCCGCCCTCCCCAGCTGAAGCCGGGCTCAAGGCGGCTAACAACAATAAAACAGTACAACACTACAACACAACACAGCACTCTAAAATCATTCATTTTAAAATTAATTCAAATCAAACCAATGGCAACCATTGGGCCAGAGCTCCGCGAAGATTGCTGAAGGAGGAAGTCAGGCTGTGCCCTGGCCCAAGGCCTGGTGGAACAACTCTGTCTTGCAGGCCCTGCGGAAAGATGTCAAGTCCCGCAGGGCCCTAGTCTCTTGTGACAGAGTGTTCCACCAGATCGGAGCCACAGCCGAAAAAGCCCTGACTCTAGCTGAGGCCAGCCTAACCTCTCTGTGGCCTGGGACCTTCAAGATATTTTTATTTGAAGACCGTAAGTTTCTCTGTGGGACATACCAGGAGAGGCGGTCCCGTAGGTATGAGGGTCCTAGGCCATATAGGGCTTTAAAGGTTAAAACCAGCACCTTAAACCTGATCCTGTACTCCACCGGGAGCCAGTGCAGCTGGTATAGCACCGGGTGAATGTGATCTCGCAGCGAAGACCCCATAAGGAGTCTCGCTGCAGCATTCTGCACCCGCTGGAGTTTCTGGGTCAGTCTCAAGGGCAGCCCCACGTAGAGCGAGTTACAATAATCCAGTCTGGAGGTGACCGTCGCGTGGATCACAGTGGCTAGGTCAGGGCAAGAGAGGTAAGGAGCCAACTGCTTAGCTTGGCAGAGATGGAAAAATGCCGCCTTTGTTATAGCTGCAATCTGCGCCTCCATGGAAAGGGAGGTGTCGAAGATTACACCCAAACTCTTAATGGACGGTGCTGGCACTAATTGCGCCCACTCAAGAGATGGGAGTTGCCCCCCCAATCCCATATCGTCCCGTCCCAGCCACAGGACCTCTGTCTTCGAAGGATTTAGCTTCAACTGTCTCCCACGTAACCATCCAGCCACAGCTTCCAAACATCTGGTCAGTGTGTCTGGGGCCGAGTCAGGATGGCCACCCATCAACAGATAGAGTTGGGTGTCATCAGCATACTGATGGCAACCCAGCCCAAAACTCTGGACAATTTGGGCGAGGGGGTGCATAAAGATGTTGAAAAGCATCGGGGAGAGTATTGCACCCTGAGGTACTCCACACACCAAGGAGTGGCGCGATAACAATTCCCCCCCAAGCGCCACCCTCTGTCCCCGACCAGAGTGAAACGAGCGCAGCCATTGAAGGACTGTGCCCTGGATCCCCACGTCGGCAAGGTGGTGGTCCAGGAGTTGAAAGCTGCTGACAGATCTAGAAGAGTCAGCAGCCCCGACCCGCCTCGATCCAGCTGTCTACGAAGATCATCTGTTAGGGCAACCAGAGCTGTCTCGGTCCCATGACCAGCGCGGAAGCCGGACTGGAATGGATCCAGAGCCGATGTTTCATCCAGAAACCCACCAAGCTGTTCAGCAACCGCTCTCTCAATCACCTTACCCAGGAACGGAAGATTCGAAACCGGGCAGTAATTGGTCAGATCTAAGGGATCTAAGTCCAATCCCTGCTACAGGAACATAGGAAGGTGCCTTGGCTCCAGTCAGGCTATTTACCGTATCCATCAATCCCAGCATCCTGACTTCAAGATCTCCTCTGAAGTCTTTCCTATGAATTCCTTCCTTCTGGAAATACCTGCAGTCGAGCTTGGCATCTTCTGTATGGAAATCACGTGCCCTTGTCACTGAGCAATTGATATAGGATCTCCTTTCTAAGCTGAGGCAAGGGTGTAAACTTGAATAGATTATTGGGGAGGAGAGAGAAAGCACTACCCCGCATAATCCATCACATGGCACTGTGCATGGACACCATTTGAATAGCAATGCCCATCAACTTTGTGGTGGGGGTGGCCCTCTCAAATATTTTAGGGGAGGGGCAAAGGGACTTTGGCCCCTCGGAGTTGGCTCCTATGCACTGAGGCCTACTGTGTTCACCCAAAGGTGAACTGTTCCGGAAGCTCTGCTTCTGCCATGTTGATAGTCAAAAATGACCCCATCCTTAATTGGTAGTGGCTGTAGCACTGAGCTCCTACACAACTTGCTTTGATATCCACTAATTGGCCTGTTGGGATGGTACCCTTATCTGTGGGCCTGGGAGGTTGGGCGCAGAGCCCAGAAAAGAGAAACATTGGTAATGTTTAAGGTATCGGCCACCTGTTTTCCCATGTGAAATATATGCTGTTCTATTGGACAAAGAACGGGAGTATCTTCGTACGGATGCTAACAGTCCATCATCAAAAGAGTCATCTCCTTGCTGTGGAGTCCATCCCACAGGTGCTGTTTATAAGTGGAGCGGAGCTGGCAGATTGCTGTTGCTGTAAGCCTTTTCCTTTCTCTTTAATAAAGCACTAGAGCAGATTGCTCTGGTCATTTAGACTTCTTCCTGGGTTCTTCTGCAAAATCCGAACTCCTGTGAACTCTCCAGCTCTGCAGGGTGCAACACCTACCAGGTCCTAAACACGGTTCTTCTCCCACACTCGGGCCCAATATTTGGCCTCGTCGACACCACACATTTAAAACAGTATCAAACTGTAAACAGTCGTGGCTCCCTCCGCAAAGAATCCTGAGAACTGTAGATTGTTAAGGGTGCTGAAAGTTGTTACTAGACCCCTGTTGTTGTTGTTGATCAACTCCTCACAGAGCTACAATGCTCAGAGTAGTTTAACAGTTAATTCCTCTTCCAAGGGAATTATGCTAAGTGTAGCTCTGGGGGGACAGGGGTCTCCCAACAACTCTCATCACCCTTTACAGTCTCCCAGGAATATTTGGGGGAAGCCACAACCTCTTAAAAGTGGTCTGATACCACTTTCGCTGTACAGTGCAGATAGGGGCCTATATCTGAGCTCAGCCCTGAACTTTCTTCTTAATCCAGGTGTCTTCCTCAAAACATGTGGAGTGAAGTGATTTTAAAGTGTCCGTGGGCATGTGCAGAGTGGTCTTCCCTCACAGAAGAGTGACCACAGCTAGTCTGCCCCCTCCCACATACGGTATGTTATTGGTTTGATGGTGGTTTGCAGACACATAATAAGCCCCGACACCTCTCTTTTAGAGATCCGCACTTATTTTTCTTCATTTACTACATTTATGTACTGTTCTGCAATAAAGCTCTTTGAACAGTTTACAATAAGGTGTCTTTTAACAACAAGAAAGGGGAAGGAGAACAAATCTGAAGAATGGCTTTACACAATCAGAATGGCTCCCATTGAACTCAGTGGCATTGACTTCCAAGGAAATACATTTTGTAAATATTTAGATTAGATTGTATAAGGTGACTTATACCACAATCTCTGTCTTTCCTCTCTGTCCTCTGACTCACACAGTGCTGGGATTCCCCCCCCCCAGCCCAAGGGCCACATTGCCTCATGGGTAACCTTCTGGAGGCCACATGCCAGTGGAGGATGTGGCCAGATGCAAGAGTGGGCGGGGCAATGGATGTCACTCTTACTGTCACCCAGTAGGCTATATCCAGGTGAATGTCACAGTTCAAGAACACCATTAATCTCTGACATTCCCCTCCTTGATGCCATGTTAGTATACCCAAACCATCCTTTGGTAGGCAATTAAATACATTTATTTCATTGCACCATTTCCAGACACCTTTAGGGCTTTGTTTTCTTTTTACTTGCTTTGCTTGCTGGTTTCATGCCTATCAAAGCTTTATATTGTTTCAGTAGTTACTATATTTCATTTTCCTTCTTGCAAACTACTTTGAGAACCATGATGGTCGAGAAGCAGTATACAGTGTTACAAATTGCCTTCTCCTGTGTGAACTTCTCCAGTTAACTGAGAGAGCCTCCTCAACAATTTATAGTGTTTTTACTGTCTGCTGTTTTTAGTGTGTACAACTCCCACAAAGTCTCATGCTAAAGGGTAGTCTAGATGTTTACTAAGCTGGGGCAACTAATGTAGTTTCCGTCAGATGTTTTGGACTGCAACTCCCATCAAGGAGTTGCCTTGAGATGAAAAAGCAGACTATCAGTATTTTAAAGGAATGCCTTTCTTCCCCCTGGTGGGAAAAGATTTGTGGGATTTTATCTCTAGGGCTGCAATCTTATGCACTCTTTTTTTTTTAAATGATATTTATTAAAATTTCAAAGAATACAAGAATTACACAAAAACAAAGAATAAAAATACAAAAAGATACAAAATACAGCAAAAAGAATAAAAAAAACCCCTTATTAAGGTATAACAAAGAAATGAAAAATAAAAAGAAACATACAAAATAAAAACAGTTAAAAACACATTAATTTTCCATAGCATATCTTCCTTACACTTATTTCCCCGGACCTCCTCGTACCTCCCTTTTTTGTATTCCAGTTCAGTTTGTTAGTTCAGCAAATCCTTACCAATCTTATGCACTCTTACTTCCAAATTGTTGCATCTGTTTATTATTTGTAGTGTTTTGCTTTAGTGGTGTATGGAAGTGAGAGCTGGACCATAAAGAAGGCTGATCGCCGAATAATTGATGCTTTTGAATTATGGTGCTGGAGGAGACTCTTGAGAGCCCCATGGACTGCAAGAAGATCAAACCTCTTCATTCTTAAGGAAATCAGCCCTGAGTGCTCACTGGAAGGACAGATCGTGAAGCTGAGGCTCCAATACTTTGGCCACCTCATGAGAAGAGAAGACTCCCTGGAAAAGACCCTGATGTTGGGAAAGATGGAGGACACAAGGAGAAGGGGACGACAGAGGACGAGATGGTTGGACGGTGTTCTCAAAGCTACCAGCATGAGTTTGACCAAACTGCGGGAGGCAGTGGAAGACAGGAGTGCCTGGCGTGCTCTGGTACATGGGGTCATGAAGAGTCGGACACAACTAAACAACAACAACAAGTGTTTTGCTTAGCGGCATTGTAATGGACCGATAGCTGCTCTGATCCCATTTAGAAAAGAACTGAAGACTGATTAGTATTTTAAATAAAAAATAAAATAAGGTGTTTCAGAGGGCAAGTTCAAAGAGTAATTCTATGTGTCTATTAAGACTTAGGAGTAACAATGTGATTTCCAAGAGGAGGATTAAAATGTAACTGGCACGTTATGTAGCAACCTTGGGTCTATCGGAAAAAGCCAGGTTAAAAAAGAAAAAAGAAAGATGACACAAAGGAAGCCAAACAAATTTTGGCAAACATGTCCTTAAACATTGTGGGAGACGTTCCGCTCAGGTAGAAAAATTAACAAAATGCTTAAACGCTCCCTTCCCTCTTTCAGTTTGACAGTGTGTTGGACTGGTAACTGTGCAGTCTGATTCTGTATGAGTCTGCTGAAACCGTAAACTAGCTAGTCTGCATCTGCATCATATATTTAAAGCACATGCCTTCCACCAAAGTATCATAGGAACTGTAGTTTATTAAGGGTGCTGGGAATGGTAGCTCTGTGAGGGGAAATCTACAGGATTATTCTCAGGATATTTCTCAGGATTTTTTTTTTTGGGAGGGGGGGTCATGTGCTTTAAATGTATGTTAGGTACACAACCCTAGCTAGGGCTGCAATCCCATATACAAGCTTGCCTGGGAGTAATCCTCTAGGATTGTGCCACTGGATCTGGTTTACGCAGACAGCTGGTGGAGATGGAGAATATGCGTTAGCATTCTAGGGGGTCAGAAAGAAATGTATGACTTCAGATGGCAGGTGGTGGTTGGTTTTTGTTTTGTAATGCTTCCTTGGGTTTTGTGTTTTTAAGCACCCTATGCCTGGTATCATAGCATATCAGGGAGCGAGGTGTGCTAGAAGCTTTCGCCCTGGGGTTTTCTTTCCTTAAAGAAACACTTGTAGGTCATGTTTTGTTTTTAAACAAAATAGCAATTTTTAAAGAGCAGCCTGACTTGCAGCCAAAGTGGTGCAGTGCATTCTGGCATCTTATTTGGCTTAGAGAGAGAGAGAGTGATACGTTTCAACATGAGGGAAGACCGGTTTGGGAGTTGGCTGATCCTTTGAAACATAAATGCACTTGTAAATGTTTCATTCAGCCTGAACACGAAAGTGGCCAAAAACTTGCGTTTCCCCGAGGGAATTGGGAGGGATGAATAGACTGAAAGTGTCTCTCCCTCAGCCTCCACTCCGCACCTTCGTAAACATTCCTGTTCCTGGTTCGTGAAATCTTTTGTATATCCAACAACGTGATAAAGATCCTGCTTTTTCAGGTTTATCTGCTTTTTCGGGGCGGGAGAGCTGTTGTACCATTTCCTCTCCAAATTCTCACTCTATCCCGCAGGACCTACTCGCGCGCGTTCCGTGTCTCACTCGCACAGCCCCAAATCTAGCATGCAGAGGCATTCAGAGTTTGGGTTTGTCTGTCCCGTCGCTGCAGCTTCTTTACTTCGTCGCGTTCAGGGTGCGCGCGCGCGATCTTCATTCATTCATTCTCCCAAAACTTCGGCAACATTTAAGTTCAGAGCGGGAGGGGACTTGTCGGCTAAACGTGGCTTCTCTACTGTCAAATGGAGGGAAACTGTCTGTGTTTCTTTCTCCCCACCGCGTTAAAGGGTCGGGGCGATGCTCTGTCTGCTGCAGGACGCTATTCCTCAGGGCTGCTCGCTGGGGCAGTGGCGCCCTTATTTCATCGTCCCTTCGGGGATTTCTCTCTGTGACAGCATTCTATGGGCCGCGCCGTCCAGCCCCACCCTGACTACAGCTCCCAGGGTGCATTCCAAACGAGACCGGGCCTCGCGCTGCATGCTGGGAGCTGTAGTCTTGCCGCCGCCGCCGCGCCTTCCCTCTCGCCCCGAACGTGAAATGGACTCGTTCCTCATTCGCTCTTTCAGGCCTCCCACCTTCATTGCCCGGGCTGAACCCGACTCTTTATCCCTCAGGCACACGAGCGGACCCGCACCCTGCTCTTCACCCCTTGCGCGAGCAGCCATTTACAGCCGCCTCAGTCGCCCACCACGCCGGAGGGCAGCTTTGCTCGGGTGTCGGCCGCGGTGCCTGACGGGAGATGTAGTCCCTCCCCTCCGCCCGCTTCGCTTCACGCGGCGGGGCTCCGTCCCAGCGGCGGACTTCCCTTCCCATGGTGCGCGGCGGCGACAGAGGGCCACTTCCGGGGCGCGGCGGCCGACGGGAAGCGCGGTCCCTTCCCTTCGCGCCCTCCCTCCCGTCGCATTGCACAGCCCCCCTCGGCGGGACTCGGGCTCCCAGGCTGCCCCGCGCTCGGCGCTTGAAGGCTCCTGCGGAGGATTGTTATTGTGGCGGCCCGGCCCCCCTGGGCTCCTCTCAGTGTTTAAAGATGGCGGCGGCGGCGGCTTCGGCGGGAGGCGGCGGCGGTAGCAGCGGCGGCTCGTCCGGGGCCTCGCAGGCGCGGGGCCGCTTCCCGGCCGGCCCGGCGGGTGCCGCGCGCGGGGCGCAGGGGCCGGCAGCCGCGCGAGGGTCTCGCTGCTGGCGCCGCGCCTGCTGGTCTGGGCCGCTCCTGGGGACGGGGAGCGGGCCGCGACGGACACCACCCTGGGGATCCTCCTGGGCCTCAGCCGGAGCTGGCGCCGCCTGCAGGGCCTGCTGGGGGACAGCAGCAGCAGCAGCAGCGGAGGCGGCAGCAGCGGGGGCGAAGAGGAGCCGGTGAGATTCCCTGCAGCTGGTGGGGCTGGGAGGCCGGGGCCCCGTCTTGACAGGGGGCGCGGGAGGCGCTGCGGAAGCCCACGCACCCCGTGGGGTGCGGTCGCGCCGAGTGCACCCGCGCGATGGTGCTCAGCTGTTCAAGGGGGGGGGGGCGCAGACGCACTGGAGGAGTCCTCTTCTCTGGCAAGACCTGGGTTTGGACCGCATTGCTTTTTCGCTCCCTTCATCGATGCATTTCTTCAACAGGAGCGCGTGTTCTTGGTTGGTTTAGTTTCTTAATTGTAGTGGGGGGTGGGGGGCTTGTTGTGGCTGATGCGAACCCTGCCACAGAGCTCACCTGCAAAGTAGGGCAGGATCCCTGGAGTTTGCGCCCCTCCTCCTCTCCTTTCTCCTGCTTCCTGGGCTGCAGGCTGGAAGCTGGCCTTAAATCCCATGCTTGTGCTTCCTGGGCTGAGCTTAGATGCTCTTCACACACCCCCCACAGGAAATGGGCTTTGGGGGTGTGTGCGTGAGGGTAGTGCTGGTGGGTGGGAGTCTAGCTGGCTTGTGAGGATGAGCTGGGCCTCCTTGCAGGGGAGATAAGTTCGTCTCCTGGCACATGGTGACCCTGCGACGGCCCACTGGCAGTGTGGGATTTGAGGCTGCAGTCATGTCCAGGAGCAAGTCCTGTTTAGCACAGAAGGGGTGCTTCTGTGTCAACAGACCTGGACGATAAGGGGATGTGGGGGATCAGCTTTGTTCAGCTGTCAGGATCAGCTTCTCCTTTATGCAGGCTGTGCCTCCCATTTTGGATTGCTGCATGCAACACTTTTATCAGGTAGCCATGGTGAACAGATGCTGCCCTCCTTGGGGGGAGAAACAGAGGAGGGATTGCCTTTGAGCTTCCCTGTTGTTTGCACACAGCTTCTTCAATAGGTGCTTTCAAACTTAAGGCGGTTTGGGCAGAATGGCCCTGTCTCTGGCTAGGCAGGGGTGTGGTGCGATCAGACATATGGGGCTTTTGTTCCTACCTTGGTCCTTGAAAGCAGAAAGCTGACAGCGCTTAGTCACCTGCTCTGCTGTCTCCTCCCTGCTCCTGTAGCATTAGACACATGGGAGAAACTAGCCTAACCAGGGATGGCCTTCTCAATACAGAGATTCTTCCAGCAATTTGGGAAAATAACTTCACTCTTCGAAGGTTTCAAGCTGCATAGAGGTAAATTGTTGCTGTTCACCAGGGAACAAGGGGAATCAATATGACGGTGATGGAAGGCTTGTGTTGGAAGAATGGATCTTGGGGTTTTCTAAGGTGGGGAGGATGGGTGTTTGGGTGACTTTCGAGTCCCCGGAGAAATATGCTAGAAAGGATTGTAAAGAAATGTCAAGAAAGGAAGCAGTTATGACTGAGCTGGGCTGCTGCTTGTCTTTAACTATTGTACACCTATCTCAGCTGATTGCAAATGAGAGTTAAAAGTTAATCTCTTGAAATCTTGCTGCAGTGCAACATGGGACACAAACATTTAGTAGAGGCTGAGAGTGAAACTGAGGTAAGGGACAAGTTATCGGCTGACTGACTAGCTGGTATCTGGGCTTTATTTAAGAAACGATTATGTTTTGAGTTTTGTTCTTCTCTTAGTAGTTAACCAAATTTCAGACGCTGGTTTTCTCTTGAAGGATTTCAATTTCTGCTTTGGAAGATTTGCATCCTATAGGTCTGACTACCTCTGCCACCAATGGGAAAAGCCTAGCTTCCAGAATTCAGTGTCTTTGGCCTGGATGAAGTTGCCAATGACTACCTGTTGTTTCGTAACTGTGAAAGTGATGCCGTTTATGTATATTGCTAGCACATGGGGTGGTTCCTTCAAGAAAAGCACTGGCATTGCAATGGGGTGATCTGTTCTGTGTTCCCAGGCGTGTATCCATACTCGTTTATGTTAGAATCATAGAATCATAGAGTTGGAAGAGACCACAAGGGCCATCGAGTCCAACCCCCTGCCAAGCAGGAAACACCATCAGAGCACTCCTGACATATGGTTGTCAAGCCTCTGCTTAAAGACCTCCAAAGAAGGAGACTCTACCACACTCCTTGGCAGCAAATTCCACTGTCGAACAGCTCTTACTGTCAGGAAGTTCTTCCTAATGTTTAGGTGGAATCTTCTTTCTTGTAGTTTGGATCCATTGCTCCGTGTCCGCTTCTCTGGAGCAGCAGAAAACAACCTTTCTCCCTCCTCTATGTGACATCCTTTTATATATTTGAACATGGCTATCATATCACCCCTTAACCTCCTCTTCTCCAGGCTAAACATGCCCAGCTCCCTTAGCCGTTCCTCATAAGGCATCGTTTCCAGGCCTTTGACCATTTTGGTTGCCCTCCTCTGGACACGTTCCAGTTTGTCAGTGTCCTTCTTGAACTGTGGTGCCCAGAACTGGACACAGTACTCCAGGTGAGGTCTGACCAGAGCAGAATACAGTGGCACTATTACTTCCCTTGATCTAGATGCTATACTCCTAGTCATGCAGCCCAGAATTGCATTGGCTTTTTTAGCTGCCACGTCACACTGTTGGCTCAAGTCAAGTTTGTGGTCAACCAAGACTCCTAGATCCTTTTCACATGTACTGCTCTCAAGCCATGTACTGCTCTGTGTGTCCTGGGACAGCTGTTTAGGTGTGCCTCATTTCAGGTACAGTACAAACAAATTGCCAGTGCTTGGTCTGAGAGTCTGTTCAGTCTATGATTTATGGAATAGCATAAGAAAGCAGGAAGACTTATTTGTGGTAGCTGCAAGTTTTTTCTTTGCCCTCAGTTGGAAAATCTGCTGGGTGGTGGTAGGGAGCTTGATCAAATCTCTGTATTAAAACAAAATACAAGTATATTTCAACATAGAGAACTTTGGTATTTGGCAGCAGTGATGGGGGCAGTTTCAAGCCTTACCTATTCCCTGGCATGTCTTGTACATGTTAGGACTCTCTTTTTTTTGGTGTATGAAGAAGCATTCTGTCATGTGAACCCCCATCTGCTCTATGAAGTGTCCACTGTAGATGGAAGTGTATTCACACTGTGATCACATCTTACATCAGGGTTCGGTTGCAAGGGTTCTGTGTATACATAAAAATTACACATACCCAAACCCTTGGAGCCACCTTGCGGCTACTGGGTGATGGGAAAAGAGAAATAACCCTCCCTGCCCCAGTACTCTCATAGCTCGCACACCAAACAGGCCTTGCCTCGCAAGCAAGGCAGAGGTCTTAAAAGCTATTTTTTCACACTGGGTTACCCCCAGCGGACCCAGTTCCAAAGAGCTTTTAACTTTCCACCTTGCTTGGATTTAACTTGTGCAATTTCAGCTATCTATCTTCAACCATGTATGGTTGAAATTGTGCAAGTTAAATGCATGTAATATGTGATTGTACTGTGCTTTATCTATTCAGTTTATATTCTGTCCTTCCAAAGGAGCCCACCACCTTTGTTTTGTAAGCATCTCGTCTGACTAGACCTTTGCAGATTGTCTCCTTTCTGTTGTTCAAGGGAAAGCCCAGGATGGGTATTTTTAGATGGCAGATTTTGGTCCCCACGTAAATTAAAAATTATGCAGGTGCCTAGCAGTTAGTTTTCCAGAAGATGCAAAAAGGACCAGTTTTGAAAGCGCCCTAAGCTAAGAGGTTTGAGAACTATTTGGCACAAATTGGGCTTCTTAGGGTGAGATGGCCTATTTTCTAGGAAGACTTGGAATGTTTGTAGGAGAAGGGAAGAGGGCTACTCAAGGTAAGAAAGCTTCTGCTTGACCTGCCCTTAGCACTAGAAACTTGGCACACAAGGACAACTAGTGACTAGAGATGCATGTTTTGACACCTTGATAGATTTTGACTGGGTGGGCAGAATATACTGGAATGCCATCACCTTGGCAGGGAGTGACTTCAGCCTGTGGAAAGAGGGCTTGGTGAAATCACTTGGGTAATCAGCTTTCCTTGTGATTAAATCCATCTCTTGCTAGTGGCTGTTGCTGTCTTTGGTCAACATAGGGAACCTCCAGATGTTGCTGCATTTGCACTTCTGTCAACCACAGCCAGCATGCCCAATGGCTAGGTTATGATGGAAGTTGTAGCACAGCAACCTGTGGAGGGCCACAGGTTGCCACCCCTGACATAGGCACTGGAAACTGATATGTGGTTCTCAGCACTTGTTGGGCTACACAGTTTGGGTTCATCCATAGAAAAAGCATTGATGGCATTGTAAGGTTTCCTTGGTAAGAGGTTTCTGACAACCACAGATTGTCTTGTAAAACATGCAGCCACAAAGGGAGTGTTGGATGCATCCTGGAGTACAGTTCCAGTCAACATGTCTTGGTGTGTGCACTCGGTTCATAAGGGTGGGGAACCTTAGGCTCAGGAGTCAAATGTGACCCTCCAAGCCTCTCTGGCTCTTGAGACTGTCCCCAGGGTGCACACCCCCACTGGCTCTGCCTGGCACCCTCCTTGAGTGTGGTGTTTCTTGTTTTTTTGCAAATTTGGAATGTGTCCCTGAACACAAGACCCTTGCTTGCCTGGGTGGAGAATAGAGAGGGAAGTGTGAATGTAAAGAAACAAGCATACTGTACAAAGGGGGAAATGTGTATTCATTGTTCTGCCCACTAGGCAGGTTGTCTAGAAGAGAATGTAGGCCTCTGGCTAAAAAAATGATTCCCCAGCTGAGATTTAGAGCAACAGGCACCTTGTGTAAATGCAGTGTGCCATAGAATGCACCCCAGAATCCTCTGCAATGTGCAGGGGATCCTGGGCAGACAAATTACTGTAAAAAGAAACTTTGGAAGCCTATGGCAATAAGAATTGGTCACAATATTTAGTGTACAGTGGAACCTTGGTTTTCAAACTTAATCCATTCCGGAAGACCATTCAGCTTCTGAAAAGTTCGAAAACCAAGGATCAATGGGCTGGCTCCAAAGTCAATGGAAAGAAATGGAAAACGTGCCTTGGAAGCCATTCAGCTTCCGAAAATCATTCAAAAACAGAAGCATTCAGTTCCGGGTTGTCGGCGTTCGGGTTCCGAATTGTTTGGCTTCCGAAGCGTTTGATAACCGAGGTTCCACTGTACAGGGGACTTGCATGCTTCCTGATGACAAAGGAGATGTGAACTGGGAATAACAGCTGAGGTCGCTTTTAAAACACCCTCTAATTTACAGGCAGTGCAGAGAAGAGCAGATCCCTCCATCGTGTCTACAGCTGGGCATAAAATCACCGGCTTCTCCTGCAAGTTTAGGTAATCCCTACCATATGAGTACTAAGAATTCTACCTTCACCCAAGGGGGAAAAACACCCAACCAAATACTAACCATAAAAGAACTGGTGGTATGTGTACCCACATATTTCTCCCTTGTTGAGTATGGAAGCGCAGTTATTTTCTGTTTCTTTAATTGGTTAAATAGCTAATATCTCAGTACTTTTAAGGAGAAAACACCACTAGTGGTAACTGAGCCCCCTACATTTCTTTATGCAGGCTACCCCTTTGCCATGGTTGAAATGTAATCATCTTTGTATCTCTGGTTCATGCAACAGCTATTGCACGACCCCTGGCCAGAACCAGTTGTGTTTTGCGTTTTCACAAGATGGCTGTACATGTGTGGAAAGTTCTTACTCACCACAGACGATCTGGCTGCAGGTGTTTTTCAAACCTGTTCCATTGGGTTGCCCTTGGAACAGAGTTTGGGTCACAGCCGTGCATGTGTCTACTGCAGGCCTTCCCCAACATGGTGTCTTTCCTTCCAAATATTTTGTACTGAAAAATTCCATCTCTCCTGAGTGTGGGCCAAACTGGCTGGAGTTGACAGGAACTGTAGTCCACAGTATCAGTAGGGCACCAGGCTGTGGAAAGCTGATGTGCAGATAACAGTTACTCTGGTGCTTTTCAGTAGTGGCTCCCCATTTGTGGAATGCTCTCCCCAGGGACACCTGCCTGGCACAGCACTAGATACCTTTAGGTAACAACATTCCATTTTAACCAGGCTTTCGGTTTTTAACTTATCTATGACCACCTGGAGTGGAAGGGATGTTTTTAATGTATCTTTTCCCCGCTTTGGTTTTGATGTATGTATTGAGGGAAGGTGTTGTTAGTCACTTTGAGTTGTTGTGGCAAAATAATAATAATAATAATAATAATAGTGTTCCAGTAAGCTGTTAACAATGCTTGGTATACCAGTCCATAATGTGACCAGTGTCAGAAATGGCCATGTGAGGTTGAATGGCATTCTTCCTCGCAGCCAGGTAAGAGCTAGCTCCAGTTACTGCTGCCTTGATAACCATCGTAACAGACACATGGGAACTGTCAGGAAACACTTTCCCTGCTTGCTATTGTATTGAAATAAAATATTCTTTAAAAAAACACACACCTGGGAAGCCCTTCAGTAACCTTTACCAAAAGTGTAATACTGGCACACCTAGACAGGGCCCTTGTTTGCCTGTTTCATCAATGCCCGTTTCTGTGTCTGCAATGGACAATTACCCACAACAGGTCAGGGATGGTATGGGTGGATTAAGATACTCTAGAGCAGGGGTAGGCAACCTAAGGCCCATGGGCCAAAAGCAGCCCACAGGGGTTGTTTAACTGGCCTACGAGCTGCCCCCGAACCGAGCTGCCCACTCAGTGAGTCCCCGAATGCTGCACTAAACCAACGCGGCGCAGGGACTCGCTTCCGCAGTGCCAGAAATCGCGTCTGCGCATGCACAGACAGTGGAAATCGCATCTGTGCAGGCACTGAAAAGCGCTTCTGTGCAGACGCCGGAAATCGCATCTTCACAGATGCAGACGCCAGAAATCGCGGGCGCGCATGCAGTCCAGCCCATGAAGGGCTCTCCACTGGAGTGAACCGGCCCAGGTGAGGTAAACCTTGCTGACCCCTGCTCTAGAGATCAGTAGTTGGCTTGAGACATATTTGTTGATTATTTTTTTTCCAGAATCACAAATCAGTGATAGAGAGGGAAAAATACACTCTAGGATTGCTCCTCAAAATATAAGGGTGGTTGGTTCATTGTCTTGCTGTTCTTGAATCCGGGTTCAAGCATTCAGCAGGAGGCGTTATGCAGTGTGTCTCAGCTTGAGCATGCATATGAGCGATAGCCTATATGGAAGCATCTTTGCATAATCTCCCTATTGTTCCATCAGGGAAGGAGTTTTGACAGGCTGCCTGCCCTTGGAGTGCCAGTTGCATGCGTGCAAGAAGATTTCGACACTGCATTTAAGTGTGCAATATCCCTGTGCCTTCTGTGACAGCAGAGCCTTTGTGAACCCAGTCCTGCGTGTCCTCTGTGATCTGTGAACAATGTGACCTTCACATCATGAACTATGGAGTTAGCTGTTTCCCCCCAGTAAAGCTGTCCACCCATTCAAATAAATGTTGGCTGATTAATTGGATGAGTTTTGGTTGGTTAATGGATTAAGATCCACCCCAGGGTACATGTCTGATGGGGGTACATGACAACACAGCCACCTTGCTGAAGCTAAACTGGACGATGGCCAGGGAACCCCACAAACATCGCTTTGAGTTCCACGAAGGAAGGAAGGCAAGATACAGGTGTGCTAAAAATATATATATATATCAGAAACTGGCGTGCAAGAGGTCAAGTGATCGTTTGTAACCATAAGCAGATGTCTTCTGTTTCTAGATGATGTGTGAGCATACATTGCATCAGGTGTTCCAAAATGCATTTTTCTTTCTCCCACTGGGAAGAATCTCATGGCACCTTGAAGGCTGGAACATTTATTATGGCATATGCTTTTGTGGACTAGCATCCTCTTCACCAGATGCCTGAAATATAATTGGGATTGTGTGTGTTTTAAGGTCTCAGCCACACCATACATTTAAAGCACATTTATGCCACTTTTAACAATTCTAGGAATCCTAGGAACTGTCATTTGCCCCCCCCCCCCGCTTACTAGTGCCAGGAGCTTTGCATTATTGCCAACCTTGTCTTGTAATGGTCACTCACTTAGGTTTTTTCATAATTTCTCTGTCTGTTATTTATGCATTTTGTTTCCTTCCGGCTTCAATGCTCCCTACCACTGCTCTCAAAAAATGTACATACGTCTCTACCAATTATTAAAAAAAATTCTTCATACATCTGACAAAGTGGATTCTAGTCCATGAAGGCTTATGTCTACCTTAGATTAGTCTAAGGTACTACAGCGCTCTTTGCTGTGTTTGCTGCCCTATTGTGATGGTCATCTGCAATTTTTATGAACACTTGTGTTTAAGTAATATTAAAACAATTCACTTTCTTAATCAGGGGACCTTTTTAAGGTGATTGTTCAGTTCCATTTCCAAAGTTTTAATCAAACGTTGCCTCCCTAGTGTTTTATATTGATAAATGACACATGTAGGGGGGGATTCGTATTAGGATGTGTGGGGTTTCTTGTCTGGAAGGAGGGCTTGCCAACCTGCCAGTGGGTGCTTGGCCATCCAGGTCTGGAGGTGCCCTTATTGTGAGGATAGGGAACCTTGGGGCCGATGTGCCCCCTACAGCCTTCTCTGTGTGACCTTCAAGAGTCTCACTAGGCCACACCTTTCATCAGTCCTCCCTCATTCCTTCCTGAAGTACCTAATGGCGGATCTTGCCTGCCTGGGTGGAGGTAGCTATAGGTGTATAGACACCACTAGCTTTCATGTGTCTGGAACATAGCCTACTGTCACATCCATTAACATGCCTATTTTGGTTGCTACTCCCACCCACCCCTAGCATGCAGTCCCAGAAGATTGTCCATTAGGAAATGACTCCCTTACCTACTACCTTCCTGTAGGATTTAATGGCAACCACTCACTTACATAGGAGAAAGCCAAGAGGTGCCCTTGGGGACACCTTTGTGGAGAGGCCTTGGTTTGATCCCTGCCCCTGCTCCCCCCCTCCCATCGCTGAGGCTTTCTTCTGTATCATACTAGAGGATTACCAGGACCCAAACCTTGGTATTTTCTAGCTATATAGTGAGAAGGAGAAAACACAGTTCTCGAGAGAGGAAAGGCACCTTCCTCTTTCTCCCCCACCCCCAAATTCTCCAGGATACTTGCTGTAAGCTGTCAGGCCTTTGGCAGGTCAGTTGTCTTCCCTCTCCATCCTCAGTTTGTTATCAACGGACGCATGAACATTCCGCATATCAAGCTTCTCTCAGCCCTGGACTTCCTGGATAGACTTGCACAAGCTCTAGTCCGTCTTAGTTATGTGTAGGGTATACTGGTGTTGACGCTGGAGTGGGGCAGGTCTAAAAGCAGAAGAAGTCACCTGCGAGTACCTGTTTGCATGCAGAGACTCTGCATGATTGGGAAGCCTAGTTGCATGGAGCCCTTCTCTATGAGTTGGTGTCTGCACACAGCATGTTGTTGCAGAAGGACAACTCAGCCGGGGGTGAGGGGAGACCTGCTGTGTGCATGAGTAACACCCTGAAGAGGGCGTTTCTGGCTGAATTCTGGTTCCTTAGACCAGGGCTTGGAAGCGTACACCCAGGGGCCAAATGTGGCCCTCGAGCTTGCCCTCTGAACTCTCCCCGGACCACACCCCTCACTGGCCATGCTGTGCTCCCAAAGTGCTATTGCTTGGCTGGAATGTTGTTGCTGTGCCCACTTTGCCTCTGGTTCTGCCCACCAATTATATTTCTTCCTTAAACGGTGGCCCTCAGGCTGAAAAAGTCTCACCATCTCTGCTTTAGGGGTGTGGGTGTAGGTGTACAGCAGTGTTTCCCAAACTTAGGTCTCCAACTGTTTTTGAACTACAGTTCCCATGATCCCTGGTCTGCTAGCTAGGAATGATGGGAGTTGTAGTCCAAAAACAGCTGGAGAACCAAGTTTGGGAAACACTGATGTAGAGGCTCAACTGCCATAATGATCCTCTTAAGCTCACAGGTTCATGTTAGGTGGTTTGGGTTCTTTTCTTTTCCTTCACCTAAAATGTCGTTTTGATCACAAACTTGTGTCTTCCTTTATCTATGGTTTTCCCTACGTATGTGGACGCTGATGCCTTCTTTGTTGGTAGCCCTGTTTCTTTCCTAAACCGATAGACTCTCAGCCACCTGATTTTACTATGAGATTGAGAGAACAATGAGGCTACCTGAAAGCCCACCAGGTTTGGGACGGAGGAGAGGGTTGCAAGTTCCAGTTCTTGTCCTGCCAACCCTGTTTGCTACCTCCAGTTCCCAGAAGTTGAAACCACCACTTGCTCCTATTGCTGCAGTTTGCACTAAAAACAAGGCATGTACTTGCAGACTAAAGCAAAACAAAGTGTTTGGTCCCGTTCCCCCCCGGCCCGCCCCATTGCTGCAGTAGCAGTGCCAACACTGTAATATGTATGGCTGTGGAACTGGGAGACCTTTTCTACCTCATCACAACCCTCTTTCTATTTTTCTGGTGATGGGCGTTAAAATATATTGTTTTCCCTCTTCCTGCAGCCCAGAAGTGAGACCAGTCTGAGCTGTATGGATGAAGGGAAAGTTTTGCCCCCACTGTAATTCATTTCCCACACATAGCTGTTTCCCCACAGGAATGTATAGCTGCCATTCATTTCCATGACATAAAGTATAGGGATGAACTGGTACTACACCTGCCCTGCTGATCTCTCAATTAAGAAGCAAGTTTGCATCTAACTGCATAGTCCTATCCTAGTTTCTGTTTCTTGGCCAAATCACACCAGGTGCTATCATTGACATTTGTAAGCTGCTCTGGGGCCCTCTTTTTGACTGAAGAATGGGGTAAAATAACAGTTACCCCACCTGCCCTGCTGCCTTAGCTGAACACAGGTTTGGTCTCACCTGTTGGCTCAAACATACCGAGAATTTCGGAATGGAACCCCGAGTTCTGTCTCACACCATTCATTGCACTGAACAGAGAGCAACAGTTAGAAAATGAAGAACTCACAAGAATGATAAGGAACTTTCATTTCCTGGCTGGTTGCTCTCTACTGCAGTAGTAGAACACATGCTCTGTGGTGCATTTTGAGATGATCCTGCTGACCTCTCTTGGTGCAAAAGTGCTGAAAACTTTCTGGAGCAATGAGCAAATTCTGAATAGTAGGCCTTCCTTTGACAGTCTATTATAGCTATACTATATGCACACAGTGGAGAGAAAGGAGGAAGCATTGGCTAGGTCGGTGTTACTAGGTTTACACATATGCCATATCCAAATCAGCACTGAATAGCAGCATCTAGCCCAGGATTGAGGAACCTTTGACTCTCCAGAGATTGCTGGATCAACAGATCCCATCATCTCCGACCATCCACTAGCTGGGGTGGTGCTGATGGGAGTTGGAGTCCAGCGACTTCTAGAGGACCACAGCTCTGATATAGACTAAAGCATATCTTGGTGCATGTGCAGTGCATATCCACAGCTTACAGCAGCTGTCTACTACCAGTAATGCTTCCCCTTTGCAGCACAGCTACAGGGGGATGCAGAAGGACTTGAATTCGAATTTAGAAGCTGTTGAAGCAACCACCCACTTTGTAGCTGCAAATGTAATAGAATGTGAGAGTCCACGAAAAATAGGTAAATAAAGAGGAATAATGGCTCCCACGCTTCCCTGTTGATCTTCTCCAGGAGTTGCTCCATCCATAATCTGATGTACGTTTTGCATGCCATCTGTCACTAAGCGGCCATTACCTCCAGCCTTGCATGCGGTGCCTGAGAGTTCCCTAAATTTCTTTGGGACCTTCAGAATCAGTCCCCCAACATGGATAAATTTCTGGCTATGTCTGGGGTTTTTGTGTTTGCTGAGACCCAGACTCTCACCTTTCATAAGAGAGGGACAACAGGCCCAGGAACTTTCTCTGCACATCCAAAGATGAGTCCACTATGTGCTCAGATGTGGGTCTGAGGTTACTTTGTATAGATGTGGGGAAACTGTTACATAGCACTTGGGTTTCCAAGTAAAGTTACCCATGTGTTGGGCTGATACTCTTATACACAGTGTGTCACTTGTGAATGGATCAATCATCTGAGACCCTGCTTTGTGGAGTGCTCTCTCCAGGGAGGCTCACCTGGCAGCTTTGTAAGATACCTTTAGGCGCCCTCTTCCCCAGGCTTTTGGCTAATTAAACCATCTTATGACCTTTTAAAGTGGGAGTATTTTTTTTGCTTGTTACTGTGGTGTGTATTTTTGTGTCTTCATATTGTAAACTGCTCAGGGATTCTTGGATGAAGGGCGGTATAGAATTTTCAATAATAGTAGTAGTAATAGTGGTAGTAGTAGTAATAATAATAATAATAATAGTAATAATAATAATAATAATAATAATAAATGACTGACTTGCCCTGTGGTACTCACAGCAGCCACATACGGAAAAAGCTTTGATTGCTGCTCCTCTGAGAAGTGCAAACTGGCCATTTTGCACACAATTCCCAGTAGATGTACACATGTTTTGGTGTCTGTATGTCCATACATTTGAATAAGCTCTGTGACACTTCTCATCAAACAAATCTGAATGATGCCAAGTAACTCTGAAGGGCGTATTTTTGAACATGTGTCTTGCTGCTCTGCCATTAACACTTTGTACACAGCCCTGCCCAGGTGTTTTGTCTATTGTACGCTACCCTGGAATCTGATTGAATAAAGTGTGACTTAGAAATGTAAATAAATCCTCCCCCTTTATTTTCAAATAATTGTATGGGCAGTGGTGGTGATGGGGAGGCACCCCAGAGTTGTGCAGCGGTGTTGGAAGAAAGGGGTTTAACCATGGCTACATGGGTGATCTGCTGTAAGGAAAGGGCCGGGTGGTTTCTTCCTTGAACGTGACCCTCACTTGTGACTCCAGTTCCTTCTCTCTTGCCTGGCAGAAGGAGTTCCTGGGCTTCCATTCAGAGGATGACGCCTCTCAGAGCTCGCTGCGTGCTGCTCTACGGTTTAAAAGAGGTAAGGGTGCCATTGCGGGTACCTCTTGGTGGTTTTCTGGCTGATCTGACAGTGGTCTGGAGCATCTGCACACACATTTAAGTCCCAGCAATAGCAACATGGAAAAACAAGACATAAAAAACCCATTAAGAAATTCTGTTGAACAGAAACAAGCATAGCCAGACTAAACTAATAATAGTAATAAAGCACAGCATTCTGTCAGAGGGCCAGACTACATGTTGCATGTTAATAGCATGTTTAGATTATGTGCAACTCTCTTACAAAAAAAAAAAGCAGGCACAGGGAGTCTAGATGTGATGTTTTTTGTTACAAGAAAGCTATCCGAAGCAAGCAATTCATTATATTAATTAGTTGCCCTGCTTGTGTGTCTTGATCTTCAGCTCATGGAACACTGAGATCAACTTTATGTAGTGAAAATAGACAGCTACATCTACCAATGCCATAGTACAAGTGAGAAAATGAAACAGTTACAGTATAAAAGCAGCATCCAAAATTTAAACTAAAACAGCAGCAAAGGTAGCCTTTGGCTAATTAAGCCAACTCTGGTCTTTTAAACTGGGTGGGTAATTTTTTTTTGCTACTATGTTATGCATTTTTGTGTTTTGATAATGTACATGGCCACCCTGTGATCCTTGGATGAAGGGTAGCATAGAAATTTAATATGCGATGAGAAGCTCGGCTCTTTTCCCATCTTTTTGTCATGCTGTTTGACTTAGCTCAGTTGCATGCCTATGGAGTTTCATATTTGTTCCTAGCAAATTGTGTCTTCTTGCTTTCCGTTGTTACAAGGGCTGCCAGCCGATGGAAGAACGTTTAACTGGTTCATCATCTGACTTGCAAAGAGTTGATTGAGATTTTTAAAAAATGTGTATTATCACAGCTTCCCTATAGGTGCATTCTGGGGAATACTGAAGAGAATCTGAGAGAACATTTATTTAACAAAATGTATAGACCACTTGATTTTAAAAGAAAGAAGTCTAAGCAATTTATATAAAATAGCATTTTCTTATTAATTTCTTTATATATTGATAAATTCAACAAACTTTAAAAGAAAGTCAAAATGTGGATAAAATCTGCAGCTTAAGGACAAGTAGACATAAAAAAACAAATAAAAATTATGTGTCTGGCTAGGCTTGCCTAAACGAAAGGGAGTTTTTAGTAGGCACCAGAAACAAGATAGTGACTGTCATATCAACAGACAGGGAGCTCTGGAGCATAGGTGCTGAAAAGTCTTGACTCCTCAAAAGTGGGGAATACATGTTACTAATCATTGGTCAAAGAAAATGCCTTCTTCAGTGTCCTGCTATGTTTTCCTGCTAGTAAGGACTTATGGGTGCTGCCTGTATCGGTGCGCATGCTGTCAGTGGTGCCACATGTGCTCACCTGGAAGCAGTTGTTTGCTTACTGTAAGTGACCACTCCAAGTGTTTAACTGTTTCGACAAAACTGTCTGCAAGTTGAAGTATTGAGAATCCTTCTGCTCTCTGGAGGTGCGCTTCCCAGCATGTTACCGTATTTTTCGCTCTATAAAACGCACCTGACCATAACACACACGTAGTTTTTAGAGGAGGAAAATCCATAGGCATGCCACCCGTAGGCATTTACTCCATAACACGCACAGACATTTCCCCTTACTTTCTAGGAGGAAAAAAGTGAGTGTTATGGTGCAAAAAATACAGTATATCCAGGGCCTGGTGCTGTACACACTGCCCTTGTAGGTTGGAAACTCCAGAGGCATTTTGACAGCCAAGGTTTCCTTCTCTCCTTACAGGCGCAGTGCTGCCGGCACGTGGTCGGAAAAAAAGGGGGCTTGCTGAGGATACCCTTTCCAAGCGGCTGTCGAAGCAGAGAGCTGTGGAATCCCAGCGGGAGCGGATGGTGAAGGCTTTGGCTGAGCTGCTTCAGAGCAATAAGGGGTCTCCAGCAAGGACAGATCGGCTGTCGGCATCCAGCCCCCAAGCTGGCGGCATGCTTCCTGAGCAGCCTGAAGCAGACCCAGAGCCTGGCAACCCCACGAAACCCTCCGTCTCCCCTGCCCTCCCGTCCCAAATGGAGAAGGACCTCAACTCTGTTGTGTCGCCCAGGCCGCGAGGCCGGCCACGGGGCTCTTTCACAAAGAGGCTCATTGCGAGACCCAAGCCTCCTTGTCAAAGCACCAAAGCTCCAGATTCCACCCTGGAACCCAGCAGCAGCAGCAGCCCTCGGTCACCCTCGCCGTGCCAAGTGGCCAGCCCCTCCCCTCCGCCCCAGGAGCCCCCGAAGAAGCCGCCACTCATCCTGAAGTTCTTCTCAAAGGCCAAGCGGCACAAGTCCGGCCAGCTGGTGGTGACCCACGTCCGGCTAAAAACTCCCGGGCACAGGAGGGGCCGCAAGAGGAAGTGGAGCGTTGTGCCGAGGAAGGGAATCTCCCCACTTCCTTCCCGGTCTGTATCGGAGTCAGAGGCACCTTTGTCAGAGTCAGACGGGTCTGCCCCAGAGCCGGAACAGAAAGAGGAGTCCTGTACTCCAGAATCTCAGGCAGAAGTCCTTTTCCCAGAGCCAGAGCCCCAGCCAGAACTTGCTGCCCCAGAGCCAGAGCCAGAGCCACAACTGGAGGTGATTGCCCAAGAATCTGAGCAACTCTCAGAGGCTCCTGTCCTAGAGCTGGAGGCTTCTGAGCCAGAACCAGAAGCTCCAGCACCGGGAGGCGGCGTTCCTGCTTCGCCCAGTGAGATAGCTGGCCAACAAGAGCACCAGCAGCCCTGCCCGCAGAGTGACGGGTCAGGAGTTGTTTCCGAGGAGGGGACTTCCAGCATTGCCCTTTCCACGCGGGCGCAGTGTTTGAAAAGGGGTCGCGGGCGTCCTCCCCTGACCGCTACGCAGCGGGCCCAGCGTTTGGCTTCTCAGCACCTGCCGGCCAAAGCCAGGGAGGAGGCTCTAGCAGCTGCACAGCAGCCTGGCGGGCCTGGCTTCGAAGAGGCGCCAGGTCACAAGGCCAACTTCCTGAAGAATATCCGCCAGTTCATCATGCCCGTGGTGAGCGCCCGCTCGTCGCGCCTCATCCGGACCCCCCGCCGCTTTATGGACGAGGTTCCGCAGAAGGCAGCCAAGCCCGTGGAAAGCGCTGCAGCGGATGGGCCTTGTGCAGACAAGCAGGAGACTCCCATGCTGCCGTTGCTGGAGACCCCTCTTCAGCTGACTCCCCCAGCCCCTAGCTCCCCTGATAAAGATACCTCTCGGGCCCTGTCGCCCCCGCCTTCCCCCAGTGTGCCCCTCCTAACTTCCTCCATTCCCGCCCTACCTGAGAAGCGCCGTTCCATCCTTCGGGAGCCCACATTCAGGTGGACCTCGCTGAGCCCCCCGTCGCCCCCCAAGGATACGGGCAAGGCGCTCTTCCATCTTCCTTGCGAAGATTCGTCTCCTTTGCTCAGCACTCCAGCGCCAACCCCATCTCCCCCGGCCAAGCGGACCCCGCTGCTGCGAGCCCCCCAGTTCACACCCAGCGAGGCACACCTGAAGATCTACGAATCTCTGACGGTGTCTCCTGAGGAATCTGATCTAGTGCCTGCGTCCCCCGAGCTCAGGAGGGATCTCCCCACACTGCAGCAAGAGGGTCTCCTGCTCCCTTACGAGCCAGTGGTGACCCGCAGTGGCAAGAAGCTGTTGGGAAGGACGAACCACCTTGCCCTGCCCCTCTTCCCAGAGGTTTCTAGGCCACTTGGGGCTCAGGGCAAAGAGCTGATCACCATGGAGGATGTCAATTCTCCTGGCGTAGTTCACAAGGTGGCCATCCGGAGGATTCTGCCTCCGTCGGCCCAAGTGGAAGAGGAGGAGGAGGAGGAGGAGGTGGCAGCTGAGAGTTCAGAGAGTGAGGGAGAGCCAGCTAGCCTGCGCTCGGAGGCACTGAAGCCCCCTCCAGAGGAGCCCAAGCCCCTTATTACCCAGCTGTCAAGCATGGATAAGGTATACAGCTTGCTCACTCGTGCCAAGGTGCAGCTGTACAAGATCGATCAGCAGAAGCACTTCAAAATGACGCCGGTAAGAGAAGCCTCGGGTGGGAGTGGCAAGGCTTTGGCGCGATAGGCAAGGCTGTGCATTTGTAGAAGGAAAGGCCGGTGGTCTTTGGGGCCTCGGTTAATGATTTTGCTTCATCTGTTTTGTTTTTAAGCTCCATGCCCCACTGTGGTACTGTGTACTGTTCATCAAGAGACGTTGTGGGTACAGTTAACGTTAACCCTGTATAAGTGTCCACATAGGTCATTTTTTCCATTAAAACAGAGCTGGGGTACTTAGAATCATAGAATTGGAAGGACCCTGAGGATCCTTTAACCCAACCCCCTGAAATGCAGGAATATGCAGCTGTCCCATACTGGGATTGAGCCTTCAACCTAAGCATTATCAGCACCATGCTCTAACCAACTGCGTTATTGAATTCCCATCAGCTGCATGCAGCGTGGCCAGCGGTCACGACATTGGAAGGACCACAGGCTCTCCATCCCTGCATTAAAAGAAGTTGTGATAATTGGGCCAGCCAAATAAGGCTGTGACCTAAGGATCTTTCTGGATGAGACCAAAGGGTCATCCAGTCCAACAACCTGTTCTCACAATGGCCAAGCGGGACCTGAGAGCAACACCAGGTCCTACTTAGGTTTTCCAGGAACAGGTAAGTTCAGAGAGGAATACAGCCGCTGATCCTGGAGACAGGGCACAACCATTGTGGTTGGTAGCCATTGGTAGACCTGTCCTCCACCAAGTTGTCATCCAAACTGGTGGGCCATGACCAGTGTTAGAAACTGATATATGAAAGCTAGGAGCTACGTGGCACCTTAAACCTAGGTTATGGTGCGCTTTTTAAATAACGAATACAATGCTGAAAATGAATGAACTGCGGCTAAAATGTTATGTTAATTTTTCACATAGCCTAGTCCTTCCCCTGCCCACCCTCCTAATATTCTTAAGAGGGTCTCTTCTCCAGTCTTCAGAGAGTAGCTGGAAGTGGGGAGGCAGAAAAAGGTATTCCTTTCCTTCCACTCTGCAGCTTTAATCTGAAATCTTAGGCGCAGTACTGCACCCAGAGCTCAGAAACTGCTTGCACTGATGAAATCCCCTGTCGCAAAATGCGCCTAGAACAATGGGTGTTTCGAGCACTGGCTATGACTACATCTTGGGGCAGGAGATTCCATAGTTTAACTATGCTCTGTGTGAAGAAGTATGTCTTTTTTTCCTATCTGGATTCTTCCAACGTTCTGCATCCTTGAATGACGCTGGATTCCAGTATTATGAGGGAAGGAGAAAAACTTGCCTTTTCCAAACTAAAAGTCCCAAATATTGTAACCTTTCCTCATAGGTATAGTTGATACATCGCTCAGCACTGGTTTGAGGGCCAGAGTGTGATGGTGCCTTCACCTGGAGGTGTATCATGGGTGAAACTGCCATCGCTCCCGAGTTACACTGCCGCCAGCGCCCGGAAGGAGAAACAAGCTGTATTGGCCAAGGGCCCACAAGACCCTGGGGTGAAACTGCTGGCATTCCTGCTGAGGCGGCTTCACCCCAGTGCATCGTGGGGCCCCCACCCAATGCAACTTGTTCCTCCCTCTGCTTTTCAACATCATGATGTATTACGATATCATGGTGTTCGATTGGTGATAAATTGCAACATTGAAAAGCTGATATCACCCAGCCCTTCTCATAGGTGAGTTGCCCCAGCCCCGGGATCATTTTGATTTAACTTTTCCATGCCCTATGATATCCTTTCTGAGGTGTGGTAACTGGAACCGTACGCAGTAATCTTGAGTTCAGGCACACTATATAGATTTGTATGACGGCATTAATACATTGGCAGTTTTATTTTCAATCCCTTTCCCTAACATGGAATTTGCCTTTTCCACACTGCTGCTTGTTGGGACTGCAATTGCATTGAGCTATTCCCCATGGCTCCAGTAACCCTTTTCCTGTTACTTACTGCTGGTTCAGAACCCCTTAACCATATATGTGATTTTTTTTTAACCCAAGTGTGTGCCACTTTGCCCTTGTTTCATCAAATCGCATTTGCCATCTTAATGCCCATTCGCCTAGCTTGGGTGCATCCTTTGGGAGCTCCTCGCAGTCCCTCACCATGCTGCACACTAGGGTGTCATCAGAGAACTTGGCCACCTCATTGCTCATCCCTAAATGCAAGTGATTTATAAACAAGCAAAAATACTGATCCTTGGGGGAATCCGCTTCTTACATTCCTCTGTCGCGAGAACTTCCCTTTTATTTCTACTCTCTGCTCTGCCACCAAGCTTTGGCCCTTCCCCCAGACAAAAAAAGACGTGCATAGCAGTTCTAAGAAAGACCAACACATGGCATGGCCACATCCAGGGCAATGTGCTAAAGTAATCAAAAGTCCTTTGCAAGGAAAATGGTGACCTGTTTAGATTATGCAGATTAAGCATAATCTGTTTTGCATAACTTCACTTCCGCTTGTCAGGGCTGGAAGCCAGGCAGGGTACTGAAGTCCAGCCCCTGGCCACGGCAAAATCTACATCTCTTTCCCACCATCAATTGATCGTTTTATGTGTATGTCGCTTTCCCAAAGTTAAAACAGTGCTCGAGGCGGCTTGCAACATGAAAACATTTCATAATTACAAATATAACAGAAGTCATAAACAATTAATGGAACATCAAAAAGTACACATTGAACAATTTCCATGTAAATCATAAGATCTAAAATAAAGAAATGAAAAATTAATATCGATAACGGCAGCAAACCTCCCTTCCCCACGAAATCTGCTAAATAATACTCCAGCCAAAGAGTCTGTTCAACAGCCTCAGCTTTTGTAACTGGAGTCAGCCTTCCCAGAGCTGGTGGAAAAAGGCCTGTAAGGTAGGGAGCATGTCTTCCAAAACTCGCAGCTGAAATGGTCTCCACAAAACACATACACCTGAGATCTGATCAGTTGACCACACACCTTCAAGCCTCTGATTGTAATCTTAGGAATGTAACACTAGCTTTTAAAAGTCTGAAAGCAGAGAGTTTCTGGATGCTGAATTCTGCATTGTAGATTATGCTCTGTGCTTGACTCTTACTTGGGAATACCTTTTCTACTTAAACCTGTGTCTAAAGAGTCTGGAGTTATGTTTAAATAAGCTAAACCTCATATTCTTTGAACAACCAGAATTTCTAGGTAAGTGAAATTCTCCATTTTGCATTCAGAAAGCACTCTTTGATTTTATTACATTAACATAAAGAGCAAGCGTACATAAATGCACATGCTTCTATTTTGAAAGCTTTGTTTCTGGTTGTATAATTAATGTTTGGGGTCCCCCACTCCCATAGTTTTGATTTTTGTGTGTGTCTTGATGTGGGTTGGGGAAGAAAAGCCAAGAATCCTGAAATAGATCAATAATGCATTGCAGGGGGTTGGACTAGATGACCCTCAGGGGAAGAAGGAGGGAGGGAGAGAGGCTGAGGCTGAAGGTGGTGATTGGGGTACAGTAGCTATACTGAGAGTAGAAGTCACACAGCTCCCACTGAAGCACCTCTTGTTTTCACGAGTCCCACGCAAATGGCCTTCACTTTTAGGGAGCCAAGACTGTGGGTTTCCAGTGTCATCTTCGTTTTGCTTTTTAAAGAGAGTCTGAATTTTTAGTACCAGCCATTGGACTGTTTGGAGGGTATGTCCAGTGCTTTGCAATGCAGTTAGCCAACATGGTGCCCTCCAGAAGTTGTGGACTATTTTCTCCTAGCATCCCTGACCATTGACCATGCTGGCTGGGGCTGATGGGAGTTGGAGTCTCAGCAGTATCTGGACAGCACCATACATATAGGCATGTTCTGTGTTTGTGCAACTGGCATCACAGATCAGTTTCCACAAACACATTCGCAGGCTGAGAGCTGCCGTTATGATGGGGAGAGGCCAGTGTTGCTTGGGACATTTGGTATATGCAAAAAGAGTCTCAAATGCTAACTAACTAATTAACTAACTACCTTTCATCTGTGTGTGTCTTTTCTATAGGGGTGTCAAACAGTCAATACTGAGCTCTTTGAGACTCCAAAGGTCTCCGTTAAGCAGGAGGTGACTACTGAACTCAAAGTGGCAGAAGAGGACAGGAAAGAGGACAGGAAGCAGGTAACTATTTGCATGTATATACAGTGGTGTAGCTGAACTCCGGTTAGTGACGATGATTCTGGTTTCCAGAGCAATGGATCCTATGTAGACACAGGTATCCTCTGTGCAGATTGCCTTTCTTGGCCTGGCCTGCCAGTGGCTTTTAGCAGTGCAGTCCTTCTCTGTACTCCTGGCAAGCGCCGGGTGGTACAGGTTCACTGAGAACTGGGGGGTGGTTTTTCAGGGCTGGCCCTGCTGTTTACCATTCATGCCCATGGCCGATCCTAATTCTCTTCCCTTGCAGGGCCAAGAGTCCCCCGTGCAGGGCCCTCGGATCAAGCACGTGTGTCGGCATGCCTCAGTGGCCCTGGGGCAGTCTCGTGCCATGGTGCCAGAGGATGTGCCGCGCCTCAGTGCCCTGCCGCTGCGGGAGAGGGAGGAGATCGCTGCATCGCCCACAGTAGAGGGTGAGTGGTTGTGTGGGGATGCCAGCTTGAAGCTTTCTTTCCTTTACGCTCTGTGGCCTCTTTTTAAAGGGTGAGCATGATAACGTGAGGAGCGCTGAGCTGCAAGATCACAGGGCTATTAATGGGCGCACTAATATGTGGCATCTCCTTCTGTAGCTATGTGGCAAAGATGTTTATTGATCCTCGGTGGGATAATCAGGGGAGCGATAAGGAAGACTGGAAAACCAGTGTTAGCTCTGCACAGATCCTGGAGAGCACTGCCATCATGCCATATTCAGGGGACACTGGTTTTGGCTAGGACTGATGGTAGAGCTGGGCAATATATCACTATATCATCCAAAACCGGTTTGAATTCCGTATCGTTCTATCGCTTTCATAATTTTTCACCTGGCAATATATTGCAAATCATGATGTGTGTTAGGGTTGGGCAATACAGCATCCAAAACCAGTTCGAAGTCCGTATTGTGATACCAGTTTCGTAATTTTTGACCTGGCAATATGTCACAACTTATTATGTATATGTGTCTGTGCTATGCAAACACCACTATGTGGAAAAAAAACCGGGAAGCCAGCCATTGCTTCTACATAGCCCCATCCTTATTTCAGACATTGTGGTATATCAGTATATCACGTTGTTTAGCTGGTGATATACCGCAATGTTGAAAACCAGATACAGTTGTAGCTTGGATCCTGAACTCGGAACATTTTGGCTCCCAAATGCCACAAACCCGGAAGTGAGTGTTTTGGTTTGCGAACATTCTTTGGAAGCCGAACGTCTGGTGTGGCTTCTGCGGCTTCCAATTGGGTGTATGAAGCTCCTACAGCCAATTGGAAGCCGTGCCTTGGTTGTCGAACGTTTTTGGAAGTTTAACAGACTTCCGGAATGGATTTCATTTGACAACCAAGGTACGACTGTATTGCCCAGGCCCAGTTGATGGAGGTGAGGGGCAGGGCCTCCTCCGACAGAAGCCCCATGGGTGGGGACTTCCGTGTGAACAGTTCCTCATTGCTCAAATTCGAACTTTCTTCAGGCCTCAGAGGTTGGTGCAAAGGCTCCTGGGATTGCTGGGTGCTGTTTCCGTGCCTTTTTTGCCCCTTCTGGGCTCTTCTAGGCCTGTTTTGTCATTTTAAAATTCACTTCCGCGCATTTGTGCAGTTAGGCATCAATCAGAGGCATGTAAACGAGGAGTTGCCTGTACTTTCTTTGGGAGGAGCAATTCCATACTTAAGCCTTTAGTGTCAAAGTGAAAATGCAGGAGCCTTTACACGGGCTGAGTTCCCTTCTTGCCAATAGCACACAGTCTTACCTAATTAAAAGTCCGACTCTTTGGAAAGCTGTTCGCCAGCAGAATGGTCTCCTTTGGGAGATCGTGGACTCTCCTTCCTTGGAGGTTTCTAAGCAGAGGTTGGATGCCCACCTGTCATGGATGCTTTAGCTGAGTTGGGGTTGGACTAGATGACCCCAGAGGTCCCTGCCAACTCGACAATCCTATGATTCTCTGACCTAATAAGTGAATGAGATCCTTTTGTGGCCTGGTCCTTTTTACATTGGCTGCACCGAGCTTTTCTTGCGCCCATAGAAATATTTGGGTGACATACAGAGATGTTCTCTGGGGCCTTGAGATGGAGCTGCATTTCGGTCATCTTTTTGAACTTTCCGTTCCACAGAGACCTCCTCAGCCTCAGAGAGCGAAAGCGGCCACCAGAAGCAAGTGAAGGCAGATACGGCCGTCAAGGCCGCGCCACCCCCTGTGCGTCGCCACGTCTCCCACCATCACCACCACCACCACGGCAAGAAGAACAGAATGACGCGCTGTGGGAAGTGCAAAGGCTGCCTGAAGCTGCAGGACTGTGGGGAGTGCATCAACTGCCTAGACAAGCCGAAGTTTGGCGGGCCAAACACCAAGAAGCAGTGCTGCGTGTGAGTATGTCCTGGAGGGTTGCCAGTTCGTTGCTGAATTTTGCCCTCCGGCTTCTCTCTTCTGTGCTTCTTGGGAACTGGGAGCTATGGCCGAAGGGTTCTCTGCCCAGCCAAGAAAATAGGTGATGTCCAGTGGTTTTGTGGCTGAGGTTAGGTAGATGCTGGAGTTGCGCAGCTCCCGTGCAGAGCTCAGTTTTGGCTGCAGAATCTTGCCTGCTAAATGCCTTGGCAGCCACTACCTGCAAAACAAGTTCCCGGGCCTTAAGGCGGGGAAGATAGGCCTGTAAGTGTGTAGACGTTTGCCCCATTTCGACAATGGAGATTTGTATACTACAGCAGCTTGTCTCTTGTTGGATTGGGGAGCACAGGTGCATATTTGCCCAACCACGTGCCAATTCCAGTGATGTCTGGAAGTGGTTGGGTGGTTTGTTTATTTAGCATACTTACGTCCCACTTTATAGGAGTTGTAATAGCAGCTTACGCAGGATTCTTAAAATAAAATGGTGCCCAAATCGAGTGGAAGAACAGAAATAAAATGGTGGTGCCCATCCGGAATCAGGATTATTTGGGCAGTGTTTTCTGCCCTCATCGTTATTCTTCCCTTGCACTATATTTGGTAGCGGCTCCCATTCATTTCTCTTGAAATTCCATTAGGGAACGCAGTCCTCAGCCTGAAAAAGGTTCCTCGCACCTCACCTGCTTTTCAAGGTGAACTCAACAGCTTCACCTTCTTGCATGCAGGTAGTTCTGGCAAAGGTGAGCTGTTTGGTTTAATCTCAAATTGAGGTATCTAAACAGCAGTGGTAGAAAGCAGGGACTAGCAACTTTTTTGGGGGGGTGGGGAACCTGGAGATGTGCCACATGGCCTCGGGAAGCTGCATCCCCCTCCCTTAGCTTGAGTCATCCTCAGAAGGGTGGACAGGTGTCAAGGAGGATGGGACTCCTGTGTTTTTAATAGCTATGCAGAAGAGGTTTCTGAGCCGAGGCAATTCTGTCATGCAAGAAGGTGAGAGGATGGCTATCTGTTATACGGGCAGTAGGCTCCCCCAGGAACCTATTTATAGAGCACGCGTCCTGATTTGCTTGTGGGGAGGTTATATGACAATGAGCAACCATCCTGATCTGCTTGTGGAGTGGTTCATGCATCTTATTCCATGATGCATTTTCCCATCACATTCCTAACTCCAAAAAGTCTGATTTTTTAAAATAAAAAAGTGAATTAGTTGCCCCTAGGGCTGCAGAGCACTTTAATCCACTTGTAAATTGTGCACACCAATCCCTCCCACAAAATATTAGTAAATCTGGAGGCGCCTACTGTTTCCCATAGCTGCGGAGATTAGAAGCACGTTGTTTGAAAACAAGGACCTGAGTTACTGTCAGGGACGTGGGTGGCGCTGTGGGTAAAACCTCAGTGCCTAGGACTTGCTGATCGTATGGTCGGTGGTTCGAATCCCCGCGGTGGGGTGAGCTCCCGTCGTTCGGTCCCAGCTCCTGCCCACCTAGCAGTTCGAAAGCACCCCTAAGTGCAAGTAGATAAATAGGTACCGCTTTATAGCGGGAAGGTAAACAGTGTTTCCGTGTGCGGCACTGGTGCTGGCTCACCAGTGCAGCGTCGTCACGCTGGCCACGTGACCCGGAAGTGTCTTCGGACAGCGCTGGCCCCCGGCCTCTTGAGTGAGATTGAGCGCACAACCCTAGAGTCGGTCACAACTGGCCCGTACGGGCAGGGGTACCTTTACCTTTACCTTTACACTGTGCATTTGTACATGTTATTGCTTTGTTGTTTTGTTTTACTTGTTTGTATCCTGCATTTTATTCTGGGAACTGCCCTGAGATCTTATGATGAAGGGTGGTATAATAATAATAATAATAATAATAATAATAATAATACAACCCCAGTCCCATGGAAAGCTCTTCCAGCAGAGATTCAGCAGGCACCTTCTGTTTTAACCTTCAGGCATTAGCTTAAACTTCTCCTTGCTACTAGGCTTATGCAGACAATTAAGAATACATCTTCTGTAATTGATAGCTGTGTGCGTTGGGGGGGGGTTAATTTAAAAAACCACATGTATTTTATTATATATGCTGTAAACTGCTTTGATATTTTCAATGAAATTGCAGCATACAAATCTTACAAACAAATGAATGCCACTGGCAAGAAAAGAGCCTTTCCTTTCTCAGATGGGGCTTTCTTCCCCACTGAGGAGTATTTGGCCAGCTTTCCATCACTGCTGGTGTCTAGCTCCACAGTCTTCTATCTGCTTTGAGCAAGACCACGTACTGTGGCCCTGACCCTTTGCTGCCCTGGTGGGAGGGTGTGGGCCAGAGCTCCTTCGGCTCCTCCTGCGCTGGTGGACCAGATAAGAGTTTCTTTGCGGCTGATTTCTTTGCTCTGACCATGTCATGTCTGGCTAACTGGCAGGTATCGGAAGTGCGACAAGATTGAGGCGCGGCGGGTGGAGCGGCTCTCTAAGAAAGGTAACGATTGAGTGGCTGTACATGGGTGGACTGATCATGTGCTGCTGTGTGATTATGTGTGGCCTCTTCCTTGGCGTCATTACAATATGATACGATATCTTTATTGTCATTGTCCCATACAGAACAATGAAATTGAAAAATCTACATAAGACATTCAAAAGCCCCACAAAACTCTGAAACCCCATTTTAAAATACAATATACTATAGAGACTCCTTATGCTGCGTTTAGAACCAGAATTGCATTTTCGTAGAACTGTTTCTCAGGCGGCTAGTCCTGGTCTTTATAACCCTATACCTTCTTCCAGAAGGCAGAAGCTGAAAGAGATCATTTCCGGGGTGCGTACTATCCTGCGTACTGCAATCTTCTGGTCCAAGGGCTCTGTGAACATATTTCTACCTGCATGTAAACCTTTTGGGTCCAGTCCCACATATACAGTGGAGTAGGGGTTGGGTGCAGGAGTTCTGTACTGGATACCCAGCCGTGAATTGCAATAAGCACTGGTTTCTACATCGTGATAGAATGGATGATGACATTCAGCACTTAAAAGACATATTCTTGTTCTAACAGGCTTTTGATGTTTAGTGGTCCATCACTTATAAAGTTTTGTGTTAGTCTGGGGCTGCTGTTTTCATTGTCGTTATCTGTGCATTTTGAAACTGTGTGTTTTGATATATCTTTAACTGTTTTTATCGATATGACCAGCTATGTTTGTTTTATCTTCCTGTAAGCCGCTTTGGGCAAAACCTTTCTGTGGGAAAGTGGGGTGTGTGTGTGCAAATGGACTTAATTCTTCTGCTACTATTTACTTATTGTCCTTCACATTGTGTATTGGTGGGTTATATTTTGCAAATTCACGTATTAAATTGTTACACGTTGTTAAACAAGCTCTGTTTTGTGGAGAAGTTGAAATTCGGTGTCTAAGCCTCTTTCAGAGACTGGGAAGAAAGGTTGAAGCTCGTGGATATTGGGGGGGTGGGGAGAGAGAGGAAAAAGAATGGGGTGTTTAGTGCCAGTCTTGTGTTTAATGACTCCCTGATAGTCCCAGACTGCCAGAGAAGGGGCAGATCTCCCTGTCCCTCCACCATCGGGGCACTTGGCGGAAGGAAATATTTTTAGTAGCCTGCTAAGAGTCTAGTGGGCTGCATTTATTTCTGTGCTGGCTGCAGAGAGGAGGCTTTCCCCTCTTCTCCACAGCTAGCATACAACTAAAGGTTGGTAGTAAAAAGAAATCATAGGCTAGTGACATTTGTAGGCTTCTTTACAAGTCCAATTCACAAGCCGTGGTAACTGCACTGAAGGGAGGAGTTCTTCTCCCACAAATGTAAGACACTCTGCCTGCTTCTAGGGGATTTGGGGCATTCCCTTTAAAAAAATGTTTCCATGCATCATTGACCAGTATACTTTTAGAACTGTGAAGTCAGGAACACATCTTGTGTATACAGAAAATAAATAGAATATTAATCAGAATGAACCCACTGGAATTTAATGGGCATGTCTAACCTAGGTCTGTTAATTTCAGCAGGTGTGCTCTGAGTAGAACTGACTTGAATGTAACCATCTGTGTGCAGGATTTGTGCTAGCAGGTCCATCCTATATCCCGTGGCTTCATTGCACTTGTGCAGAACTCAAGGTGCTCTGTTCAGGTGGCTCCAACCTCACTTGGTGCCAGTGGATACTTCTTCCATAGCGCTGTAGCTGCTTTTGATCTCTCTCCCTGGGACGTGCCCCATGGGGTTTGGAACAGAGGTAGCGTCCTTGTTTTGACCTTCAGCGTATAGGAGGTTCCAAAGCATCCTTCAATAAGCCTCTAGCGCTACTTGTTCAGGAGTATCAGAGTTGTGTATATGTGTATGTGGAAGAAAGAGAGAGCTCATGTGGCCACAGTGATATATTGGGGCTCCTTTTGCAGCTTAGCTGCCTTCTGTGCCCGGTGGAAACTTGTGCAGATGGCATCCAAGCATGCTAGCAACCAGGCTCTTGGTGATTTGCTCCTTAGACACTCTGATTGTTCATTTTAGGGACTGGCTTTTCATTTGGCTGATTTAGATTTGTAGCCTGTCCAGTCCCAAGAGCTCAGGGCATATGAGAGGGAGAGAGAGAGACCTGCATTCTTTGCTCCATTTTTAAAAATAGGATACAGTGGTACCTCGAGTTAAGTACTTAATTCGTTCTGGAGGTTTGTTCTTAACCTGAAACTGTTCTTAACCTGAAGCACCACTTTAGCTAATGGGGTCTCCTCCTGCCACCGCACAATTTCTGTTCTCATCCTGAAGCAAAGTTCTTAACCCGAGGTACTATTTCTGGGTTAGCGGAGTCTGTAACCTGAAGCGTCTGTAACCCGAGGTACCACTGTACAACACTTCCATAACAGTGGCTCTTTCCGCAAATTCATATTTGAGTTCCCGTTTGGAATCTGCCTTCACCTTGCAATGAAGGAGGGGACCCTGGGATGGGTTGCCTCTTCCATTCACACCACCAGGAAAGAATATGTAAACTGAGACACAGTGCCCTCCTAGTGGGATGGGCAACCCACTTCCTTGGCTCCTGTCCTGCTGAGCTCCACCGCAGGACTGGGGCATGTCCCATTGTGAGAGATCGAAAGCTCTGCAAGCTGGTAACCTCTTTTCTTTTTTCCTGATCATTCCTGTGGGTATTGTCAGATCTATTAAAAAAAAACCCTCTCTACTACTGAGATAGGGGTCTTCTTGCAAAGTAAGGCACCTCTAATCATATGGAACATAGGAAGCAGCCTTATACAAGGGCAAACATACTTGTTTACTCTGGCTTTCTCCAACCTGGTGCCCTCCAGATATTGCTGTCTACAGCATCCCTGACCATTGGTCATCCCTAGTGGGACTGGTAGGAGTTGTGGTCCAAAGGATCTGAAGGGCACCACGTGGTCTACTCCAGGGTCTCAGGAATAGGTCTTTCTGATCCCTCTAACTGGTGACACCAAGGGTAGACCCAGTGACCTTCTGTAAAGTAGGTGATCTACTTCTAAGCTATCATCCTCCATTGAGTAGTCAACAGTTTAACTTACTCATGACTTTGGTTGTATGCACACTGTAACTGTAAAGCACATTCTTTCCCTCAAAGGATTCTGGGCACTGCAGTTTACCCCTCACCGAGTTGCAATTCCCAGCAGCCCTTAATAAACTACAGTGCCCAGAATTCTTTGAGAGGAATGTGCTTTAAAGGTTAGTGTGTGTGCTGCCCCCAAGTCTCAATTGACTCCTGTGTGTATTGTCTGCAGGTGTCATTCCACTGAAATTGAGTGGGGGCTGTTTTTTATAGATCAAGGGTGGGGAATCTCAGTCCCACGAGCCAAAAGTGGCCATTCCTCCTGACCCACAAGTTTCTCCCACTACCTCTGCTGGCTCCAGCCTTTACTGGCTCTGCTCCAAGCCCTGCTTGAGTGCTTTTACCTGGCTGGAACTGATATTTTATTTATTATTTATTTATTTCATTTATATCCCGCCTTTCCTCCAAGAAGCCTCAAGGTGGCATACGTGCATGGTTCTCCCCATCCTCATTAAATCCCCACAACAACCCTGAGAGGTAGGCTGAGGCAGCCCAAGGTCACCCAGCGATCTTTATGACTGGGTAGGGAATTGAACTCTGGTTCTCCCAGGTCCTCGTCCAACACTTTGACCACAACACCACACTGGCCATCTTTTCCACAGTGAGCTGTGTGCCCAAAGTGGCTTACAGCAAACATTCAGAATGCAAAGCATAAAGGGAAGTCACCAGTAAATCCAAACAGGACAAAAACTGACAATTTTAGCAAACAGAATAAATTCAATATGACAGAAGGAATGATCTGGACTTAAATGTATAAGTTCAGAGCAGAAAGACTGTAAAGTTGTAGGGGCTGATCTTGCTTCACTCCACAGAGTCATAATAATAATAATAATATAATTTTTATTTATATCCCGCCCTCCCCAGCCAAAGCTGGCCTCAGAGCGGCTAACAACAGTAAAAATAGCACAATTTACATAAAAGCACAGTCAATTAATTGAAATACATTCTAAAATCAATTCAGAATCAAATTAATGGCAACCATTGGGCTAGAGTTCTATGAGGATTACAGACGGAGGAGGTTAGACTGTGCCTTGGTCAAAGGCCTGATGGAACGGCTCTGTTTTTCAGGCCTTGCGGAAAGATGTCAAGTCCTGCAGGCCCTAGTCTCTTGTGACAGAGCGTTCCACCAGATCGAGGCCATGGCCGAAAAAGCCCTGGCTCTGGTTAAGGCTTGAATGTGTTTAGAGAGGGAGGGAGTGGTCTTCTTGCCAGGCTAGATGACTTGCAGCTGGATCCTTCATCTGACTTCCAGGGAGTGGCTTCCTGCGATGAAAAGGAAATGTTGGGGAGGGCAATCATGGTGGAAGCTCCACTGCTAGTCTTAGTGCATTCCAAAAAGCCCCAGCAGCCCATCTTAAATGAGGAGAGGGTCTAGATTGCTTACGGCTAACTCCCTCATCTCTCCTCCAGAGGAGGCTGACAGCAGCAAATGGGAAATTCTGGGGAGGACAATGGTGTTGAGTCCTCTTCCACTGGAAGTTGCAGGTGCTGGTCTTGGAATGTGTCCTTGAACCGTGATTATTATTATTTCATTTCATCATCTGGTTGCCTTTTAGAGTAAGAAATAAAATGCAGCAGCCTCCCCGTCCACAGTGTTAGGACGTGCAGGTTCATGTGCCTTTTCTCTTCGCCCTGTCCTCCTTCTGGATGCTTTTGAGTTCTTGGCTCTCATAAAATGTAGTAATTTCTAATGTGGCTATTGTAATAAAGTGATTTTTTTTTCCACCTGGGGGATGGGCACCAATACAGCTCCTTGCCAGCAGTGCAAGGAACCCCAAGAGAAAGACAGTATCACCTCCCCTGACCTTTTGTTTTCTCAAATGAGGGATTTGAGAGGCAGGGCGGAAAGGGGGGGACAACTTTGCAACCTTGAGGCTGCTATACTGCTCTGTGCTAACAATGTGGGGGCATTGGAACCTGACCTGCAGTGACTCTTAGCCTTCGCTTGTGAGGAAAACCACAGCTATCAAATCTCCAAAAGGGGGCGGACCTTCCTTCTTCCACCATGTCTAGCCACAAGCTCTTCCTGACCCTTCTTGTACTCTGTCTCAGGGCAGATTTCTGTGGGACCCTCTGCCAATGTGGAAATTTTTAACTCTCTGAAAATGACTATTAAAATGCTGTTCTCCTTTATCTAGCGTTTGTATACTGCTTTCCAAGTGCTTTGCATCCGTTACCTTGTGATCGTTCTTTAACAACAACCTTGTGAGGTAGGGTAGCACGATCAGCCCCATATTGCAGATGGCAGGAGGGGCCCAAGGCCCAAGGGTCATCTAGCCCAATGCAGTACAGTCGTACCTTGGAAGTGGAACAGAATTCATTCCAGAAGTCCATTCGACTCCTGAAACGTTCGACCTCCAAAGCGCGGCTTCTGATTGGCTGCAGGAAGGTCCTGCAGCCAATCAGAAGCTGCGGAAACCCTGTCGGACGTTTGGCTTCTAAAATAACGTTCGCAAACCGGAACACTCGCTTCTGGTTTTCGATCATTCGGGAGCCGGAACGTTCGACTCCCAAAGCATTTGGGAACCGAGGTACGACTGTAATCTCAACTAAAGCGTTATAAGAAATATGTAAAGCATCCATAACAGATGGCCATCCAACCTCTGTTTAAAAACCACCTTCTGAGGGAGTCCATTCCATGATAAAGACTTTGTTCGAATGGCTTTATTTTTGTGTATATGCAAAGGAAGGAAGCTGTGATGTCAACTGCTCCTTTAGCAGCAATCCCCCTCCCTAACCCGAGTTCCTATTCCCTACTATAACTAAGCCTTCTCGAAGATAATTTCTTAATTCAGATGATCACATTTTCTCCTTCCCCTCCACCTCCCCTTCCTTCTCTTGCCTCTGTTTCCCACCCTGTTTCTGAATAATAGAGTGTAAGCTTCTCAGGGCAGGGACCTGTCCTCTTAAAAGGCTGCATGTACACCATATATTTAAAACACGTTATGTCCCCCCCCCCAAAAAAAAGAATCCTGGGAACTGTAGTTCGCCCCTTCCAATGCCAGCACCCTTAACAAACTGCAGTCCCTAAGATTCCTTTTCTTTTGAGGGGTTGGCTTTAAATGTATGGAGTAAACACAGCCATGAAATGAGATGGCTGTAAGGAGAGCAATCCCATCATTCAAACAGGTTGAGAACCATTGTGCTATAATGTAGAGGGTAATCTGCCCCCTTCCTCCTTCTCTCCCTTCTACTTTTTGCTGGGGGCAATGGAGGCTGCTAGGTTTTGAAAGTGCGTAGAGGAAGCACAGACAGACTGGGTGGAATTTGCTGGTCAAGGACAAAGATAGGTGGAGCCCTGCAAACCACAACAGATAGTTCCGGGACAATGGATTTGAGGATTGGGGGAATGTGATCTCTTCCCTGCTTGGGGATGGGGAGGGGGAAGTGGGCTTGCCTCAGGAAGAGGTGGGGCCTGGTTTTCCCAAGGGAAGCCATTCCAGGTTGAACCAAGCACGAGCCCTGCCTGGTGTATGTGTGGGAAATGGCATTTCTTGCCTGCAGACTGAAGAAGCACTGATTATGTGAGCAGATGATCTTGGGAAGAAGGCTGCGATTTGGGGGTGGGGGTGGGTGGCAGGGAAGGAGGGAGGGAAAAGCAAGGAGGTGGGCCGGGTTTTATTGGATCAGCTCTGGGCAGAAAGATGGCTGTAGCAGCGGAAGCCAAGACTCCTGACCTCTCTGTACTCAGCGTGGGGGGGGGGAGGGAAGGCAGCCTCAACATCAAGCCCTGAAAGGGCGATTCCCCCTTTCCCTGACCTGTGTCTGTTCCTTCCCTGCCCCATCACTGCATCTAATATGGAAACTGAGGCAGGGGTCTTTACTAACCCCCCCCACCCGTGAGAAAAAGGGTCGATCTCTGGAGTTTGTAATTAATTTCACATGCAATGTAAGGGATGGGGTGCAATGCAAAAAAGGGGGGATTTGGGGTGATGACTTAATATAGCAAAGACACCCAGAAAGAGTTTTGTAAGACTAAGAAGACAGATTCCCTGCAGCTAAAGTTTCATGACTGTCTGCTTTGAGTACTGTGGTCTTTCAGGCGGTTAGATTTTAAGATGCAATTTTTATTTTTAAAAAAATGTTTGCTGCTACCAACCTGGGCTGCAATCCCCTTGTGCATTCAAATGGGTGTAAGCTCAGAACTTACTTCTGAGTAGGCCTGAAGAGTCTTGTGCTGCATCACAGCTCCCCTTTTGGAGTTTGCAGGGAGGTTTTGCTGGGAAGACTCAAGCTGCCTTGAAAGCCTTGTGATGGGAACAATGGCCTAGACCCAGTCCTGGCCAGGTGAATGCTTAACTAGCCTTTGTATTGGAAATGAGGTAGTTGAGAAGACTGCCAGGTTCTCCCTGGGGGAAAAGAATCAGTTTTGCCTGCCTATTGAGAAAGGTAGGGTGGAGCCACAGCAAAATCATTATATCAGGAGGGACAGAGAGATATTCTCAGAACCAGATTGTTGGGAGGGAGGGGAGAAATAAATGAGCAATTGAAGAAGAGGGAAATATAAGACTTCTGTAAGGTAAGTGAGCTTATTAATAAGACTTTGCCAAAAGTGACATCCTGGATAGTATTGCTATTTTGCACCCCAGGCAGTGTTCAGAGCAGTTTCTGCGCTCTGGGCGCAGTACTGCGCCTAAATTTTCCAATTAAAACTGCAGAGTGGAAGAAAAGGAAGACCTTTTTCTGCCTCTCCACTTCCAGCTACTCTCTGAAGACTGGAGAAGAGACCCTCTTAAGAATATTAGGGGGAGTGAGCAGGGGAAGGACTAGACCATGTGAAAAATGAACATAATATTTTAGCTGCAGTTCATTTTCAGCACTGTATTCTTGTTATAAAAAAGCGCACCTAGACATTCTGTTGTTGCGCCCATAACCTACATTTAAGGTACCACTTAGCCCCTAGCTTTCATATCTTAGTTTCTAACACCGACCCCCAGGGAGCTCAGCAAATTAAGAGCTGTTACGAGGTGTGTTATTTCTTTTGTTAAATTTGTATCCTGCCTTTCCTCCAGGGAGCTCAAAGTTATTATTATTGCTATTAATATTAATAATTACCCACCATTCACCCTAAGGTCCTAGAATGGGTAGCAACCATTTAAAATACAGCTTGAAACAAATTGCAGTCACAATAATAGAGTGGATCTTGAAAATATTTATCTCAAGTGCCAAAGGCTAGGGTAAAGGGTATATGTGGTTGTTCCTCACAACAACCTGGCGAGGTTGAGAGATGGCGACAAGCCCAAGGTCATGTAAGGAGCCTCATGACTGAGTGCCGACTTGAACTTCCTAATCCAGCATTCTAACCCCCTACACCACACGACACCAGCCTTGCCCTGCTCTGATGTGCACAATCCCTCCCACATCCCTTGAAATGATGGCAGCCCTTCTGTAGAGTGTGTGGCAGAGTGGAGGTAAATGGGAGAATCTGGTCCTACCAGACAGCCCCCGCCTCGTGAGACTGCTCACTCCATGCCTTTGTCTCCAGGCCGTACGGTAGTGAAGCCCATCGTCCCCTGGGATTCGGAGGATTCTCAAGAGGAGTTCCCAGCCCCCTGGGAAGTCATGCTGGGGGCCACGGAGACAGCGGAGCAAGACTCCCTGCTGCAGCGCAAGTCAGCCCGGCGCTGCGTCAAGCAGAGGCCTTCCTATGACATCTTTGAATCCTCTGACTCGGAAAAAGAGATGGTGTCCGGCTCAGCCACGCATCGCCGGAAATCCTCCCGGGACTCAGGTGAGAGAGAGGGGGAGAATTCAAGGCTGCTTTGCATTAATCCTGCGTGTAGATAGCCCCGTGCACCAATCCTACAAAGGAATAATGTTGCTGCATGCTCATTGGAACTTCCCATGACATTCGTGTGGCGGGCTCAGTGTGCCTTGCTGGACTTGCACCACATCAAGTTAACTTTTCTGGATGATTTTGGCTGTGTGTGAAGCAGCCTTTGTTGTTCTGTAACTCTGTGGTTGTGTGAGCCACCCTACCCCATTTAATGGGCTTAGCTGAACCCTGCCCACCTCTTCCGTCTCAGTGGGGAACGAATGCTCCGGGGATGTGCCATTGTCTGAGGCCTGCGAATGGAGTCAGGCAGGAGTTCTTGCCTGCCACTACTCATGGTAATTCCCAAGCATGCTGTGGATGGGGGATGGGGGAACCTTTGACCCTCTAAATCAGTGTTTCTCAAGCTTGGGTCCCCTCCTGTTGTTGCACTACAACTCCCATCATTCCTAGCTATCAGCACCAGTGGTCAGAGATGATGGGGAGTTTGTAGCCCAACAATAACTGGGGACCCAGGGTTGAGAAACACTGCTCTAGATTATGTTGGACTACACCTTTCCCCATCCCTGGCCATTGGTCTTGCTGACCAGGGTGGATGGGAGCTTCAGTCCAAGCAGCTTGCGGAGAGCCAAAGGTTCCTCAGCCTTGTGGGAAAGGTAGCTGAGTTGCTGTGCTTTCGAGGACAAGAACAGGACCTTACCCAGTTTAGGACTGATCAAAGCTGACAGGGAAGAAAAGAGCTGGTTGACCGACAGTTCCTGCTTTCATTTCCAGATCTGCTTCCCATGGACTCTGAGGAGCAGAGTCGGCCCCGCAGGACCCCCCTCCAGCCTGTGGTGCAGCTGAAGGCCAGAAAAAGGCCAGAGAAGGTGAGGCTTGGGCAAGGATTAAGTCAGAGTGGGCAGGGACTATCTCACATTTGTTTTTTAAAATGCAGCGGTTTTATTGTGAGCCACATTGTATTCCACCATTATAGCCCTTTTTGGGCAGCGGGGGACAACTCAGCCCAAATATTTAGTGTAAAAAAGGGCTCAGTATGACCCTTGTGCCTTTTGAGTGTGTGTATGTGTTCGTTCCCAATATTCAAGTTGTTGTCTTTGGGAAGTGGCCATGACTTCGAGGGCCAAAACCGAATCTCCAAAGCAGGTCTTTAAAAACTTGCATCTTTCAGAAGTCTCTAGGCTGCTGAGCTAACCCATAGACAGTCCAGACTTTATTTGATGGCTGCTGAGGTTTGATGAGAGGTTTTTCAGTTTTGGTGTTTCCTTGCTGGTTTTTTTTTAAAAATATTCTTCTTTTGGTATATCACTAGCTTTGAGCATGACGAAAGCAGCCTATAAATGCAAATTGGAGCTGCAGAAAAACACCCAGAATTGTGGGGTGTTTCTATTCAGGGTTCAGCCAGCTAGCCAACCATGCCTTCCTTCAGAATAACCTCTTCCAGGACTAGAAGCCCTCCAGCTGTCTCACCATCCCTACTATTGGCTATGCTGGAGTTAGAGTCCAGCAACAACTGGAGGGACATAGAAATCGTGGTTTGTATCCAGCTAAGATTTGCTTGCAATAGACCCATTGAAATTGGTGGACCTCAGTTGGTCATGCCCATTAATCTCAGCAGATACACTCTTGTGTAGAACTAGCCTGGGACACAACCTCCTGTTTCCTTTTCCTCTTGGTCTGAACCTTCACCCTGTTTAGGAAAATGGCCACACATTGCATTTCCTGCTGGACTCTGTTCACTTGCCTCTCTGCCCCTTCCTTCCATAGGATGTCCCATCCTCTGGCACACTCCCATCTGTCTCCAATGGCTGGAACGGGAAGCAGAAATCCACAGATGGCATCCACAGACTCAGAGTTGATTTCAAGGTGCGGGGTGGGGAGTATCTTGTTTGAGAGATGCATCTTTGAAATGATGATATTGAAACACGAGACAAATAATGGGCCACAAAATGCTCTTTTGGGCACCCCTGCACATCTTCCTGCAAAAATAATAATCATCAAAGCCTTAATCTGATGTAACGCCTTTTTAAATATCTGCTTTCTGCTGGTGCGATTCAAGCTCAGCCAACTGCAAATGAGCCAGAACGCCCTAAAATCTGCCCCCAACCTACCCCTCATTCACAAATCACACATACCCATTGTACTTTGAAGAGCACAGCTATGTCTAACTTGATGGTACTGCCAGAAATACTCTGGCTTTCCTAGCTGCTTGGGAGCACTGCTTTTGTGCCAGCAGGGTGGGAAGAGAGAGGAGAGGAGGCTGCAGTGAGCTTAAAGCGATGCAGTGGCCACAGGTCTTGGCAACCCCAGCCATTTGTGGCCAAAGGCTAAGAATGATGGGAGTTTCAGTCCAGTAACGCTTAAAAGAGCCACAGGTTCCCCACCTCTGGGCTTGATGATCTCCAATCCCTTTCAGTTGAGAGATTTGCTCCATGTAGCTCTTTTCACAGCTATCCCTCTGCCCCCCCCCCTTGTGTACCTCGTAGGAGGACTGTGACCTGGAGAACGTCTGGCTGATGGGCGGCCTCAGCATCCTCACCTCGGTGCCGGTCACCACGCAGGTGGTGTGCCTGCTCTGTGCTAGCAAGGGGTTCCATCAGGTAGGTCTTGAGGAATGGGGTGAGGATACCTGGATTCTGGGATTTCCAGCATCTCAGTTGTGTGGGGTGGAGGGAATGGATTGCGAGCCCCATTCAGAAGGTTGGGGAGGGGGGCACTTGAGGTCTTGTATCCAAACATAGATAAAAACCTGCTCCTTGATCTCAGGAACCATTATGCCTAATTGGGATACAAATGCATAGCAAATAGACCAGGCCTTGTTTTGTAGATGGAACAGGGTGGGGGACATTGGGGTTGCTTCTAACTTGCAGAGAGTTTCCGGCTTCCGTGTACCAAAGCGCATCTAATGCAGCTGCCCACCATGTGCTTTGCAGCTTGTGTTCTGCCAGGTGTGCTGCGACCCCTTCCACACCTTCTGCCTGGAGGAGGATGAACAACCGTTGCCCGAGCAGGAGGAAAGCTGGTGTTGTCGCCGCTGCAAATTCTGCCACGTCTGCGGTCGCAAAAACAAGGCATCCAAGGTAAGGCGGAGTGTTTTCCCCCCAGTGTGGGATCTGTGCAAGGGGAGGGTCTGTGGAAGTAAACATGGCTGCTTACAGGGGCTGCACACCCCTCCCATGCTCTCGTGATCCCTACACAAAACACAGCTGGAGATGGAAGGGGTGGCCTCACCACTTCAGGAATGCAGGTCCCAAGAGATTGCCCACAAAGCAATGTAGCCCTAGACATTTAAAAAAAGAAGAAAAAGACACCCCTGAACTAGAGTGTGAGCAAAGGTTTTTAGCAGCATGCAAGGAAAGGGCATATCTAAGTGTTTTAAAGAGGAACAAGGAGGGTTGGGCAGTGTCTTGGTTGTCTAAAGAACAGGAATGAGAGGAATGCATGACCCCAAGATTTTACGCATTAAAGGCAGGCAAAGTTATATCACAACATCATGGGGAGAAATTTGGACAGGGATGGTAAGGAGAAGCATCTTTGTCATGGTATCTGATGTCAGGTTTGAAAGGATCCCAAGAACCTGATTTCCCGGGTAGGTTCCTACATGTGAAACCAAGAGCCGTGGCCTGCTCTGTGCATTTTGGTCACCTCTGTAAAAGCAGAGGCATATACACCTGCTTTGCGTTGTTCTTTCCTGCCTGTCTTCTTTGCATTTCTCATTGGGATTTCTGTCGTACCTGTGATTAGTTGCAATGAATTCCTGCCCCAAAAATGTGCGTAATGGCCTACTTTCCCTCTCCTTGTTCCTCAACCTGCCGCAGCAACTGCTGGAGTGTGAGCGCTGCAGGAACTGCTATCACCTGGCTTGCCTTGGGCCCAACTACCCCACTAAACCTTTCCGTAAGAGGAAGGGCTGGGTAAGTGTCTTGCAGATTCCCGGCACCCCTCTAGTTCGGCAGACCCTTCCCTCGCTTGTGTTGCAGCTGCTAACCTGTCTCCTTCATCCTCTCCCTATTCAGATCTGTTCGGCCTGCATCCGCTGTAAGAGTTGCGGGACAGCTCCAGGGAAGAACTGGGACACAGAGTGGTCTAGTGACTACAGCTTGTGCTCTGCCTGCTCTGTGCTCTACGATAAAGGTGAGCATAGCAGAATTGCCTGGGAAATGCCATGGGTTTCAGTTTGAGCTGTGCCAAGTAAGGCATTGCGAAGGGGCTGACATTCCACAAACAAGTTCACATATGTTGGAATGAAACCACGACAGACGAGTGGCAGGTGTCATATGAGAGGCGTCTGCTGGGGCAAGCCCCGAGAACTCTCTTTTATTGAATATTACAAACATTGCCACAGGTGTGCTTGTGGCTGATTGGTTGATACAAACACAAAGCAACTTGTTGCTGATTGGTTAACATAAGTACAAGGCGGGAATTACATACAAACATTAATCACCGATAGATTAAAGGCTGGGAAACGGAGCTGGAACTAGACAGGCATGAAGCCTCCTAATTAAATTATAACTAAAGATTGATATAGCATGACTAAAACAGTTACTAATGATTGATCATAACATGAAAGAATATAATAATCGAGTTCCGTAGATGTGGTCAGCTGTGCATTAAGAACAGGTCATATTGTTTGTTCATGAACTTAAGATGGACTGAGGAATGAGGGAATGTCTTGATGTTTAGAACAGGTTTGTACAGTGTGTGCAGAAGCAGAGAAAAGATTATAAGCGAGACTTCCCAGAATGCAAGAGAAAAGAAGCAATAGTTCTCATAGCAAGACTTCCCATAATGCCACAGTTATGTGCAGAAAGAGAACTTCCCTTTACACATATTTTGCTCACACAATGCGTGTCTTCCTTAGCCCTAGACAGCAAAGCCTTACACAGCACTGCGACCCAAATAGTTGTTGTATTCTTTCTTTCCTACAAGTTCACCCATTTATTTACATTTTCATCTGAAACTTCTCTTCCAGGGGCCTCTCCTCTTCTGGGATTTAATGGGCAGCTACTGGGGGGGGGGAGAGAAAGCCTTTTTGGGGGATTGGCCCCTCACCTTTGCCATGGCTTCCCCAAGGAGGCTTGCCAGATCTCTATTCTGGTGATGTTCAGATGGCAGGCAAATATGTTTTTGTTCTTCCTGGACTTTTAGAAATCCTACATTTTAATTTTGCTTTTAAAAAATTATGCAGTTGATGTAAAAGCTGTCCTGTTTGAGTTTTTTATGTTTTACAAACAGCCTTGTACCTGGATTCTAAGAAACCAGAACATCAGTGGAGTTTTGAAATTGGTGTTTAAGATCTGTGCCATTTTGAAAGCTTCAGTTTTAACTCAAAATTGTATCCAATCATAGACAGAAACCTGTTCCTTGATCTCAGGAGCCATCATGTCAAATTTGGGTGCAGTATCTGAAGAGGTGTCCTGATGCATAGCGAACAGGCAAACAACTTTCCAAAGTGTAGATTGATGATGCTGTTTATACTACAATTCATTGTTTTATATTGATTAGCTTACCTGATTTTGGACTCAGAAGGTGTTGGATATATACGGAGCAAATAAATAAAGGGGGAACGAATACACAGCTCATTTTGGGAGGGCTGAGAGAGGGCTTTGAATCTCACCTGACCTGCAGAAGAAGATTCCATTAGCTTGTTCTCTGCCTCCCTCTTTTCCCATCCAGGTAACTACTGTCCAATCTGCTTGCACTGCTATGAAGACAATGACTACGAGAGCAAGATGATGCAGTGTGCCAAGTGTGACCACTGGGTTCATGCCAAGTGTGAGGGACTCTCAGGTTTGTTCTGCTGCATCACAGATCCCTCTCCCTCCTTCACATCTGCCTACCTGCTTACATCTCAAATGGCAGGGAGGAGAAATAATGTGGGGGAGAGTTGTGGCAGAGTCAGGAGAAGACAACAGAGGCAATTGAGAGGCGAATGCAGGCCGCAGCCTCTGTTAAATTGCCTATGATATGCTCCCCTTTTTGATCTTCTGGCTAGGTCTTGCCCTTGACGGCATACGCCTGCCCATCTTGCTAGCGTTGGTGTGCGCAGCAGGGTGGCCTGAGAACAGCATGACAGTCTTTGGGCTAAGATTGGGCATCTCTGATGTGTTTCCACAGATGAAGGCTATGAGATCTTGTCCAACTTACCCGAGAGTGTCATATACGCTTGCCGGCCCTGCTGCGGCAGTGACAAGGCCAAGTGGCGGGAAGTCCTCACCTTGGAGTTGCGCAAGGGTCTCCGCCAGGTGCTTCAGGGCCTGATGAGTTCCAAGTGTGCCACCCCGCTGCTTCAGTGCACACAGGTATGTTCTCTCCAGGGCATGCATAAAAGCAGGGAGTTGTGCTTTTAAAATCACCGTTCTTGATCTGGCTGCCCTACTGAAGGAGATTTTTCTTGGCCCCATTCGCAGGCACACTTTGGGTCTGGCTGGGCTGGATGCATCCGTGTCCAGCACTCTTCAAACACAGTCTCACTCCTTCCTTTGATCTGGTTGCCCATTCCTTGGCTAGGTGGGAAGATGCTGGGATAGCTCAGTCGGTAGAGCATAAGACTCTTAATTTCAGATTCTCAGAGTCGTGAGTTTGAGCCTTGTGTTGGGCGAAAACATTCCTGCGTTGCAGGAGGTTAGATTAGATTACCCTTGTGGTCCCTTCCAATTCTATGACTTCAGCTTTCCATGATATTTGAGTCTGTAGGTTGCTTACCATGATAAAGGGGGGGGGGTTGTAATATTGAGTGACATCCCTAAGGATAAAAGGAATGTATTCCTTTACACAACTGCAGCAGCCAGAATCGTAGTGGCAAAAAATGGGAAAACTGATAAAATACCAGAATTATTAGAATGGAGAACCAAATTTCTTGAATTCGCGGAGATGGCAAAATTAACAGCATCAATTAGAGGCTACTCTAATCAAAAAATTAATAAAGAGTGGGAGTCCATTAAGGAATACATGAAAAAAGTTGGTGCTGGAGTTTAAAAATTAATATGCAAAAGTTTAAAAGGTGCAAGGAGATAGGATAATAATATATTACGGATGGAATAACAAATAAAGTGAATAACGCAACAATAACAAAAATAATACTAGGTAAAGAAGATCGCACACAGGTGAAGGGAAGTACTGGGCTGTGGGGGAGGGAAGTGAAGGGATTAATTGAAATTGTTAAAGATTTAAGAGATTTAAATTTTTATAAAGATTCTATAAGGAAAGCAGAAAGCAGCAAGAAACATCAAGTAAAGGTATCAGAGAGGAGATTAGTGTGAATGAAAACATGAGACTTATGGTTTTGTTACATATGATTTTATTTTGGAGTTGTCTGCTTATTTTGGAGTTGTTTGTTGTAAAGAATGTATATTCTGTGAATAAAATAATAAAGGATATGACATTTGGGGGGGAAGATAAGGGGGGGTAGAATCTTAGAGCTTATGGAAAATGTTTTGATTTATTGCAACACAGGACCTTTATGTCACAGAGTCCTTTGCATGCTGTAGGCAGGGGTGGGGTGGAGGCTGCAGAACAGGTGGCAGTGCCCCATTTTCCTCTGTCCTTTGCCAGTGCTGCCCAGATGACGGCGTGAAGGTTCACCTGCGGCCCTGTGACCTGCGCACTGTCAACAAGCTGTTTGAACAGGGTCACTACTCGTCTGTGGTGAGTGTTGGGAGCAGGGCTTCCAGCCTGGCACGGGAGCAAGGCCTCTGACCTCGGCTGAGCTGCTTTCTCTCTTTGCAGCATAGCTTCAATGAGGACATGGTGGGGGTCCTGCTGGGGCACACGGAGGAAGACCAGACTGGCCTTATGGCAAAGGCACTCTACATCGAGGTAACTCTGTACGATCGGGGTTTGGTGGGGAGGAGGGATGTGTGGTCTGGATTGACCTAACGTAAAACTAACTTGAGTGGGAATTGGGGGGGGGGGTGCAGGGGTGTTTGTGCACGTGCTCCACGTTGGGAGCACTTCCTCCCCTGCAATTCGGCACAGCCTCTCTCCCTGAACAGCCTTGTGATTGCCTGCTTTTTATCTTTCCAGCTGATGGAAAAGTTCTTCAGCTGGTTTGATGCTCAGGATGTAAAGCACTGGACCCGCAGCAGCACCCTCCCCAAGTGAGTGCTCAGGAGCTGAAAGCGCAGAAGTCACGCCTCCCCCTCACCAACGGTGTCCATTCAGAGCCTCTCTGGTGCTTTTTTTTGGGTTGGGGGGGAATTGCAGGCTTCAGACGCACCATGGACCGCTGTGTGCAATTCAGTATGGAAGTTCCAACGACATTTTGGGAATCTGGAGAGGGGCTCAAAATAGGAGCTGTGTACAAACTACAAAAACCTCCCAGGCCCAACATAATCTGTTTTCCTTGAAATTTGCTGCTACTCCAAGTGAATAGAGTGGGAATTTGAATTGGTTATGGGCATGGAATATACACAGCCTGGTCTCCTCTTCCTTTTTGTCACACTTTTTGTTTGGTAAAGTAACACTGGAAATCTGTATTCTCACCACAATCTAATCCCGAGTCTAAACCATCATAGGTGCAGATGAGAGATAAGAGGGTGAGATCACAGTAAATTCATGGGGATGGGGCAGACTTGGCCCTGTGTCTCCCAGTGGCAAGACTTTTTATCTGTTCACAGCTCCCACAATTGGCTTTAGATCCTGTTCTTTTCTTACCACCTCCCCTTTTTATTTTTGCATTTCAGTCACTTGGCTTCAAGCCTGTTCTATATCTATTCCTGCAGCCTGTTTCAAACTCCGAACTGGGGTTGCCTTAGAACCAGAGCTTCTGCAGCCCCTGACAACTTCTTCTTTTCTCCCCAACAGTGGCATGCTTCCTAACGCTGTTCTGCCTCCCTCCTCTGACCACATCTATGCTCAGTGGAGGCAGCCTGAGGAGGTCATCCCGGCTGCCAACAGCCACCTGGCTTCTACTGGGTCTGAAAAGACAGGTGAGATTTTGGGTTTCATCAGGCATAGGCAAACTCGGCCCTCAGGATGTTTTGGGACTACAACTCCCATCATCCCTGACCACTGGTCCTGTTAGCTAGGGATGATGGGAGTTGTAGTCCCAAAACATCTGGAAGGCCGAGTTTGCCTATACCTGGTTTTCATGGAGTAGAAGCTGTCTCTCTACATGCAGACTCCCTTGGTTTTTACAATTGCCCAGGAGAACTTTGGCTGCTGCCGTTCTCCTGCTAGAAGGGAACATAAGAAGCTGCCTTATACCAAGTCAGGGCATTGGTCCAACTAGCTCCATATTTTCTATACTGACTGATAGTGAACCTCCAGGTATAAAATAGGTCTCTCTTAGCTGTACCTGGAGATGCTGGGGATTCAACCTGGGATGTTATGCATGCAAAGCCATGTGCACTATGCTTGAGGCTTGTCACTCTGTATTTCCTTCTTTCTCTCCTGGTTCCCTCTACATCAGGGTTTCCCAGACTTGGGCCTCCAGCTGCTTTTGGACTACAATTCCCATCATCCCTAGCTAGCAGGACCAGCGGTCAGGGATGATGGGAATTGTAGTCCCGCTGTTTTTGGAGACCCAAGTTTGGGCAACTGCTCTACGTCAAAGGTTGGAAACCCATGGCCCTCCAGTTGTTGTTGGACTCCTAACCTCCAGCATGGCCGCTGGGGATGTGTGATGGGAGTTGAAGTCCAGCGATATGCAGAGGGCCAGAGATTCCCCACTCATGCTCTGCACAGAAGATCTCTGTTTCCTTTCTGGAAGATGCTCTCTGAAGGGATGTTGAGGGGTGGGGCTTCTTGCCCTCCAGCGGTTGGAGCTCAATGCCTAACCGCTTTCCTTCTCTTCCTGTAGCTGGGAAAGACTCAGAACATGCCGTGCTGCAGCAGCCATTGGATGACCCTGAGGACAAGAGACAGTGTGCCTTGTGCCTCCAGTATGGAGATGCTCCTTCCAAGGTAAGACTACACCCTTCTGCTTTGATAAAAACATAAGAAGGACCATTCTGGATCAGACCCAATGGCTTGTGCATCCTGGCATCCCTGTTCCCCACAGTGGCCAGTTGAGAAGCCCAAAAGCAGAATGTGTGCACGATAGAGCCCTCCTGCTGCTGTTGTTGCTCTAGTGCAGGAGTTGTCAACCTGGTCCCTACTGCCCACTAGTGGGCGTTTCAGGATTCTAGGTGGGTGGTAGGGGGTTCTACGGCACAAGCCGAATCCTCCTTCCATTGAGCACTGGTGGGCGGTGAGGAAATTTTACCATCAAGAAAGATGCATTAGTGGGCAGTAGGTATAAAAAGGTTGCCTACCCCTGCTCTAGTGACTGGCATTCTCAGGCACACCGTCTCTCAGCCTGGAACTATGTAGCCATTGGGGCTAGTATCTTACCGATGGAAATTGTCCTATCTGCACCTTTTTGAGGCTGTATTGAGAGCATAAGGGGAGAAGTGTGGGAGAACCAAATCCACTGGCTTTGTAGGGTGGTTTTGTTTGTTGTTGTGGAGGAGGCAGCTGAAGTGGAGGATTGGACAGGGCCAGGAAATCTATAACCCCTGGATCCTGTCTCGTGTCCGGGAGGTGACCATCTGAACCCCTTGCAAATCCCTTCCTCGGGGCTAGACCTTGAGGTGTTGCCTTCCCCCTCCCTCTTCAACATGAGCTCTCTTCCTGCCCTCCAGGACGCAGGGAGGCTGCTGTACATCGGCCAGAACGAGTGGACGCACGTCAACTGTGCCATCTGGTCAGCCGAGGTCTTTGAGGAGAACGATGGCTCCCTGAAGAACGTGCATGCTGCCGTAGCCCGGGGTCGGCAAATGGTGAGTTGCACTTCTCTCCATTCAGCTCCATAGAAGAGGGGATAGGACCAGACCCTCCTTGTGGCCAGAGCTGGATTTATGTACAGTGGTACCTCGGGTTTAGTACTTAATTCATTCTGGAGGTCTGTTCTTAACCCGAAACTGTTCTTAACCTGAAGCACCACTTTAGCTAATGGGGCCTCCTGCTGCTGACGTGCCGCTGGAGCACAATTTCTGTTCTCATCCTGAAGTAAATTTCTTAACCCAAGGTACTATTTCTGGGTTAGCAGAGTCTGTAACCTGAAGCATATGTAACCCGAGGTACCACTGTATAAGCTAAACAAGCTATAGCTTAGGGCCCCACTCTCTTGGGGGGGGCAGAAAAATTTAAAGGGAAAAAAACCTGGATGTATATTTCCAAAATATAAGATAAAAAACAAATAAAATAAAACCTACATACAGCAACCGTGTTTTGTGTTGTGTATGGACCTATAGCATATATGTAACACAAAAAACAGTGACAATTTGTTGTTGACAAAGGACAGCTGGACATATAAAGGGCCTCATTAACTTCAGTAGCTTAGGGCCTCATCAAACACAAATCCGGTCCTTCTTGTGGCCTCAGTAGAATTCCCACTATAAGCGAGGGTCCTGAAAACTTGATTGCTGAATAGGAGCAGGGAAACTTTTATCGGTCCACATTGCCACAATTCAAAGACACGTTCCAACCAGGCAAAAGTATTCAAGGAAGAGGGCATGGGAAGGGAGCCTCGTGATAGTTGGACTCAGGGGAGATGGGGGCGGAGCCTAAGGAGGGTTCTGTGGGCCAGATAGAGAGGCCTGGGGGCATTTGCTCTTGAACCCGAGGCCCCCCACCCCTGCTGTAGAGGACCGAACTAGCCTGCTCCTGAAGCGACCCACTGATGCTACCCATATTTCAGCCTTAGTTTTGCAGTCACTGCTGCTCAAAACCTTTCTTTAAAAGTCGATCTCTGAGATTCTTGGTATGCTGAATTTTGCTCCAGTAATTGAATTTCCACAATTGCACACAGCATATGAATAGCGATGTGGACATGATGGTTTAACAGCTGTCCAGTCTTTTTCGTCAGCCAGATCGTATCTTCCCTTTACCCGCTTCATACTTAGAGCCTCCACTTAAATTAAGAATCAAAACTCCTCTCCCTCCCACCCCCCACCCCCCCGGCCAGGGTGGAGCTGAAAACTCCTTCCAAGTGTTCACCGCTGTGAGAACAGTGCTTGGATATTACTACAGATCTTATCAATCAACTAGAAAGTCCCAGCAAGACTGCATCGTCAACATGGCTGCTTTCTGCATCTGATTGCATTGATGTGTAGGGTGATCTTGATGATGAGGAGAAGAGAGGAAGGAATGGGGTGTTCGGAGTGCATGTTTGTCTCTATAATGTGTGTATAAATGCCCTCCCCAAATTACATCTTGGTCAGAAATGAATGCAGACTGATGATTTTGCTCCTTGAGGACATTTTGGCCCTCTGCGTCTTTGCTTAGTGCCACACACTTTATCCCTTGCCCTGCTGCAGTGGCGTTCCTTCCACACCTTTGGCATACCTGTCTCTTCCCCCCCCCCCTTAGCGCTGCGAACACTGTCAACGTACGGGGGCCACGGTTGGCTGCTGCCTCTCCGCGTGCATCAGCAACTACCACTTCATGTGCGCTCGCCTCTGCCAGTGCACCTTCCAGGATGACAAGAAAGTCTTCTGCCAGAAGCACGTTGACCTCCTGGATGGGACGGTAAGTGGGGAGGGCACCATCAGGCTTCCTGTCGCCTCTGGGATGAGTGGGTCATGGGTGGGATAGTTCTGTTAGGCCTGGCATCTTGAAAACATACGTAAAATGTAATTTTGGAGAGTTGTGTCTTCTGAAGCTTGGTCACTGCAAATTGAATTTAAGAGGGTCCCTTGGCCATGTTGTCTGCCTTTTTAGGAGATAGTTGCTGAAGATGGGTTTGATGTCTTGCGCCGCGTCTACGTTGACTTCGAGGGCATCAGCTTTAAGAGGAAGTTCATGGTGGGCCTGGAGCCAGACACCATCAACATGATGATAGGTAATTATATGGGGACAGGGCAGGAGAGCAGCACTTTGCTATGCAAACACTGTGGTCCAGAGTAGATGGGATTTTCTCCTCTAGCAAGTGGGTGGTTCTGCAGTTGAACATGCAGGGAATAGGAGGGACCAGCTTGCTTCAGAATGGAGCGGAAGAAATGGATTCATCACCGCTCTTTGCTCCTTGTATCTGTCACGCTTCTGTTCTGGCAGTGTCTGCGCTGGTTATCTCAAACACCAGCAAATAAGCTTGTTGTTAATACTTAATGGGAGCAGGGAGAGAGAGGGAGGGAGGGCCTCGTCTTCAAGGGAAAAAGTAAACTCTGAAACCAATGGGGTGGAGAAACATTTGTCCTCTCTGAACTATATCTTAGATTGCATCCTGTCCCATAGTGCCAATGCCTGCTAAGCCAATCCCTGTCTGTGCCTACACCTTGAGTTCCTGCATCTTGGCTAGGCCCATTCTGGGAACCCAGAAACTAACTTTCTTGGTTCCCTTGTAGACGGAGTGCAGGATGCCCTAATTTAGCCTCTCCAGAGGTGCCTAAAAGGCAGAAAATCTAAGCAACTATTCTTTATCCTTTCCCTTTGCTCATGCGCTAATTACCATGGGGCACCGTCCACTGGGACACCCTCAGGTGCAAACTCCGTTGAACAGAGGCTTCTGCAGCAGAACTCCCCAGTGGGTTGTATCCATTAGGTCTGATAGGTTTTTCTCTCTCTCGTGCTCTGCCATCCTTAATAGCCCCCCTAACCCATGTCCTGAGGCAACTGCCTTTCTGTTAGCCTCATTTTTGCTCTGCTTCTGGCTCTCTGCTCAGTGTATTTCTGCTTCCAGGCTCCATGAAGATTGACAGCTTGGGGATGCTGACAGATCTGTCGGAGTGCGAGGGACGCCTCTTTCCCGTAGGCTACCAGTGAGTATCCGCATTAAAGTTGGTAGCAACCTCACACCCACCTTAAGTGACAAAGGAAGAACAATCCCATGCTAGCTGTCCTGAGGATCGTCGCCAGGGGAGCCGCTATGGGGGGGGGTGTATGGGTACGAGATGGCTTTTGGCAGGGGATACCCAGAAGAAAAGGACTGGGCAACTGCTTCTGTGCCACACTGCTTCAAAATTCTCTGCCAGCTTTAGGAGTCCTCACAGCATTTGGGGCCGTTCCTTCAGCTCTGATTTGGTCAAGCATGAAGAGCAAGACCCAGTTTCCAAAATCACATTGAGACCACGTTTTCCTCTGAAATCATGCTAAAATCAAATTTACTGAGCAAGTAATGCTTGCCTGTTGCATTTTATTATGATGTCGAAAGACCCCAAACTCCTTTTTAGGCAGTCAGAATCCAAGAGCACTCAACACATGGAAGTTGATCCGGCTGCCTTCACTGTGTGCCCAGGATTCCTGGATTTCACCCATGTGAAAAAGGGCTCAGGTGTCCTAGGTGGCCTTTAGACAGGCTGCTGCCTTGACTGTCCACACCACTGAAGCTAATTGCACTCTTTCCAGGGAGCTGCACTCAGTCCTGGCTCCTGGATCTTACCTGTGTGGTGCCTGCTTTTGCAAGCACTGGTTTGTTGCATTCACACTGCACATATTTGGGTATGGATGGATCTTGAGAGAGACACTCAAGAATTGAAAATGCAATTTGTGTCTGAAGCATCCCTTGGTGGTTTATGTACTGAACATTTTGAGTATTTAATAGGAAGGGAGGTGTGTGTTAATGTCGCTCTCCTCTTAATACAGTATTAAATTAATGGTATCAGAAAACTTTTCTACTGTGGTTGCTGCTGTGCGGATGTTTGCAGCACTGCATCCCTCAAGTAACCTCTCCAGATGAAAAATCGCCCACCATTTGCCTTCCTTAAAAGGATTGTCATACAGTTTCCCATTTAGAATAATTACGGGCTAGTGAAATAATAGAAATACAGGTTTTAAAAAATTGTTTCGATCCTTATTTTAGTTTAAACCCGTTCATTTTATCTGGCATGAAGGATTCTACTGAATAGATGCTGAAGCAGATACTATCTTAGCATGGATTAGCTTACCTTTTACGCCATCCTCTTGGCAGGGTGGCTCAAGAGAAGGGAGGGACTTTATCCTCCTCCACTTCTCCTTGGGAGCTTTCAGCACGTTTCTTATGGTTAAAGCATCACCTGCTACGGGGATGGTGGGTGTGAAACCAGAATGTGGTCGTTATTCCAAGTGGATTAATGCACAGTGTGGTGTGTTTAGGTATCTGCACACATGGCATGGGGGATTATTTGCAACCACTCTTTTCCTTCCCTCCCATTTTTTAAATTTTACTGATTGGAAAATGCTTGTAACCGATCTCTGTTTTCCCCTCTTTTAACACGAATGAGGGCTGTGTAGGATGCAGTTCAGGATGCTCTGCATCTCACCGCGGCCAATCAGATATTGCGTAGCTGTAACAACATACAAGATTTGTAGCATAATGCAGCTACATGGGTCACAGCAGCCTTTGCCAACCCGGTGCCCTCTAGATGTTTTTAACTACAACTCCCAGCCACATGCTGGGAGTTGGTGAAGGCTGGCTTTCAGGTCCCTACCCAGTAAACTTCTAAATAGCTAACATCTTTTAAATTTGCTGTTACAACATTTATTCCCCAACTTTTCTCCAGAGAGCTCAACTTGGAGGACATGGTTCTCCTTGTTATCCTCACGACAACTCTCTGAAGTAGATTAGAGTGGGAGTTGGAGACACCCAGTGAGCTTCATGGCCTAGTGGGGATTTGCACTCTGGTCTGCAAGGTCCTAGACCCAAAACTCTAGTCATCACACCACATTGACACTCAACATATTCCCCAGCTGTCAGAAACCACTCTTGCAGTTATACAGAAGGATGGGCCTTGGTTTCAGCTGCCATGTAGATTCTTTAAAAGCTCCATAACAACCAGAACCAGAAAGCCGTCTTTCTCCTTTGCCCTCTCCACAGTCTTCTCTCATTTGCTTCTTGCTGTGTTCTGTCTAGCAAGAGCCATGGAAGTGTCTCCCATTTAATTGTGCAGGATTTTGCCAGACTTGGGAAGAGTTTCCCTGCCTTTGAAAAAGGACAAAAGATCCTAGCAATCCTCTGCAGTAGCACACACAACCTGGGAAACTTGTTTTTCAGCAGGTATCCCTTTCCCTTTCTTTAAAAGGGCAAGGCATGTCTCTACCTGAGGCCTGGGAGCCAACATGTCTGCTTCCACTTCTGAGGTGCTCATAGGAAGGTTGACAGTCATTCTTGTTATGCCAGTGCCCTGCAATTGTGGACTGTGGTGCACAAAGATAGCTGCTCTTTACACAGCCTCTGAAAATGTTTTCCTGGTTGTGTGCCTTTTCTTCCCTCTGGCTCTTTAAACGTTTGCTTTCTGGAACTGCACTTGGCGTCCATCTGGCAAAAGCAAATCAAATGTCACATGAAAATCTCTGGTGCTTGCTTCCTCTCTGCTGGTCAGGCATGAAGAGATGAGGGAAATTCTTTTTTCCCCCTCTGAAGTTGTGTGAATTGCTCTCTCTCTCTTCCTTCCTTCCCCAAACTGGTGGTCGCCGGATGTTTTGGACCAACTCCCATCAGTCCCCGACCAGCACAGCTGAAGGGATATGCCATCTGGAGCCCACCAGGTTAGGGAAGGCTGAAGTATCTGCTGGAATGTGCCAACATTCACAAATCGGTTTTGCAAAACCTTGGAGCGGGGCTTGTTATCTGTTTATGAATAATCTGCTCCACCCATGGTGAACCATCTAAAGGCCCTACCCAAAGAATGGAGAACGTGTGGCCTCATCTGTGAGGTCAGGCTCCAACTCCTATCATCCCCAGCCAGCATGACCAGTGGTCAAGGATGATGGGTATTGGAGTTCAATAACTTCTGGAGGGCCACAGGTTCCCCATCCTTAATTCAAATGCCCTAACCGCTAGGCATTTGCCACCAAGGATAGGAGGCCACTTGGTTGCAATGGGGGCTGATCCATTGGGGCAAATGGGGCACTGCCTCACCAACCTTCCCCTTGAGGTCTCCTAGCCCACCTGTGGCCTTACTTGCAACCAGTCCAAAGGGTGGCTCTGGCTGTCTTGCTTCTTGCACCTTTGCCTCGGCGTTACCCATGTACAACTAAGTAGGGGCAGGTGCAAAACTTAGTTGGCTCTGCCAGTCATTGGTTCCACTTACTGTTAGACTCCTTGCTTTCCTCCCAGCAATCCTGCGCCACTGCTTTGAGCAAGCAGCCCCATGGCAGCCAGAAGGCGATTCTGATGGGACTGCCTTTGTGTTCCTTCCACCTCCCAGGTGTTCCCGTATTTATTGGAGCACGGTGGACGCCCGCAAGCAGTGCTGGTACAAGTGTCGCGTCCTGGAGTACCGGCCGAAGCTGAGTCAAGAGGAGCCTGATGCCTCGGGAGTGCAGGAGGAGAACCACACGATAGTGCACAGCCCAGCTGCCCCTGCAGGTAAGGGGATCTGGGATGTGCAGCTGGGCTGGCTTTTGGATACCGTCATCCTCTCCATCTGCAGTAGGAAGTCTGGGTGGCGATAAGTTTTCCTGCCCACTTGCATGTTGTGGGGGGATGCTCTGCATCCAGCTTGACCTGACAAAGAGGTTAAAAGTCAAACACGTTAAGCCAGTTTAGTGGTTAAGCTACTTCTCTGGGGCAAATATTGGAGCTTACTAGTCCATCCTTTCTGCTCAAAACCGGAATACAGTCATGCCTTGGTTGTCAAACGCCTTGGAACTCGTATGTTTCGGCTCCCGAACGATTGAAAACTGGAAATGATTGTTCCAGTTTTCGAATGATTTTCGGAAGCCGAACATCCGGCACAGCTTCCAATTCAGTACAGGAAGCTCCTGCAGCAAATCGGAAGCTGCACCTTGGTTTTTCAACGGTTCCGGGCTCCCGGAACGTATTCTGTTTGAAAACCAAGGTTTGGAGTTGGGGCCTGTCGCCCTTCAAAGTTTATGGGCTCCAACTCCCATAAGTGGGGGGGCGGGTGCTGGGAGAGAAAAATAAGAGCAAATGTATATAAGAGTACAGGTCTTCAGCCCATGTAGACCAAATGGGCAAATAATCTGTTCTGGAATAAGGCGATTTTCTTGGTTCTGTGCTGTCTTTTCTCAGCACAAAGCCCACAGTAAGGGTTGCCGGCTTCTGGGCCCTGCCATTGCCATGCATGGTCTCTTGTCATGTGCCTTTTCATGTTTTCAGATCCTAAACTTGGGAATGAGCATCTTCAGGATGTGCCCCCTCCACTGCCGCCGCTGGAGCGCCACTCACCCGCACAGAACCCAGGGCCTCTGCCCCCCCCGGAGTCTGCAGCCTCCAAACACAGGTCTCTCACTGGAGCTCGCATCAAAGTGCCCAACTACTCCCCTACTCGACGACCCATAAGTGGGGTGTCATCCCGCCCGCTGCCTTCTCCTGGTGAGTAGCTTTAAGGCCACGTAGGCAGAGTAGGCAGCACAAAGGCGTCTGAAATGGAGGCCAGCAGCTGGATGCTCCAAGTCCAATTCTTGCTTTGAAACAAGGCTAATGGAACAGGAGAAGCAGGAGAGGAGCATTAGCGAGCGCAGGGAGAATGGGGCATGAGCCCATTGGTGATCAGAGATGGGGAGAGGTTCTGGCATGCCTGTGCTTTACTGCAGTCCTTTGCATGTGGGTTGTGATATTGTTGTGTCTGAGTGGTTGGCTGAGAGAGAGGGTGTTTGAGGTAGACCCTGGGAAGCCCTGGCCAGTCAGCGTAGACCAGGGGTGAGGAACTGCAATGGCTGCATTCCTGTCTGGGCAACTTTCCAAAGACCACACACCTGGGGTTGGGGGGCAGAGACAAATATGGGCAGAGCAACTTTGCCTTTGTTCAGTAGTCTGGTTTCTACATACACAAACACCTCTTTCTATCCAGAGGCCTTACCAGAGTTTAAGGGCGTATTCCAGCTGGGCAAAAGCACTCTGGGTGTGGAATGGGGCCAGTGATAGAATTGTAGAGTTGAAAGGGGACCCCGAGGGTCATCAAGTCCAACCCCCTGCATCCATAACAAATGGCCATCCATGTGTTGCCTGAGGAGTGTTGCCAGAGCCAGAGAGAGCGGCCTGGAAGGTGGCATTCAGACCTCCGGCCTGAGCTTCCCCATCCCAATACTGAGCTAGACAGACACAGTGCTCTGACTCCAAACATAGGAAGCCGCTGTCTACTAGGTTCCTCAAAAGTTGCAAGTTATCACATGGAGGAGGGAGGCGAGTTGTTCCCTGTGTGGCTAGTGCATTTGTGCATCTGCCTGTTTTGCTTCCCACCCCCTGTTGACGTGCTCTTCCTGTTCCCTCCACCACAGGGAGCGCATCATCCATGTCCCACCACATCTTGACGGTGGGCGACCCCGACTTCCCCCCTCCACGCCGCACGCAGCGCCTCAGCCCCCTGTCTCCCAGCAGCGTCCCCCACGCCCACCGCTCCCCCCTCCCGCCGCAAGCCGCTGCTAGCAACAGGACTAGTCCCCCCAGCACCTCTCTCAGGGCCATGCCGCCTCTCCCGGACAACCCCCTGGCGGGGAGCGGCTTCAGGCATACTTCTACCTCTGACGGGCAGCGCCCCCTACCTACCTCACCCCCTCCCTCGCCCCCGCCCGTCCCGCCAGAGCTGGCTTTCGAGCTCAACGTCTCCGACCTGGAGTTTGACGACAGCCTCCTGGACGAGCCTTTCCAGGAGGAGGAGCTGGGCGTGCCGCGAGCCTGCCCATCGCCCAGCCTGGAGCTGCCCCAGCTGGACGGCCTGGGCGACGGCGAGAGCGAGGAGGAAGGGGAGGCCAGCCGCTACTTCCGCTTCCCCCGCACGGTGGTAACCCGGGAGCCGCCCCTGCCTCCGTACCCACTGGACCTCCCTCTGCCCCACATCCACCAGCTCGACGGCATCGACGATGGGACCGACAGCGAGGCGGACGGGGCAGGGGGCCACCCTCCGGCCAAGGGCAAGCAAGCGGAGCCGAGAGTCGAACGGGAGCTGGCTGGCCCTGCTCCTGCGCCGGAGGACCTGCCCTCGGACATTGTGGACTTCGTCCTGAAGAATATGGACACGCCGGAGAGCAAGGCGCCGCTCTCCTCCTGCCTCAACCAGGCGGCCTCGCCGCCACCAGCACCCCCTACCTCTGCCAGCCTCAACGGCACCGAGGCAGCCCACCCCAGCCCCGCTCCAGACCTGGCCCCGACCCTGGCTTGTGCCCAGGTGCCAGGCACCCCTGAGGTCAAGCTGCTGGGACCCGAGGGGCAGCTGCCCGGCTCCAGAATCATCCTCGTAAACAAGCTGGGACAAGTGTGCATGAAAGTGCAGGGGGAGGAAGGCGCCTTGAGCACCCCGGACGGGGAGCAGGCCTCCGGCTGCAAGGCCGTGCCAAGCCCGGCACCGCCACCTCCTGCGCCCGTGCCCAACCTTGGCGCGGTCATATTGCGAGCGCCCCTGGGCCTCACTTCCAGCCCTTTGCCCACGTGGACCATCCGGGGCCCGGTGCTCAGCATGGTGCCCATGATGAACGTCGTAGGCGCCACCCCTCAGGCCGTTGGCGGGGGCCAGCTGGCACTGGGCACTCCAGCTCTGGTGACGCCCTCGCTGGGGATCCCACAGACGTGTCTACTTCAGCCAGTGGCTGTGAATTCTGGCGTGCTCAGCATCCCCGGCTTGGTGTCCTTGCCGGGCCCCCGGCCGGCCATCCGGGTCAAGAGGGTCTCCACCTTCGTTGGAAGCATGCCTCTCAAGAAGGCCAAGGTGGACGGCGCCAACGAAGAGGAGCCGCTGCCCGTGTCGCCCACCGTCACGCCGGATCACTTGGTGAATAACTGCATTTCTGGCAGCACGGCGGGCTCAGGGTAAGTGCAAGCATGTGATCTCTACACTCTTAAGCATGGGAGGGCTAAGGAGAAGGAGTGGTCCTTTGTGGGTTTGTACTTCAGGCCAAGCATGGCTTCTCTGGATTTATCTGGGTAGCCCCCAAGCTGTGTGTTTTGTTTGTGCCCGTGTTCACAAGGCCTTCTTTCCCTGCAGCTTGGGAAGGGTGCGGATGAAGACCCCCACAGCCAAGGGCGTCCTTGACCTGGATGCGCTCAAAGAGGAGGCAGGCGCTGTCGGCGAGAGTGAGCTGTGAGTGTGCGGTTGGAGGCTGCGGAATCCTGTTCCTTGCCTGCCGCAGGGTTTTTAAAACAGCCCTTCTTTCTTCCATGCCCCCGCAGGTCTCCGATGGACCATTCGCCCTCCTTCGCAGCGTTACATTCCCATCCTGGAACGCCGGAACCAAACCAAGAGGCTCTGCTGGAGCCAGTCTGGCATAGATATGCAGGTACTGGGATCTCTTGCCTGCCCCGCTCTGCCTTCAAAATAAGGGTGGTCGGTGCTGAGCTGGGAGGCTGTGGGCTGACTCCCGGCGTACAGAACCAGGGATTAAATGTCCACATTTGCTGTATCGGGCAAATTGCTGTGCACATGGTACTAAGAGCCAGGGTGGTGTGGCGGTTGAGTGTGTTGGATTAAGACCAGGGAGACTTGAGTTCAAATCCTCACTCACCCCTGTAACTTGCTGCAAGTCATCCTCTCTCACCCTAACCTACCTCACAGGATAGTTGTGGAGATTGAGGGTGGGACGAACTTGAAGGAAGAGACAGGATAGAAATATAATAAAGCATTAAGCAGCTATGTATCTCTTGTTCATTTGTTTTTAATGGCGTGGGCAGCTACCCCTTTCAAGTTCCTTTTAGAGATGTGTATCTCAAATCCCTACATTGCACATCAGATTTTATTCACACCAGCTTTCTCTGGTGTGAAATCCCTCTCTAGCTGTCTGCACCATATTTATTTATTCTCAATTTTATATTTGTTATGTGGTACGTGGCTCTGGTGCATTTTATGTTAAGCAGTATATAAATTTGTGCAATAAGTAAAAATAAAATAAATGGTGTTATATATACAGTTGCTTTTTGTAAGCTGCTCTGGGAGACTGTAACAAAGGCACGGAATATGAATACTGTAAATCAGTTTCTATACAGAAAGTGGGTTGTACCCAAGCGCTGCTCAATGTAGACCCTTCACAATGAACGGATCTGTCTAGTCATGCACATTAATTTCAATGGGGCTACTCTTAAATGTGACTAAGGATACGGACTGCAGTGTTCCAGCCTGCATACCAGAGTTCAGAAAGTGAATCCTGGACCTGACAGGTCTCTGCTTTGTGAGCTTGGGTTTTTATTTTAACCCTGCTGTAAGTCTATTCCTTCCTGTGAATTAAGCCCTTTCCCACAGATGATGACTCGACAACAGCAGAGCTAATACGCCTGGGCCTCCTGCTCTTTCCCCCCCTTTTTCTCCCCTCCCAGGGGATCTCTCCAGCTCAGACGAGGACAATCTGAAGCAGGAGGACAAAGAGAATGAGATGCCCCGCAAAACGCAGCCCCACCTGTGCTTCGAGATCACCAGCGAGGACGGCTTCAATGTGCAGGCTGACAGCATAGATGGTGAGGAGGAGAGAATCACATCGGTGGTAACGTTCCTTTGGACCTCTAGCCTCTCAGCTGGCTGGCTGTAGTTGTGCTGCTGATGCTGCTGGAAAGAGGGACACACTCCGCAGACAACTGGGGGATTGTTTTTATCCTGGCTACAAGCAGGAATTGTGTTATGCGTTGCTCAGGGAAGCCATAAGAGACTCTGGGGAACAGCAACACCTTGGACCTCCTTTACCCAGTGATACCCTTCTGATAATTATTTTGCTTTGGGTCAGATGCCTGCCTCTTACAGAGTAAATCATGGTTGCCTTCTCCATGTTTAGGTGCCTGGAAAGCAGTGATTGAGAAGATTCAGGAGGCCCGCACCAATGCCCGGCTCAAGCACCTCTCCTTTGCAGGTAATAAGGTCCTGTTTGAAGGCTTCCAATGGGCATCTGGCTGGCTGCTGTGGATGTTGGACTAGAGGGCCTTAGGCCAGATCCGGCAGGACTCTTACTTGGTTCATAGGTTGTTCTGTTCTGGTTGGAAATTACTTTGCCGCTCCCAGGCTAGCCTACCAGTCTTTTGGCTTTTTCAGTTCAAGGCCCAGAGACAATAGAAAGGGGAACAATCTCTGGGAGCAGAAAACTGCCCAGAATAGCTGTTCCAAAAGAGGGAAGACTATAAGCATAGGAGCGCTACAGAGGTTGTATGTTCCAAATAAATAAGAGAGCAGATGATGTAGAAAAGCAGAAGCGGGAAAAGCACATCAAGAAAGCAAAATTTGCATTGGCGAGGAGGTTTCTGGGGCTCTGTTCGGAGGCTTTGGGATAGGACTGGTTCTCTTGTATTGAAAGGGTGACTGGGTGCTGAATCTTAGGTATTATTGACTTTTCTGGCAGGGATGAACGGGGTGCGGCTGTTGGGGATGCACCACGATGCCGTCATCTTTCTGGTGGAACAGCTGTATGGTGCCAAGGCCTGCCACAAATACAAGTTCCGGTACCACCAGCATGAAGGCGAGGAGGAGGAGCTTCCGCTCAACCCTCATGGCTGTGCCCGAGCAGAAGTCTACGTCAGGTGAGGAATGGCCTTGCTTTCTCTCTGGGGAGGAGGAGTGGACTGCAAATTTCTCTACCGCCCTTCATCCGTGGATCACAGGGCGGTTTACAATATGCCAGTTGGATCACACACCTCTCTGAATTTTGCACAGGGCAGTTGCAGTGTGCAAAGGGTGTGTGCAATCATATATATTTTACGTAAAAGAAGAGCAAAATGCATATTTTACAGATGAATGCATTGAAAAGATTGATACAGATGCATTAATTTGTATAATTTGTTGTGAACTGCCCTGAGATCTATGGGTATAGGGCGGTATACAAATTGAATAAATAATAAAAAAGTAATCAAAATATTTGTGTTCTTTTAGATAAAATGGTATGTGTTTTTTTGCATTTTTACACACTGAAACTACTGTAAAAGTGCATAGAAAAGGCATACAATTTAAATGCAGACAAATAATAATAATAATAATAATAATAATAATAATAATTGCACAAAACAGGAATGACCTATAATTGAGCACCAGCTGCCCAGAATTTGGCTGCCCAGTCCATCCCTTACAGTTCCCATCATGCCTGGTCATTTGTAGCTGATGGGATTTGTAGTCCAGAAACATATGGTGGGTCACCGATTCACTCCTTATTCCTAAATTGCATCCTTGCCAGGGTTGTATTGCAGCAAAAGGAGTTCTTGAGTAGGTGGAAATACAGATAATGTTACAGGTAGTGTTTAAAAGAGAGAAGAGCAGGGAACCCAGAGGCCTTCTGAGATGGGCAGCCCTCCACTTCTTTTGCAGGAAATGCACTTTTGATATGTTCAACTTCCTGGCATCGCAACATCGTGTGCTTCCTGAGGGAGGCCCTTATGACGAAGAGGAGGATGAAGTGCAGCTCAAGTCCACCAGGTAAGAAGATGCCTGGCTTCTGCTGTCCTGAAGTTGGTCAGTCTTGACTCTGTCCCTTCATATGGTAGGCTGTGAAAACTCAGCATTTGGTAATATGAATCTGATTAGATAATACCCATGCTGCGTGTACTGCCAGGGAAGCTTTTAAAATCCAAAGTTTCTCCTCTTCAGCCTGTGAAGCTTATGAGTTATAAAATTTCCAAGAGGATCGTTTTTCTCCAAAGCACTTAGAAGTAGGGGCACGTGTTTCCTTACCCAGATCTCATTTCTACTTGATTAAAATGCATTGCTTTCTTGTAGTCAGTTGTCTTTCGGCCCTCTAGCCAGGTTTATGTAATAAAGGTGATTACCTGCTTTCCAGCTCCAGCTTTTTTGCTGCCAAGGAAGCCCGGTGAGCCCAGTCCTCTTCTGTGCACCAGAGAGCACACTCAGGAAGGCAGCAAATAGTCCAAATTAGCATTGACCCAAAAAAGAGAGAGCTCACATACTACTTCTGCTCCCCGCAGAGAATATCCTGGGGAGGGCCATAGCTCAGTGATAGAGCATCGGTTTTGCATGCAGGTCCCCAGTTCAGTCTCAAGGCATCTCCAGCTAGGGCGGGAAGAGACCCTTTTCTGAAATCCTGGAGAGCTGCTGCCAATCAGTGTGAGCAATATTGAGCTAAATGGACTGATGCATAAGACAGTTTCCTACATTTCAGGAATTCCTCCCTCCAGAAGGGAAACTTTACTGTCCATTCCCACAATTTATGCCATGATGTGGTGCTGCTGCTACTCAAGTTTCCTTCTCCATCACTTTTAAAACTGTCATGCTGCACCCTAAACTTCTGATTTTTGTCCTTGTGATTCTTGCTGGGAATCTGTCCATCTTGAATCCATTTTTACACTCTCTTTTGGCATAAGCTTCTAAGTCTAGTCTGGCCTCCGCTTCTTCCTTAGGCGAGCCACCAGCCTGGAGCTACCCATGGCCATGCGGTTTCGGCACCTGAAGAAAACCTCCAAGGAAGCTGTGGGCGTGTACAGGTAACAAAGGCCGCTGCTGCTGCTTGCTTGAATCCTTGGCCATGGCCTTCCTACAGAGGCCACTATGTACAGAGAAGCAGCCCTGCTCCACGCTCGCCTCCAGGATGAGCCTGAAAAAGAAACAGAGAGTACCCAGTGGCTGGCCCATCCTTGGCCTGCCTTGTTAACTCTCTTAATGCTGATGTGTACCTTTCTCCCCACTCCAGGTCAGCCATCCACGGCCGGGGCCTGTTCTGCAAGCGGAATATCGATGCAGGCGAGATGGTGATCGAGTACTCTGGCATTGTGATCCGCTCGGTGCTGACAGACAAGCGCGAAAAGTACTATGACAGCAAGGTACTGAATCAAAAGAATTGTAGAGTTGGAAGGGAACCTCAAGGGTCTTCTGGTCCAATCTCCTGCAATGCAGGAATCTTTTGTCCAACGTAGGGCTCAAACCCACGACCCTAAAATTGAGAGTCTCATGCTCTACCGAGCTGATGGTCAAGGGAGCGGGGAGTCCATGATTGAGTTGAGGACAGGGTATAAATCAGGCATAGGCAAACTCGGCCCTCCAGATGTTTTGGGACTACAACTCCCATCATCCCTAGCTAACAGGACCAGTGGCCAGGGATGATGGCAGTTGTAGTCCCAAAACATCTGGAGGGCCGAGTTTGCCTATGCCTGGTATAAATACTACTACTACAACTACAACAACAACTATTATTATTATTAGCAGGACCAGTGGAGGAGGGAGGAGCTGGGCTCCCCAAATCGTCTCACTAATTGAGCTCTCGTTTTCTCATCCCGCCAGGGCATAGGCTGCTACATGTTCCGCATTGATGACTTTGACGTGGTGGACGCCACGATGCACGGCAACGCCGCCCGCTTCATCAACCACTCCTGTGAGCCCAACTGCTACTCGCGGGTCATCCACGTGGAGGGCCAGAAGCACATCGTCATCTTTGCCCTGCGACGCATCTTCCGGGGCGAAGAGCTCACCTACGACTACAAATTCCCCATTGAGGACGCTGGCAGCAAGCTCCCTTGCAACTGTGGGGCCAAGCGCTGCCGCCGTTTTCTCAACTGAGAGGCATTTTTTTGACCCGTGACCTGATTCCTCAGCTCTGTACCTTTCTCCCAGCCTGGCGCCAGTGGGTGGGGGAGGAGGACACACCAAGAGGCATGTCGGGAGCTTAACCGCCTCACTGTAGCTTTTCAAGTGGATTGCTGCAGGACTGACTCGTCCCCTTAGTTCCCTGAGGCATGGAGATGGTTCATCTCCCAGGAGCATCAGTGATGCCCGTTTTGTCTGGGAAGAGGGGATGCTCTTGGCAGTGGACCTGTCTGTGGCTTGAAATTATGGCAAGCAGAGATATGGGGCAAGAGTGGGAAGGGTAATCCCCCCCAGTCCCTTATCTGTGCCCGTCTGCTTCGTAGACCTGATTTTCTTTCCCTCTCCCTTGTGGGGTGAGAACAACTTTTTCTTTAATTTTGTACTTCTAACTTTTGTGATTCTCTTTCCTTTCCTGCTAAGGCTTTCTGTTTTAAAGTTAAAAAACAAAACAAAAAAAAAACATCAAACCCAGGAGGATGTAAATATTTGTACAAATTTCTAAACCTGTTTATTTTCTATGCACTTTTTTATTTAAGATGCTCAGTCAATTCAGACGGTAAAGGGTTGGATTCTTGTTGGTATAATTTTAAATAAAACGCAATTTTGACACAAGACTGTCACATGGCTTCCGTTGTAGCCTGAAGGAGGGTGTGTGTGTGTGTTTGCGTGTAAACAACAAAGCCCATCCATCTGGAAACGGAGACCGCAACCATCTAGTGATTTCATATCAAAACTCTTTGATTCCAAAATGCAAAGGCACAGGCTGTCTTACATGTTCCGGATCTTTACCACCCATGTTGGCTATGCATTTGTACTGCACACATTAATGGTGGAGCCCACATGGATCCATATCTAATGGCCTACTCCTTTCCAGAAGAGTGGCAAAGAAAATAAAAATAGAACCATTTATAGAGCCCCTTATGTTATTGGTTTGCTGAGTTCCCGTAGAAAGCACTTAGAACAGTCTGGTGGGATACCTCCAGCTCATTGGCTACTTCCCCATTTGGCCTGAGAGGCTCTTTTGTGCAGGCCACACACACATGCACACCCAACACCTGACATATCTGACTTCAGGTGTGAGGGCAGGTAAGAGCAGGATTTCAAATGAAGAACTAGGAGCTTAGAGAAGTCCTTGCAACGTGGACTTCAAAGTGCAGCATCACCTGCCTGGACTGCCAGGGTTGAAGAGGGAAAGATCTGGCCCAGCAGCCAAAAAAGTGCCCTACAGAGATTGGGGTGGGGGATACAAAGGCAGCTTTTCTAGATATTTGGTGTGGGAGAGAGTTAAGTAGTCAAGGAACAGGCCCTGATTACTGATGCCTGGCGTGGCTGTGGGGTGGGGAATGAGGGTTACGCCCTAAAGAGGGCCCTCATAAGGAACTTAACTGCGAGGCTTTAGAAAATGATGTGTTACCTTAACCATACTTTGCTTGTAGTATAATTCATTCTCAAAATTATGATGCACCTTGCATCTAACGTGCATCAATAAGGAGCAGGTGGCAAGTCTATGGGGAAGTACACTTTACACATGCTCAGGAACATACTTCCTATCTGAAATCTGATTGTGAGGCAGAAGCTGGAGAAAAGGCAATGGGCGTTCAGATTTCGCCTCCTCTTTGTTGGCAAAAACGTGGCATAGCAAGAAGCAGCTTTGGCCCTGCACAGCGTTTTACCTTTAAAATCACAAAATGCAGAAAGGAAGAGCTGCTGGTGTTGCTACTTCGCCATCTGGCGGGTTGAGGAGGTAGGGCTTTGTTGTTGTTTAGTCGTTTAGTGATCCGACTCTTCATGACCCCCTGGACCAGAGCACACCAGGCCCTCCTGTCTTCCACTGCCTCCCGCAGTTTGGTCAAACTCATGCTGGTAGCTTCGAGAACACTGTCCAACCATCTCGTCGTCTGTCATCCCCTTCTCCTTGTGCCCTCCATGGGACTCTCAAGGGTCTCCTCCAGCACCAGAATTCCAAAGCATCAATTCTTCGGCTATCAACCTTCTTTATGGTCCAGCTGTCACTTCCATACATCACTACTGGGAAAACCATAGCTTTAACTATACGGACCTTTGTTGGCAAGGATGGTAGGGATTTAAGGAACTACAACTCCCAGCAAGCTCTTGGCCCCTGCTCCCTATTATCCACCGCAAATAAATATATCCCAGCATGCGCTGCGACAGGGCGTTGTTTTGAACATAGACTTAAAATTATAGACCAGCGCGTCGCATCTGAACGCTGTGAGCTCGTCTTCGGAGGTGGGAATGCTGCAGCTTGCGGACTAGGGAAATTTAGATATTGAGCAGGCTGCTGTTCCTCAAGCAAAAACGAGGAGCAGAGATGAGAGTTCGCGCTCTAATTAACTCAGGTCTTATTGTGTGTAGGGGGGAAAAGTGAGTCTTGGGAAAAGCGCAAGGTATCTGCATGTAGGTCCCTGGAGTTAAAAGTCCTGCTTGCAACGGAGTGCTGGGTTCAATAGATTTCACCGTGGAGGGCCCCTCAAGGGGATCCTTGATACTGGATTCAGGGGGCTCTGCCTGCTCCTCGAGGTCCTTGTCTTTTTATTCATCCCCGGAGGTTTCAGCGTTTGGCACCACCCCGGGGCTAGGAATGGTTGCCCCCGCTTCCAATCACAATTATTTTGGAGAAGGGTTAAAAACCGTGTTTGATTTACACATGGGTTTGTGCCTTTCCCTATGCAAGTCAATGGAGAGCTCTCCATTGTATTTCCCCCTTTAAAAATCTATGGGAGAAGCTTACTCCCACCCACCACCAAAGACCTTGGGGAAACAGGAACATTGCAATAGGCGCAACCCGCGCGGCGCTTCTCGTTGACGAAGGCTTCGCCCTGGCAAAGCTGTCACGAGGTAACACTTCTCGCAAGCGCGCACCTGCCCTTACCCACCTACCTACCTACTTGCAAGCTGGGATAACGGGGACGGGGGCAAGAAAATTTTCAAAAGGACCCTTGCTCTCTCGAGTGCGGCGGGGACCAAACGGAAGAGCGAGCAAGGGATACCCGCCGCCGACTACTCGTCGCGCTGCTCTACAAGTTTCCTATCTCCGCGCTGGACGTTTTCCCAGCAGCCCGCGGGGCGAGCTGGTGACCGGGAACCGCGCAAGTTCCGCGTTGGGGAAGCCGAAGCTGCTCTGCAGGAGGAGGAGGGGGTGAGTCGTTGGGGGAGGGGAGGCTCACCCACACCACAATTTGGGGGTGGGGTGGGGGATGGGCCCTGCCCTCCAAGCCAGAGGAGGGTTTGGGGGGGCTTAACCCCGAGCTCCGCCCTGACTGCCAGGGTCCCTCTCTTCCTCCTAGACCCCAGTCGCACCATGAACCTGGAGCGCGTTTCCAACGAGGAGAAGCTCAACCTCTGTAGGAAGTACTACTTGGGTGAGTGGCTGGTTCCAGCGAGAGGCATCGGTGGTGGTTAGATCTTTATTGGCACCCGGCTTTTCCTCCTGACGATCATTGGGGGTGGGGGGTGGGGAAGAGACACACACAATTAAACGTTAATAGAATAGAAGGCGCGCGGTTTATTTCTCTCTGCGTCCAGAATAGTATACGCCAGATGTTGCAAAAGAAAGTGAAAACTCCGCTAAGGAGCAGTGGTGATATCAATTGACAGAATTTCCATTACTTCCCAATAAGACAGCCGAAAGAAGAAATTTGGGTGGGAAAACCAGATAAAGGGGAGAGTGGGAAAGCTTTGGGGACTACCTCAGTAAGAAGAAGAAGATGATGATGCTAAATTTAATGTACAAGTAGGGGTGATCACACGAGCAGCCAGTCAACTATAATTAAGGAGTAAAAGGGATGAAAAGAAAGATGGATGATTAAATGGAGATGCAGCACACCTTGGGTTTATTATGAATGTCGTGGAGGTCTGTACATAAATATTCAGCGTGGAGGGAATGCAATGTGCGATGGGAAAAATGGAAGACACATAAATATTATATATATATATATATAATATATATATATATATAAATAATGTGTGTATATATATATATATATATATATACATTAACAGAATGATTCCTTAAAGTTGTTTTTTTGTTTTTTTAAAAAAGCACTATTTCACTCAGGTACATAGAAATTGTGAATTTCTACTGCGGTAAGAACTGGTGTGTGTACATTTTGGTACCTTATTAGAAATATTATGTTTTGCTTAGACGGTAAGCAGCTGTTTTTTCAATAGGCAAAGTAAACCTTTTTGGAAAAATAGACCTTTTCCATTTTTGTAGCCCCCTTTTAAAATAGGAAAGGTGAAGGCGTTTAAAAACACACACACATATAAATGAGTCCTTTCTTTTCTTTGTTTCTCCAGGTGGCTTTGCTCTGCTGCCTTTCCTGTGGCTGGTGAACGTTTTCTGGTTTTTCCGAGAGGCCTTTCTGGTGCCAGCGTACACTGAGCAACTACAGATAAAGCGCTGTGAGTTGTGGTGCAAATCCTACAAAGTGAAAGGGCAGGAGGCGGGGCAGGTGTGGGGTCCCTCCACATGTTGCTGAACTACAACTTCCATCAGTTCCAGCAAGCATGACCAGTGACCAAGAATGATGGGAGTTATAGTTCAACAACTTACAGAAGGCCAAAGATTTCCCACTTCTGCCCCAGGAGGAGAGCCCAGGCCACCTATTTGGGCAGTGCCAGATAGCATAAGGATCTATGCTTAAATGGAGGTGACTGTGGTCATGGTTTTCCATCTGTTTCCATCCCAGATGTCCAGCGTTCAGCCATGGGGCTTCTTTTCTGGGTGATCGTGCTCACCACATGGATCAGCATCTTCCAGGCGCGCCGGGCAGAGTGGGGCGAGCTTGGCGACTACCTCTCCTTCACCATCCCCCTGGGCACTCCATGACCAATCCTTCCTCCCTTGATGTCACCAGCGTGGAGCTTTTAGGGTTTTTGTTTTTTCCAATGGACTCCCTGGGTGGCATGCGGCTCTCCCCTTCTATGGAACCAGAGTGAGATTGTGCCATGGTGAACTCCGGGGAGGCTGCCTCTCCTTGCAGAATCCTCTGTTCAGTATGTCCTGATCACAACCTGCGGCAGAGGTGATTAATAAACCTGGGGTTGCCTACATCTGCTTGCCCACAGTGTGGTGGTATTGGGAAGAAGTGAGAATGGGGATAAAAGACCATTAGAAGAGCCTGCCAGATCAGGCCAGCGGCCCATCTAGTCTCTCTTAGGCATTGCATTAGCACCAATGGCAGACCTTGCCCGCAATTTTAAACATCTGTCCTCGGCTGCATAAAGCAGAGAGGCAGGGGTACAGTAGAAGGGCAAAATGAATTATTTCTCTGTGGACATTTGGGCTTTTAAAAAAACTATACATATCTAAACATATAGCAAAATAAAAAAAATCCTTCCAGTAGAACATTAGAGACCAACTAAGTTTGTTATTGGTGTTAGTTTTCGTGTGCATGCACATTTCTTCAGATACCTCTTTAGTTACCTGCCTGTAACTATACATATAGCAGGATATTCTTAGACTCAAGTGGTTGGCCGCCAGGGATTTATTCTTCCCAGAAAAAACTTCACTTTTCTGCCTCTTGTGCAATACTTACAATTTCCCACTAGAAGACACCCGTGTGTGTGTGTGTGTGTGTGTGTGTGTGTGTTTGGTTTCTAAGTAAAATTACTGTGTTTAATTCAAAAGAAGTGATTTCTGACTTAGCAAGTCTATCTAGTTAGATGATAATATACTATGGGTCTTTTCCCCTACCGCAGACAAATCTCTCCAGCACACCCTTGTATAGCTAGGGACATCCCTTCGGTCGTAGTGGGGGCTGGTAGGTGAGACCCAAGTCAAATCACAATGTATCTCCCCCTGTTCCACTTCCATTTAGCAGTGGTGGTCTCCCCCCCCATTTTTTTTTATATGAATGCTGCTTTAGCAGTACCTCCTCCCTCCCTGCCTTGTCCCAGGAAAAAATCGGGCGGAGAACCTGGCCAGTTTGACAAGAAGCAGTGAGGCTGGGGCTGCCAGTGCCAGGCAGGGGCCCTCCAAGCATGGAGCATAGAGCAGTCGTCATTATTCGCCCTCCCCAGGGACCACCCTGTTTCCAGACTCTTCAGTTCCCATCATTCCTGTTGTTTGTCATGCTGGCTAGGCCAATGGAAACTGAAACCTTATCAATGTCTGGAGGGTCACAGGTTCTTCATCCCTGTTGTAAAGCATCACGCACCTAGGCAATCCCAACAGTTTGATTCAAACCCAAAAGAGATGGAGGCTTGACGAGGTAGGTGTCACGCTTTCTGAAGCCTGCTGCTTCCACGTTACATCTTCCTGTGTATTCAGAAACCTAAGAAATGCAGCCAGAAAATTGCCAAAGAATCATCTTGGAAAAGATGGTGGTGACCAGAGTCGCACACAGTATTTGCATGAAGGGGATCGCTGATAGATCTATATCAGGTGTTTTTAAAAAACTGTGTTCCTGTGTGCTCTCCATTATGTGTGACTTACTGTGCTACTTCTTGCATTAGGAACGCGGGAGGCGCTGTGGTCTAAACAACAGCCTCTTGGGCTTGCCAATCGGAAGGTTGGCAGTTCAAATCGGCATGACAAGCTCCCGTTGCTCTGTTCCAGCTTCTGCCAGCCTAGCAGTTTGAAAGCATACCAACACAAGTAGATAAATAGGTACTGCTGTGGCGGGAAGGTAAATGGCGCTTCCATGCGTTCTGGCTTCTGTCATCGTGTCCTGTTGTGCCAGAAGCGGTTTAGTCATGCTGGCCACATGACCTGGAAAGCTGTCTGTGGACAAACACCACCTCTCTTGGCCTGAAAGTGAGATGAGCGCCACAACCCCACAGTTGCCTTTGGCTGGACTTAACCATCCAGGGGTCCTTTATCTTACCCTTCTTGTATTGTTTCAGTCCAGCAACATTGGGAGGGCCATAGCTCCCACATTCCTGTTATGCTGTGTTGATTTCCATGAAAACTAGAGGTGTGTAGATGTGTGTGTTTACTACAATGATGGGGTTTTTACATATATACATATTTAGATTTCTTGATGGGCCTAGTTCTGCTGTCCTTTGCAATTGTTGCTGAACAGCAACATGTTTAAAAGGTAAAGGGACCCCTGACCATTAGGTCCAGTCATGACCAACTCTGGGGTTGCGGCGCTCATCTCGCTTTATTGGCCGAGGGAGCCAGCGTACAGCTTCCGGGTCATGTGGCCAGCATGACTAAGCCACTTCTGGCGAACCAGAGCAACGCACGGAAATGTCGTTTACCTTCCCACTGGAGCAGTACCTATTTATCTACTTGCACTTTGACGTGCTTTCAAACTGCTAGGTTGGCAGGAGCAGGGACCGAGCAACGGGAGCTCACCCCGTCGCAGGGATTCGAACTGCCGACCTTCAGATCGGCAAGTCCTAGGCTCTGTGGTTTAACCCACAGCGCCACCCGCATCCCAGCAACATGTTTACTTGGAAGTAAATCCTATTGCGTTCAATGGGGCTTACTCCCCAAGTAAAAATGTGTGTAACTGGATGGGCAACTGGATGAACTCCACCTTCCATCAGTCCTAGCCAGCATGCTGCAAAGGGAGATGTAGCCCAACAACGCATAACGTGCCACAGTTTCTCCCTCCCTGTTCTTTTAGGATGGCGACTTCAAGGGCCTCGTTCTTCCTTTAATGAGCAGTCCCAACTGCCGCAGTTTAAGCCTGTGCTGTGTTCCTCCAGTGCAATATGCAGTAGACACTGGAATAGATCAGGGTCTCCTGGCATAGAGAGAAAAAGCTTCACTTGGAATCTGCATGCTGAGTTGCTGTTTTCAAGGGACAGGCGTGGGGCGATGAAAGGAGGAGGAAAGTTGGCTGCTGTCCTAGGAGAGCCTTTCTCCTACACCTCCGTCAGCTGATTGGGATGTAGGATGGTGTGATAAACAGTGGAGGAAACAATGAGCCCAATGTTTCCCTGAGCCGCTGTAGCTTGCTCTGCAATTTAAATTGTGTCATTCCAGCAGGCTGGTTACAGTCTAGTGTCTCAGAAAGGGATGGGGGATCCTCCCTGCTGTACCTTCTCCTTCCTGCACAGGCTGGGTGGGGAAGGGGGCGTGAGCTGAAGGGCGGTGATGTCAGCGGAGCAATGAAGTAGCCTACAGCAGGTGTTGGCCTGCCTTGCATGAGGTCACTATCTGACCTTTTCCATTGTGCTAAGCGGAGGGGGGAGGCGCAGGCTTCCTTCCAGCCATGAACTCATTGCAGGTGTCCCCAACCTTTTTGGGGGGCGGGACATTTAAAAATCTGAGCAGAAACTTGTGGGCATCACAAAAGAGCCATTTCACAAAAGGAAAATAGGTGGAATTTTGTACCCGCTGCCTCACATCAAGGACAACACAGACATGAAAAGCAGGCGACTTTCCCCAGCAAAACAAAATGAAAAAGCCCCTCCAACCTCAATTTTACAAACCAAGGAGAGAATAGAAGGTTATGGGATGCCAACGGAGATTTCAGAAGGCCCGTATGTACAATGTTGGGGACCTAAAGCTCACTGAATGTTAATTACAACCAGTCTCCCAGAATGGTTTCTGCCTTGTTATTTTTTTAAGTACTTGTTTTTCTAGGTGGAGGTAAACCTCTGGAAGCAATTCTGTAGAAGCTCTGGAGGACACATGGTTGTGCCTAGGACAGGCGTGGGGAACCTCTCCCTCCAGAGGTTGCTGAACTGCAGCTCCCATCGTCCATGGCTGCTGTCCGTGCTGCCTGGGGTTGATAGGAGTCGTAGGTCAGCAACACCTGGAAGGCCAAAAGTTTGATTTTGTTGGTTTCCGATATTTCTATACCACCTGACGACAAAAGTCCTATGGGCAGACAAGTTAAAACCTTAAAACGTAATAGGAAATGAAAATCTAACAGAATAAAATTAGCAATAGAGAATGGCATCCAGTACAACAAAAATAAAAAGCAGTAAAAAATATATTTACGACTGAAAATGCTTTCACCTAGGCAGACCTCTCTGGGGGTGCCAACACTTGTAGCCAATCCCATTTGTTTCCTCTTGTCCTGCATTCGTACGTGACGCATCTCGCAGCAGAGAAGTTCACAAAAGTTCCTCAGACCTGATCTAGGAGCAAGAAAGTCTGTGAAGAGCAGCAGTTGAGCCAAGGGATTTGTGAGGTAGGAGGCCCAGCTGTTGGAAAAAGTGTTTCATCCTCACCCTACAATGCTAGGGTTGGGCTCTGAGGTGCTACAGATGTTGCCACTTTTCATTTCTCTTTCCATGACTGGTGAACATCGGCAGGCGAAGCGCTTCCAGGTATTAGAGATGAAGTGATTGTGTTAAAAAATAAGAAGCATTCTAGATATTACCTGTCGAATGTCATTTGGCTGATAAGGCCATTGGGGTGGAATCAGGCTAAGTTATCTGAACATGTCCCATTGAAAATCCAACCCATTTACTACAAAATATAAACCAGCAGCAAGCTGCAGTATGGCCATCTTGTTTGCTTCTTTCTCGTCTTTCCATTTTTTATTTTTTTTGTTCTTATCATTGCTACTCTTTTTATTTTTCTTGGTTCCACCTGCTTTGTTATCTCTGGAGCTGCTGACACAAATATACCAACTATCAGGTGTGGCTATGCACACCCACTGAGGCTGCACATTGCCCTCTTCCAGAGAAGTTTGTTGTTAAAAGTGGAGCAGAGATGCCACCCAAGGTGGGTGCAAATGAATGGAGGTATCTCGTCTGACCTGAACTGGCAGCCTCTCTAGCTTTTCACCTCCTTTGCCTTCTTCATCTGATTGCCGGAGCTCCTCACCCCGTCTCCTTTTTTCCATTCCTTCCTTGAAACCTGCTCAGGGTTGCTTTGGCGTTGGAGGCTGTACACATTTCACTTTGGATTTAATTTACCTCCCTTTGACAAACCAATTGCTAATTCAGATTGAAACCAGCGCTTCACAGACGAATCTGTATTTCCAAAATGGGAGGGATGGAGCAAACATACTGTTCTTGCATCTGTATGTGAAACAGTAATGTACCATTTGGCCATGAAGTTCGTGTCCCAGGTATTCGAACTCTGGTCTCCCGGGTCCTAGACCCATCAGATGTGGGATGGAAGTAGGGGGAGTTTGTCTATGTTCGCCTCTCTTTATTGGGAAGCAATTCTTGCTGTTCGAGAGGCTGGGATTTGGAAGTCATTTCAGTTCATCTCATTACCATTACATATCAACAGCTATCTGTCTGTCTGCTTTATATACAACATACATTTAAAGCACGTGACATTTTAAAATTTCATTTATAGCCCACCTTTCTCTCTTGAGGATCTCAAGGTGGCAAATGTACATGGTTCTCCCCCTCCTTGCTTAATTCCCACAACAGCCCTGTGAGGTAGGTTAGGCTGAGAGCCCCAAGATCACCCACAAGCTACGTGGCCAAATGGGGATTCAAACCCTGGTCTCCCAGGTCTTAGTCCAGCACTTTAACCACTGCACCACTTTGGCTCTGCCTCAGTCCTTGTCTTGCCAAATGCAAGGTGGTTCTTTAGAGAGAAAAAAGATTCAGAGGCAATACAAAACACAAGTGAGTGAGAAGATTTAAGAATTTATTCTAAACAGCAAGCAATATATACACACCAAGCAACATTTTATACTGTATTTTATGCTGTTATTTGTTGCATCAATTAAGTGTTTTAAATTTGTTGTTAGCCACCCTGAGACCAGTTTTCTGAATCAGGAAGGCGGGGTATAAATAATAATAACTATTATTATTATTATTTTATTATTAATAATAGATTGCCTGAGATTGCACAGCCCCATGGCCATCAGTCCATGCATTAGCTTCTCCGAACTCAGCCCAAAATAATCTGATTTATAGATAGCTAACCTGTTAGCCTGTGGCTTGCCTGACTGACCACATGCTACTAGCTACCTGCAGATTATTCATTAGCCGCTTCTGCCAATGCCTCACTTTCTTCAACACTTGATGTCCAACATCAAAAGAAGGTACCCAGCAATATCACCTCCTCCCAACAGATTAGGACTAGGAAATTAAAGGCTGTTCTCAGCCATCATAGTGCTTAACAAAAGTTAGGGGAAAGGAAGGAACAGGGGGCAGGAAGAGTGAAACCGAGTTAGACCACTCGAAATACAAATATATTCTTTGGGACTCTCACCAGGCCTTGCATCAGCCCACCAGCCCTGCTTTTCATCCTCCTAGTGTGTTTTTGTCTAGGGTGGAATGGGCTTTTAAAGCCGAATAATGCCTCTTGCTTGTTTGGATACAGGATAGAGTAGCACATGAGCATGTGGAAAGTAGCTTGCTGAACAAAGGTAGAAATTACATTCCTTGCTCTGCCCATTTGGGTTTCTGGCTCCACCCACCCCTGGCACCTAACCTTCCATCCCCGAAGGTGTCCTAGAAGGAATAACAGACCTTGGAACAAAAAAGGATTCCCAACCCCTGATCTAGGATCTACAGCAGCAGGGAATGAAGCCAACAGCCTTCCCTTGTCTCTTCTCCTTCATGCCTGGTATTTGGGGCTAAACTGCCTCTGCATCTGGAGGCTCCATTTGCACGTTACGTCTAATACTGCCCGCCCCCCCAGTATAGCTGCCCACGCTCCATAAATTCGCCTGATCCCATTTGAAAGCTGCAGCCATCACTGCATCTTGCAGCAGCAATTTGCATCAATTAATGACATTACGTTTCAACGTTTAGGGGACTGTCTCTGCCAAACGAGAAAACCTAGAGAGGTTTGTCTGGCGTCTGTCTTCCTAGCAGTGCCAGGCGAAGGACTCCCCACCCACCCCCTCCACTGCCACCAAGTTTTCTGGGTGCAGTTTTAACCCCCTTGGCTGGTCTGTGCTGCTTTTATGATTATCTGGCTTTTAGCTTATTTTACTGCTTTGCTTTGATGCTTTTAAGTATTCTGCTCCTTTTGCTAACTGCCATGGGAACAGCATACAAGAGTAGCATAAAAACAGTGTTTTATTTTTTTAAAAAAACTGAGAAATGGGCTAGCAGTAGAGAGAAAATCCTGCTTGTTTTTTCTTCAGGGAAGGGAGAAGTCTTGCCGAGGTTATACCTGGAACGGCAACACACCTGTTATCCAAAAGAGTTGAGAGCAGCATTCCAGCCTTTTGATGTAATCCAGAAGACGCTTTGGAACAGTCCACACCCTTTCCCAAGCTCAATAGTCTGACTGTGAGCTACCCTGTTCTTCTGAATGCTTAGATCCCACTGCAGCACCACTGATCTCATGGGGTAACTGCCCCACCTAGCCCCAGAGGCATCTGAACAAGCAGTCGGACTCCTTGCGGAAAATTGGGCTGCAGCTCATTTTAAAATCCTTTGAGAATATGCGCGTGGCAAGGTTCTGACTGATGGAAACAGCACACAAGCTTTGCGAGCAAGGAGGTTGCAATATGGCATTATCTAAAAGCGTGTGGCCTAGTGGTTAGAGCATTGGACTAGGGAGACCAGGGTTTGAATCTCCACTCATCCACAAGGTCCCTGGGTGGCCAGTCACGTGTCTCTCCACTTAACCTGCCTCACAGGGTTGCTGTGAGAATAACATGGAGAAGGAGGGGGAACCCTGTGTCACCCTGAGCTCCTTGGTGGAGAGATGGGATATTCGTATGATAATAAGCTGCTTCTAAGCTATTTGTTTTATAAATAAATCATTTTAATGCATTTTTCTTAAAATGGAACATTCCCTACAAACCGGAAACAACTCTGCACATTTTAAAAATATTATTTTTATGGTCAGGCCATGCCCCACTACTCCAATATTCTGGGTTTCAAAATGCATTATATAGCCTTGTAAAGTTGGGTGGGGGAAGAGTCTCTGTCCTCAAGTAGAACCAATTAAGTTACCCAGCTACCAAGATCAATAAGTGTTAGCATATAATGCCCTAAATGGCTTGGAACCCCAGTCCTGAAAGGAGTAACTCCCCAGCCATCTTAGGCCTTACGATGGACAGAAGAGGACCTCTGGCTGCTGCCCACTTAGTATTGACCCATGACAGGGCCTTCTTGGTGGTGGTTCCCCATTTGTGGAACGGCCTCCCTGGAGCAGCGAATCTGTCTCCCTTGGTATTGGCTTTCAGGAGAAATTTAAGGACATTCCTGTTTACGCAGATCTTTGATTATCAGCTATTGCAGTATCTATCCACTACTGCAATTGCTTTTAGATGTTTTTAAAATAGTTTTAAAAATACTTTAAGTACATTCTAGTGTTAGGACATTGCCTCCCCCCCCTTCTTCATTGAACATAGTTCATAGTACACGCTTTTATCATCTCCTTGGGCTAGAGAAAAAATATCCCCTCCCCTGTAACATATTCCCTGCCCCTGCTGCTTCTCAACTCTTAATTATCCTCTCCCCAGGCTGCTTTTTCACTTTAAAAAATTGTGTTGGGGCTTCACAGCTGCATTCATTTGCAGGTAATGTATAATTAGCCCCTTCTAAATAAATATACTTAAGGTCAGGGGCACATGCTAAGGATTTCAATAAGAACGTTTTAAGTATACACTGACAATTCTCCCAGTTGAAACTGAGAGCAGCTAACAGTGCCAAAAGATTGGAACTTTTGTGCTCATTATACCACAGATGTTAATTTTGTGAATTACTTTTCAGGGAAACAAAACAGCTTTACTAGTCTCACATCAATTAGCCTAATAAAGGCCTTGAGCAGGAAGCTGGGCTGCTATCCCTTCTGCTTCAAAGGCGATTAGGCATTTGAAAGGTGTGTCTCCCTAACCCAATCCCACGGCTTGCTGTAGGAGGCGACACTGTATGCTCAGCAAGAAAAGTTTGCTTGTGGTAGGGAGAGATGACTGCTGTATGTAAACTGTGCATTAGAATGCCATTTAGTGTATCTTTCAGCTGGTTCCTACACTCGTGGACCAAACACCATGGAGAGAAGTTCAAGCAAGTCAGAAGGCCTGATCCTGCAGGCCTGTTTTATATTACAGTACTTTCCAACCAAGGTTGTTATTGCATTCACCTGTGAGTCAAGTGTTGACCAGTTGTGTGGTCTACATGTCAAGATCCCAAGCTGCATATTGAAAAAGCTGAACCACAAGACTCTTGTTTGTGAAAGCCTCCAAATCTTGTTCCTCCCTTCTTTCCAACCACCTTTGCTTATAAAGGAGCGAAATTTGCCATGTTAGTTCTCCCCCAGAGATTTGGATTAGAGGTGCGAAATATTTCCCAAAATGGTGACTTGAGGGAAATACCTGTACTGTCGAGAAACTACAGGACTTCTGCAGTAGGTGAAGGTGTGAATCAGTCCCTTTAGCATGCTAGTATATGTAAAGGTAAAGGGACCCCTGATCGTTGGGCCCAGTCGTGGCCGACTCTGGGGTTGCGGCGCTCATCTCGCTTTATTGGCCGAGGGAGCTGGCGTACAGCTTCCGGGTCATGTGGCCAGCATGACTAAGCCACTTCTGGCGAACCAGAGAAGTGCACGGAAACGCCATTTACCTTCCCGCCCGAGCGGTACCTATTTATCTACTTGCACTTTGACGTGCTTTCGAACTGCTAGGTTGGCAGGAGCAAGGACTGAGCAACGGGAGCTCACCCCGTCGTGGGGATTCGAACCACCGGCCTTCTGATCGGCAAGTCCTAGGCTCTGTGGTTTAACCCACAGCGCAAAGTGGGGTGATTTGTGACCCTCCAGGTACGGCTGGACTCCAACTTCCATCAGCCCAGCCATTTTGGCCAATGAGACAGGGATTATGGTGTTGTAGTCAGATAATATCCAGAGGGGGACAGGTCCTGCAGTAAATGAATGAGTTAAGTGTGTTCACATCTTTTGGAGCAGACCTCCTGGGCTTCCTGTATCCCTTCCCCAGTTGGCATTCTGGATTGTCCTGCTTTGTGAAGGAATCCCCCCCAGGTCCTTTGCAAGCAGTGCTACATAAAGGGAGAAGCTGCTGAAGCAGCTAAGGATGCTGGGTATGTGCTGTCTCTTCCGTCAATCCATCACCTGGTCCTTGCAGGGTTGGTCCAGTGAGCTCAGGGTTCTGCCTTGGGCTGAGGAAGGGCAAGCAAGTATCTACATGTTGCCAGGCGCAACAGGGATGCTTCCACTTGCGCTGAAAGGCAGCATAAGCATTTTATATAAATCAAAATAATGCTTTGTGAACATTTCCAAACTCCTTTATTAGGTCATGTCACTGACACACACCATATATTTAAAGTGCATGCCTTCCTCCTCCCCAAGGCTCCCGGGAGCCATAGAGCTACGATTCCCACCAACACCCTTCACAAATTACAGTTCCCAGGATTATATCAGGCTAGAAGGCAAAGCCAGGAGGAAGGGAAGGAAACAAGCGAATGTGGGTTGCAGGAAACGGTGTTAGGGACATAAACGTGGAGAGTGGTTGTTTTTTGTAAAGATATTTTATTGCATTTTATAATGTATACAAAAAACAGAAGAACTGATGACAACTAACAAAAAAAATCATCAGCACATAGAATATGTACATTTACTTCTGCAGCTTAAGTAACAAAGTCCAATTCATGAAAGAAAAAACTGTTTTCACAGTTAAAAAACAACAACACCCAGAGAATACATTTAGTGTTATTTGACTGTCGTGAAGTTCAGATTTGGCAGGCTTGTGTCCATGTTTGTCTTCAAAATGAAGGTTGTCCTGCCTACGTGACAAAGGAATGAATGCCAAATGCTACAAAAAATGTCTGGGTTTGTGGAAATCTCAAATTATAGCGTACTTTCCCCTATGATAGTTTTATTCCACTGCGAGTGGTGAAAGCAGATACAAATCTTTAAAAGATCTGTTAACGCGCGCTCTCTTTCAAAGGGAAACAAGGACTCACATTTCTTCCCTCGGTGTATTTTCGGCTCACCATCGTTTTGCTTCTCCCGTGTATAAAGGTAACGTCTGAAATGGGGCCGGGCAGCACCGACCGACGGGAAGAGAAACGATGTACTTTCCCCCCTCCTCCCCCATCTAACCACCTGTCCCCAATTTAGACGTTACCGTTACACCGCCCTCCCACTTTGCAGGGCCGTCGTTCAACGTGGGAACAGGCTGGATCGGAGCTCAAAACCGGGGAAACGCCGAGAGAACCTTCCCGGCTCCCTCCTTTCCAGAACAGAATCCTGATGACACGGAAGATCCAAGCACGCCTTTCCCCGCTGAGCCGCGCCTCCGCCCATCGGTTCCCACGTGAGCCTCGAGGCTAGGCGAGCACTAGGCCCCGCCCCTTTTCCGTGGCCCCGCCCACCCGGGCGCTTCGCGGGGCTTCCCGCTCCGTCCCGAAGGCTCTTCGGCGTTCCAGCGGCTTCCAGGGGGCGGAGCCGGCCGGGTATAAAAGGCGCCGCGGCGGGCCGGGCTCGGCGTGCGCTCCGCTGGCCGCGTCTGTGTTCTGAGCGACTCCGGCTACTCGCCCTCCCGCCTTCGCCTCTCCGCGCCATGGACATCGCCATCCACCACCCCTGGATGCGGCGGCCCTTGGGCTTCCCTTCGGCCTTCCCGTCGCTCTTCCCGCCGCGTCTTTTCGACCAGAGGTTCGGCGAAGGGCTCTTCGAGAGCGACCTGTTCCCGGCCACGCTCAGCCCCTATTACATGCGCACGCCCAGCCTGCAGATGCCTGCGATGCCGCAGATGCCGGACACGGGGCTTTCGGAGGTAGGTGCGCCTTGCGTTAAGCTTTGAACCCGTCTGGGGCTTTTGTGCGGAATTGCACCAGAAAAAAAAAGAAAGATAACGGGAAAAGTTAGTTTTCTAATCCCCCCCCAATGTATGTCGTGATGCCTCTGGCCATGTGCAGAGTGCTTTTTTGGCCGAGCAACAGCGCAGCAGGTCCCCCGCCTAACCGGAGGCTGCTGAGGGGGGGTTGCTTAGGATTAAAAGGGAGCAGAAATGCCCGAAGATGGGTAGCGCTCGGTGTCTGGACCTGCGTCGTGGGAATGGGTGTGCCTGCGTGTCGGGAATGTGACGCTTCCTGCGGGGAAGCGGTCTGCGGACTCTAAAGCAGTGGTGCTGCTGTTGCCAATTGGTGAAGGTGCGCGCTTGAAAGAGGAAAGGGTGCCAAAGGGCTGGCAGGCTGTGCTTACCTATTATGGTAACATTCTTCAGCCTCCCCAGCTGGCCCTATGGGGGAGCAGGGTGGGGAGACAATGCCAGCTGGGTTGTCTTGCCCTGCGGGGAAGGGGCTGGCATGCAGGACTCAACCCGCCCCCCGCCCTCTGGACTCTTGCTATACAGAAGACGCACTGTCTTGCTGGCTCTCTGCCCACAGCTGCCTGGAGTTACTTACCAGCATGGGGGCATAAGAGGTGGCCTTGCCCCAGATCAGATTATTTGTCTCTCTAGGCCAGCACCTCCTGCTCTGACCGGCAGTGGCTCTCCAGGGTCCCCAGGGAGATCATTTCCCCACGTTGCCGCCAGATACCTGATCCCGAACTGGAGGAGTTGGGAACGGAACCTTGGACCTCCTCCATCACCCCAGATAGTTGCTGCCTATATTAGAGATGCTTCCTCGCTCAGTCGGACATTGGTTGTTGTTCCTGCTGTCCACACTGGTGGGGAATCCAAAGAATTTCCCCCACCCCCAAGTCCCTTCTGCTTAGAACGGGAGGTGCGGGGGGGGGGGTGTTGAACCAGGGTCCTTCTCTGCATGCAAAGGAGCTGTAGTCATCGGCTCCATAAATAATAATGACTAAATAATATGTAATTGGATCTGGGAAACGAGGGGTGCTTTTAAGGACTGTGGCATTAAGACTCAACTGTTAGAATTCATCCTTGGGGAGATTTCAGCGCAGCCTTGTGCTGCTGCTGCTGCTGCTGCTGCTGCTGCCGCCACTTAACTCCCCATGCATGACTGGCATACTTTGGCTTTTTCTGTCTTGCTTTTTCCAATGTGCTTCATCACACCCCTTGGCAGGGAGATTGCTCCTGTGTTCCTGGCGCACTGGCTCTAAATATACAGTGATCCAATCTAGAAGACCCTGAGGGATAGCTCAGTCGGTAGTGCCTGAAACTCTTTGATCTTGGGTTCGAATCCCACACTGGGCGAAAGATTATTGCATTGCAGGGAGTTGGACTGGATAACCCTCGTGGCCCAACTCTACAATTCTATGATATTCTTAGCTAGCTACAAAAGGGTGTAAAATACAGAGCATTCTCACCCATATCATAAAGGGTTGTGTTTAGCCTGGAGGGGTCGTTGTTGTGTTGGTTTCTGTAACTGCTACCCAGTGCTCATAAAGCGGCTTCATGGTGGCTCTAACTTATTATTTAACAGTTATTAAAGTGGCTAATTTCTTTCCTAAACACTGTGCATATATTAAAGATAATATCAGAGGCAGGGAACTTTTGTCAGCCCAACGACGCTGTTCCCTTCTGGACAACCTTTTGTGTTGGCAGGCGAGGCCAGAGCCGAGAATGAGCAGAGCAGCGAATGTGAATTCTGCCTTATGCAGTCAGCTAGTTACCTGTTTGGTCCTCCATCCAGACAAACAAGAAGCCTTAGCAGAATTCAATGACGTATTCCACCCAGGCACAAACCCTCAAAGAGGGTGTGGTCTTGGAAGAAGCGTGTGAGTCTTGGGGCCAGATACAGACCTGGAGGGCAGCATTTGGCCCCTGGGCCTTGGCATCCAATCCCTGGATTAAGACAGTTGCTGCTCTGGTAAGGCGTGATATAAAAGGAAGAAGGAATGGTGAGGGAAGAGGAAAGCAAGCGCTGCGCTTTGGCTGCGTATGTTACTAGAGCACTTACTTTCTTCCCCAGGCTTTTGATGGACTGCGGTGGTGTTTGCTATTAGTTGTGCTTCTGTTATTGGGGATGTCCGTCCCACCCGTAGAGTGGTACCTCAGGTTACAGACGCTTCAGGTTACAGACTCCGCTAACCCATAAATAGTATGTCGGGTTAAGAACTTTGCTTCAGGATGAGAACAGAAATCACATGGCAGTGGCAGTGGGAGGCCCCATTAGCTAAAGTGGTGCTTCAGGTTAAGAACAGTTTCAGGTTAAGAACGGACCTCCAGAACGAATTAAGTTCTTAACCCGAGGTACCACTGTACTTGTGTTTATTGTGCTCTCAGTATCTATTTTTGGGGAGACTTTGTTCAGTGGGCAACTAACAAGTTCAATGAGTTATAATCATCCTTGCTAAATATGCCCAGTGGTGTTAGTGCCTACCCTGTGGCTTGTTGAAGAAAGCAGTAAAAGGGTGTTGACTTGTCCACAACAGCACCCCTGGGCGCAGGGACAGCTGGCCTGCAGAAGATGCTGTCTGTTGAATCCAGTTTTTACTTTGTTTTTCCCCCTTCCACCCAGGTGAAGATGGACAAAGACAAGTTCTCTGTGTTGTTGGATGTGAAGCATTTTTCACCTGAAGAGATGAGCGTGAAGGTGATTGGGGACTACATCGAAGTTCATGCCAAGCATGAGGAACGGCCGGTATGTGGCTTCATGGGTTCTTTGTGGCGTGGCCCTGAACTCAAAGATCCCTGTGGTGGCCGTAGGCCAGTGTTCTTCAACCTTGGGAGTTGTCGTTCAGCAAAATCTGGGGACCTGCCATCCTTGAGCTGCCATTGGCTAAGCTGCCTGAGAATGATGGGGGTTGTGGTTCAGCAACTTCCGAGGACCTGAGGTTGAAGAACACTGGCATATCCAAAAGCAGGAAGTTAAAGCTGCCATCCTAAGTCAACCCCGGAAGCAAATCCTATTGAACTCTGGAGTCCACTTAGTCTGTACACAGGGATTTGGAAACCTCAGTAGCTGGAACTGCCTGGAAAAACATCTGCTGCTGCACCACCAGTGTCCAGAGCAGAATCTGTGGCCCTCCAGAGGTTGTTGGAATCGCAACTTGCATTGGTCCCAACCAACAGGGTTTATGGCCAAGGGTGCAGGGAATTGTAGTTCAGCAACATCTGGAGGGGCCACAGATCCCCCCCCCCAAGCCGTGTCTGAAATGTCTGAAAACTACATGCATCAGTAAATAGAAGACATCTGAAGGCAGCCCTGTTTAGGGAAGCTTTTAATGTTTAATAGACTATTGTATTTTTATATTCTGTTGGAAGCCGCCCAGAGTGGCTGGGGAAACCCAGCCAGATGGGTGGGATATTAATAATAAATTATTATTATTATTATATATAAGGCATGTGTTGCCGCCTGAACTTCCTGTTTGTGTTGCCTTGGGCAGGCAAGATAAAGCAACTAACCAATTTAATAAATAAAATAATTAAGAAGTAACTTTGAAACTCCCTGCCTATTGATATCAAGCAGGTGCCTTCACTGCACACGCTTTCAGTGCCTGCTAAAAACATTCCTGTTGAAACAAGCTTACCTAGATACTTAGAAAGCTGAGGCGATTACAGTGTTTTAGTATTTTATCTCTCGAAGTAGGGTTCTAAAATTTTACTTGGGGTTACTGGTTTATCTTTCCGTAAACTGCTTTGACCTTTTCCCTTTTAAACAATCAAGCAGTGTATAAATTTTGTGAAATAAATACATAAAATTCTCGGTGAGAGTGCTGGTTTCTGGACCCCCTTTAGTCACTTGCCTGTTTTTGCATCTCCGCTCTTTATAGGATGAGCACGGCTACATCTCCCGGGAGTTCCACCGCCGCTACATGATCCCCAAGGGGGTTGACCCCGCAGCCATCACTTCGGCCCTGTCTCCCGACGGGGTGCTATCCATCACGGCACCGACTACCCAGGCTCTTCCCGGCGTGGAGCGCAGCATCCCCATCAGCCGCCAGGAAAAGCCTGCCGTCACCGGAAAGTAATAGGGTAGCAGCCTAGCTTGGCTTTTTGCTCTCTGTTTTTACCGGAAGCCAGCAAGCATCTCAGGCCTGCTCTCCCCTCGCTAGTAGCTGCAAGGGCTGCTCACTCTTCACAGAAGTGACATTCCCCTCTGCCCGCTCCCTGCTGAGGTTCTGGCAGCAGAGACTATGTATTGCCTCTAGGGTGGTGATCCTTTAGTGCAATTTCCCTACACTCCAGTAGGACCTTCCTGGAGTAGAGATTGGGCCCTTTCTTCTTCTGGCTAGGAGTACCCTTCTGTTGCAGGCTTACTCTGTGCACCACTGTTTATGCCAGACTCCTTGCTTTGTATAAATACAGATGCCACTTGGGTACATGTACTTGCTTAAAAAACAGATGTCACATTGATACTTGCTAATAAACGTGGTGTTTCTGCCTTCTGAGTGTGTGATTGCATCTGGACGTGGGAGGGCAATGAACCTTAAGGCGGCACCAGCCGGGAAGGTGGGTGGTAGCAAATTTCCACATCACTGACCATGGCATTGACTGCTGTATTCCAGATTAGAGCATAAGAGCATGGCAGGATCAGGCCTATCCAGCAGCATATTCCTTCAAGTGGACATCTTGGAAGTGAAGGAGCAAGGCATGGGCATAAGCGCCCTCTCCCTAGCAAATCCATAAAACACTCTAAAAGGGATAGTTATTTTGCAGAAGCCATGCTGATTCTTCTCTAGCAAAGCTTCTTCTTCTATTTTCTCGGTGCTTTCCACCAGTTTTCCCAGGACAGATGTCGGGCTAACTGGTCTGCAACAGCCCAAATCCCAATATATTTCCCAAATACTTAATCTTACACTAGCCACTTTCCACTCTTCGGGCACAAAGGCTGATTGTTAGCGACAAGCTACATGTTCTTGTTAGAGCAGGAGTTTTGCATTTGATTTCTCTTAAGAATGCTCTGAGGGCTGTCATCTGGACCCGATGACTTCTTTTGAATTGGTTGAGGATGCCTAGATCATCATTGCGTTACGCCAATATTTGCAGTAGAACCTGGCAAGAGGGTTTGGTTGTTAAATCCCTGGGAACTGTAGCTCTGTGAGGGGAATAGGAGTCTCCTAACAACTCTTGGCACCCTTAGCAAACTGCCCTTCCTAGAATTCTTTGGGAGAAGCTATGATGATTCAAAGTGCAAAGCGCAAATGGGACCTAACAAAGACCCATTAATTTGAGTGGGTTGCGGGTGGTGCTGTGGGTTAAACCACAGAGCCTAGGACTTGCCGATGAGAAGGTCGGAGGTTCGAATCCCCGCGACAGGGTGAGCTCCAGTTGCTCGGTCCCTGCTCCTGCCAACCTAGCAGTTCAAAAGCACGTCAAAGTGCAAGTAGGTAAATAGGTACCTCTCCGGCGGGAAGGTAAACTGTGTTTCCGTGCGCTGCTCTGGTTCGCCAGAAGCGGCTTAGTCATGCTGGCCACATGACCCAGAAGCTGTCTGTGGACAAATACCAGCTCCCTCAGCCAGTAAAGCGAGATGAGCGCCGCAACCCCAGAGTAGTCTGCAACTGGACCTAATTGTCAGGGGTCCCTTTACCCTTTACCTTTACTCTCAGCAGAGCTTATCTCACACTCTGGCTTTTGTAGTACCATGAAGCTGTGTTTTGTGCAGCTGCAGCCATGTGAACCTGAAGCTTAACAGACTCACTTTAATTACTCCTCAATGCCCAGAACAAAGGTCTATTGCCTCCGTCCTAATTGCCATTCAAGCTTCTGATTTTGAAACTGTAATTACAAAACAGCTTTGCATGCAGTGTTTAAGACACGTGAATCCTTCCACATTTCCAGATGTCTCCGCATGTATAGGCAAGTATCAAACATGCTTAAAATGTACCGTGTCTTAACATCTGTGGGCACTGTAGTCCCGGCGGAGACACACAATACGCATTCCACAAACGACAGAAACTTGGCGGGCTGCCTAATCCGTTGTGCGGATGGATTAAATATATTTATTTTTGCAGAGGAGTTTTGTGGTGTTAGGCTTTCGCAGCTAAACAATCATGTCAGTTTGCAAGTCTTAACAATTGGTTATGGCGGAAGTTTTTTGCGGGCTACAGTTCTAACTTTATTGGGTGCATCTGATACTGGAACATTCTGCTTGGGGAGCTACCTGGTTCTGCCTGGGTGGCTATTACAGGCACTGGGTATGACAGGAGTTTGGTGTGATTCAGCAGGGATCTCCTAGGTGTGGCCTTATTTCAGCCATGGAAATGAGTGTTGGAAACATGCCCCGGGAAGGCTACCAACTTCCCAAGTCTTCAGAGCATCTCTCCGGTGGTCCTCCCTGGCTGTAAATCACCCTCAGTCCAGAGAGAGTGGTGATAAGTGACCTTTCTCTTCTGAGAAGAGCACACTAGTCTTCTGGTACAGTGGTACCTCGGGTTAAGTACTTAATTTGTTCCGGAGGTCCGTTCTTAACCTGAAACTGTTCTTAACCTGAAGCACCACTTTAGCTAATGGGGCCTCCTGCTGCCGCCGCGCCACTGGAGCCCGATTTCTGTTCTCATCCTGAAGCAAAGTTCTTAACCCGAGGTACTATTTCTGGGTTAGCGAAGTCTGTAACCTGAAGCGTCTGTAACCTGAAGCGCATGTAACCTGAGGTACCACTGTATTTCATGGCAGAAGAAAGATTCGTAGTTCTAAAACTACTTTATTTACAGTCTATGCTCAAAGACTCCATCAGCACGTCTGTGCTCTTTGAACACCAGTACAGAAAACTGCGACACATACAGAAGTGAAACTAACTTCCAACAGTACAGGAAGAGATAATACAGACTTCCTTTCTCACACCCTCTCAGACACTCACATGATGTCCACAAAACATAGTACAATAGTACCACTCGCTGGAGCAGCTCGGATAAATAAAAATCCTAACAATAAGTTCCCCAGAGTTACCAGGCTGCAAAATTTTACTACTCTCTTTGCCCTTGCAGATGGGGGACAGAATCTGCTTCAATGGCTGCCTGCTACATTTCTGTGCCCTGCTACTGAGGAGTGGGCTTTCTTGTCAGTCCACTCACTTTCTGTAGTAAGCATAGAGGAGAAAGTGTTCCACCTCTTTGGCCTGCCTGCCTCTAACTCCTTGCCTCCCTGTGGCAAGTAGTCTAGTATTTAAACAGCCTAGCATGGCACCCTTAGACTCGTTGTTGTTTAGTCGTGTCCAACTCTTCGTGACCCCATGGACCAGAGCACGCCAGGCACTCCTGTCTTCCACTGCCTCCCACAGTTTGGTCAAACTCATGCTGGTAGCTTCGAGAACACTCTCCAACCATCTCGTCCTCTGTCGTCCCCTTCCCCTTGTGCCCTCCATCTTTCCCAACATCAGGGTCTTTCCAGGGAGTCTTCTCTTCTCATGAGGTGGCCATAAGTATTGGAGCCTCAGCTTCAGGATCTGTCCTTCCAGTGAGCACTCAGGGCTGATTTCCTTCAGAATGGATAGGTTTGATCTTCTTGCAGTCCATGGGACTCTCAAAAGTCTCCTCCAACACCATAATTCAAAAGCATCAATTCTTTGGCGATTAGCCTTCTTTATGGTCCAACTCTCACTTCCATACATCACTACTGGACCCTTAGACTAGCATCTGTTAATTTGCTTAGTTTGTACTGACTTTGCCATGATGGTCAAGAAGACAGGGCCTTGAAGCTCTAATCTCTGCAGGTGGAGAGAATCTCTTCCTTAGCTCAAGGGCCACATTAACCTTCTGGGGGCCATATTGTCATTCTTTTCTTTAGGGGGACTTTACATGCAGGCCGCCTACAGCCTCCCGGATAAAGCTCCACAGCTTCGTACCTAGTTTCTGTGTTAATGCTGCAAAGGATGGTATTTTATTTTTTTAACACTGCTAAACTAGATGCTAATCTTCATGGATGGAAGAGGAAGTGTTGTAGATTTCCCCAAGCAATTCAAGGAGGAAACACAAGACTTCATGCACTTCCCACGACCAAGATATAATCGGTTGGTTCAGCCAGGCTAGCTCTCTGTATATAAGCCAGTAAGTGAGCAAATCTAGATGCAAAGGTGGGCAGAAAAGTGAAGGGGAAAAAAACACCTTTGTATAGAAGGCTAGCTTCTACATCTACACGCATGCTCTCTCGCCCACAAGGCCCTCCAAAGTTTTTTCCAGGGACAGTTCCTGGATTTACAGAAGCTGTCCCGGTTTCTGATTTGATCCCAGAATGTCCCACTTTCCTTGGGACATCCCTATTTTCATCAGAGAAGTGTTCATAGAATCATAGAGTTGGAATAGACCACAAGGGCCATCGAGTCCAACCCCCTGCCAAGCAGGAAACACCATCAGAGCACTCCTGACATATGGTTGTCAAGCCTCTGCTTAAAGACCTCCAAAGAAGGAGACTCCACCACACTCCTTGGCAGCAAATTCCACTGTCGAACAGCTCTTACTGTCAGGAAGTTCTTCCTAATGTTTAGGTGGAATCTTCTTTCTTGTAGTTTGGATCCATTTGCTCCGTGTCCGCTTCTCTGGAGCAGCAGAAAACAACCTTTCTCCCTCCTCTATATGACATCCTTTTATATATTTGAACATGGCTATCATATCACCCCTTAACCTCCTCTTCTCCAGGCTAAACATGCCCAGCTCCCTTAGCCGTTCCTCATAAGGCATCGTTTCCAGGCCTTTGACCATTTTGGCTGCCCTCCTCTGGACACGTTCCAGTTTGTCAGTGTCCTTCTTGAACTGTGGTGCCCAGAACTGGACACAGTACTCCAGGTGAGGTCTGACCAGAGCAGAATACAGTGGCACTATTACTTCCCTTGATCTAGATGCTATACTCCTATTGATGCAGCCCAGAATTGCATTGGCTTTTTTAGCTGCCGCGTCACACTGTTGGCTCATGCCAAGTTTGTGGTCAACCAAGACTCCTAGATCCTTTTCACATGTACTGCTCTCAAGCCAGGTGTCACCCACCTTGTATTTGTGCCTCTCATGTTTTGTGCCCAAGTGCAATACTTTACATTTCTCCCTGTTAAAGTTCATCTTGTTTGTTTTGGCCCAGTTCTCTAATCTGTCAAGGTCGTTTTGAAGTGTGATCCTGTCCTCTGGGGTGTTAGCCACCCCTCCCAGTTTGGTGTCAACTGCAAATTTGATCAGGATGCCCTTGAGTCCATCATCCAAGTCGTTGATAAAGATGTTGAATAAGACCGGGCCCAAGACAGAACCCTGTGGCACCCCACTAGTCACTCTTCTCCAGGATGAAGAGGAACCATTGATGAGCACCCTTTGGGTTCGGTCAGTCAGCCAGTTACAAATCCACTGAGTGGTAGCATAGTCAAGACCGCATTTTACCAGCTTCTTTACAAGAATATCATGGGGCACCTTGTCAAATGCCTTGCTGAAATCAAGGTAGGCTACATCCACTGCGTTCCCTTCACCTACCAGGCTTGTAATTCTGTCAAAAAATGAGATCAGGTTAGTCTGACATGACTTATTTTTCAGAAATCCATGCTGACTATTGGTGATCACAGCCTTCCTTTCTAGGTGCTCACAGACTGTTTGCTTAATGATCTGCTCCAGAATCTTCCCTGGTATTGATGTCAGACTGACTGGGCGATAATTATTTGGGTCCTCTCTTTTCCCCTTTTTGAAAATAGGGACAACATTTGCCCTCCTCCAGTGTTGGAGGGTGTGGAGTTAGACGACCCCCGAGCCAAGGAGATAAGTAGGTATACAACCTTTAGAAGATATCTGAAGGCAGCCCTGTATGTTTTATTGTGTGTGTGTGTGTGTGTGTGTGTGTGTAGAGGGGGGGGGGAGCTGCCCAGAGTGGCTGGGGCAACCCAGTCAGATGGGCTGGGTAGTATTTTATTTTATTATTTTTATTATTATTGAAATCTTGGAGGGTATGCCCAACTCCTGCACCCTGGCAAGCAGGAGGTATCAGAGTGCAAGGATGTATTCTAGCCAGGCAAGAAGGATGAGGAGCAGGCTAGTTAAAGCATGTAGCTCAGGGAAAGAGGGTGTGACTTCGCAGTGTCCCCTGGCCCAGGTACAGAGATTTGGAGGCTTAAAAACAACAGGGCTTTCTTGCCCACTAACAAAGGAGGTGGAGTTGTGGGCTGTGGTTCCACCAAGCAAACAAGACAAATCTTTCACACTTGACTTTTCTTTCTAGCGCCACTGTGTCGTAAGAAACAGACTTTTTCAGCGAAGGCAGTCACCACAAAATAGCAAATAAAGGGAACAACACTTGAGCAGAGTCAAAAGTACCATGACAGCTAGTTTGGACAGAAAACCCTCTGCACCAGCGTGTAACTCCTAAAGAACGGAATAAAAAGGGACACATTCTTCAAGTTGTCAGTGCTTGCCTGTGTTAAAACTTAATGAGCTTTGGTTCAGAAAGCAAGTTAAAAGAAGAAGAAAAAAGCTGGCAGCCACCCAAATGAAAAACCACAAGTTTCCTCTGCTTTGCCTTTTCCAAAAGCAGAGGTTGCCAATGTGGTGCCCACAGAGTCTTCCCGCCCCATTGAAATTAGGCTTGAAAGAAGTGCGCTATTGTAGCCAAGAGAAAATAGGTTGTGGTGTGTGCTCGGCTGCGATATCTCTGCTTTGCAAATGTGCCTACTGACCCAGAAAACACTGGCAACCCCTGCCCTTATTGCACTGTGATCTACTACATAAACACAGGGATATTTCTGCAGGGCAAGCTGGCTGTGGATTCATGGAATCCTAGATCATCCCTGCTTATGCACACAAGTTTTTTTTTTTGCAGCCTCTACATATCGTCTCCTTCAAAATGCCATTCCACTTCCCCGCTCCCCCATGTAATCTGGATTTACTTTTGCTTACTGAATTTCCCGCAGAAACATTAAACCCACATTAAATGGGGGAATCTGGGGTGATGTTTTGAAGGGGGAGGTCATTTGGACGCTGCACAAAATTCCTGGAGTGGTAGAGCATCTGCTTTGCATGCAGAAGATCCTGGGTTCAAACGCCGGCTTTGTCAGGGAGGGCTGGGAAAGAATCACTGCCTCAAAAACCATGGAGGGTTGCTGCCAGTCAGAGTAGACAGTATTGAACTGGATGGACCAATGGTCTGACTCAGAGGTGCTGACTTGTGTTCCAGATTGTGGGTGCCCAGTGGCACACATGCATTTGACGCGACATCGTGATAATAGTTGCCCGTGGTCTGCACTTCTGGAAGCAACTGATCAGAGCTTGGTTCTGAAAGGCTTTCCCCATTGGGTAACTTAGTGACATGTGTCTATTTTGTTTTAATTCAAATGTATATGCTGTTTCCTTTTTATTGTGCATTGCCTTGAACCACAGTGCAGAAGGCGGTTAATAATAATACAATGGTACCTCAGGTTACATACGCTTCAGGTTACATACGCTTCAGGTTACAGACTCCGCTAACCCAGAAATAGTGCTTCAGGTTAAGAACTTTGCTTCAGGTTGAGAACAGAAATCGGGCTCTGGTGGCGCGGCGGCAGCAGGAGGCCCCATTAGCTAAAGTGGTGCTTCAGGTTAAGAACAGTTTCAGGTTAAGAACGGACCTCCGGAACGAATTAAGTATTTAACCTGTAATATGATGATGATGTTGATGCACTAGCTACAAGGCATTGGACTGTCCCCACTGTGTAATCTTGTAACTTAAGTTCTTCCCCTGGTATCCTGGTCACCTTCACTGCTATGACACAGCAGTTCTCGTGACTCTTCTCAGCAAGGCCAAGACAGAAAGATCCACGGTCTCAAGAGTGCGTTGGCTTTGGACGTGGGAAAACGCCAGGGGAAATATTTGCTCAGTCATGGAGCCTGTTGGCTGGCAGCCTAACTTCAGAGGTAAACTGAGAACCCCATGTAAGCTATCCCCAGCTGCTTGGAGTAAGGGTAGGATACACAATTGTCTAATAGTCTATATATATATATCTGTGTGTGTGCGAGGGAGCTGGTTTCAGCTTCGTCACATTCAAGAATAGGGATAAGTCCCCCACCCCCTACGAGGGCTGTATTCTAGGGTTGCCATACATCCAGAATTTTCCAGACATTGCGGGATTCGGCTGTCGGAAACAGTGTCCGGGCAGAAATTGCTTAAACATCCAGGAAAATCCAGACATACGGCAAACCCATGTCGGAAGTGTAGATTTCGGCGAATTTCCTTAAAAATAGCTTTGAAACTTCTTCTTCTTGTTGAGATCTTGCAAAAATAGATCAATGACCTTTGTGTCCGGATTTTCTCTTTTCGAAATACAGCAACCCTATTGTATTTCCTTCTGGGCAACTTCCCATAGGTCACATGACAGTGGTGGGTGGGGCCAGAAGCACATATCCTCCAATTGAAACCCTGGAGAGTTACTGCCAGTCAGGGAGCCACTGAGCTAGAATGGACCACTGATCTCTGTTTAAGGCGGATTCCCATGTTCCTATGGCATTGATGGACCTAAGTTAGTGGTGTCCGTTCACGTCTATGAGGCTACACTACTCAATAGTGGATGCAACCCAGTATGTCTTTCCCCACTTCAGTTAAGTGGATGAAACGAAGACAGCTGTGGGCTTGAGTGCGAAAGGAGTGTGAGCTCAGTTCAGTTCTGGAGACAAATTCCTAGGCGAAGATGTGAGCCTTGTTCTTTAATCCTGACCGTATGTTGTTTGCACCTGGTTCTGGTTGGCAGATCTCAAGATTCTAGTGAAAAACGAAATTGACCCAACAGTTTGGATAGTTTGCGCATGCCTGATGTGCAGGAGAGCTGCAACCTGCACCCATTTAACTTGTGCACATTCAGCTTTACGCATTTGGCAATAATTTTTTTTTTAAATTAAGGGTGCGGGCATCTGTGGGAAAAATACATTGTCAATCCCACCTGCCATTGCACCCAAAGTGCTTTGACTATGCGTGATTTTGGCTTTGTGCTCTGTCCCTGGAACATAAGTTGAGAGTCAACTGTAGTAGAGAATACTACCTAGCAGAGCAAGGCTTTGGTGTGGTATGAAGTCCTTCCAAAGGAGCTGACCAGGGAAGGAGAGGGGCAACAATAGTTCTGCAGTGGGACAGTATAAATTTGGAACAGTGGTTTGCAGAGGGACATAGTTCAGAAGACAGAAGTTGGGAAGAACTGGGTGGTGAACAGCTAGGAGAACTGGGAGAGAGTTAACAGACTCACTTTCGCTGGAAAGTGTCCATTAGCTCAGCCCAAAGTCAAGGAGAACAGAGTGGGTGGCAACACAGAAAGCACAGTGGTTGCAAGACGAGGAACTGACGTGGGTGACGGGGGGGAAGCAGGTGGAACCCTTAATTGGGAGCACCTTCATTCCTAGGAATGGATTCTTTGTTCTCTCTCTGTGATCATTAATATCTGTAAATGGTAAGAGACTCCTTTTGCTTTGTTCTGCTTATCTACTGCCAAAGGGGGCGGGGAGTAAGCCGAGTCCCTGAAGCCTGACAGCAGCCTTACGTCAAGGCGGACCGCTGCTCAGTCTAGCTCAGCATCCCCTGCACGGACCAGCAGCAGCTCTCTGGTGCTTCAGTGAGGCGTCTTTCCCACTCCTACCTGGAGACGCTGGGGAGGCCATTTGCATACATGTGCTCTTGAGACCTGCTGGTGAAGGGCAGGAAATAATTTGAATAGTAAAATGTGCTCAACCACTGAGTTACACCCCTCTCCACCAAACATCACAGCAACACAGGAAGATGCGGTGAAGGGGAGGGTGTTCCTGCACCCGGATCCTGCTTGCCAGCTTCGGCATCTGGTCGGCTGCTATAAGGAACAGGCTGCTAGGCTGGGTGAGCCCCGAGCCCCATCCAGCAAGGTCCTTCTTATGAGTCAGACCCCTAGCTCTCCACGCTGGCTGGCAGAGGCTGCCCAAGATTTCTGGCAATATTTTCTCCCAGCCCTACAAGGACACGCCAGGGATTGAACCTGGGGCATCCTGCACTCAAAGCAGGTGTTCTTCCACTGCATCACAGTCCTTCGCACCAACGGGTGTTCTCCAAATCCAGCCCATAAAAAGCCACTCTGGGGATCTCCGGCTGTGTCACACTCCACTGACTCACCGGGCCCAAATGTTGCTCTGCCTATCAAGCCTCTGGCGACCCGCCGAGCGGATTTTTGCTGCCGGCCTGCTATCGCTGAGAAAAAGGGAAGGAGCTGCCAAGTCCTGGCATGGCAGCTGTGCAGGGCCGTTCCGCTCTCCTCACCAGGTCCATGAAATGAAACTCAGGAGATGATTTAGCTGGACTTTGTTCTCAGCATCCTCCTTTTCAGAATTATTAGGTCTCTAGCCCACCTTTTATATGCCTGTTGTCTTTGTCCATGGAGTTTTCAGACCCTGATGTTGGGAAAGATGGAGGGCACAAGGAGAAGGGGACGACAGAGGACGAGATGGTTGGACAGTGTTCTCGAAGCTACCAGCATGAGTTTGACCAAGCTGTGGGAGGCAGTGGAAGACAGGAGTGCCTGGCGTGCTCTGGTCCATGGAGTCACGAAGAGTTGGACACGACTAAACAACAACAAAAAGCCAACCTTTTCTCCAAGAAACTCTTCTTTCCCTTCACAACCATGCCTATAGGTGAGCTGGGGGTATAGGACAAAGCCAGTACTCAGGAAAAGCCAAGAGCAGGGGTCAGCAAACTTGTTCAGCAGGGGGCCGGTCCACTGTCCCTCAGACCTTGTGGGGGGCCGGTTTATATTTTGAAAAAATAAATAAATGAATGAATTCCTTTGCCCCACAAATAACCCAGAGATGCATTTTAAATAGAAGCTCACATTCTACTCATGTAAAAACACAGATTCCCGGACTGTCCGCGGGCCGGATTGAGAAGGCGATTGGTTTGCCTACCCATGGCCAAGAGGGTAAGCTCAAAGTGCAAGTCAGAAGAACAGAGGGTGCAGGTAAGTGCTAAAGCTAAGGAAGATCCTTGCTGAGGCAGAAAACTCTTTATATTATTTTCTGCCTTAAGAGGATTCATTGAGCAGCCTGGGGGTGGGGGAGCCAAGGGGACAAAGGAATCAAGTCTAGGGTCTGAAGAAGCTGCCCAACCTCACACAGATTATCAACATCTCTTGACAATTCATAGCATCCTGGTTTACCTGTGTGGTTCCTCCTCAGCTCCAAGAAACAGATATATACTCATATACGTGGACCTATTCCAAATACTGTGTTTATTGTTCCATAAAAGTGAAGCCAGTTAATGCCGAGGCAAAGGACTCCAGGGAAGGGGAGATTTACAAAAGGTTGTTGGCTATAGTCAGATGTGTCTCTCACTGCCGCTCGTACATCTCCTTCAGAATCTTCATGCTCTCCGAGTATCGCAGCTGGTTCTTGTGAGATCCCTCTTTCCACCTGTGAATAGCGGAGGCCACAAGTCAGCCACACAGCCCCGTACATCTCTTTGTACCCATGGCTCTCTCAGATCAATTGTTTCCCACGATCCCCACAAACAGCAGTCGCTGGTGCCCCTTGAGGCTGGTAGGGTGTAAGGCGGGGAGACCAATGGTAGGTGGCGCTAGAGTCTTATGGTGGGTGGGGCTACCTAGTTGTAGTTTCGTCTCCGACTTCCTCCCTGCTAAGCTCTATGGCAGAGCTTCCCAAACTTCTCATGTCAACGACACACTTTTTAGACATGCGTCGTTTCACAACATGGTAATTCAGTTTTACTAGCAAGCCGGAGGTTAAACTAACCCCTTATAAGAGCGTTCGCACAAGCACGCCTACACACAGCAACCGAAGCACTAACGTGTCACGACACAGAGTTTGGAAAGCTCTTCTGCTCTACAGGAATCAAAGAATGGGAAGCTGACAGCCAGGGCCACTCCCTTGACTGGCCACAGGTAAGGAGGGAGGCAGGTCAGGGGCTGGGCTGAGGGCAGACTGAAGTGGCAGTGGCTTTGGTAATATGGTGCCCTGAGGGAGGACAAAATCCCCCCCCTTCTTATTTTCACAATAATTCATTTTGGTACAGTTGATTTTTTATATACCCGTATGTAGGTGGTGGTGTTGTTATTTGGCATCCCTTCAGCTTGGTGCCCTGTGTGGGAGACAAGCTTGCACCACCCTAAATTGCCTGGCACCTTCATTATACACCTTTAGGTACCATGCAAAAACATTCCTCTTCAGCCAGGCCTTTGGCTAACATCCTATATCACTGAAAATGTGTTTGTGGGAGCGCTGGGGAGGGGCAGTTATGGGTTTACAGTGGTACTTCTGATTGCGAACGGATCCGTTCCGGAGGCCCGTTTGCAACATGAAAAGCCTGCAACTTGAAGCACCGTATCTGCGCAGGAGTGTGACGCGTGGCGCACTTTGATGCTTGTGCGCATGCATGAAGCGTGATTTAGTGCTTCTGTGCATGCGGCAAAACCCGGAAGTAACCCTTTCCGGTACTTCTGGGTTGCTGCGGAACACAACCTGAAAAACGTAACATGAAGCAAACATAAAATGAGGTATGACTGTATTTCATTCCTGTTTTTATTATGTATTTTGCGTTTTTATCTAGTATTTTTATGCTGTGAACCACCTTGAGATCTACCAAGGAAGGGTGCTAAACACTGGGCATAAATGAAGGATACTGGTCATAAATGAATCTGGCACTGTTTGCGGGGCAGTGCCCCAATCTGCCTTAATGGAATGGCCTCCGCTGCAAAAGGTTCTCTGCCTCATGCCCTCCTCCTCCTTGCTTCCAGAGCCCAGCATCCTACCTCTGCCTGATCTTCTTCCACCGCTCCATGTTCTTGTAGATGAGGGAGGACATTGATGGTACAGCATCAGAAGCCTGGAGTTGGGGGGAGAGCGAGAGAGAGAGAGAAGGGATTTCGTCAGCACTCTGCTTGGCCTAAAGCCCTGTAGGGCTGACACAGTGGCCTGGCAAGCAGAATAACCCAATCAACTCAAAAGCTATCCAAAGGCCAAGAAGCAAATGAAATGAAGATGCAGTAACCCCCTTAGCTGAAGAAAATAAAAATGCAGATATATTTTCTTGCGGAAATCACAGTCAACATGCTGAGAGTCCGTTGACTTTAAATAATTATCTTTACTTGTTAAAAGAAGTGAAATGTTTAAAATGGCCTATACATTCAATATTTGTACATGTAAAATTTGTGTATTTATGCGAGTGCAGCTGCCACCAGTAGCAGACAATACTAAGCTTCAGAGATCAATGTTTCGGTTGGTATAAGGCTTCCTATATGTTTACAGTGGTGCCTCGCAAGACAAAATTAATCCGTTCCGCGAGAGTCTTCGTCTAGCGGTTTTTTCGTCTTGCGAAGCAAGCCCATTGACGTATTAGCGCTATTAGCGCTATTAGCGGTTTAGCGGCTATTAATGGCTTAAAGTATTTGGGTATTAGCTGCTAAAAGGCTATTAAAGGCTATTAAAGGCTTAGCTGCTTAGATAAAGGGGAAAAGCGAAAAAAAATCTCAAGACTCGCAAGGTATTTTCGTCTTGCGAAGCAAGCCCATAGGGGAATTCGTCCTGCGAAGCAACTTCAAAACGGAAAACCCTTTCGTCTAGCGGTTTTTCCGTCTTGCGAGGCATTCGTCTTGCGGGGCACCACTGTATTGGCTGCCGTCCATTTCAGATAAAATGCCACCCTCAGTTGACAACTCTATCTACACACATGTAAAAAGGGTGGAGGGGAAGAGAGAGAATGTGAACTACGGGAAATCCCTGGTCTTGACAGAGCCCCTAGTGAACAGAATCAAACTTGCCAGAAAATTCTAGTTCAGTAACTATTAGTCGATGGTTGTTCAGCTTTTGTAGTTATTTATACTCAGCTTTCCCACATAGCTCAAAAGAAGCTTGCAACTTTGAGATGTCATACTAGTGCAATGATAAGGAGAAAGAAGAGTTCAGGTCCCAGTCTCAATAATAAAACCCAACAGCACTCAATATTGCTTAGAACAAACTGCAAGCTCTTACAAATTTTCCCAGGTATTCCAGAAACTGAGGGAACACTGTGGTGAATTGCAGTTCGTGGCTGGCTAGCAGCAGGTGAAGCTGAGGCCCCCATCTGCACAATTCATTTAAAGCAGTATCATGCCACTTTAAACAGTCACGACTTCCCCCAAAAGAGTCCTGGGAACTGGGATTTAATGCTGGGAGGTGTCAGGAGACCCCCCTCCCAATTCCCCTCCCAGAGCTACAATTCACATAGTGGTTTCACAGTCAGACCCTCTTCCTGGAAATTGCAGCTCTGTGAGTGGAATGGGGTTTCCTGACAGCTCTCAGCACTACAGTTCCCTGGATCCTTCAAATGTTTTTAGAATGTTTTTAAACTGTTTTATTGTGGATGTGTTTGCTGCTCTTGGCTCCTGCAGGAGGAAGAGCAAGATATAAAGGGGGGCCACTAGGGGGCGCATTGAAAGATGGCCGACAATACCATCTCTCCGACCCACACGGGGTAATTAAGAGGCTGTTATGGGAGTAGGCAGCCTCCCTTGTTGCCCCAAGAAAATGGGGAACACTGCCCTTGCCTGCTGTGCCCATAAATCACCCCCTAATTTGAAAGAAGGGGGTGAGGGCCCTAGGCAGAATGCCCCCGTGTGGACCTCGGCTCTCCTGGACGCTGTCTCTGATCGCGCACTAGTTGCAGCAATTTGGAATAATTAACTACAAAAGAAGCAAATGCACATATTTCAAGTGAAGAATGGGAGTGAAGTCTGCTAATTTAAGTGACCTCTGCGAAAGAAGACGACGGGCTGGAGAAACAGGAATATTTTACGATGAAGATACACCAAAGGCGGGGTATGTTGACAACGGGGCTGAATGGGGGGGGGGAACCTTTTTTACTTTCCTTCTATGTGATTTACAAGAACCCCTCCTCATCAGAACCGGCGGTTGAACTGACCCAAGCAGGATGATTAAGGTCTGTGTGGAGATAAACTTTAACCAAAAGTATGCTTTATGGAGACCGAGAAGCAATAAGAGCTTTTGGGAATGGCGCAGCAATTAATTCGGAGTCGCCATCTTGCCAAAGGATTTACAGCCGGGAGGAAGAACGGATTTGTTTTCAGACTGCATTCCTAGTGAATCTCCTCAGACGTTTTGAGAAAGGAGGCAGATTGGTGAAGATTAATGATGCTAAGACTGTTTTGATGTATGGAAGTGATGTTATATGGAAAACGTCTGGATATGGCTACTGGATAAAAAAAATATCCACACAGGATTACAAACTGTTCTAACCAGCTTGCGGAGACTATCAGAGGTCACAAAGAGAAAGGAAAAATATATGAAAATAACAACAAGAGATGTGGAAAAATAATAAGAAAGGACTGGATAGTACTGTGAACATCATAAGGTTAGATTTGTGGACATTAAAACAGCAGTAAGAAGCAAGAAGTTGATTGGATCCCTTCGGAACTTGAATTATGGGTACCCCCAACAAAAATTTAAAATTTGGCTCTGTAATTTGGAATTTATGTAATTTGGTTTGATTTGATGTGATTGGTCGGTTAATAAAAAATTATTCTTAAAAAGATATAAATATGAACAGTGCTTTTCCCCCTAAAAAAAATGTTTAGGGGTACTCTCATTTTCCTACTCATATTGAAATACTGCCCCTCAAAGAGGCCAAACTTAGATTCACAAAATGTTTAGGGGTACGCGTCCCCCTGCATCCCCCCAGAAAAAAAGCACTGAATATAAATATAGGTAAAGGTAAAGGGACCCCTGACCATTAGATCCAGTTGTGCCGACTCTGGGGTTGCGGCGCTCATCTCGCTTTATTGGCCAAGGGAGCCGGCGTACAGCTTCCGGGTCATGTGGCCAGTATGACTATGCCGCTTCTGGCGAACCAGAGCAGCGCATGGAAATGCCGTTTACCTTCCTGACGGAGCGGTACCTATTTATCTACTTGTACTTTGATGTGCTTTTGAACTGCTAGGTTGGCAAGGAGCAGGGACCGAGCAACAGGAGCTCACCCCGTCTGATTGGCAAGTCCTAGGCTCTGTGGTTTAACCCACAGCGCCACCCGCGTCCCTGAATATAAATATAAATTGCTTCAAATCAGCAGAGCTCCCACACTCCTTTTCTCCCCCCACCTCCCTGCTTTAGGGTGCTCTGACCGTGTCAGCAGCTACTTTTGCCTTGTCTTCGGGCTCTAGCGGGGACGGGATACGCAGGTTTACTGGTTCCCCTGCGGCATTTGTGTGGCAGGGAGCAGGAGGCGGCAGCTTATACACATCCTGGCTCTTCCCATTCAGACCTTCGGCGCCCTAGGATCAAAAACACGGGGAAAGAAGAGAGGCACAGGTTCAGTATCTCTTTGCCTGTGGACTTGCCAAGCCGAAAAGTCCCCCCATTCATTTCCTATGTTTATACACCACCCGTTGTCCAGCTTAAGGCAGTATACATGGGAATGTTCCAATTTCCTGATCACAGTGTAATCTGGGAGGTAGGTTAGGCAACGATTGTGTGCTGTGGGGGGCTGAGTAGGGATTTGAGCCTGGGTCCAAGTCCAAGCCTCTTTTAAAAAATATATTTTTATTAAGTTTTACATAACAAATTTAAATTCAAACACATCGTTCACCTCCTCATTTAGACTCCTCTGAATCCCTTGACTTCCCTCTGCCCTTCCATGGTTACCAATGTCAATCTTTTCCCCCCTTCATGTGCTTATCTTATTTTCTCTAATTTGTTAAAAGAATAATAATCTATTTTCCCATAGTTTCTTGTACATTACATGCACCACTCAAATCCTGCCAAAGTTTTTAGTTGTTTACAGTGTTCTCTTAAGTACATTCTAATTTTCCCCATTCCTTCTTAAAATTCTTCTCTTCCTGGTTTCTGATTTTCCCAGTCAGTTTTGCCATTTCGGCATAGCCCATCATCTTCATCAGCCATTCCTCTTTGGCTGGAACTTTATCTTCTTTCCATCTCTGAGCCAGGAGCCAAGACCAAACCTCTAACCACTATGCCACACTGCAGGGCTGGCCTCATCATTGGGCAGAGTGAGGTGGCAAATTATTGGTTATTTAAAACTCAGAAGCAAAGCGGCTGTGTGAGCTCCTCTCTGGGAGGCCTGCAAATTTGTGTGGTCTTGCTGAGCCAAGGTGCGGCCTAACATGTTGAACCTGGCCAGTACACACAAAAGAGTATTAATCAAAAAGAGTGAGCTTTGTTTTCATGGCAGCCGGGTAGAATTCTGCCCAATGTCAGCGCAGACCGACCACAGCCAGCCCTTCCCCTCTGAAGTTTTGTGGTAATATTTTTTGATGTTGGATTAGGTGGTACAGTGGTACCTTGGGTTACATACTCTTCAGGTTACATACGCTTCAGGTTACAGACTCCGCTAACCCAGAAATATTGCTTCAGGTTAAGAACTTTGCTTCAGGAAGAGAACAGAAATTGTGTTCCGGCAGCGTGGCAGCTAATAGCTAAAGTGGTGCTTCAGGTTAAGAACAGTTTCAGGTTAAGTACGGACCTCCGGAACGAATTAAGTACTTAACCCGAGGTACCACTGTAGTAGCACAAGCATTCCTAGATCCTTTGAAGTAATAGTAAGCTGTAAGAGTTTTCTGGGCCACCTTTGCCAGGCCAGGCCACACTGAACCAAGATGGGCAGCAGCGGATGGGGGAAGGAATACCAGTCTGCTACCTCCCCCTTGTCTGCCACCTGTGGCAAAGGGCTCACTCTGCCCAATGAGAGGACTGGCCCTGCCGCACCCTTTCCTAAGCGAGGGCCTCTTATTTAGTACCTCCTCATCCTCCAGTAGCACAGGCAGATTCGGGCTGGGAGATCGCTCCTGCTCCCGGACCATGGGGCTGTTCCGCATCCAGGCCCGACAGATGGGGTACAGCGGGGTGCTCTCAGAGAACTGCGCCAGGTCGACGCTCCGGTCAAACAGCTTGATGACATAGGTGTCTGCGGGGGACAAGGCGGCAAGACACAGCTCTGCAAGGCAGCCCTTTAAAAATGCCATCCAGTTCTTGGGGTTACATGGAAGCCACTAAGGGCTCCATTTATTATCAATCAATCTTTATTACGGTCCAGAGACCCAACAAATCGTTACAAAGCAATGCACAATTCAGACAGCCTACCTCCAGGTTAAACAAGCATTTTGTTCAGACTTAAAGACAGGAATCATTGGTTCTTGCAACCACTGATTAAAAACTTCGCCACTGCTAATGTTCTAGCGTTTGTCCGGTCTTCCAATAGGAACCTGACATAGTGAGCCTCTGATTTTCCAGGGAAAGGTTCCAGCAAGGGTAATATCAGTTCAGCCCTGGCTTGCTCATATTTCGCACAGTGCAGCAAAATATGTTTTATGGAATCGATGTCTTGAGCACACGAGCAAAGTCTGTCCTGGTAGGGAACTCCTCTCAACCTGTCATCCAACACTGCAGAAGGAAAGACGTTTAGTCTGGCTTTGGTGAAAAACCTTCGATAATTTGGTATCGTCAGGTTTTTAATGTAAGATGTTAACTTAAAGACATGTCCATTTATTATTATTATTATTGCCAGTGTTGGTAACAATAGGTAGAGCCAGAGCCAATGACACACAAAGCCATGACCTTACCAGTTGTAAGGAAGGAGGCAGGGGATGGCTAAGAGCAGAAAGAGGTTGATGGGGCAGTGCCCCATTTGCTCAGATAAGCTAGCCTGCACTGGCTTCAAGGACTGCCAGCTTCAAGGAGGGGATAGGAGTGGCCTTCTCACAGGCTCCACCCACATCCTGGTTCGGCCAACTCTGTGATCAACCACATCTTTCGGAGGAGTCTTGCTGGAGCAGCCCAATGTTTCTACTCACTCTGTTTCTGCTGCCCACCCTCCGTCAATCCATCGTCCGTCTCTTTCCTCTTCTTGCGGCGGTGGTGAGAGAACCGGCTGGACGGCCTGAGAGCAACGCCACAGTTTAGAAACTGCGCAGCTGGCCAACTCACTGCACAAGTGTCAGAAAGGTCTGGAGGCACTTTCCAAGCCCTGGGAGCAAGCCACAGCATCGCTTGTGCAACCAAAACCGAAAGCCGCTAACCCTGGCTGATTATTATTACTATTATTTATTAAATTTGTATACTGCACAGTTCACAGCACAAAATTACAATATAAAAAACACAAAATACAAAATCTGATGGGAATGCTGCGTAGCGCAAGCCTTAAAAGCCGGAATATCTGACCCTCCAGGTGTTGCTGAATTACAATTTCTATGATCTCAGGCCATTGGCCATGCTTTTTGGGGCTGATGGGAGCTGTAGTTCATTCAGCAACACCTGGAGGGACGAAGGGAGAGGGCTCACCTGTTGACCTTGGAAGCAGCAAGAAGCTGCACTGCTTCTCAGTCTCAGTGTGTGTTCAGGCACAAGATCCCAACCTTTCCTCAAGTTCCCCCTGCATGTCAGTGGATGGTGTTGGTGGCAAATACAAGCAACAGCTGGCCAACAAAGCCAATCAAAATGTGTGAGCCCATGAAGTAACACAGGGCTAACTCCATTTTGCTCAGAGTAGGATCCACTGAACTTAATGGACCTAAGTTAGTCATGTCCACTAATGCCAATGGATCTACTGAGTAGGACTAACACAGGATAAAACCAACAGTGTGATGTTTGCAGCAGCAATAGTTTCAAGAATGAGAGACCTGTGCTAGAGAACCTCCAGAAGGTGTATTTTGAGTGATAGGCTTACTTAACTTTATTATTTGAAATCCAGTTCAGGAGCATCAACAAGCCAATCCACACTGCCTAGTTCTAAATGCCATTTTCCGGTGAATGAGTACAGTGGAATAACAGACTCGCAGAATTGTAAGAAGGGACCACGAGGGTCATCTAGTCCAACCCCCTGCAATGCAGGAATATTTTGCCCAGTGTGGGGCTCGAACCCACAACCCTGAGATTAAGAGTCTCATGCTCTACCAACTGAGCTAAGAATAGCGAAATCTGAAATCTCCCATGCTATTGTTATCAACAGGTGGGAAAGACGCTGTAAAGAACCATACCTCTTTCCTGTGGCAGTAGGAGAAGAGTCCCTGAAACCGCAAAGCAAGAGGATTTAGGAATTGCCCAGAATGCAATAGCTTCACCAGCAAGAAAAAGGGGGGAAAACCCCTACTCTCCAGGATAGCTGGTCCCAGGAGAGGATTAACCATTCTTAGGGTTTGGGGGCCCCCAAGAACACTCCTCTCCCATGACTTTCAGTAGAAGTCGGGACCATTTTTAAAGCCCTTACATAAAAATAAATATCCCACGGCAACTTTACAAATTAAGATCTTTTCTATTAGCCCTCTTGGCAAACACACACACAAAACCTAAGCTAGGTTTGTTCATTTTCTGCAAATTATTATATCCTTAACCTATTAGGATATTTAGGGCAAAGCTGTGGGGCTCATTTTCACAGGTTCCTTCCATTCTCCTAGACCAGGGGTAAGCAACCTAAGGCCTGGGGGCCGGATGCGGCCCAATCGCCTTCTCAATCCAGCCTGCAGACGGTCTGGGAATCAGCATGTTTTTACAGGAGTAGAATGTGTCCTTTTATTTAAAATGCATCTCTGGGTTATTTGTGGGGCATAGGAATTTGTTCATATTTTTTTTCAAAATATAGTCTGGCCCACCACATGGTCTGAGGGATGGTGGACCAGCCCATGGCTGAAAAAGGTTGCTGACCCCTGTCCTAGACACTTTGGAGAGAAAAGAAAGGAAAGAAACCCAGAGAAGAAGCAGGAAACAAAAGCCAACTGTCTAAACGCATGATTCTCAACAGAGGTGGGCTTCTAAGGGGGGAAAAAGGAGAAATCTTTCCTTTACTCAGTTTCAACATACGCCTGGGCAAGAGTCTTGCCCACCTGTTCACATTCGGTGTAACACAGGAAGTATGTGCAGTCATAGGGGATTTACTGAATTCAATGGGGCTTACTCCCAGGTAAGTAGGGCTACAATATCAGTCTCATCCACCCAACCCTAAACTGCTGGGAATAAACAATGAGCTTTGGTCATTACCATTCTGCACTGCCACAGGAGTTTTTAAAATATATTTTACTTCTGCAAGCCTAGAAGTCTAACTTTTGTGCATGGGTGGTACCATTCTGGCAACTCTGGCACCTTCAGCCCAACAATCAGAAATAAAGGGAATGGTGTTGTTTGCTGCCCAAGATCCCGGAAACAGGATACTAGACAAAATGGACCTTGGTCTGATCTAGAAGGGCAATGCTTAGTTCCAAAGTGGCAGGACCACAGGATCAAAGAATTTTAGTGTTGCAGGTCATCTACTTCAATACAGGAATCTCCTCCACCCACCCCAGTTTTCCCTGGCTGGCAGACATAGCTACAATATTATTATAGCTATCTAGGAGCTGGCCCTTGGCAACAGCCTCCTCCCCACCTAAAAATTTTATGGCATGGCACAGCAATCAAGGGCAAGCGAAGGCAACTAGGGGATACTTGAGTGTCTTACTTGCTGAGTACATCTGAGGGAGTCTTCCCAGAGTCCTCTTCCATCTGCTCCCTGCGGAGATGAGTCAGGAAAAGGAAGAACAGGATGTCAGCAGCCATGTCCAGGGAGGAAAACTGGCATCTCACTTGAGGACCCACCTCTTGGAGCAACTACAGTGGTACCTCGGGTTACATACGCTTCAGGTTTCAGACTCCACTAACCCAGAAATAGTACCTCGGGTTAAGAACTTTGCTTCAGGATGAGAACAGAAGCCATACAAGAAATATGTAAAATAACTAAGCAAGTAATAGACATCACCCCAGAATTGGCCCTACTAAACATCTTCCAAGACAACAATGCCCATTTACACCACAAAGAACTCATAACCCACCTACTTTCAGCAGCCAGAAACACCATAACCAGACACTGGAGAGACCTGTCAGGAGTAAGCATGGACCAATGGTACCAAATAGTATGGGAAACAGCCCTACTAGAAAAATTAACTAATAAACTGAAGCTGACATGGGGACAAACAGAAGACGAACCTTCACCCCGGTATGGCTCCCCTTTATCACATACACAGCCCAACAGGACAATGACAATAATCCACCAATAGCATACAAATCAATATGGCTAACCTGATCCTAAACACCCACCCCACTCACACATGAAAACAAAGATCACCACAGCCAATCACAAGCAAACAATCACACCCTAGGCCAACCCCAACCTCTCTCACCACCAAAGGAACACAAGTGAACAACACAAGCAACGCTGACACCAAACTCTACATACATTAAACAGAATAGAAACACCGCCCCCCGACCCCACCCCCATCCATCTGCCCACTCTCCACCCCCTTTCTTTTTTCCTTTTTTCCTTCTCCCCCTAATGCCTCAACAAATGAAACGGATTTGTAAAAATGTTACATGGGGAAAAAAAATATGAGGCATTACACTTACATCTGTAAAACAAGAAAATCCTTAATAAAATATTTTAAAAAAACAAACAAAAAAAAAGGATGAGAACAGAAATCGTGCAGCGGCGGCGCAGCAGCAGGAAGAGGCCCCATTAGCTAAAGTGGTGCTTCAGGTTAAGAACAGTTTCAGGTTAAGAACGGACCTCCGGAACAAATTAAGTACTTAACCTGAGGTACCACTGTACTCCTTGCAGGAGAAGGAACTAGCATGCCACAAGGAATCTAAGGCCTCTTCCTTCTAGGTGAGGGTAGATAAGAAATTGCAAGCATACACATTGCCTACTCCTGAACCCAAAAGAACCTGGAAATACTTACCGATCAACCTCAGACTTCTCCAGTAGGCATTGCAGCACAGCATCGAGACGGTTTCGAGCATTGGCCGTCTCTAGATCTGGGGAAGGTCCGCAGGGGAGAAAATCATTATTCTGGCAGAAAGCGTTTACCCACCCCCTCCACTTTACAGTACAACATAGGATCTCTTTTTTCTCCATAGCGGCTGTCCCCAACCTCGTGCCCAGTGGGTGCTGTGGGGCTGCAATGGTGAGGTCACTTCTGACCTGCCCTTTCACCCCCTGCTGCTTTCCCCTGACTTTCGTGGCAGAGTTTTCAGAGCCCCCCTACCTGGCTTTTCCGTTTTCACCTTCGTGTGCAGCATGTTTACCAGAATCACAGTTCCCTGCAAGAGAAAAAATAGACCTGTGTCTCACTTGATACAGAGGATTCTAGCCATTACGGCCAAGTGATACTGAATGCTCAAAATGGGAAGATATATTGTATGAACTAAGGAGGCAAACAGAAAATACCTTAAAGGCAGGATGGGTACCTTTAACAAGCATGGGATTTTGCAAAGAAGGGCCACAAGACTGCGCTTCTTGCGCACATTTCTGGCCTCCGTGTTTACAGCAGCTTTACCTTTTTACCTTACAGCAGTTTCCTCTTTCTCTACCGACACTTCACGTGATCGATGAAGCGGGATCTTTTTTATTTTATTTTGCCAAGCTTCTGCCAGGTAGCCAGCCCTGTGCGCTCTTGCCCGGGAACAAGCCCTACTGAACTCGGTGGGGCTTACTCCCGAGTAGACACACGCGCAGCATTGCACTGCCCAGCTCGTCCCGGGCTCCAAGGTGCCGGAAAGGCTTTCGGTTCTGCTGCAGCTGACCTTTCGGAGCTGCTTCTCCTGCGCTGGACAGCGTTGCCTCCAGGAGAGAGGGCAGAAGCCGGTCCCCGATTCTCCGGACCAAAGGGCTTTGCTGCTGGCCTTTCTGCCCTTGCTCCCCTTCGCCCCGCCCTCGCGCGATCCCGGACACCCCCAAGCGAAGAAGCAGCAAAACACCCGCAGTTGCAACAGCAGAAGCCACCTCTCTGCCAATCGCTCCTTCCCTGATGCCAGTTCGCACGAATGCAGAAAAACCGCCTCTGGCCCGCTGCATGCTGGGAGTTGTAGGCGACTTTTTGCCGGGGGCGGGGCGGGGGCGGCAAGCTTCGGCCAATGGGCGGCCCGCTTCCCTTCTTTGAATTGATCTCTGCGTTCTGTGCGTGTGTATTTTAAGGAGCGGGACACAGTGTAAGATTGGGAGTCATGGGGTTGGTGGAGAAGAGTGTATTTATGAACTTAACAGTGCTTAGTTTATTATTATTTTTTGGTTGCTCTTTTTGTAGAACAGTCCAGTTGGAAGGGACATTGATGGTCCAACCCTGTGCAATGCAGGAATCCTGCCCACAGCTGTTGCCCCTGGGTGGGCTCGAACCACCAAACTTCCTAAGCAAAGTTTTCGCATTTCGCATTTTTGCTTACTGTGTTAGTAGTAGTAGTTGCCGACAATTGACCGTATGGAGAATCTGATCGCACCGCAGGAAAGCCTCTTGATTGCTAGGATGGAAGGGAGGGAAAATAGGGCTGGCTCCAGGTCTGGTGGGACGCGGCTGGCGCTGTGGTCTAAACCACAGAGCCCAGGGCTTGCCGATCAGAAGGTTGGCGGTTCAAATCCCGTTGACGGGGTGAGCTCCCGTTGCTCGGTCCCTGCTCCTGCCAACCTAGCAGTTTGAAAGCACATCAAAGTGCAAATAGATAAATAGGTACTGCTCTGGCGGGAAGGTAAACTGGTTCGCCAGAATGGCTTAGTCATGCTGGCCACATGACCCGGAAGCTGTATGCCGGCTCCCCAGGCCAATAAAGCGAGATGAGCACCACAACCCCAGAGTCGTCCGCGACTGGACCTTTACCTTTACCAGGTCTGGTGGGAACCTTGCCTGGGTCCCCTTTTGTATATCCCCCTGCTGGTATAGATCCTAATTGGGGGCCCTGCTGCTAATGCTTTCCCTAAAAATCAAAGCATCCTAAATGACAGTAATAAGTATTCTTAAGGTAGTGACTCTCATTGAACTCAGTGGAACTTGTTTCTGCTTAAATAAATTTAGGGTCAGGTTTGCAAATTTCCAGTTCTATTGTCTTGTTTTGCTGTAAATAATTAAGAATAAATTTAACTGGTGTTGTTAACATTGTTTTGTAGATTAAAAATGCCGTTTTGATTTGTTAATCATATAATAGGACTTTTGCTTTAATTGTGATGTTTTGCTTTGTTAAGAGTGTTTTATAGGTTGCAATTGTTTCACAATATGATTTATGTTGTATTTGTGATATTCTATTGTGTTATGGTTATTTATTTAAGTGCAGCTTATGGTGGTGAGCAAGAGTCCAGAGCTTTCCATTATGCCTATCCTGTGGTTGATGACAAGTTTCTCCCTTTAGTTTGGGCTCCTGTGTTTTTTTTAACAGTTGCTGCCTGGCAGAGAAAACCGACATTTTTGGTTCTGTGGGACTTTCTGAGGCTTACCTAAGGAAAGTTCATCAAAGGGGGACTCCCCCCTGCCACCCGACTGCTTCCCACACTCCCCCCTTGGTCGTGCATCCTTGTGAAGAGTGCTACCTTATGCGCAAGCTTAACAGCATCTTGGCCCCCAGCAGGAGCACCAGTTCTGGATTGCTGCCTTAGTCTGCAGCTTGAATTTTTGCTGATCCAAGAAATGGTAATTACAGGTGCTCACAGTGCTGTAGGGGCTCCCATGTAGGTGTGAAAGGAGTATCCTTTGTTCCTGAGCATCATAAAATACACTGTCACTCATTGCAGCAGGCATTCTTCTCCCACTCTTGCTTGACACCACCCTATGAAACAGCAACTCTAGATGCATATTTTTATGGGGCAAGAAACGGTTGGCACTCGGAGAGCCTACTTTGGACATGCCTATCTGTGTTCCATTTAAGCAGGGCTCTCTAGCAGTTTCCTTTGCTGCCGTCACTCTATATATTTGTTGTCTCAGAGGACTTGTAGGAGCACATTATAACACTGTAGACACTTTTACGAAGAACTTACATCTCCAAGATACCTGCCCTGCCTTTTGTTAGAAATGCTCACTTGCATTTTCGGTATCATTGCTGGAGGGCTGTATTAGTGCTAGAACAGTGTTTCCTAACATTTAATAATTAAAACAAATATATATTCAAATCTAATGCTTTGTGTCCTCCTTGCCTCAGTGGGTGGGAAGAATAATTGTTTCCCGATGAATGAATGAACCGATTTATTTCGGTCACTGCCCAGAGTGCACTTGTTTCCCGATATCCCTTTTAAATACTTCTAAAGTGCTTCCAAGTAAACAGGCCACATGATTACTCTAGCTAGCGTACGTGCTAATTTTCAGAATTGCTCAGCCCTAGTGTTACAAACACATTTCAGGACACGATTGCAGTTAGTCACGTACTTGTAGCGCCTGCTTAAAAATAAGTCGAGCTGAGTGTAATGGGACTTACCATGGGCGTAACCAGGATTTTTGTTGGGGAGGGGCAAACAGTTGAGCTTTTTTTGGGAGATCACGGGTAAAAATGCCTCCCCTCCCCAAAAAAGAGACCATTACGGGGGGCAGACTTCTGCTGTGTGGGGGTGCAGAACCTCAGTTTATTGAGTATTTTAAATGCTTTTCAATACTTTTTGAGGATTTGCCCCCCTCTCTCACTTGGCTTCGCCCATGAGACTCACACCCAATCAAGTAGTACCAGAGTATGACGATATTTGTAGTTTGTGCGCCCGACCGGAACTGAGAAGCCATCTGGCGTATATTCCCCTCCCGGAGGGTTCGGCGCGCAATGCTTTGTGGGAATCGTAGTACTGAAGCCGACAGGTCGATGAAAAAGCCGCGCACCCGACATCCTCCGCGGGCAGCGACTTCCTCTTTCGGTTGCTAGGTGACGGCCAAGGCGGCAAGCTCATCTCGGGTTGAGCGGGAAGAAGGGCTTTAGGCCCCGGGGAAGGGGCGCCAGAGGTCACTGAATCCGGGGCCGCTCTCCAGGCGCAAAATCCCGAGGGACTGCTGCAGAGGAGTATTCCTTGGGGTTCACTGTCAGGTAAGTGTTGTAGCGGTGTAATCCTACGCAGGCTTACTTCCTGGTAATGGGGTCGCAGCCTAAGCTTGTCAGTGTCATCGTAGAGCTGGAAGGGACCCTGAGGAGGAGCTGCTAAAATGCTGAGCCGTGAACAGCTAGAGGCAGAGAAAACACACCTATACACAGTGTTTTTTTCCCCCTGGGGGACGGGACGCATATCCCTAAACCAGCCTTTCTCAACCTGTGGGTCCCCAGATGTTGTTGAACTACAACTCCCATCACCCCTAGCTAGCAAGGCCAGAGCTCAAGGATGATGGGAGTTGTAGTCCAACAACATCTGGGGACCCGGCCTAAACATTTTGTGACTCTCTGTACTTTTGTCCATTTACTGTACTTATTTTCCCCGATTTGAACTAGAAAATGGTGATTTTCTTGAGTCTAGTGAGAGTACAGTGGTACCTCAGGTTAAGTACTTAATTCGTTCTGGAGGTCTGTTCTTAACCTGAAGCACCACTTTAGCTAATGGGGCCTCCCGCTGCCGCTGCACCGCTGCTGCACAATTTCTGTTCTCATCCTGAAGCAAAGTTCTTAACCCGAGGTACTATTTCTGGGTTAGCAGAGTCCGTAACCTGAAGCATATGTAACCTGAGGTACCACTGTACCCCTAAACATTTATTTAGAAATAAAAGCACTGCCTATATAGTTGGAGAAAGTAACAGGCATGGAGATTTCAGTGGTGGAAGAAGCTTCCTCTGCTAAGGTTTGGCTTCTATCAGTCCTATTAAGGGGACATGAGCTGGGCCCTGCCGGGGGGAAGAAAGGAAAGGCTGTGTGTGGTGGAACTGGCAACCTAATCTGTTTGTGTTTGTGTAGTAAATGAAGCCAGCTCTCTTCCCTTCAGCTGTGGCTGCTAGATTTTCCTGTGTGCAGGGAATATGGTTTTCAGTAATGCAGGCCCCGTTACCTGTGAATTCTAGTTTAGGTTGGAGATTATCCCGGAATTAACTCCCGCAGAGCAGAAGAGATTGCGCTGTGCATTGAAAGACGCCATCCCAGAGCTTTATTCATTTCTAGACTTGCTTGTGTGGGATTTTTTTGGTATGATTCTCAAAACTTAACACGTTTAGTTTAGGCCATTTCACACGTTACCTGGCAACAGACCTAGGTTTGTCCCTGTGCATGTACTTTCAAGAGAGAGCTTCAGCTGGTTCTGATGTGTACTTATTTGCATTTGCAAACAAGCTTACAAGCTTGTTGCATTCATATGTTGTTGTTTTTTTAAGCATATCCTTAAAGATGTGACATGTAAAGTGGTCCCACCTAGGTTGCGTTTTTTGCAGTGCTTTGATAAACACATTGAAAACATTTGGTTATTACCTGAATATTGCTCCAGGCTATAATCTGCAGGACCTCTCTATTTTTAAACCAGTGTTTGGAATGTGTTAACTTTGCTTTGGAGCCTCTCGCTCATCAGCAGCTTTTACACTTGTAGTTATGGGTCTGTGACTAGCTGGAAGCTTTCTGCTTTAAGACCCCTGTGGCTTCTGGCTTTATGTGACTTTTGTTGATGCTGAACTTTCTGTACCTCAGATTTGCCTTGGGTTGTGGGATCATAAAAAAAAATCCAGCAATTTACATGAATTGTAAATTGGCTCTGATCAGGTTTTGAGTTGGAAGTGAGCGACTGACACAGCTCCAAAACTTTGAAATGACTTGTAAGGCTTTGTTAAAATTATGGGAAACCCCTGCTTTCTCTTAAAAAAGATCTAGATTTCTACCTCTCCAGGTTGCAGAAGTGTGAATCTGTGGCTGGTGAAACCTGTAATGAAATGAGTTTTGTTTTTCAAGCCCCAAACAAGTTGGTCGCCATCCATGGCCTAGATCAAAGCACTTACTGCATCCTAGGTAATTGCATGGCATAGAGCTGTAAATTGTGATGAACTTTTGGCTAATCATGAAATGCTATGCTGAAAAAGAGGGTAGTTGCCAAGTTGCATGTGCTATGTGTAATAATGAAATGTGTTTGAGCACAGTGCATCAGCTATCTTTCTTCTGTGATGTTAGCTGAGCAATTAGTTGGGTCCCGACTCAGCTACACAGCTACAAATAAAACGCTTTAAATGTGTTATAAAGTGCAATATACAAATGTGACACTAGATGGCGACAGCAAGCTATGCAAAATTCAATGTATTTTTCGAAACGTTTTAAAATAAAGTATTTTCACAACATTTTTAATATGTATGTAGATTCTACCTAAGAGTGAAAATTCTTATGACAAATGTAGGAGCGGTTGTCTGTTCATTGAAGGTGTTTTCTTCCTTGCACCTTAATAGCTCAACTACCTCTGCCTGTTTCTTTGGCAATCTTACAGGTTAACTATATTCATGCTTATCTGAAGTCATGTCACACTGATTTCAATGGGAGTTACCCTCAAGTAAGAGTGTGTTAGATTGCAGTCTTCAAGAATTGTTCTTTTCTAATACAGTGGTACCTCAGGTCAAGTATTTAATTCGTTCCGGAGGTCTGTTCTTAACCTGAAACTGTTCTTAACCTGAAGCACCACTTTAGCTAATGGGGCCTCCTGCTGCCACTGCGCCGCCGGAGCACGATTTCTGTTCTCATCCTGAAGCAAAGTTCTTAACCTGAAGCACTAGTTCTGGGTTAGCGGAGTCTGTAACCTGAAGCGTATGTAACCTGAGGTACCACTGTAATAGTTCATGTTGGAAGCAAAGCACCACTACTTATAACCAGTAATCTGAACCTGGGGTGGGCAGGTAATAGACAGAGGAAACATTATTCCCTTTCATAGTCCTTCATAAGTTACCACTGGTAACTTAAGTTACCCCCCCCCCTTCAGAATTTACTTTCTTTCTTCTCCTCCAGTTAGTTAACTTTATGACTTCATAATGGTCACATGTATGTTTGTACTCATAAGGTTTATTACTCCTGGGAACACAAAACCATTATGTGTATGCCTTTATTCTGTCATACTCTTCTGGTAAGGGGTTATTGGTTTGTTTTTGTTTTATTATGCATTTTGTGTTCTCACTTTGTATTTTTATGTTGTAAATCACTCTGTGATCTTTGGATGAAGGGTGGTATACAAATATTATACACACACAAGCACACAGTGGAACCTCGGTTTTCAAATGCTTCGGAAGCCGAACAATTCGGAAGCCGAATGCAGACAACCAGGAAGTGAATGCTTCCATTTTTGAACGATTTTCGGAAGCCAAACAGCTTCTGAGGCACATTTTTCATTTTATTCCATTGACTTTGCAGCAAGTGCATTGATTCTCGGTTTCCGAACTTTTCGGAAGTCGAACAGTCTTCCGGAACAGATTAAGTTCAAAAATATATATGTAACAATAGTAGTACTCATTTCTGCAATCAGCTGTTATAAGTACTAAACTGCAGTTGCTCATTCAGTGTTGCTTCCAAATAAGTTGCCACTTGGAAATTCAGTCATAGTTCTGAGCATCTGGCATTTTTAGAGCTCATGAAGATGGAGCTGAGGTTAGGAGCAAACATTTTTGTCCTTTCAACCACAATTAATTGGTTGCGGCTAGTTTAGAAATACAGGTGACACTCAATTTACATTGGGGTTACGTTATGGGGATAGCGCATAACCATGTAACTTTTTGGCAAATGGGAAGTATTGTTCCTTTTCAAGCTTAGTGGGATGCTGCAAATGACTGAAATCCTGCAATCTTTCTCACCTGGAAGTAAACCCCATTGAGTTCAACGGAATTTACTTCTAGGCAGACAAGGTTAGGATTGTATCATTACAGTGGTATGTGTAGCCCAATGGATTAGCAACCTTTATGGCCTTATTTGCAACATTGGGCCAAGGCATACTTGCCAGGTGCAGCAGTCTCCCATTACTAACAGGGAGTAATACATATTTATTAGAAAGGTGGAGTGTAAGTCTATAATATGTGGCTAGTTTAGCTATTCCTAGGGCTTATAGTTTCTGAGGCTGTAGAGCGTGGCTGTTGTATCTGTTAATGGACCTCTTTGCACTAGTATACAGATCTCTCTGGTTTTATTTGGAAATCATAATCCTACCTTCCTTCTCTGACGCTTTCTGGCAAAGTGAAAGCAATGCAACCTGGCTTGTCAGCAGAGTGAGCCAGCTGTGGCCTCACCTGCAGACGCAGGGAGTGTCCTGGGAGCCAGTGCAAGAGAGAACTGATGGGGTGTGTCCCTGCCCATTCCTGTGTAATAGGATAGGTTGGGCCCTATGGTGAGAGTATGAATTGCACATCCGTATGTTCTCATCTCTTTAGAGGAATGTCCTGATCTCTCTGGAAGGCCCTTGGAGAGGCTGCTATTCGTGTCCCTTAATGTCTCAGTGACCAGGGTGGTGTACTTAGTTATTTCTGCATTTAGCCCTTTCTTTACCTGTCCCCCTCCAATGGTTAATATATTTTCTCTTTCCTAGCAGTCCTTCACTATGCTCTGGGTTTGTCCTCCCCTGATCTTCTGCAGGAGACATAGAAAATTCAGTGGCACTTGTTTTATTCCACGCAAGGCAAGGGCCCTTTGTGTTTGTGCTCACAGAATTATAATCTTAGGACCCGTAGCTTCTAGAAACCTTAACAACGGAAAGAAATAATATTCAGCTTCCTTGTTCTAATGCCAATGATGTTTCTGATTTGTACTAAAATCTAGTAAGTTAATTAGTAGAGGACTATAAACCACAGAACCTAGGGCTTGCCAATCAGAAGGTCGGTGGTTTGAATCCCTATGATGGGGTGAGCTCCCGTTGTTTGGTCCCTGCTCCTGCCAACCTAGCAGTTCGAAAGCACGATAAAGTGCAAATAGTTAGATATGTACTGCTCTGGCGGGAAGGTAAACAGTGTTTCCGTGCGCTGCTCTGATTCACCAGAAGCGGCTTAGTCATGCTGGCCACATGACCCAGAAGCTGTATGCCAGCTCCCTTGGCCAGTAAAGCGAGATGAGCGCTGCAACCCCAGAGTCGTCTGCAACTGGACCTAACGGTCAAGGGTCCCTTTACCTTTACCTATATATGAAGCACTTTTCTTTTACCCCCTCCCTAATCTTATAGGGTTAATAGGTTCATTTTAATTTTTAGCCAGAAGGCCATAACACGTTTTTGTTTTTTTTTACATAAGAAACAAAATACTTAAATGCACATATTACAATAATTGTGTGGTTCAGAAGCTAGGTTGCATAGCCAACCTGATCTAACTATGGAAATGATTGGGATAGTAATATACTGTGTCTGAGTTTTTAAAAAAGTATCACTAATCTTTGGTGTAACTGTTGTGAACTACATAACTTTGGATGGTATAAGAATGCATGTAATTTTGGGGATCTGGTAAAGAGGAATATGAAGAAATTTTTTTGTCAAAAAAGCAGAGCTGTCACATACTAATGTGGAGGACTTTCAACCACAAATCGTAGATACTGAATTTGATCCTTTTGAGGAAAGGACTGTGTTTATAATGGTCTCCCTGACCAACTGAAACGTGGACCTTTTTTATTAACTTGAGTGGAGCTTGACTTGCATTAGTAGCCCCTGGTGTATGTAGCAGCTACAGTAATTGCACAAGGGGAAGGGGGAAAAGAAAACAGTAACAGAAAATGCTGGGATTCTTTTCTTTCATCCCGTAAATGCTGACAACTGGGACTTCTGATGCCAAAAAACGGGACAAGCCAGAAAACAGGCAAGAACATCTACATTCAGTGAAGACCTATTCAAGCCTGAGCAGGTGCCATAAAGTAAGCCACAAGCAATTTATTTAATCCATCTGGGTTGAAGATTTTCTCTTCCTTTGTGCCACCCTATTAAAATGCAAAGCCAGCCTGCTTTACGTGCCAACCCACAGTGGCATTCTTTAAACCTGCCAACCTAAAGATGCCAGTTTGAAACCAAGCGAAGGAACATTGACGCAGCCTTAACCCTTTTTGCCAGCACGTGACGAGGCTCCCAAGCTTGCAGTTCGGAGATGCACTGCTCACAGCCCCAGGACCTGTGTGAGAATAATCAATATCTCCTGCCATATCTGTAGGTAATGTGAAGTAGGATCTTGATTTGCCAAGGTGGAAAAGCAGGATGGGTGGTGTGCTGGAGAAGGAAGGGAAGTTGACATCTCCAGCTAATGAAGCAACCTGCATACCATTGCAGAGATGGCGAAGTTCTGTGCTAACTCTCAGTGCTAGACAGGTGTCTCGTAGCTGTCTGCTTAAATTATCACTGCTTGGTTAAATTATGAATTATGCACGTCCATGTTTCGTCAAGTGCTGTGGTGTCAAATATTCAAGGAAGAATCTCTGTGCTTGCTGGGGGTATTGCAAGAAGAGGATTATCTTTGGGGCCAGGGAAGACTTTTTGAGCAGCAGCATGGATTAAGATATTTAAATCTTTGCTTCTGTTTTAAGGCTTTGCTGCTTCCACTCCAGACCTTATTTGAGATTTGTGGCAGATGAGTGGCCTATTTTGAGGCATACAAAACACTCATCTGATCTGTCTTTTTGGCACCGAAAGACCATGGAAATCCACTCAAGTGCATGTTTACTGTGCTTAGCAGTTTAAAGAGGGGCCTGCTGCTGTTCTTTAATTTTCTTTGCCACACACAAAAAAGTGAACGGGATTGTTGCAAACTGGACCTGGTGATTGCCTGGAAGTGGAGCTGATTATGTCCTTGTGTCCTTGCCTGGTTTCCCATTTACCCCTCTAGTGCTGCATCAAGGCTCTGCAAATAGCATGGTTTAGCACTAAACTGGAATGGTGGCAGAAATTCTGAGAAAAATAATGGTGGGGGTGTTTTTGCATAGTGATCTCAGAGGAATCTTTAGTTTGTGTGTGTGTGTGTGTGTCACTCCTGCTGTTCCCTAGTCTACAGTTTAAAATAGAACAGCAGAATTTCCATTTGATCCTGTTGAATCAACATATCTGGCACCTATCAGGACCACATAACACCAGTCCTGAGAGATCTGCATTGGCTCCTAGTACGTTTCCGAGCACAATTCAAGGTGTTGGTGCTGACCTTTAAAGCCCTAAAGGGCCTCAGTCCTGTATACCTGAAGGAGCATCTCCACCCCCATCATTCAGCCTGGACACTGAGATCCAGCGCCGAGGGCCTTTTGGCAGTTCCCTCATTGTGAGAAGTGAGGTTACAGGGAACCAGACAGAGGGCCTTCTCGATAGTGGCGCCCGCCCTGTGGAACGCCCCCCCCCATCAGATGTCAAGGAAATAAGTAGCTATCTTATTTTTAAAAGACATCTGAAGGCAGCCCTGTTTAGGGAAGTTTTTAATATTTAATGCTGTATTGTTTTTAACACTCGATTGGGAGCTGCCCAGAGTGGCTGGGGAAACTCAGCCTGATGGGCGGGGTATAAATAATAAATTATTATTATTATTATTATTATTATTATTATTATTAGTACTGAAAACTCTGCACTGAGAGTTCCCTAAATTGTGTTGTTCTTGTATACTGCAAATGCATTCTAAATCCATTTTTTCTTCTTTCCATTTAGACTGCTGTCTGTCTCTCATTGACTCTCTTCACATGTGCCATACGAAAGAATTAGAGAACTAAATAATGCACCAGTACAGTTTGAAGAATGAATTCTAGCATTTCTGTACTTTCTCAAAGTGCATGGTAGTCTATTGGAAAGCGGTAATGGAAGCGGTCACTGGATCACCCTTTCTGTATGTCATCTGCTGCTAATGCAACGTGAAGTTGTTTTAGGAGATAGTATTCATGCTTGCTAATGGTCTTTGTTCTGCATTTGCAGCATTTGGGCTAGATTGTAGCCACTAAAAAAAATCATTAATGCTTCCTCAAGCATTATAAAGAAATGGGCCTGGCCAGCTGAATTTCATGTACAAGTGCAGTGTGGGGGAGAAATAAAGAGGACAATCCTTTTGTCCTTTTGCAGGAAGAGATGTCCAGTTAGAATGTTGTTTGGCATGGAAAAAATACATTCCATTCCTTGCCAGTGTTAGGTGCCTATGCAGGGCTAAAACTGATATTTCAAATTTTCCACTATATGTTATATGTCCATTGTGACTCAGGTAAGGGGTCTGGCCCTAAAGTGAACCCCTATTTTTCTGGCAACACCATATTTAGTATTGTATTGTTAGCTGTAATCATTACAGTCATACCTTTGGTTGTGAACGCTGCAGGTTGTGCGTTTTCGGGTTACGGACCACGCCAAACATGGAAGTACTGGAACAGGTTACTTCCAGGTTTCGGAGCTCGTACATGTGCAGAAGCGCTAAATCGTGCTTTGCGCATGCGCAGAAGCACCGAATCGCAGTGCTGCGGGTTGCGAACGTGCCTCCCACACGGATCATGTTCGCAACCCAAGGTTCCACTGTATTCTGTTTGATAAGGCATAGAAGCCCGGGCTTGAATTGCTTATGGCAACCCCAGCTGTGGTGTGCACATTCTCTAACAGTGCAAGCCTATACATCCCTTTGACTTCACTGAGGCTTCATCCCTAAGTGTAGTAACAACAACAACAACAATTTATTACCGGTACTTGTGTCCCATCTATCTGACTGGGTTGCCCAGTCATCCTGGGCTGCTTCCAATGGAATATATAAAAACGCACACAAACCATGGTGACATTAAAAGCTTCCCGATCCAGGACTGCCTTCAGATGTCTTCGTGTATGAATGCAGCCTAAGTAAGGAATTTCATTTTCACCATGCCTTCAATTCTGCATTTGCTTCTGGGAACAAATGTGTAGAGAAGGATTATTTTCCCCTAGAGAAGCACCAAAGTCCAGAGGTCTTTCAGTCAGCATATACAGTACCTCACAGGTGTACAAGCAGCTTCCTGTTCATCTGCTGACATTAGCATGTCAGAGGCCTTTGTTGTTGTTTTTAAATATATTTTTATTAAAGATATATTGGTTTACAAATGTATGTGCTATGTCTCTCTTTTCAAGTTACGTTTTCTACAGATCAGTTTTATTTGTTGAGACATTAGTGTTACATTAGGAAGAAAAAGGGGAAAGAGGTGGAGGGGGGAATGGTGAGTGGGGTGATGTAGAGTGGCAATGCTTCTATTCTACTTAGTGTATGTGTGGGGTTTTCTGTCAGCATCACTTGTGTGGGTTCTCTTTACTATTCACTTGTATTCCTTTGGTGGTGAGAGAGGTTGGGGTTGGCCTAGGGCAGGGATGGCCAACTCCCAAGAGACTGCGATCTACTCACAGTTAAAAACTGGCAGTGATATACCGTATTTTTCGCCCTATAGGACACACTTTTTCGCCTCCAAAAATGAAGCGGAAATCTGTGTGTGTCCTATGGGGCGAATGCAGGCTTTCGCTGAAGCTTGGAGAGCGAGAGGGGTCGGTGCGCATGTCTAAGCTGCGGATGTCTGCCCGAAGCGCGGGGCTCCCTGCTTCAGTGCGCCCTGCGCTCTGTGCAGCAGGCTGCTATCTGCAGCCTAGGGAGCTAGGCTGCGGATAGCAGCCTGCTGCACGGAGCGCGGGGAGCGCTGAAGCAGAGCGCCCCGCGCTTTGGGCAGACATCGGGCAGCCCCACAAGCTCGGGGGACAGCAGGGAGGCGCAGCGCCGCCATCCCGCTGTTCCCCGACCTGGTTTGGAGGCTGGCACTAGGGAGAAGCGCGCTTCTCCCCAGCGCCAGCCCCACAAGCTCGGGGGACAGCGGGGAGGCGGAGCGCCGCCATCCCGCTGTTCTCCAACCTGGTTTGGATTCCCCAACCTGGTTTTGGGGGGGAAAGAAAGGAAAAAATTTTTTCCTTTATTTCCCCCCAAAAAACTATGTGCATCCTATGGGCCGGTGCGTCCTATGGGACGAAAAATACGGTACCCCCTTTTGGGGGGTTCAGGTCAAAGGGAGGAGGAAAGCCCATTTTTGGGGGGGTGCAGGGCAAGAATGTTGAGGTTTTTTTTAGGGAAGCCAGAGTTGTTCGGCTTCTTTGTTGGGAGCCACTGATCTACCAGTGATCTACCGGTAGATCACGATCTACCTGTTGGACTTGCCTGGCCTAGGGAATGTTTGGTTGTCTTTGTTTGGCCATAGTGAAATTTGTTTTCATGTGTCTGCTGGGAAGCCCCATTTTCCTCCTTCTCAGTACTGTGTTGGGGCAAGGTGTGGCTTTAAAGGCACAGGCCAGTGCAACAAATGAGGACTCAGGATTGGCACAGTCAGCACAGTTCTATCCTCCAGGCAGAAGGGCTCAGGGGAATGGACTGTCCCCACCTGCCCCTAGGGCCACAGATTGCCATTGGTGAGATCTGACGTGTTGGCTGCAAGTAGCAGCCTGTTAAGTTGTCACAATAGTTAGCAAAACAGGCTGTCTTGGTAACCATTTCAGGCTGGCGGTTCTGCTATGAACGGATTTTCACTGTTCTGTGTTTGAATGATCGTATCTGAACTATCCTCCCAGCATTTACTGCAGCTGTGCCTGATGTGTTTGCCTAAATAAGTAAGAACTCGCTTTGGCTACAGCGTTTCTTACAGTGTAACTCCATTTTACAGGTGGACAACTGAGACCTGCTTTGCTGGGAGATGCACAAGAAGATGCTCTAAAAGCACAGAGATGCTCTCACAGATTTGTCAATTGATGGGTGCACTTAAAGAGTTGAATTTTCTTTCCTCATTATTCTGTCCAATTTTCATAGCTCTGATCTTCCAGTGATAGTCCTAAAGGCTATACTATCCCATACCAACCAATCCAGTTGCTTGCTCTGTTTTGCTATAATAGGAATTACTCCACCTTTTGATCAGATGTTAGTCGGAGTCATAACATTTTATTCCAGAGCAATGGAATTCATGCTGTTCATCGTTTCATAGTATGGCAGGGTCAGTGAATGGGGTACTTTCACGGGGGGGAGGGCAAAACAAAAACTGTTGCCTTGGCAACTGCACACTGCGCAAACAAGTGCCATGGAAATTTCCTTCCTAGCTGCAGGAAGGAAAGAATTCATTTATGCAAATAATTCATTGCTCTGAACCACAGCTAAGTTGGAAATTCATAATATCGTGCAGCAGATTAGCTGCTCTAGAACATTTCCCAGGTCTGGATGTTGTCACAATTTGGAATTGTTTTGCTTCTGTGTCAGTGGATTTATATAAAGTTCCCTGGGCTGGATTAACAGATAGACTACACATACCATAGAGTGAGGCCTTAAGTTTGTATGAAAGATGATTTTATCCCACCTCTGCAGTACAGGGCTCTTCTTTCTTTTTTTAACGTTCCCACAGTTGAGAACGTTGTGGTTGGTTTCTTTGCCAGGCAAACGGTGGCCAAATTCCTGGCTGTGGAGAAATGTTAAGGTGGTTGGAGCCTGCATAGCCCAAGGAGCAGACTGATGATGTGCAATGAGGCAATTTCAGGTGTTAAACTAGCAGGACATAATTTTCTGTTAATTTATTGCATTTATATTCTGCCTTTGCTCCATGATGGTACTTGAGATGGCATAGATGGGCAGATGGAAGCAGAGAGTGGCATGAATTAGAAGAGGGTGAGACTTTGAATATGACTCCTTGACTTTATCTTTTAATCTTCCCGAGTTACATGTTGACAGAGGCAAGGTACAGGGGGTGAGAAATAGTTTCCAGGTCGACATGCCAACTTTGTATTTGAGAGCCATTGTAATAGTGATGATGAGTATGAGCTAGAGCTTCTCAGTTCAGCTGTGTGTTTGTCGGGAGCCATTGATGAACCACAATCTCTGAGCCTCTTGTCCCCTAGTTTACCTGCAATGTGGGAATAATAGTGCTGACCTTTAAATTATTGTTTATAAAGATTACAGTCATACCTCGGGTTACAGACGCTTCGGGTTGTGCGATTTCGGGTTTGCACCGCGCCAAACCTGGAAGTACCGGAACGGGTTACTTCTGGGTTTCGGCGCATGCGTATGCGCAGAAGCGCTAAATCACACTTTGCACATGCGCAGAAGTGCCGAATCGTGACCCGCGTGTGCGCAGAAGCGGCAATGCGGGTTGCGAATGCTGCGCATTGCGAACGTGCTTCCCGCATGGATCACGTTCGCAACCCGAGTGTCCACTGTACTGAGCCAGTGTATATGAAGGGCTTTTGAGCACTTAGAAAAAGCAGTGACCTGAGTTCTCTGAGTGCCCCTCCTTATGTTGGCAAAACTGCATCTTAATATTTTTGCCCCCATTCTTCATGCCTTTTTGCCCCTTTCCCCTCCTTCAGCTAAATTATGATTGCCAGAAATATCCCAATAAAAAACAAAAGGGAAGGGTGGAGGAAAAGCCTACGGACATTTGGAAACAAAATAAATTACGTAAAAGAAGTAAAGCCTATCCCAAAATGTATGTATTTATTGTTTCTTCTGTTTACAGCACAAACTTTGGGAAACCTTCGATCATCCCATGAGGAAAGCGTGTAGAGACCACATCCGCAGCCATCAAAGCTGAACACCTGGGTGTAGAATAATGAATTCCAGGTATGAGAGCTAGCGGAAGAAAAGGGTTTGACCTGATGGGTTTCCTTCTGCTAAGAAGTGCCCAGTCTAGGCAGGGCAGGGCCTCACTAACTGGGATTCCTTGCTTGCCCGCAGTATGGCTGTTTTCTCCACCCTGGGAAGCCCCTTTTTGGAGCAATCTTGTTCGCGGAGCCATTACCACCCTTCCCAGGCACACCCACTGAGGCAGGAGCAGCGATATACGGTGAGATGGGGTGGGGGGAGACAAGGTGGGCAAATAATGCTGCAGAGTCACTAGCGGGGAAATCAAATGGAGCAGAGCTGCTAGCAGGAAGAGTCAAACAGGTCTTTTGGATCTCTATTGAACCAGTCCCTTTCAGGAGCTGGATAAAAATTCCATGGTGTTGGCTATCCAGTGGAACATGAATGCTCCACTTTGAGCATTTCTGTATTCTTGGGGGTTGAGCTAGGCCTGGAAAGAGCCAATAAAGTATATTGATTAGATGCTGGGAGTTCAAATCCCTTCTCAGCCATGACGTAGGCCATTCATCCTTTCTTAGCTTAGCCTCCCTCGCAGGATTGATAGAATCATAGAATCATAGAGTTGGAAGAGACCACAAGGGCCATCGAGTCCAACCCCCTGCCAAGCAGGAAACACCATCAGAGCACTCCTGACATATGGTTGTCAAGCCTCTGCTTAAAGACCTCCAAAGAAGGAGACTCCACCACACTCCTTGGCAGCAAATTCCACTGTCAAACAGCTCTTACTGTCAGGAAGTTCTTCCTAATGTTTAGGTGGAATCTTCTTTCTTGTAGTTTGGATCCATTGCTCCGTGTCTGCTTCTCTGGAGCAGCAGAAAACAACCTTTCTCCCTCCTCTATGTGACATCCTTTTATATATTTGAACATGGCTATCATATCACCCCTTAACCTCCTCTTCTCCAGGCTAAACATGCCCAGCTCCCTTAGCCGTTCCTCATAAGGCATCGTTTCCAGGCCTTTGACCATTTTGGTTGCCCTCCTCTGGACACGTTCCAGTTTGTCAGTGTCCATTGTTGTGATGGAAAAGGATGTGGGGGTAGGAAACCACGTTTGATGCCCTCAGTTTTTTGGAGGAAGGGTAGGATAAAAATGTAACGATTAAACAGTTGTCAAGTGGAGCTACAGGAAGAGGGAGTTATTTTACATCTTGGCTTGAACTTTTCTGGAAGGTTTATGCCAGCCCTTTGGGCCCACCGACTCTGAAAACTCACTGTCCCGCTTTCCCTAGGCTCTGAGCCCGTCTCGTTTACGACACAGGAATTGCCCCACCTCTCCCAAGAAGGCAGAAACACAAAGTCCTCCAACCCCAGGTTTGCTTCCTGGGTCCAGTTACCAGGAGGTGAAACCCCCAGAGTCAGACTCCACAAGCCCCTTCAATGAATCATGGCCCTCGACTGAGCGCAGTTCTTCCTCTCTGACTCCCGAGGGAGCAAAGGGCCTTCCCTCAGAGCAGATAACGGGGATCAAAGCACTGGCTTCGCCAAAGCCCCCAGAATCTGTTTCAGACAGCGATTCAGTTATTGCCAGGTAAGCCTGCTAGCTAAGGGTTTCTTCTCAGGTGGGTGGGCAGAGTAGCAAGAGTTTACTGGACTTGTGTGGGGATGGGAGTCCTGGGTTCAAATACTACCTGGAAGAAGAACACATCTGATACCCTCAGTCAAGTCTGTTTCTCAAACTTAATTTGTTCCGGAAGTCTGTTCTAAAACCAAAGCGTTCCAAAACCAAGGGCACTTTCCCATAGAAAGTATTGCAAAACGGATTAATCGATTCCAGACTTATAAAAACAACCCCTAAAACAGCAATTTAACATGAATTTTACTATCTAACGAGATCATTGGTCCATAAAATGAAAGCAATAATCAATGTACTATTCTATTTAAAACAAATAAGACAGTACAGTAGATGATAATTTTTTTAAAAAAATCTTAACCTGCCCTGATGATAGTCATTATTTGGATGGGGGGCTTTTATCCATTTCCACAGTCACACAATCAATCAGTCAATCAGTCAGTCAATCAATCAATCAATCAATCAATCAGTCAGTAGCTGAACTGGGTTCCACACAGTCACAAAAACAAATTAACCGAAAAGCCTCCGAAACAAAAATGCAAAATAAATAGCAAAAACAAAAGTGCCAAACTTAATTTGTTCCGGAAGTCAGTTTGACTTCTGAAATGTTTGAAAACCAGGGCGCAGCTTCTGATTGGTGCAAGCACCCCAGAAACAATAGCCAACAGCAGCATTGGATGTTTGGCTTCCGAAAAACATTCGAAAACCGGAACACTTACGTACCAAGGCGTTTGAGAACCAAGGTACGACTCTACTGAGTCTCTAGTCTAGCTTGGGAGTGATCACTACATTGAAGTAAAGTTCTTTGTCCATGTCTGTGATGCGGCACCTTTGATCCTTTGGCAGGTATATGGAGCGATTTCGTTACGGGCAGCCCACAAGCCGCAGGGAGCGCTGGGCACCAAATGGTCACTCTGCACAGTTCTGGTGGCTTGGCCACTCGTTTCCTCCTGAATGCAACATCTCCAAGAAGGAGACATCGCCAACTTCAGGTACTTGAGTCCAACAAGAAGGGTGCCGATATGGGGAACACTTTTATCAAGGCAGACCAGGATGAGTGGGCCCTCGGAAAAATTGGATTTGTGTTGGAGCAGTACCTGCCCTAGCCAAAAGAGTGGTTGCTATTGGTAGGAAAAACTTCAGATTTGAAGACTTGCAGATTTAGATATGGACACACACAATGGAGCTGTGTCTTTGTCCAGGACTTACCTGTTAATTCCTATGAAGTAGAACTTTTTAGCAGTGGCAGGTAGTGCTCACAGGTCACTCCTGTCCTAGCTTTTCCCATAAGAGAGACATATGAGACCAACTTGGGACCAGGTTATCTGAGAGAATGCCTTCTACACAGACTCGCCTGGTCAGTAAGATAATCTCAGTGGCCCTCCTCATTGTGCCATAGTCTGCAGGTGCCCATCTGGCATCAACTGGGAAGAGGGCCTAAAATAAATAATAGGAGTGTGCCAGGATTTTAAAAATCACAATATTTAAATCTGTCCTCTCCTCTGTAGTTATCAGATAACTCTGCATATGCTCTAAGGTATTTTCTTTAAGGTATCAAAGCAATCCAAAGTGAGATGGGGGGGGCTCTGGCGGCCCCCATTATTACTTGGGAGTTCTGTGTAATTTTAGCACCCATTTCTCACAACCAAGCAACCCATCCAAAGGCTGGATTCATGTTGGCCTTTTTCAGGGTTCTTCACCTATAATTTAGAAGATACCTTAAAGTCAAGCATATAGTTTTTCAGGCCTATGGATGAAAGGGGAAGGGAAGGAGGGAGGGAGCCTAGAGCCACCCAAGCTTTAAAGATTAGGCTCTTTGCAAAGATGTCTGAACTGTGTGAGTCAGAAATCTGTAATGAAGGTGTCTCCTTGCAGACAGTAGCCAGAGTGAAGTGAGGCAGTCGCTTTTCAGTCCTGCTCTGGACCAGTCTCCCTCGGTGAGTAAGGAGGTTCTCTCTAGGAATGGGGAGGTATCTACGCTGTCCACCAAAAAAGGACATAATATAGTTATGTTATCTTTGTGGATCACTGTTAATCTCAACCCTCAGGGTTGAGGAATATTGTACAGAATCTAGAGGCATGGGTTCTAATCCTTGCTCAGCGATAAAGCTCATTGAATGACCTTCAGCCAGTCATATCTTAGAGCCTAGCCTTTTACGCAGGATTGTTGAGGATAATATGGAATAACCACACATGCTGCCCTGGTCTCCTTGAAGAATATAAACATGATAAATGGGGAAATCATATGCGTAAAGTTGATCCTGCTTTGAGGACTGTGCTCTGGGGGGAGAAAATTGTGATGTTCACTATAGCACTTCTCAGCAGGATGATTAGTTTTTGGTTTCTCATTTGGATCTTTTATTAAGAACCAAGCGACCTTAAATTTTCAGAATTTGCAGGCAGGTGGGAGTCTTGCTTGGTCCTGGTTTGCGGATTACTTTGACAGATCAGAAGACCATTTTCAATTTCCTCTGTCTCAGTAACTCCCTGCTTATTATTGCTGGTGATTTTTCACCTTAACTGGTGTTCTTCTGCTTCCTGTCCCTACTTTGTCTGCACCAGAGGATCAAAGTACCTTTGTCCCATTGGACTGACCATCTTCTATTTTTTTGGTCATGACCTTGCTAACACTAGGCACTCCATAAGTGCTGCAGCTTCTCCCCTTGCCCTGCTGCCAGAATCCTGACATTCATTTCCTTATAGAGCAGGCATGGGGAATGTGTGACCCCCTGGATTTTGTTGGACTGCAACTCCCATTATCCCTGACCATTTGCCCCATGAGCTAGAGCTGTTGGGAGTTGGAGTTCAACAACATCTGGTGGGCCACAAGTCCCTCATCCCAGCTATAGAGTCTCCTATCTGACCCATTCCTTTGTATGCTCTTTTGTAGGGGGACTCACAGGATTCTTCCACGCTGGACCCTGAGACTGTTAAGCTCCAGGAGAGAGCAGCCAGGCTGTTACACAGAAGGTACTAACCTCCCTTGTATTTCACTCATCATCTAGGTTGCCCTTCCTCAATGTCTAATGGGCCTTCCAGCTTCTCTTTCTGTTCTCTCCCCAGCTGCGCCTCATTCCTAATAACCTGCCTGTCCTCATATGTTTTTCTGCATGCAGCACATCCCCGTTGGGCAGCTCCAGGCATGCAAGCTCTACCCCCACGTCCACCATCACAAATGCTGACACAGACATGACTGGTCGTGCTCCACATCACCTTGGTCTTGGCGAGCTGCAAGGTAAGACATGAGATCCAGGACCTTGCCTCTTAAGGGAGTGTTTTTCAACCTGGGGTCTCCACATGTTGCTGGACCCCAATCTCAACAGCCCCAGCCAGCTTAGCCACTGGTAAGGGGTGATTGGAGTTGTAGTCCCAGCACCTGAAGCCCAAGGTTGAAGAACTCTGTCTTGAAGGAATGCCAGTGTTGTGGACAATGACAGAAAGTGAGTGTTGTTGGGGGGGGGGGAGTGAGGAAAAGAAAGTCGGCTGGACTAGTAACTGGCTGAGTGCAAGTCTGATTGCCTCCTAAACAGTGTGGATGTTCTTATTTGGCAATTTATGAAGAATGATGGCTGCTTTAGTACAAATCTTTAGACTGCCCTATCTTTCAGTGCATCACTCAAATGCAGAATTTGGTAAGGGGCATCCCAGTAATCTCCCCTTTCATTTACAAACAAACAAATTGCTAACCCTTCAGGCAATCCTTGGTAACTTTCAAAAGGCCAGAGGGGTTGCTGAGCAGGATCTCGCATGGACAGGGTAACAGCAGCTGAATAAACTGGGCAAAACAGCAACTGTACAAATTTGTATTGCTAAATTTCTAGAGGTCACAGAATTACTGGTATAGAATTTGTGTTGTCTTGATATTAAATCGATTCTTGTTCAAAAGCACACATGCCTTATCATATGCTGGTTGAGTTGAATGGGCTCTTTTGGACTCCAGGTCCCGTCATCCCTAGCTAGCATAGCCAGTGGTGAGGTATGATGGGAACTGTAGTCTAACAACATCTGTGGAGCCATGGGTTCCTCCTGCCTGCTGTAAAAGATCCAGTGACTGATATAAGCCATCACCAAAGGAGACAAATCAATATACACTTTTTCAAAGATGGTGATCCCAAAATGAAAACAGCGATGGACAATGCCCGTATCTTGCAGAACTTTTTCAGAAGTTCACTGCAGCCACTCCATTCATGTGCACCTCTCTCTCTCCCTGCCTCCCTAGGTAGTCTGAATGCTTTCCCTTACTATATCACTCAAAGATCTCAGCCATGTTCTTCTTCAAAACCAGAGGATGATATCCTTTTCCAGTGGCGACTGCGGCGAAAGATGGAGGAAGCGAGCCAGGCTGTTGCTGTGATGCCCCCTCTAGCTTGGAGGAGTCCACATATCCAGCCAACCCGTGCTTCTAGCCTGGTAAGAGTTTGAGGTGAATAGGTTTGCCATTGTTCTGTGCTGTGTAGCTGCAAGGCAAAAGCCTTGGAAGCAGGGGATGGAGCCATGCTTTCAGTGCACAACAGGATGGAGAAGCACAATCAATAGGCAGCGTGTGATGCATGAGAGGACCACAGCTCTTGCTACCTTGTTGTTGAGAGCTGAAGTGGAAGAAACCTTGCAAAGTTCATGCACTGTTTCAGGCCACTTCATCTTTATAACTCCCAAGATGCTTGTGGCTATTCCACCTCACCCTACTTCAATTGTTTTGGAGTTGATGAGGTAAACAACTTTCCCATCATAGTATTGATCCTATACAGTATGGCAAAGCGTTCAGAGAGGAGTGGATCTGCTTCTAAGCATCTCACTACTCCATCTCAGAAAGTCCAGTAGATGCAGTCTGAGTCATGTATATTTTTCAATCGTTGTTCCCTGCAGGTAGAAAGAACGGCCCAGAAGCCATCAGAACCTGCACGTTGGAAGAGTGAAGATGGAAGAGTGCAGCCAACTTCGGAAACCGAGCTGCATGTGAAATCCACCCTCCATGATTATCATCCCTGCTGCCCCACAGACTCTGTGAAAAATGGACCATGCTCCATGCAGCTCATAGAAGCCGCTCCATTCAGCAGTGGGATTGTACTGGTTGGAAGTTCAGAACCAAAGGGAGAGCAAGGAGTGAAGGAAGTAACTCTGCAAGTGGAACATGTCCCTGCATACCGAGACTCTCCTCCCCTTGCAAGGCCTGCAGGAACCAACAAGCTTTTGGACCAGAGCACTTTGCATCAGGATCAACAGGCAGCCCGCCCTGTAGAGAGAGTGCACACTGAGCCCAGAGGGAACCAGAAGGCATTCAGAACCGAGCAGGGCCAAGCCAAACCAGTCAGAGACTTCCGAGGGCCACCAGTCAGTCGCACAAAAGATTCTATTCAACACGTCTTGGGAGAGGTATTAACATATGATCTGGCAATCTTTGTGGCTGTCATCACAGTGTGATGTAGAGGCCTATCATGCAGAATAGTGAGCACTTGAGTCCGGATGATTTTTCTAGTCCTCATGGTTGCAGGGACAAATGTGAATGCTTTTATTGGCAGCTACTGCTAAAGATTTAGGAATAAGGACTAGGCTGAGGTTTCCATTAATCTCAGACAGGGCTCCTTGACTCAGTGCAGGCCCCTCCCCAGTTCTACCTAGACACTTTCTATCCTTAACACTTTTCTTGCCCTCTGATTCCCCCCCCTCCAATGTGTTCCAGTTGCCCCCACTTCCTTTATGGCTAACAAAAATTTAATGCTAAATTGTGAAGTATCCCCACATTATATTTCACTGGAGCAGTGGTTTTCAAACTGTGTTCCAGGGAAGTTTATGTGAGGCCCTTCATGTGGGAGGCAGTGACGATCAGTTCTGGCAGACAGAAAATTCATTTGAAAGACGGCTTATTCATCATTATTGACCTTCTGCAAAGCCGCTGGAGAGAAAACAAATTCACAGGCTGTGCTGTGAATTCAGACAGGAGTGACAGTGGGACCCAACAGGCCTGGCTAGTGGCCCATGTGAAGTGTTTGCCCTAGTGCATGCCTGTGGTGGGCTTGGTCAGGTGGGTGGAGGGACATCCATGGGAGCGAGAGACAATGTATTTAAAGCTGGAAGAGGAGTATTTGTGCTCCTCTCTTTATTGCAGGTAGTTTTTTTGTTCGTTCCTTCCACTTTCATGGCAGCCTTCTAGGGAGGCTTCTTCCCCTTTGAAGGTGAAGGAGGAACATCATCAGCACCTGGATTCCAGGAGCTGCAAATGCATGCACCACACACACATCTCTTGCTCGGACTTGGTTTGCTCTTGGGTCCCTTTCTCTAGTGCTGCCCAAGCCTGATTCTGGTCCCTCTTTCTCCCATGGGAAACTTTAATGCATCCAGTTATCAAACTTGGTTTAGCAGCCTGCTCCCCAACTGCTACCCTTCAGGCTAACCAGACTGTGTGGCCTGCTGTGACATTATCTCAAAGCACTGGAGGCTGCAGCCAGGTTGGTTCAGACAGCAGGCAAGCATCAGGCCTTCTCTGCATGGACATCTTGGCAGATGTTAAGGAGTTTCTCAGTAGGTAACGTGATGTGGACCCCTTAAAGACCACCGTGCCAGAAAAAAAAGCACTTTCAGAAAGTTTATGTAGATAAAATGTAATCAAGTGGCACACTTACAGATTTCCCAGTGGGTTGTGGGGATGACTTTTCTATAGATAAAGAAGATGAACCATCATCCAGCAGCTCCATTTAGCTGCTTGGGGGTATCTGAAATGGGCTCTTCCACTTCTGGTTTCCTTCCCAGGAGGACAGGAGGAGATTTAACTAGCTTTCTCTCTCATCCAGGTGATTGCCGAAAGACTTTTCTCCCCACCTGATTCTCCACATCCTCATACGGACAAACCAAAAAGGAATTCAAAGAGTCGAAGCCTGGACGAAGCTCGGCCAAGAGCTGTTTCTGCTCCCTCACACCCCCAGCTCCTGAACCTGGCTGCTCAGCTGCTGGAGCAGGCTGAAGGTGGGATAGTTGAGGGAATGGCAGATATGTGGATTTCGTGGAGGGCTTTAAACATTCATGGTGGGGTCCATTTCGTCCCACCCGCGCAAGCATGTTCCTTTAGTTCCTGCCTGGCTTCACATTTCATAAACTCTGGACAGGAAACCTAGACCTGGAGTCTGGACCACTGAGTGGCCATCACCGGCAATGGGCGATGATGATGCTCTGTTCAGTTTCCACTGGGCAAGCGTGAGCTTAATTCCGATTTTGCAACTATTCTAAACACATTGACCAAATCAGTAATGGGTGGAATGGAAATGGAGATGTGGCTAGAGAAGGAACAGAATAAGCAAGAGACAGGGTGTCTAAAGGTGCCTACACCAGTGAGGGTTTTTTAAAATACAGACCTAGAACTACAGATCTTGTGTGTCATAGTGTTGGTGCTGTAACAGGAGCTATTTGCCGCATGCCTTTAGTCAAAGTACAGGCATAGCCAGAGGCACAATACAGGCACAGCCCAGAAGGAGAGAAAAGTGTGTGGGCTCTATGGGAGGGGGTAAAAGGTGAAGAAGGCTGGAGAAAGAGGAGGGGAATATGTGGAAGCGGGAATTGAGCAGGAGGAATTGGTAAGTGCCTGGGAAGTGGGTTATTTTACAGGTTTGCGCTGATCGTTTGGTTCTAAGCAAATAAACAACAGACAGCTTGGAACATCCCTGCAGATATTTATTGGAGAGCTCCATCCACAGCCTTGACTGGTAGGAAAAGGAGAAAGCACTTAAAGTGGAGTTAATTTTTCTGTTTTGCAGACTCGGATGGCACAGAGTTTGAGGACGACCCCCTGTTACAGGTGCTAAGGGGCCAGAGGGAGTTGTTGCGCAGCCAGCTGAGGTGGGTCGCTGCTCATTGCAAACTGTCCAGAGGCATTCTCTCTTGGGATGGCTGCTGTTTCAAAGTCTTTGCTAGCTGCTGAGAACGGTTGCCTTACGTTGCCTGATGTCCTGTCAGGCTTTCCATGCCCCTCTCCTTTGGCTTTGAAGCATAATGGATACCTGAGAGCAGATCGTTAGAAGTGTTGTCTCCTTTGTCGTCATCCCTGATGCCTTTGCAGTGTCAACACATTCTCCGTATGTGTCTTCTTCCCACCCACCCCAGCTTTAGATGCAGCTCCTATGAAAAGAGGTCGTTAGAATTCATATTGTTTGATACATATTCTTCCCTCCTTCAAAAGAGTTTAGGTGGTGTGTATAGTTTTTCTCTCCACCCATTCTGTCCCCACAACCAATCCTGTGAGTTAGGCTGAGAAATGATGGCTGGCCCAAAGTCATTTGGTGAGTTTTGTGGCTGGGTAGGAATTTGAGCTGGAGTCTCTCTGGTCTTAGTGCAGTGTTGCAACCATCACACCACACCATCACTCCATAAGGATTTGTAAGAGGTTGCTTATGTTTTAGCATCAGGCAAGAACTCAAGGCTTTATAGTTCTTATTTCATCCAGATTTAATCCTTCCCTAAAGTACAATTCTTGGTATGGACAGGATAGTGGATATTCAGTGATTCCAAGCAATCACTTAAATAATAATAATAAAAGAGAGCACAGAAGTCAGCTTTTTTTGATGGCCTGTATTCATTTTTGCAATGTTTCTAGTCTTTACAGCTGTGACAACTGAAAGCATGTAGGAAATAATCTAGTAATCTCAAAAGTCAGAAGTGTGGCTTATGTTTATTTATTTTTTTAGTGGATTTAGGCATCGCACATGCCATTTTGACACTTTTCATATGTGAGAGAAGCAGAATAAAGTATGCAGGAAATAGAATTTGCTTAATTTATGCACATCTTAGAATTTATGATAAGTTGGCGCTTTTTAGTGCAAAGGGCATTTTGCTTTCAGCTATGAGCGGTTGCTGAGTGCTGCCCCACTGCTCCAAACAAATTGCAGCTGCCTGGTCTGATGGGCAGTTTATTCTGTGACAGTATGCCTGTGTTGCTTTGGTCTCCAGCCCTTAAAGGTGGTATGCATTTCTACTCTGTTCCCTTGCAGAGCTGTGGATGTCCGCGTAGCTCAGCTTGAAGGCTACCATTCTGATCAAGACTTATCCCATCGATGACAGACGCCTGCACGATCTTCTCTGCACCTTGAGTGTGGTTGAAGGCTCTCCGATTCATAATTTGGGATTACAGCAGTGGACTGGGTCCTGTGCTCCTTGCTCAGACACCTCTGGATGACTTCAGCAACAGGGTTTGGGAGAGGTTCTTATTTATGCTAGCACCCTTCTGGTTTTGGCTGCGCTGCCTGTACCCAACAAGCTGGTGTGTTCATCAAAGTCAACTGGGAGTGCAAAATGACCAGGCACTGGTGTGTAGGGATGTGCCTAAAGCATAAACAGTGCCTTGTTTCCATGGTTTCATTGTGTATTTTTGTGGTGAGATTAAAATAAAAAGTGTATTTTTGGATCAAAATGAACTGTGATGGTTTGCAGTAAGATGACATAACCTATCCAGTACCTCCTGTCCAATTAAATGATGGTTAATGAAGTCTAAAACCATTTGACTTGGAGAGGAGGCACTAGGCAAACATTTTTAATTTATTTTAGCCACCTTTGGAATGGAAAGGACGGATGAACAATCCCCAAATAAATACATTTTATTTTATTAAATGTTGTATTCCACCTTTCTAATTAGCTGTCAAAGGCACCTTACATTGAATTGTGTTTTATTCGATTTTAAACAACGTAATCCCAAAAACAGTAATAAAAACCAACAGTAACATCAAAACACTAGGAGAGTTAAAACTGGCAACAGTTATAATTTTGAATTAAAAAAACCAACTGGCAACAGAACTCTATTGGGGAAGGCACAGGAAAATAAAGAGGTGTTTACTTGGGCCTTAGGTGTGCCTCTTTGGGGAGGGTTTTTCACAGGACCTTTTCAGTTGTGGCACCTCATTTCCTTTTTTAAAAAAATATTTTTTCTTAGTTTTTTTCCTCATTTCCAGTAGTCACCTGCCTAACCTTCAAGAGCAGGGATACTCAAAGGAGTGCTGACGATTGCAACAAACTGCAATGTTTGTGCAGGACAAGGCAGTGTGGATGCTATCCTGTAGACCAGCTTTGTAAGTTTAGTCCCTTCTGCAGTAACCTGCTGCATTTCTGTGCTTAGTGCAGAGGACTGGAAGTGAGGGACCTCTGTCTCACCTCCGCCAACTCGCTGCCATGCAGTTCCTTGTCACATATGCCATTCCCAGGCCAGTGATTAAATACGCTACAGATGAACGTGTTGCCCCTGCTCAGCCAAAGAAGACGTATGGGGAGATGCGAGGTGGGACATAGATATAAAAGCATCCATTTAATGTGTCATAAACTGTTTCCTCCAAAGTCCTGGAAATCATATATGTGTGATCCCAGGGCCTCCAGCAACAAATCTGTCCTGTCCATAGAGATATTTGGTGCCCTTTTATGCAGCAGCAATGTTAAGACTGCCAGCGCTTAATATAGGAACCTAGTAACAATATGAGGGAAGATCAAAAGACTCTACAAGGAGCTCCTCGAAATGACCAGGGAAAGAGGAAATAGATGCTGGCAGGCCAGCATAGAATAATCCCAAGAAAACACAACTTTCCCCATGGCTGGTTTCTCATAGCGTCCTCCCTGTCCCTGTTGTCTATTAACAGGGAGCATTATGGGTGAGACTGAAAGCTCATTTAGTGCAGTATTACATTGCCAACCATGATGGCCTGTTCCCCCTTTGATCCCAGCATCTGGTATTCAGTACACAACAGCTTCCATTTAGCTATTGTGGCGAATATCCATTGGCAGTGTTCTCCTTGTCTAAGCCTTTAAAAAAGTGATCTAAGCTTGTGGTCATGACCACATTTTGGAGGTAAGGAATTCCATAAGTGAATTAGGAATTTTGTGTTAAGTACTTTACTTCTTTTTGTCAGTCCTGAAACTGCTGCCAATTGGTTTAAATATTGGTGTAACCCCCCCAGTTCCAGTGTGAGAGGATGGAAAAGGTTTTTCGATTTGCAGCCTTCGGGCCCTTTAGGTTGTGATGTCTGGCTATGAATGGAGAAAGCGAACTGAACACAGGAGTATCCCTGCAAAAGATTATTTCTTTTCTAAGTTGGGCTTCAAATGAGAGAGAATAAATGGAATACTCTTGAGTGGGGCAAATGGCCAAGCTAGGAATGTGGCACTATACCACATATTTATTCTGTATGAATATATATATACACACACACACGCGCGCGAGTGTGTCCCATTGTCTTGCAAAGCAACTGGGCCAGACATAGGTAGCTGGATGTCATAGACAGATTGGATGTAGAGGAATGTGTTGCGGGTAACCCCAATGGAAGAAGGCTCAGAGCCAGGGAATTGGGGGTGGGATGACAATGAGTGGTTAGATGGAGAAGAGGGAGAAGACTGGGAGGAGGTGGTGTTGGAAGTTGAAGAGGTAACACAGCTTAGTGAGCGGGGAGAGTCTATGGCAGAGAGAAGTCCAGAATTAGAGGCAGAAGCTGATGTAGGAGAGGCCCAGAGGCAGAGATGAGTCCGGCTGGTGAAGAGGCACGGGTGTCTCCTCTTCCTGCTGTGACAAGCTGCCCTCCCCCCAGTCTCCCAGAACCAGGAGAGGCATGAAAAAGGGCAGAAAAGTTAACTTCACACAGGCACAGTCTCAGATTGCTTGGGGAAAACTGGAGAGGAGGGACCTTCAGTCTTCGCAACCACTTCATGGGGGCAAGACCTGCCGGAGATGAATTGCTGGGCTGATTAGGCCTGGCACACCTGTGCAGATCCTGTTTTTGCTAATAAAAGAGTTAACTCCAATGTGTTTGGTGTGATTTACTGCTGGCTCGCTCCTGTCAGCACCTTATATTGAGTTAGACCATTCATTCATATTCCTCAGTGTTTGCTACACTTAACTGTCTCTCCAGGGTTTCAGGCAGGGTTCTTTCCCAGCCTTACCTGCAGATGCTGGAAGTTGAACCTGGGGCTTTCTGTGTGGAAAGCAGATGCTGTACCTCTGTGCTACGACTTCATCTCGAACATCTAGACATTTGAAAATTCTGTCTTTATTTGGTTACTTCTTTCCCCCTTCCTGAGTCCACTTGATCTATTTATGGGCGTGTCCATCTGTCCCCTTGAGGAACATTTACCTATACACACACACTCCTGAACTAATGCTGGCATCCCATCCCATTTTATAATTTAAATATTTTATTGGAAGCCTCCCAGAGTGGCTGGGGAAACCCAGCCAAATGGGCGGGGTATAAATTATTTATTTCTATTATTATTATTATTATTATTATTATTATTATTATATCCCTATTTTCAAGGCAGCTAAGTGCCAATATGTGGCCACAATCAGCAAATCAGAAACCTGAATGCTCCCTTATCCTTTGATTTCTGACCTTCACCCATGTTCTACATGAAGCCATCACAGGTTGACTTGTGAGTTAACTTGAACTGTGACTGGCTGGATGTCCATCTGGAGAGGCCACATGAATTATAGCAGTGCAGGACAGTGTGGGAGCTAGCTGGGATGGGTGGGTGTTGAATGGACACAGCTGTGATAGCCTAGGTAGTGCCAGGCATCGAGATGGCCGTGTCTGGCAAAGAACAAGGTACTTTTTGTTGTTTCGAACCACTTTGTCACATTGCTCCCTCAGTCGTCCTGTCCTCATCTCTTGTATTTTAATATTTTGTTGGAAGCCACCCAAAGTGGCTGGGGAAACCGAGCCAGATGGGCAGGGTAAAAATAATAAATTATTATTATTATTATCATTAGCTGAATATTGGCCCATTTTTAGGGCAACAACTTCGTCACTGAACTTCTAAAGTTCTATTAGTTTTTCTGAATTTTTGTTCAGTGAGTGGGATTTGGACAGTGACCTTTGGAGACCTAGGCTTCCTGTCTGTAGCTGGCAGGAGCAGAGATGGCAACTCATTCTTGCCTGAAAATGCCTTGACCGTAAGATATTACTCATGTAGCTAATGGTCTGTGTTTGCATCAAAATGACTCTTGCGCAATCTTCCCACGTGAGATTCCTTTAGGTTTCTGGCACATTCTGAAGGATGTGGATGTGATAGGGATGTTGCGAGGGTCAAATGCAATGTGGGTTAAACTGGCATTTATAATGCAGATTCAGTTTTTAATTTGGGATTGCGTCCTTCAAGATTAATGTGACATGTTTTACAGGTATTCCGTATCTCTGTTCTGTAGCAATATGAGTTTTTCAGCAATATGGTCCTTGACATAGGGCTTCTATCTAGTAAAGCAGGATGTCTGTATGGTAGACTGAATTAGGTGGCTTTACAGGGGGACTGGACAAATTCATAAAGGACGATGCTATCAGTGGCAACTCGTCATGATGACTTTATGGTACCAGATTCAGAGGAGATAAGCTGCTGAATTACTGGTTGCTGAGGAACTATGGGAGAGGCTATTACACTTATCTCTTGTCTTGTCTTTCCAGAGTCATCTTTTTACTGGCCACCATGTGACTCAGGATGCTGACTGGATCAGTCTGATCCAGCAGAGCTCTCCTTTATGTTCTCAACCTTATGAGTTCTCCAAAACCTATCAAGCTTGTGATGTGTCATGGAGCCAATTTACTAACCCACCAGATGACCTTGCATGGAAGCGTGAGGTCTTTATGCGAGCAGGTTCTGAGGGTTTGGGATTATCTCTGTGTGTGTCTTGTACCCATACATCTGAGCCATCCGCCGGGGTGGACTGATGAATGCAGCTCCCCCAGGGCACCCTGTCCGGACTTGTTGCGATGTCAGCAATCGCCTGGTCTGACCTCCATGTTGTCTACCTGGGAGGGCTGGTGAGAGATGAGGCAGCGGTGACAGTGTCTATTAATAAGAATGTCACTTGTCGTTATGTAACGGAGTCCCACTGTGCCGTACCTTCCTTTGTCGCATTTGTGAGGCAGGATCACACCTCCCCCCTATTTTTTTGTACCACCCAATTACATAAAGGCATAATAAGCCATTCAGTCGGTGCATATTAAACAAGGCTTTTAAGTACTGGCAGCGGTGGTTCTCCTTTGGACTCTGGTGATGATATTTCGCGGAGATATATCACAAGGGGAGCTCATGAGGCCTAGTTCCCAGTTCCTCCTTCAAAATCCACACAAAGCGGCAAGGAACGCCTGAATCACCAGGTATCTCTGTCCGTCACAGCCCAACTCCAGCAGCCTGTCCCTGTAAAGGGTGGGGAGGGGGCAAGAGAAGAATACAAGGATCCCCAGTCTATGCCTGCATTCCTACAGAGCAAGCTTTCACATGCACATACTACTTTGTAGTAGCAATCCAGCAAATTTGAAGGGTGCGTGTAAATGCATGCATGTGTGTGTGTGTGTGTGTGTGTGAGAGAGAGAGAGAGAGAGAGAGAGAGAGAGAGAGCAGGAGGACATAATTCAGAGAAAGGCCTACCTCCAGAAAGGTGATTTCCTTGTGGGGAACAACAGCACGAGGCCCTTTTTATAACTTGGCTCCAAGCGGTTAGAAAGGGAGGTGTCTCATTTGCAAGGGTTTATTTATTTAACAAATGGGAAAAGAGCGAGGGAGAGAGGGAACTCCTAGGACGCCTGGGTCCTATTTACCATTCCCGAGGGGCAGATCTCCTGAATTAGGGCGAGGCAGAACTGTGTCCCGTCCCCCCCCCTCCCCCGCCGCCAACCTCAGCTATATATACAGTATATGTATTCTCTCCTTTTGAAAGAAAGATGGGGACTGCCTATATAATAAATGGCTGAGGTGGGGAAAACGTTGGGGCGCCTCCCATCTATGCTCAGCTCTTTTGAGGGGGGGTTGGAGAGCGGCCGGCCAGGCTAACAGAAGCCCCTTTGTGCCGTCCCTTCCAGCTGCCCCTTTTGTTTCAGGGTTGTTGTTTTTTAACCCCCTTCGGTGCGATCGCACGGCGAAAAAAAATAAATAAGAGCGGGTGGGTGGCGGGGTTCAAAACGAGGAAGGGCAACGTGTGTGTGGGGGGGGGGTCGCCTGTCGGATCCCGCGCCTGCACCCCCTACCTCGTTTCCTTGCGCCCCTTTTGTTGCAAGCCGTCGATCGCCCCCCCCCCTTCCCTGCCGCCCCCTCCTCCTCCTCCTCCCCGTCTTTCTCCGAGCCTGATCCCGCCCCCGCCCGCCTGCGCTCCCCGCCCCGCCGCTGCTCTGCTCGCCCGCCCGATCGCCTCGCTAGCTGGCTGGCTGGCTGGCGCTCCCCAGCCGGAGACGGGCAGGAGGACGGACGCGCATCCGAGGGGCCGGGCCGGAGAGGATCGGCTGGCGGCGTCGGGCGGCCGCGCTGCTCCCTCCCCTATTGTCTCGGCTCGGCCCGGGACTGGCCCGGGCTGCCGCCGCCGCCGCCGGGGCACATCAGGATCGCGGCGCCATGGTGGTAAGTGAAGGCGCCTTTCTCTCTCTCTGGCTGGGGTGGGGGGTAGGTGGGGGGAGGGGGAAGAGGAGATGTGGGGCGGGCTTAGGGGGCGCCTTCTCTGCCTCTCGCGCGGCATGCACCTGTTACCATCGAAACCCACATCGGGCGCCCCTAGGAACACACCACCGCGCCCCGTCACTCTCCTCGCCGGGGCGGGGTGGAAAGAGAGGTGAAATTGGGAGCCCCCCCCCCCGCCCCATCAGATTTCAGCAAAAGGCAGAACGGGGAAAAGTCAGATGAAAACCCCTTATTTTTCTTCCGATAGCTTCCTCTCCGCCTCACCCCCCCTCCCGTGGCATTTTTTTGGGGGGGAGTGGGAACCCGTCCCTCCCTCAAGTCCTGAAACTCGGGGAGATCTAGGTCAAGGGAGCGCTTTGGATGCCCCCTGCCAACCCATCAGCGCCGTGGCGCAAGGGGGAAGATTCCTCTGCCCTAGAGAGCAACCGCAATAATTCACCAAGACAGCCGACCCACTCTCCTCCCCACCCACCCCCCACGCGTCGCCACCACTTTCTCCCCATCATTAGGAGTTGTGCCTCATCCATTGTAATTAGAACATCACACACACACAAATGCACTCCACAACTTCCCCCAAATAATTAGGAGGCTGTTCTCTGCTTCACTCAACATCAACTGTTGGGAGTGCAGCAGCAGCAGCAGCGTTGCTAGGCCCCGGCAGCTGGATTTGCAGCAAAACCTCAGAAACAAAAGGTGAAAAGCCAATGTCAGGAAGCAGGCAATTAAGACTAGAATTGGGTGATTAGGAGCACTGGCTACTGTAGCCTGGCGAGGGATCTATGATGCTGTCCACAATTTACAGTGTGTTGGAGCAGCTACTTTCTGCCATTGTCTTTCTGGACAGTGGGAAAGAATTCCCTGTGATAAAGGTTGACCAGAAGCACCATTAACAGACTGGCTCATTGGTAGGCACAGTGGGGGACGGACGGACACTGATATACAGAGCCTTGATCTGCTCAATTCTGAAAGAAATCCTGAAAAACAAAAATCACCTCTGTTCCACTTACCAGTGTCTTTGTGGTGTTTGTCTGTTACAGCTCCAAGCGGTTTTGCACCAGACTAACAGAGGCATTGAGTGGAGATGGATGGTGCTTTCCTTTGCTTAAAAGGAATTGGAACTGTCTACAGAGAGGCTTGGCTTCCCATGCTGTCTCTCTGTGGTCAAACAGGTCTTGCAGGGTTTTGAAATGATGCAGAACCCTGCAGAACCTGTTTTGCTGGAGGCGAAAGTAGGGTTGAGTGTACATGCACCCGTGAGCGACAGTCTTTTTCTCCCAGATTGCCTTCAAATGCTCCGAGCCAGATTCCTTTAAGATGGGGAACCTGTAAGCTTTCAGGTGCTGTTGGATCACAACTCCTGCCATTCTTGCACATCAGCCGCGCTAGCTGGGGCTGATGGGAGCTGGAGTTCAACAGCGACTGCAGGGCCACAAGTTCGCCGTCTCTGCTTCAAGTTGAAGAATAGCCAGTGTTTTTATGCAAGGCTTGACATTACCATTCCCTCCAGGTTCTGCCAGCTTACCTCCCCCCCTCCCCATCACTCCCTTAGCTTCACTTTCCCCTTAATCCCTTTAGTAAGACGTAGGATTTTTATTGACGGATTGATAAATAGGAAGTTGTAAAAACAAAATGAAAACAAATCATGTTTCCACATTTGCTCCAGGAACAGCTGCAACGAAACAAACCCATGTTGCATATGTGCAAAGAGAAAAATGCAAATGTGTGTGAAAAGTCAGTACACCTTGGTGCCTTTTCTGCTAGGTGGGGTGGACAAAGGCAGCAAGAGGGAAAGTGGGTGCAGGGTGGCCAGGAGAGGGGAGGAAGGTTTGCTTGAGTCGTATGTGGTAGCTAGTATAGCTATGTGTTGAATGCAATTGTTTGCATTTATTTTGAGCTATACGATCAGTAGAACAGATGCTTTTGGTGGCCCTGCCACTGCCACCGGCTCCTGCCCAGTTGGCATTGACTCATGAGAGGGCCTTCTTGGTGGTGTGCCCCATCTATGGATGTCTTCTCTGGTGCGGTGGGTCTGTCTCCCTCATTCAGGAGGAATTTAAAGACATTCCTGTTCACCCAAGCATCGGATAGCTGAAATATGCTGTTCCTGGCAACCTTGAAAGGCTTAGCTGTGGGGATATGTAACTGTTTTTAGAGGTTTTAAATATTTCATAAGTTTTTTATTTATTTTACTTTTAATTGCTTGGCCGTTTGTTGCCTTGGGCTCCCTCGGGAGGAAGGGCGGGTTATAAATTTAATAAATAACAACAAGTGTGCTTTGCAATTATATATTGCCTGCCTTTCATTACACAATTCCGGGTTGCAACATAATTAACAACGATCATTCAAAAACAATTAAGGGCAGATGAAAAGACATGGTTTAAAATTCACATCACAGTTCAGTCCAAATGTAGCTAACATCCCATTAATGAAGTGGAGGTCATATCTGGGTTAGCGCCACAGAGGTGGGTGCTCACATTTTACTTCCCTGATTCTCTTATTTCTGGACCACCAGGGGCCACAGATTCTGGACCACCAGGGGCCATTTAAAAAACATTTAAAGCTCATGACTTACTCTCAAAGAATCCCAGGAACTGTCTGCTAAGGATCCTGGGTATTGTAGTTCTGTGAGGATGAAACTATAGCTCCCAGAATTCCTTGGGGGGGTTAAGTGAAGTGTTTTAAATGTGCACCAAATGTGCTTTAAATATATGGTGTTGATCTGCTCTGTGTGGTCCACAAGCTGGAGATACTCAGAAGAGGTCAGCGCTGACTTGCTATCTTGGCCGCTGGAACATATAGCTTGAATTCTGCAAGCTTTCCAAAGTCAAGACTGATGGGAAAGTGTGAAAGAAAAGCAGAACCTCACACTGTGTGTGGTTTTGCTCCTATCTGCGGGCCTCTGTTAAGGGCCTCTGTTAACGCAATTCTACGTCAGGAGTCTTGAGTGTCAAAGTTTATCTCTGCTTTTGCAGAAATGGGTGTCTTTGGTTGCAATGTGTACCAGAGTCAGGCTTTCCAGTAATGTGAAAGGGACTGTTTTCTTTCTCTTGTCTCCTGTTTTGCAAGAGAAATGCACAAATAACAAACTATTCCCCACTTTTCTAGAGATCAGGATGCCTTGGGCCATCTGCATGAAAAATTTCAGCTTTGTAGCTAGTGTGGACTTGCTGTAACCATTTCAGGGCAGGCATTATGTCACCCATTTTGAAAGAAAGATGCACAAATTCCTCCCTTCTCAGTCCTATTGTTTGATTGTCCCCTAATGATTTATATGTCATCTAGTAGTTTCTGGCACTTTCTAGTTATCAGGGGACCTTGGCTTACATCTGTGCCAAATCTCTGGTTTCTTAGTAGCATTGATGTATCGTAACAGTGGTCTTCTTCTTCTTCTTTGGCGATCATTCGTAGCTGAGTAAGATTGTCATCCATAAACACGGTTTTAGCAATGAGTCCGTAAGTGACTGTGGAGCCCAGTTCACGAATGGCACTACAAGAGGGACCGGCAACAAAATGTTGCAGTGCTCCTTTTTTGTTCCAGCAAGCCAGCTAGGCCCCACCTACTCCTCTTCTGATATTTATTGTTAAAGAAAATCCATATACCACTTGATTGTAAGAAAACCTCTAAGCAACTTACGAAAGCATGAAATAAAACATTAAAATTGTTGATTAAAGTGGTTAGAAACAGGTATTTGAAAATATTCAAAAGTTGGTTAAACGGCCTCGGCCCAGAATACCTGAAGAAGTGTCTCCACCCCCATTGTCCAGCCCGGACACTGAGGTCCAGCGCCAAGGTCCTTCTGGCGGTTCCCTCGCTGTGAGAAGCTAAGTTACAGTGAACCGGGCAGAGGGCCTTCTCGCTAGTGGCACCCACCCTGTGGAATGCCCTCCTTTCAGATGTCAAGGAGATAAAGAACTACACAACTTTTAGAAGACATCTGAAGGCAGCCCTGTTTAGGGAGGTTTGTAATGTTTGATGTTTCATTATGTTTTATATGTACTGTAAGCCGCCAAATGGGCGGGGTATAAATATAATCATCATCATCATCATCATCATCATCATAAAAAGAAATAAAAGCAGATATAACTTCTACCTGTCTGGATAGGCTTGCCTAAACAAAATTTTTTTAAGCAGGTGCCTAAAAGAGAACACTGAAGGTTCCTGCCTGGTAAAAAAGAAGCGATATAGATGCAATAATTAAACAAAATTTGCCAGTCTGTGTTCCCTTTTAACTGGAGAAACTAGCTTGCCATAGGGTCAGCCCCTTGGCTTGTCACTGAGGCAAAAAAAAAACCTGCTTGTGAGTTTGAGATACAGAAAGATTTTTGAAAACTGCTGAATAGGCCAGTTTTGGTATTAAGTGCAGAGCTAAGTCAGAGGTACTTCCCCTGAAACGCACGCCAGAGGGGAAAAATAGCTTGGGAGGAAGTTTCTGCTTGATTTCCTGGAGACAGCGGTAGCTTTTCTTGATCTGTTGCTGTTAATTTAGGGCTGTGGGAGGAAGGCAGATGAGGGTCAAGGGAAGTCACCATGTCTTAGGCAAGTGTGGGATTTCAGTGGGGGAGCCTCCCGGAAAAAACTCCGTTTTCATATCAGGCATTGGGACTTCTTGTTCCTAGTTTCCAGATAACACTGAAATCTCACTGGGAACACAAGCCTTTGCTACAAATTGGAATGAACACTTTTTAAAGTGTGCAGGAGGCGCTCCAGAAACAGACATCTGTAGGAAAATGCACTAAAATTCTACAAACAGGGAATCCTCAATTCTTTCTTTGTATTGATTAAAAAATGTAACCCATCTTGCCCCCTTACAACGCACCCAACCATCGCATTAAATGTAAAGGTAAAGGGACCCCTGACCATTGGGGTTGTGGTGCTCATCTCGCTTTATTGGCCGAGGGAGCCGGCGTACAGCTTCCGGGTCACCTGGCCAGCATGACTACCAGAGCAGCGCACGGTAACGCCGTTTACCTTCCTGCCGGAGCGGTACCTATTTATCTACTTGCACTTTGACGTGCTTTCAAACTGCTAGGTTGGCAGGAGCAGGGGCTGAGCAACAGGAGCTCACCCCGTTGCGGGGATTCGAACCGCCGACCTTCTGATCGGCAAGTCCTAGGCTCTGTGGTTTAACCCACAGCGCCACCCGCGTCCCAACCATCGCATTACAATATGAATAATTATCCTTGTGGTTTATCTATATGACCCAAAGCCCCCATTTGGAAGCATCCTAGGTGCCAATGAAAGGATTCTAGATTATCCTTTCCCCTGAACCTGTAGCCTACCAGGTGTCAGACTACAACTCCCATCTTCCCTGACCACTCCTCATGGTGGCTGGTGCTAGTGGGAATTGTAGTTTAAGGTTACCCACCTTGTCTTAAATGATAGTTTTCTATTTGTAGGCATCATATAAGGCCCCTTCCCTCCACTGCAGACTAAAGTGGTATAACTGAGACACAGGTTTATAGCCTTATTGACATTAAGCCAAAGTATGGAAGAGTATTTGAAAGTTATTTAATGACTGCCTGTACTAATATGAAGCTTTGTGGGTCTTGAGAACCATGCATCATGGTATGTTAGACTGGCAGATGAGAAAATGAGACTTTTTTGGTGTGGTGGCCCCATATTTGTCTAACTCCCTTACTTGGGAGACCGGGGATGGGAATAAGATTGATTCACTGGCAAAATATACCGATAATAATATGCAAACCAAACACAGCCGCCCTCCAAAACCGACATGCCTCTGAATTTTACAAAGCAGCTTGTCAACCAAAAAAATTACAGAAATGTGAACATTAGGGTAAAGTGTGCATATACATGCTTATATTAGTAAAAATAGCATACAAAGTGCATTTTAGGGGAAATTCCTTTGCAAAATGTGTGCATTAGGCAGAATTGCATAATTTTCTTTATGTTGATCTTGTTCTGTGAACTGCCCTGAGACCTCCGGGTATAGGGCGGTATTCAATCAATAATAATAGTAGTAGTAGAAGAAGAAGAATAAGAATAAATCCTTACTAAAATGCTGGTGAATTTTCATGAGAATTAAAAAACAACAACCCTGCAAACTGATGTGGAAATATGAGAAGCCAACGTAAGGCTGGAAAAATGAGAATTTAAGAGAAACCCCAAACAGATCAACCTAGCCTTAGCTGATACTTCTTCTGCTTTCAGAAAACCTTTTTTTATTTCAAGCTGCTTTAAAATACGTAGTGCTCTGCATTATTTCAACTACTTTTGTTTCTTAATTTATTTATTTTTGTGATTTTGTTTTTTAACGATTTGTGTTTTGTTGTGCTGATGTCTGCCTTGTGGACCCAGAAAGTGGCATCAAAATCTTTGAAATAGTGAACTGAGTGAGTGGCTGGAAAGGTGCATTCTTACCCATATTGTGCAGAGCTAATGATGATTGTCTACATGGGGGTGTTCATTCTACCAGCCATGTGCTAGACTCTCTACTATGATCAGCTGTTGCAAGCCATCCACGCAGCCCTTCTGCCATGGGAATCTGTGAACGTGCCCTCCTGTTGCCTGTGAGCGTTTCAATCTGGCAAGAGACTCTTTCCACACAAAGCTCAATCCTTAATGGCGTTATATGAACCTATTCAGGACAGAGAAAAGAAAGCGCTTCTTCCCATAGTTCATAGTAAAACTATGGAATTTGCTCATACAAGGGGCAGTCGTGACCACCACGTCAGATAGCTTTAAAGAAGAAGTAGACAAATTCATGACCTGGGTAAGATAGTGCAGTTGGTTAGAGCATGGTTCTGATAACAACAAGGTTGCTGGTTCAGTCCCTGTGTGGGACAGCTGCATAGTCTAGTGGGTTGGATTTGATGGGGATTATTATTATTTATTGAATTTATATACAGTGATACCTCGGGTTACATACGCTTCAGGTTACATACACTTCAGGTTACAGACTCCGCTAACCCAGAAATAGTACCTCGGGTTAAGAACTTTGCTTCAGGGTGAGAACAGAAATCGTGCTCCAGCGGCGCGACGGCAGCAGGAGGCCCCATTAGCTAAAGTGGTGCTTCTGGTTAAGAACAGTTTCAGGTTAAGAACGGACCTCTGGAACGAATTAAGTGCTTAACCCGAGGTACCACTGTACTGCCCTATATCCGGAGGTCTCAGGGCGGTTCACAGACAAAGATCAACTTAAAAACCACAATTATATAGTCAAAATAAAAACAGCAACCCAATAACACGCCCCCCTCTAAAAAAGAACAACCTTTTAAAATGGCATAGGATGTAAATCAGATCAACCAAAGGCCTGGTTAAAAAGGAACGTTTTTGCCTGGCGCCTAAAGGTGTATAATGAAGGCGCCAGGTGAACTTCCCTGGGGAGAGCAGTCTGCCTATGGGGAGCCACTGCAGAGAAGGACCATTCTCATGTTGCCACCCTCCAGACCTCTCGAGAAGGAGGCACACGAAGGAGGGCCTCAGAAGATGATCTCAGAGTCCGGGTAGGTTCATATGGAAAGAGGCGGTCCTTGAGGTATAGCGGTCCTGATCCTCAGGGTCCCTTCCAACTCTACAGTTCTATGATTCTATGAAGGATTATAAGGCTACCTGGAAGCAGTTTGCTTCTGAATGCGAGTTGCTGGAAATCATAGGAGAGGAGAATGCTGTTGCTCTCAGGTCCTGCCTGTGGACTTTCCAAAGGCATCTGGTTGGTCATTGTGAAGATGCTGAATTAGATGGACCACTAGCCTGAGCAGGATGCTGAAGTAGCTGAGCCACTGCAGGCCTGTTCCTGCAGCCTGTTCTTATGTTCTTAAGTCCTTGCTATTCAGGGGAGAGGGTCAAACATTACACCACCAGTGCACATCATGGGTCATATGCCTTTACAAAATGTCTGGATCAACTAGGGATGCAGGTGGCGCTGTAGTCTAAACCACTGAGCCTCTTGGACTTGCTGATCAAAAGGTTGGCGGTTTGAATCCCCACAATGGGGTGAGCTCCCGTTGCTCTGTCCCAGCTCCTGCCAGCCTAGCAGTTCGAAAGCACACCAGTGCAAGTAGATAAATAGGTACCGTTGCAGTGGGAAGGTAAACTGTGTTTTCATGCGCTCTGGTTTTCGTCACGGTGTTCCGTTGTGCCAGAAGCGGTTTAGTCATGCTGACCACATGACCCAGAAAGCTGTCTCTGGACAAACGGCTCCCTCGGCCTGAAAGCGAGATGAGTGCCACAATCCCATAGTCGCCTTTGACTGGACTTAACCATCCTGGGGTCCTTTACCCTTTTTTACCTTACCTAGATGGATTCTGCTTCGCGTACGGCAGAGGGAAGGCATTCCAGATTTCTGGAGCAATGGCAGACAATGCCTGCATTTGGATGGCCCACCCTGTGGTTTTCTGTAAGGGCTGATGGCAGTCTACTCATAAGTATTCCTGGGAGGGATGGTTTTTGGAGAAGAGGGCATGGCTCAGTGGCAGAGCATCCACTTTGCATGAAGAAGGTCTTGGGTCCAATTCCTGGTATCTCCAGGTAGGGCTTGGAAAGGCATCCTGCCCAAAACCCTGGAGAGCAGCTGGTGCTACCGGTCAGCATAGACAATATTGAGCCTGATGGGTGCATGGCTTGGTACAAGGCTTGGTAGAAGGCAGCTTCCCATGTTCCAGATGAGGGTTAATCAGAGAGGGAGTTTCCCAGCAGATCTTTGTAGGGAAGAGGAAATAGAGAAGTAGAGGGGGTCCTGGGGCAAGGAGCATGAGTGGAGGAAAGGGAAAAAGCGTCTCAGCTGATCATTCATCCCAGCGCACAACAGCGTTCCTCCTGTTGTAGCATGCATCAGCCAAAAGCATCCTCCACAGTGCGCACTCGGGTATTTCCTCACCACAAGTCACAAGGGCAGCTCAGGGCAGCTCAGATGGATTCCTGGTGGTGACAAAATAGCTGCATATCCCAGCCTCCCTGCTGCCGGTCAACTGCTTGCACAATCTTGCTGTGGTGTGCGGTTGAGCTTTGTGCTTGCTACCAACCTGTGTCTTTGGGTTGCTCGGGAGCTGTAGTCTGGTCCAGAACAATGGGATGCTTTTGGGAGCTGTCATTGCATAGCCCAGTGGTAGAGCATCTGCTTTACTTTCGGAAGGTCCCAGATGCGATATCTGCTGGCATCGCCAGCTAAAAGGGTCAGGTAGCAGACTGTGCCCCAGATCCTGGAGAGCCGCTTCCTATAAGGGTAGGCACAACTAGATTAGATGGGCAAAGAACGTGACCTGGTTGAAATCACCTTCTTGTGTTTCCTCTGAGTAGCTGCAAAGTTTCACAGGAAGGTGCGCAATACCTAATTGATTGTCAGTCTATCTATAGTGACCGGAAGTGAGCTTTGGATCTCTGCGATGAAAGTATTTAGGTAGAATTCCCAAGCAATGCCAGGGCTAAGGCTGGTAGTCCGTCCATCCATCTGTCTGGAAACAAGAAAATGTCAGGGCAGTTTTGAAAGGTTCAGTCTACCATCTTGATTCAAAATTGCATACTCTCTAGTTCCCAAGGGGGGGACACTATAGTTTCCCAGTTCTGACAAAATGGAAAACTGCTGTGGTTGGAATGCATTTTCTGGTTTGTTAGCTCGCTGAAGTTAGGGAAGAGCTAATGGACCACAAGTACGATCCGCAGTCTTATTAATATCTTATTTACCTGATATGTGATTGTCCCGATGTGGTCCCTGTACCAGCCTTTCCCAACCTGGTGCCTTCCAGTTGTTCTTGGACTACAACTCGCCCTGTACTTGACTGCCAGCCATGGTTTCTGGGGCCGATGGTAGATGTAGTGTAACAATATCAGGAGGGCGTCAGATTGGAGAACACTGCGACAGCCCATAGAGAATTGAGAGAAAAACCATCTTTGTATCAGGCAACTTCCTGTGTTCTTATTTACAGCCAAGAAACAGCACAAACAAAACAGAGCAACAGTGAAATTAGCAGAAGATTGTAGTATCAATTCATTCAGGTAAATTCCTGTAAAAATACAAGTCTTTTTATACCTAGAGATTCCATATGTCCAGAATTTCCCAGACATAGCTGGTATTCAGTCCGGGGAAATCTGGACATATGGCAGCCCATGTCGGCAGTGTGGATTTTGGTGAATTTCATTAAAAAAAGCTGGAAAACTTGTGGTTGTTTTTTTTTAAGATTTTGTAAAGAAAGCTCAACAACTTAGCCAAAAAATCCTCAACAACCCTAACTAAAGGATTAAAGTGAAGTGATTTATTCCATGATAGTCATAACTCAAAATAGAATCAATGAAATTAATGGACATGGTTAACTTTGAGCCATCAATTTTAATGGGTCTACTCTGAGTAAATCTGAGTTGGATACAGCCCTTGGTAAGAGGTAACTGACATTTCTGAGGAGGGTGTTCCAGAGGTGAGGTATTTTCACCAAGAAAGCCCTATCCCTGGTTGCCACCTGCTTGAACTACCAAGGTGGGGCAAGTCAGATGAGGATTTGAGTAAACAGGCAGGGCTGCATGGAGGAAGGTGGTCCTTGAGCTATGCTTGTCCCAGGCCATTGAAAGCATGATAGGGCAAAATGAGTTCTTTGAATTGCTCCTGGCACTGAGTAAATGGAGGATGACTCAATTTGCTCCTGCAGAGGAGTGTTATTCCATTGACTGCCGTGCTTTTCATCGCTGTGAGCAGGGCACCTGGGCTGAATCACAACAGGCTTTGTGTAAAACTGGAACTTTTCCATGTGGCCGTCTCCAAAACCACCAGCCTCGCATCTTCTCTCCCCTAGAAATGTGTCGTAATTAAACAAAGCATCATCGTTTTCAGTTCCCCCACCTCCGCTAGCTGAGGAGGCTGACCAAATGGAGCAGGGGAACACCGGACGCAATGGCAACACCCCATAACTTTTTGCCTCACAGCGCATGACTGGGGGAGAGAGGAAGAGATGTGGATTTGTTGCTCTGAGCTGTTCTAGACTGCATTGGCAGAAATATTGTGTCCAGATCATGGGAAGCAGGGAGACCATTGTCCTCTAACCTTCCTTGGAGCACTGTGTTCTGGGCGCTGCAGTTGAAGAAGAAAATCAACAGTCGAAAGTGCCCAGAGGAGGGCAAGGGAGATGGTGAGGAGCCTGGAGACCAAGCCCTAAAATGAAAGGTTGGAGGAGTTGGGTATGTTGTTTAGCCTGGAGAAGACGAAAGGGTGATGTGATAGTCATCTTCGTGGCAGATAAGACTGTCAGTGGCTACCAGCCATGAAAGCTGTGCTCTCCCTGCAGGGTCAGAGACAGTAGTGCTTCTGAATACCAATTGATGGAAACCACAGGAAGGAAAAGTGCTCTTGTGCTCGGATCCTGCTTAAGGATTTTCCACAGGTATCTGGGTGGCTGCTGTGAGAAATGGGTGCTGGACTAGATGGGTCACTAGCCCGATCCAGTGGTTTGTCTTATGTTCAAATATTTGAAGGGCTGTCACATAAAGGAAACAAAATTTATTTTCAGCAGGGGTAGGGAGCCTCTGGCTTACGGGCCAACTTTGGCCCACCAGGCCATTCCCGGAAAATCACTCCCCACGCCTGACGTCTGACGCAGCATCAGGAGTGAGGCCAGTATTGGCATTGCTTCAAAAGAACATTTCATGGTATCGTAGAGTTGGAAGGGACCACAATAGTTATCTAGTCCAGTCCCCTGTAATACAGGAATCTTCTGCCCAACATGGGACTCGAACCCACAACCCTGAGATTAAGAGTCTCATGCTCTACTGACTGAGCTATTCTGCATCACAGAGGGGTTCGCATTGAAGCCCCTCCATTTCAGACTCTTCAGCAAGACTCCTCGATGGGACACGCCCAGCGTGCCTCCAAAGTTGCTTGTTGCCTGATGTCATTGTGATGTCATGTGATTGACAGGTGCATGGCCTCTGCTCACTTTTTAAATCTAGACCAGGCCTGCCGGGGAAAAAAGGTTCCCTACCCCTGCTCTAGAAGGCAGGATTCCAACCCGTGAGTTCAAATGACAAGAAAGGGGATTTTGAGTAAGCACTAACTTCTTAATGGAAGGACCTGTTTCACAGGCAGACTTGGCCCTCCAGATGTTTTGGGACTACAACTCCCATCATCCCTGACCTGGTCCTGTTAGCTAGGGATGATGGGAGTTGTAGTCCCAAAACATCTGGAGGGCTGAGTTTGCCTATGCCTGGTGGAAGACTCTCCTTTGTTAGAAGTTCTTATGCAGAAGCTGTTCCGGTTTCTGATTTTATCCCGGAATATCCCACTTTTCCTTAGTATTTCCCTATTTTCACTGGAGAAATGCTGGAGGGTATGCCACCAATCTTAGCACGCAAGAGGGTCTGTAGGAAAAGAGGTGGTCTTTCGGGTATTTGAGTTGTCCCACCAAGGCTGACGAGCAGACTTTGACTAGCCAAGCTCACCTTATTTATATACGAGAACAATCAAAGGCTGGGGGGAGATTTGTGGATTATATGAAATGTTATTGTACACAAATAAACTCATTAGCAGGATTAATTTAAACCAAACAGTTAAAATTAATGCGAAAGAATAGCCAGGGAGTAATTAATAATTGGAGTAATGAAGTCCCAAAACCACTGAAAGATAATTGGAGTAATGAAGGAGATATAGCATTACAATTAAAAAATATATATATAAGAAACCGCAAAAAGAGTGGGGAAAAGTAAAAATATACATATTTGTTGGAAAATATTAGATTGTATTTTTGTCAAAATATTTTTGAAAAACTGAAATGTACATATATATTTATATGAAAAGAACATTCAGGGAGGTTTGCTTCAGCGCTGCCCCTATATATAGACCTGTGGGCTTTTACAGGATTGGCTATGGTATTGTGTAATCCCACTCTGGATTATTTTATTTTATTTTGGGTGTTTCAGCATCTGAAATGCGTAATGTCACATGATCGCAGATCTCTCAGTCTTCCAAGCAGTGTCCTGTGATATCTTTTGAGCTATCCAACGAAGGGGCTAATGTTATGTCTAACGACGTTACTTTTTCTTCCTTTTTTAAATCAGTTATATGGATGGTGGTGGGGAAATGACAAGTATTGCTAACAAACCGAGCAGCGATTTTTAAAAAAAAAGGGGGGGGGATTGCAAACAGTCCTTGAAGAGAGGTTGACAAAATAAAACGTATCTCAACAAACTGGGAGACTGAACTAGATAATGTGGCAGCCGATGTAGGGAGAAAGCTGGATGGCATCTATTAAAGATGCTGTTGGTATAGAATGTCAGGGACCGGCATTGTACTGGGAGATCAGCCATTGTATCCTTTTGTAACTCGGGAGGTTCCTGCGATTATCTGCCGAAGATACTGTGAAATCTGTCTGCCAACCGATCCCTGACTTAGCTGCAGGGTGGAATTGTAGCAGGCCAGCTCTGAGCCTGAAGAGTGATCTCCGGAGAACTTTTTTATTTTTTTTGGCGTTGCTTTGGCCGTGGGAAGAAGTGTCGGAAGTGTCAATATTTATCCATACCTTCCTTATTTTGACTGCACAGGCCCGGAGCACGGACAACATTGATACAACGGGAGAGGGTCAAGTCCGCTCGCTGGGGAATGCAAGCAGCAACATCAAGGGGAAGCCAACCAAGAGGTAAAATTGAGACAGAGAAAGAGAAAGAGAGAGATGAAAACAGGCCCATGGCTGTGTCGCATTGCAGGACTGTAGGTTCAACCCCCAGGACTGAGAGGCAGTGTACGATTGCCAACTTTATGAACTCGCCCCTGCAGCCTCTAAAACAGGCTTCCTCAAACTTGGCCCTCCAGATGTTTTGAGACTACAAATCCCATCATCCCTGACCACTGGTCCTGTTAGCTAGGGATGATGGGAGTTGTAGTCCCAAAATATCTGGACAGCCGAGTTCGGGAATGCCTGCTCTAAAAGGTGTGGCCGTTTGATCTGCAGGCGCCATTTTTTAATTTCTCTGCTGTGAAAAGCTTCGCCTGCTCTTGCCCCCTATCCTGCAGATATAACATAGAGCAAAGAGACTATGGTTTTGTTTTGAGTGAGTGTCCACCCACAATTTAATGTGAGAGGGGATGTATGGGTGGTTGCTGGCTTCAGCCACCCCTGCTGCAAGTTTCTTCCCCTCTCGAGCCACTTTCAGCATCGCTGCTAGAAAGCAATGCTAGTAGCAGCGATGCTGGACATGGCTTGAGAGGAAGAAGTATGAGGATGCAGGCCGAACGGCTCTAAGGGCAGACCCACAGCGTAGATTTAATGCCCAAAAGAATCACGGGAACTGTAGTTTGTGAAGGGAACGGCAGGCCCGTGAGGGGGAAATGATAGTTTCTCAAGAGTTGTTGGGAGGAGTCTACATGTACTGTAAGTGTGCACCGGATTTGGTTTCATTGTATGGCGCAAATCTGGGCTGAGAGTGCCTGACGTAAGCAAGCTAAAGGAATTAGGATGACAGGGAAAAGGCCTGCAGAAAGAGGGCTTGAGGCAAGGCAGGGATCAAGTGTAGGATTTGGGGAGAGGAAGATGCATGGGCTTCCACAGGAATGTTTAGCAGACTTCCTCAAACTTGGCCCTCCAGATGTTTTTGGCCTACAACTCCCATGATCCCTAGCTAGCAGGACTAGTGGTCAGGGATGACGGGAATTGTAGTCTCAAAACATCTGGAGGGCCGAGTTTGAGGAAGCCTGGTTTATGGGGTGGGGTGGAGGCAAAGCAAAACACCCAAAGTGGGGAGCAGGCTAGTTCCTGTCATACAAAAATGAGAAGAATTGCGTGTGTACATTTTATCTGAGATTCTACAAATGCTAGGAATTTAGGCTGCATACGCACGATACTCTTTTAAACACATTGGAAGCGCCTTCTTTCCTGCAAAGGCCCAGAATTCTTTGGGGGCGGGCGGGAGGGAATGTGCTTTGAGTGTGCTTTAAAGGTACAGTGTATATGCAGCCTTATGCTTTTTTTAAAAAAGCAAGCAAGCTGGGAATCTTAGGATTCTGGTTCATCTAGGGCAGGGTGGGGAGGAAAATCCCTCTCCCCGCCCCCTGCGATGGACACCCATGGGAGGGAGGTTGGGCTCAGAATGTCCCAATGGCTTCATTGCATATGGCAGGAGGGTGCTTTTTAGTATTTTACCTAAGGCTTGGAACTCAAGAGTTAGCACACATAGCAACATAACTCATTCCCTTACGTAGACCTACTGTATTTTTTGCTCTATAAGACGCACTTTTCCCTCCTAAAAAGTAAGGGGAAATGTGTGTGCGTCTTATGGAGCGAATGCAGGCTGCGCAGCTATCCCTGAAGCCAGGAGAGCAAGATGTGTGTGCACCGGTGTGTGCCAGGTGTGCACCGATCCCTCTTGCTTTTCTGGCTTCAGGGATAGCCACGCAAAGCCTCTTCAGGACAATGGGAAGAACGCTCCCCCTCCCCTGAAGAGGCTTGGCACAGCTATCCCTGAAGCCGTGGAGAGGCGCTACACAGAGAGGGAGAGAATATTTTTTTTCTTGTTCTCCTCCTCTAAAACTAGGTGCGTCTTATGGTCGGGTGCGTCTTAGAGAGCCAGTCTTAGAGAGCCAGTGGTCTCTTAGAGAGCCAGTGGTCTTAGAGAGCCAGTGTGGTGTAGTGGTTAGGAGCGGTGGACTCGTAATCTGGTGAACCGGGTTCAATTCCCCGCTCCTCCACATGCAGCTGCTGGGTGACCTTGGGCCAGTCACGCTTCTCTGAAGTCTCTCAGCCTCACTCACCTCACAGAGTGTTTGTTGTGGGAGAGGAAGGGAAAGGAGATTGTTAGCCGCTTTGAGACTCCTTAAGGTAGTGATAAAGCGGGATATCAAATCCAAACTCTTCTTATGGAGCGAAAAATACGGTATCTCTCTTTCCCTGCAGACTTTCCATCACACGAGGCCACTTCCCCAAGCTGACCGAATGTGCTCATTTCCACTACGAAGCTCTTGACTTTGGACACATCGAGGTATGTTTGCCACCCTGCTTTCTTCACAGGGCTTGGGAGATCGAGGAACTAAAGGGAAGTTCTCTTTCTGCACATAACTGTGGCATTATGGGAAGTCTTGCTATGGGAAGTATTGCTTCTTTTCTCTGGCATTCTGGGAAGTCTCGCTTATAATTTCATTCCAACAAGGAACTGTTACCTTGGGCACCTGAGTCCCTAGGGCAGGCTGGGAGGGAAATGGCAGGACAGGTGGATATTTCTGCCTCCCCACTGCTGCAAGGGGCACTTAAATTTTCTCTCCCCCCACAGCTGCAGCTTGCACCCGAGCAGAATGAGAACCTCAGTCACTTGGAGGAGGGAGAGGTGCTGTTTGATGTGCAGGTCACCTGCCAGGTAAGGGGCGGGGAAGGGGAGTCAACTGGCAAAACCTGTTGGATTTGCTTGGATTTGCTTCTTATATTCTTGAGTCGAGTTGTCAGCTGACTAGGTAACTGGCAGCTGTTCACCCATCAGTACATTATTTTATACTGCAGTTAAATAGGTTAAATTGGAAATAATTTAAAGCATAAAAAATAGTTCAGTTAAAAAAATTTAACAATTTAACTTGACAGTTTGAATTATTTCAAAGCCAATTACTTTTTAAAAGATTCCAAATTGTTTCTAATCTATCCAAGGTTTATACCTGCCCTACACACAGATCCAGTGCAGAGGTAGATACTGTTTTGTGCAAAGGGTTTCAGCATGCTAAACTGGATGGGTTGGCGTGTTAAGTAGGCATAATGCTCGTTCCCAGGGAATTCTGGGAATTGTAGCTCTTTGAGGAGGGGGTGTCAGGGGTTTCTGATAAATTCTTAATTCCCTACTGTACTACGATTACCAGGAATCATTGTAATCGACTGCTAAATTGGTATAAAACAGGTTTAGGTTTGTAGGGGAGTCAGTGTTCTGTGTGTCTTGTTTGATGATACTGAGGGAAAGGCCTAGTTTCCTTTAAATGTTAGATAATCTGGCCACCCATTCTGCAATCTGAAGTTGTGCTGTGCTTCCATTTTAATTATGTGCTGTGTGTTTTGTTTTATTTCAATTATGTAATTGTATGTAATTGTCGTTTCTTAATTGTGAACCACCCTGGGATATATTTGTATGAAGGCTGATATAAGTTCCGCCAACCTGGAATATTCCCGTTCTGTAGTCCTGCTCAGCCAACCAAATCTGCTGGACCAGGTAAAAGGCCCGGCTAGTCCAGCATCCTGTTCTCACAGATGCTTATGAGAAACTCTCAAGCAGGACCTCAGTGCAAACGCACTCTTCCCACCCTCGATTCCCTGCAGCTGGGACTCAGAGATAATTCCTCTGATGCTGGAGGGAGAACATAGTCATCGTGCATATTAGCTGTAGACAACAATACGATAATCTTTATTGTCATTGTCCCATACAGAACAACAAAATTGAAGAAATCTACATCAGACATTCAAAAATCAACAAGCCTGCTATCCCAGCTATCCCAGCCTGGTTAACCCCCTAAAAACTCTGATACCCCATAATTGAATACAATATACTAACATAGACACTACCTTACACTGCATTTAAAACCAAAATCGCATTTGGATAGGAAGTGTTTCTTAGGCGGCTAGTCCTAGTCTTTATAACCCTGTACCTGTACCTGGGTACCTGTACCCAGAAGGCAGAAGCTGAAAGAGATCATTTCCAGGGTGTGCACTATCTCTGCAGCTTTCTTATGGCACCCAATTATTGTCTTCCTTGCATTTGTCTAATCCTCTTTTACAACCATCCTCGTTTTTGGCCATCATTGCCTCCTATGGGAGCAAATTTCAGCCTTTAACTGCAAGCTATGTGAGGAAGGGCTTTTGACGCCTGTCCTGAATCTTCCAACTTTCAGCTTCATTAGATGCCCTCGAGTCTCTAGTGTTATGAGAGAGGGAGAAGAACTTTTCTCTATCTGCTTTCTCCATGCCATTCATGCACTTCTTTCATGCCACCTTTTTGTTTGTTTGTTTGTTAAGTTTTTATTTATTTATAAACTGAAACCAACACGGTTTATTGAATTGCAGCAACAAAAACCAAATAATATCACAAGAAAAAAAGAAAAATAACAAATTACACAAAAGAAAAATAAATAAAAAGAACACACCAAAAATAAATAAAACATAGTCTTCCCTCCACCCATGTTTGACCTCCTTCCCTTAATTTTCTTTTATTCGTATTGCTTTGTTTTTGTTCCACTCCCATCCATTTTCTCAATATTTCTACCCTGTAAACTTTATTCATTTCATATCAAAATATTTATCCCAGAACAATGCTTTTTCATGTGCTCCTTTACAAAATCTCATTCTTCAATTAATTTTTGATCTGTTTGTCCTCTTATCGCTGCCGTATTGCATTTTCTCTACGCCAAAACAATCCCAAACGCTGCAACCTTTCCTCACAAGGGACTTGCGGCAATTCCCTTGAGCATTTTGACTGTCCTTCTCCCAAAAGTTTTTCCAACTCTAGAATATCCTTTTTGAGGCCAGGCAACCAGAAGTGTACACAGTACAGTGGTATTTCGGGTTAAGTACTTAATTCGTTCTGGAGGTCCGTTCTTAACCTGAAACTGTTGTTAACCTGAAGCACCACTTTAGCTAATGGGGCCTCCTGCTGCCACCGCGCTGCCGCTGCACCATTTCTGTTCTCATCCTGAAGCAAAGTTCTTAACCCGAGGTACTATTTCTGGGTTAGCGGGGTCTGTAACCTGAAGCATCTGTAACCTGAAGCGTATGTAACCCGAGGTACCGCTGTATTCCAAATGCAGCCACGCCATAGAACTGTATAATGGCCTTATGATATTGGCAATTTTGTTCTCAGTTCCTTTCCTGATCCCTAGCATGGGCTTTGCCTTTTTTTTTTTTTACAACTGCCACACGCTGCATCAGCATCCCAATGCATGTCTGGGATGTTGTCTGTGTGTTTGGATTGTGCCCATGGGCCTTGGTTTCTGCTGTGTTCATTGAACTTTTGGTACAGAAACCAGGGCAGTTCCAGGTTTGAGGGGTCCCTCAGCAAACAAAGTTTGGGAGACCCATCCTTGTCAGGCTTACTTGCTGTGGCTGGCGCTGCAGGAAGTTGCAGCAATCATCACTGGCAACTGAGTCTGGGAGCCAGCATTTAAATTTCCCACAATGCCTCCTTCCTCCGTGGGTTTACCTGGCGGCAGGGGCAGGCGGCAGCAGTAGCCACAGCAATGCTCCCTTCAGAGATGGAACAGCTGGGTCTGAGAACCACCATTAAAATTTCCCACACTGCCCCTGATATAGCAGCGCTGTGAGGCATTGTGGGGAATTTTAAAAGAGTGTGCACTGGGGATATGTGGCAATTGTTTATAAAGGCCCAGGACAGGTGTTAATGATGAACCCTTCCTGGCATTGACCAAATAGCTGCTCAAGGGATGCTTTGTGGTAATGCTGGGCTTGGGTGGGCCTTGCGAATGCAATTCAAACATTCTCATTCTCTCTCTCTCTCTCTCTCTCTCTCTCTCTCTCTCACACACACACACACATAAATATTGACCCTGGGTTTGCTCAACAGCTGTCTACCTCCCTCTTCTACCTGCGTGATTTTGAATTCATAGAAGGTTAAATATATTTATTAAGCCAACTAAAGGTATTGGCCTTACATGGATTTTTGAACTTTTCTTAGGGGCCAACCTTTTGCTTGTTTGTTCCTCAGTGTTTGTCTTTCTCCCTGCAGGGAAAGAGCTGGCAGGTGCACCGCAGTTACGAGGAATTCCGCACCCTGGATGCCCACCTCCACTGCTGCATCTTCGACAGGCGCTTCTCTCAGCTTCCCGAATTGCCGCCCCTCAGCCACATGCGGGCCCACCCTGAGGTGACTGTCTGTCAGACATTTTGAGGGGTGCGTGGGGTGTGTTTTGAGGAGGGTGTGACTATCCCCTTCCCTAAACAGAGAATTCCAAGTACTGACTAGTATATAAGTTGTCCAGGGAATTCACACTTCCTATGGAGACTGGACATCTTTCTCAATCTTAGTCTACCCTGACTTACAGGCCTGGCCTAAGACATTTTGCTGCCTGAGGCGAAGAGCAAGGTGGTCACTCTCCCTGATAGCACAGTTGGTAGAGCATGCGACTCTTAATCTCAGGGTTGTGGGTTTGAGCCCCATGTTGGGCAAAAGATTCCTGCATTGCAGGAGGTTGGATAGATAATAATAATAATAATAATAATAATTTATTTATACCCCACCCATCTGGCTGGGCTTCCCCAGCCACTCTGGGTGGCTTCCAAAAAAATATTAAAATACTGTAATGCATCAAACATTAAAAACTTCCCTAAACAGGGCTGCCTACAGATGTCTTCTAAAAGTCTGGTAGTTGTTGTTCTCTTTGACATCTGGTGGGAGGGCGTTCCACAGGGAGGGCGCCACTACCGAGAAGGCCCTCTGCCTGGTTCCCTGTAACTTGGCTTATCGCAGTGAGGGAACCGCCAGAAGGCCCTCGGTGCTGGACCTCAGTGTCCAGGCAGAACGATGGGGGTGGAGATACTCCTTCAGATATACTGGACCGAGGCCGTTTAGGGCTTTAAAGGTCAGCACCAACACTTTGAATTGTGCTTGGAAACGTACTGGGAGCCAATGTAGGTCTTTCAAGACCGGTGTTATATGGTCTCGGCGGCTGCTCCCAGTCACCAGTCTAGCTGCCGCATTCTGGATTAGTTGTAGTTTCCGGGTCACCTTCAAAGGTAGCCCCACGTAGAGCGCATTGCAGTAGTCCAAGCGGGAGATAACCAGAGCATGCACCACTCTGATGATAACCAGAGCATGCACCAAGATGATCCTTGTGGCCTCTTCCAAGTGGTTAGAGTGTTTCACAGGGCCTGGGAAACCAGGGGTCAAATCCCCACTCAGCCATGAAGCTCACTGGGTGATCTTGGACCAGCTACTGCCTCTTGGGCTAACCTTCCTTGCAAGGTTGTTGTGAGAATAAAATTGTGAAGCGCATTCCACCTTGGTATGGAAATACAGTGGAACCTTGGTTCACAAATGGCTTACTTGCCAAACAAATCGGCTCCTGAATGCTGCAAACCTGGAAGTAAGTGTTCCGCTTTGCGAAGATTTTTCAGAAGCTGAATGTCCAACTCGGCTTCCGCTTGAGTGCAGGAAGCTCCTACAGCCAATCGGAAGCCTTGGTTTTCAAACGGTTTCGAGAGTCGAATGGACTCCTGGAATGGATTAAGTTTGAGAACCAAGGTATCACTGTAAATGTAATAACAAATAATGAAATTAAATGCTATCCGATACCGAGGGCTACCAGTCTTTTAATTCCAAGAAACTACCCCCACCATACCTAATAGGTGGGGAACCTGCTGCAAGTTACTGTGTCATAACCACTCTGCACATGCTCAGAGACAGCATTGCCAAAGACTTCCATACTTTGGTGCTTCCTAAGTGCCCATCACCATACCATCTCTTCTCAAGTAGTTGTCGGCTTCCGTTGACACTGAATCAGGGAGCTGATATGCCAGTGACACCTTATGTTTTCTCTCTCCTTTGCCAGCTGCTGGTGCCCATGCTTTCACAGTACCTGGAGAAGCTGTCAGCCATTGTGGACAGCAACATCAACTGTGGACCAGTCCTCACCTGGATGGAGGTGAGGAACAGTGAGGGTACCTGTGGTGGTGGATGATGCAGCTATATCATTTGCAAGCTGAAATATGCTTTGTGTATTTCTTTTAATTTCTCATATAGGATCTGATGAAGCACTGTGCAATATAATTGTGTGTGTGTTTTAAGCAGATAAATACAAGTCTTAAACAATATATGTGAAATGCCTGAGACATTTGGAATGTTCTGCAGAAAAGTTAAGTAGGTAATATTACTACACAGAGTAAACCACTGACGCTGCCAGGGTGCTAGAAATGTTAATCTTGCTTTCAAGGGCCCACAGATACCCATTTCTGCCTGTTGTGGAAATCTAGCAGAAAATGAGCTGGAAGCCCCATGTGAATGGTGTGACCTGGTTACTGCATGCTGGGATTAGGGATGTAAGGAGGTAACGATTTTCATCCAGTCAAGGGGCCGTCACAATCAGTGCTGTTTCTGTTCCGCTACAGTTGAACTTCCGCTAAAACCTACGCTATTCATCTTGCTATCCGCTGCGGCTGAAACGTGCGTAATTAAATAAAGCAATTGATTTCAGCGGAAGGGAAATGACAAAAACATTTCAGCAAATAGTATAACAATTTACATAACATTTGCAGACTAGAAGCACAACAGTACAGTACTGAATGCTGCTTGCATTTGCTCGTGTGATTTCTGTTCCTGACCTCTGACGAACATGCAAAGCGTGGGATTTTTTGCTCTTATTTCAGTTTCTGATGGCATTCTCTAACACCTGTATCTCTGAATGACACCCACAGAACATTCCAAGGCTTCACCCACTTCACTTGTATTCTCCCCCTCCCCTTATATTTCAGATTGATAACCATGGCAACCGACTGCTGGTCAATGAGGAAGCTTCTATCAATGTTCCTGCCATTGCAGCTGCCCATGTGGTAAAACGCTACACGGCGCAGGCATCCGATGAGCTCTCCTTTGAGGTGAGCCCTACTTTGTAGAGCATGTTACTTCTGGGTGGCTTTTATCTTGTGGGTAGACCTGCAATGCAATCTCTTTTCAATTTCTCTACCCAGCTAGGGTGCTGCTTGGGAGCACAGAGAATTCATCTCCCCCAGGGAAGATTTATTAAAACTGATTTTTTTGGGAGGTGGGATAAACCATGACAGCTTCCAGGTATACAACAGTCACAGACAACCTAGCATGGGTTGTGTTCAGCTGCCTCAGAATAGACTCACTGAAATCAGTGGGATTAAGTTCATCATCTCCATTAATTTCAGTGGGCCTACCCTGACTAACGTTGGCTTCCATGCCATGAATTTAAAACCAGAAAGAAACAATAATCAACAAAACAGCTGTCTTTTTATTTCCTAAAAATATTTACAGCCCCCCCCCTCACTGTGATTTCCAAATCTTTGAAGAACTCTTTTCACATTGGCTTGTCTGCCAAGGAACACTCCGTATCTGCGATGGAGTCTCTTGCACACTGCAAAGGATTCTGGGGCAAAACCTTGGGTGCCATCTTGTTTCCTCTACCTTGCTAGGGCCTCACTGTCATCTTGTGTGAACCAAGTGCACCTCAGGGCATGCCTAGGACCCATCTGTGTCAGCACATTCCAAGGAATGTCCTGTTGTGGTGGGGGATAACTTTTTCTCACCAATCTTCTGAGGAACTTCAGGGATTCCCTGGGGACAAACATCAGCTGCTGTTTGTCAGCATAGATCAATTCTGCATGTTTTCTCTTTGTTTCACAAATGGGATTCAGTGGGACTTTCTTCTGGGTAGACATGTATAAAAGATTGATAAAATGTGATAATATATATGAGGTACTTCAGAAAAAGCACAATTTAAAATGTAACTACTAAAGGTTGTGTCCAGTGTGAGTCCTACTCAGCTCATTGAAATTAATGGACATGGTGAACTTAGGTCCATTAATTCCAGTGGGTCTATTCTAAGTAGAACTTAGTTGGAGGCAACCCTACATATATTAATCACCTTCATATGAAGTACACACCTTTGTAACCCAGACTCTGGCAGACTGAAACAAGTCCCGTAGAGACTCTGTAGTCAGAGTAGACCTACCAAAATAATTGAGTCTACTCTGAGGTACTTAAATCTAGTAGATTCAGTGGATCTGCTTTTAAGCACGGTTAACATTGGAGATTGCCCACCATGGTCCATGCACTAACATAGGATTGTTGTTGTTTTGTTAATTTGTTTGGCACAGGTTGGAGACATCATCTCTGTGATTGATATGCCCCCCAAGGAGGACAGGAGCTGGTGGCGGGGAAAGCATGGATTCCAGGTTGGGATTCAGGAAGGAAGACACATTGCATTAGGAGAGATATGTTGAAGCATAGGATCAGCACTATGTCTTAGATGGCCACATTGTATTAAAGAGAAATTTGGATGGGTGTGTGGGAGTGAATGAAAGTGTGTGTGTGTGTGTGTGTGTGTGTGTGTGTGTGACTGGACAAGGGTATGAGTGTGTGCCTGTGTGTGGTGGCTTAGGCCCCACCCATTTTTTTCTTGGCTTGCACCCCGACTGGGGTGGAGATGTCCCCCACCTTGATTTAAACAAGTGTGCTGAAATAGTGGCAGGCTTTCAGAGAATTGGACTCCAGCTCCCATCAGCCCTAGCCAGCATGGCCAGCGATCAGGGATGATGGGAGCTGTAGTCCAGCAACATCTGGTGTATCATAGTGCCACTCTCCTGTCTTTCTGAAGAGATGTCATTTGGGTATATGTAGGCTGCAATGTATCAGCTGACGAGCTTTTTCTGGCACCGGTTCACTGTTAATTTTCTGCTCAGCTCCATTTTATCAGCACGCCCATTTTTTTTTAAAAAAAACTTATATTTTAGTTTGCTCCAAAATGCCCTTTCACGAATTTTCTTAAAATATCTGCACAATTCTGCTTTTAAAAAAAAAAAAAAAAACACCCAGATATTCCTTTCCAAACAAATACAAATGCCTTTTCGGTCAGTATCATTTTAGCACCCTGTTAATTCGGCAGAGAGGCCTCTTGCAATTTGGCTTGAGAGAAACCTGACTCTCAGTAGCTTGCTTCAGTCAGCCCCACTCCCTCCATCACAATTCCAGGCACCTAGTGTGGCAAGTGCATGAATTTAGCCATCGTCACCTGTCTTGACAGTTTTATGCCTATACTGGTTAATCCATAACCAGTATAGATGAATTGATTGCATCAGAATTTTTGTTAATGGCCTGTTTGCCGCATTCACTTGTGGTGGGCATAAATAACTGAGGTAGGGTTTAACAAGTTCCTAAGCCAGGGGAGGGACGCGGGTGGCGCTGTGGGTAAAACCTCAGCACCTAGGGCTTGCTGATCGCATGGTCGGCGGTTCGAATCCCCGTGGTGGGGTGAGCTCCCGTCTTTCGGTCCCAGCTCCTGCCCACCTAGCGGTTCGAAAGCACTCCTAAAGTGCAAGTAGATAAATAGGTACTGCTTTCTAGCGGGAAGGTAAACAGCCTTTCCGTGTGCTGCGCTGGTGCCGGCTCGCCAGAGCAGCCTCGTCACGCTGGCCACGTGACCCGGAAGTGTCTCCGGACAGTGCTGGCCCCTGGCCTCTTAAGTGAGATGGGCTCACAACCCTAGAGTCGGACATGACTGGCCCGTACGGGCAGGGGTACCTTTACCTTTAAGCCAGGGGAAGGCCTGGTTGTTTTTCTTAAGGAGGCATATTTTGCTTTGTCAGTACGTTGAACTCTTCCTTGCCTGCCTCTTTTCCAGGTGGGGTTCTTCCCCAGTGAGTGTGTGGAGCTGTTCTCAGAGCGCCCCAGTCCAGGACTCAAAACAGGTGAGCACATCCTCCTTGACTTGCTGTGTTCTACCACATATGCTGATTCTCCTAGATTCCGCTTACTGCAGAAACATAATGATCCCTATTTCCAGCAAATACATTTTCAGTCACTTCAGATATTTATTGGTATTACTGGAAACAACCCTGGAGCACTTGTGTCTTTCTGTGTGCAGGAGGGTAACGCTGTGCTCTTTCAGATGCCTAGCTCTTTCACGACACCTAAAATTAGCCGCCCGAGGCGACTGCCTCACTGTGCCTAATGTTAGGACCGGCTCTGCACAAATGTTCCAGAAGCTGTGCACGTGTTCTGATTCTCCAGTCTAGCTCTCCTTTTTATTGTACCAGAGCTAAGGGGGTTGTATAATTTTTCCTGTCATGGAAATGCTGTGACATGTTAGGCTAAGCAAAAGCAACTGGCCCAGGGCCACGTAGGCAGCTGCATGGCCTGGGGATTTGAACCTGGGTCTCCACAATCTAAGACCAACATCCATCACACTGACTATCCAAATCAATCAAACTATGCAAGTGCAAAAATGGGCATAAATTATGCAAAACAAATGCAAATTTGTTTAATTTGCATAACGTATCTGGGTTACAGTCGTAAGTTGTTTGGAACACTTGGCTGACAAGAGCTGGGCAGTGTGTGTCTATAGCAGCCTTTATTGATTTGCTGCCCTGAAGGTGTTTTGGACTACAACTCCCATCATCCTCAGCCAACTGATCGCCCCATATGTTGATTCACTATTTTTTGCCCGTTATCTTTTAATATGCACAATTTGGTACACAATTTTACCTTGTATGTACATTTTTGCAAGCAATTTCTGCTTAACACAGTGGTTCTCAAAGGGTGTGGCAGGAGAGGGTGGCAAATGTGGCAGGAAGATTCGAGGTCAATCAAAGAAGCATTGAAACATTTCAGTTTAGTATAGTATAGTATCTTTTTTTATTTTTAGAATATGGATAGATACCTTTTCAAAATGAGAGCAAGAACATCAAGTGGTAAAAGAGAACAATCCTAGTTGTGATCTATTTGTTTTCCAATGCATTTCCTATCAATAAAAAAATTAGTGTGCTGCAAGCAAAGTTTTAGGTGTGGCCTAGAGAAAAAGAGTTTGAGAACCTTTAGCAGAATGCCGTTTGTATACTGTTTTCACAAATGTATGCACTTCTGGACATTGTTTGGTTGGAGAACCACATCACAAAATTTGGAGAAGTGTGGATTTCGACGGAGGTTTCGGTTCGTGTTTGGGGAGCGTGAATTTAATGCGGACCAAACAAATTTATCCCCCATTCCTAGTCTGGTGTTAACTGTTTGTGTCCTTCTGCTTCTTCTTATTTCTTATTTCCATTCATGGATGGTTTACTATCCAAAGATCTCAAAGCAGTTTATAGTAGATAAAATTACATAAATAATAAATGATGTCAAATGATTTACATAAAAATAAAGCATACACATAAATGATATCAATACACATCAAGTCAGAGAATACTACGAGGCAGTATAATGTAAACTTTTGACCAATATAACACATATTATTCATAAACACTCACCCAATTTCACCTGCCATCTATTTCACACAGCCACTGCAACCATTGACTTCCTCAACCATGATCTCTATCAACCATCATTTCTCAGCAGTTAGACTCCCCTCGCCTTCATTTCCTGTGTTAGCTTTCCCCATTAGGATGTGAGTTGGGTTACTGTGTGAAGCTTTCAAAAATAAGAGGCAATTCATTTTATTTTATACCGAGTTTTTTTGGTGGGCATAGAAATCTATCAGGGCAGCTCTCAAAAGTAGGCCGCAGCCGAGAAATGGCACAGCAGACGATGGCGAGTAGCCCTGGCGAAGACATTGACTCACAAGTTAAGAGTGCTAAAGGGATGGGAAATGCCCCAGGCGACTAAATGACAAGGACTGGAAGTGGGGGAGAGGGGAGGTTTATGGCAGCCATTTTGTGTGTCCAAAAAAATTACTTCATCTTCCCCTCATGCCCTTGTGCTGTTCTGATTTGATGTGTTTGCTTCAGGCATTGTGGTGGTTTGAAAAGAGATGGCATTTATGTAAGATTGTCACCAGCCCTAGAAAATAACTCTGTTTGAATGAGGTGAAGTGTGGGACAGCAACTTATGCCAGTAGCTTTGAGCTACCGAATTCTTAATCTTTCCTGGCCTTTCATGCTCTGTGTGTCTTCCTGTGCAGATGCAGAAGGGATGAGCTGTGGCATCCCCGGGCCCCCAGGCCTCCTCTCTCCAACCTCAGGTGAGACATGGCCCAATGTGGCCTGCTCAGCACCCCCTAAGCTAGCCTTCTTGCCCCTGGTGTCCTTCTGCCAATGTCCAGTGTCCAGTCTGTTAAATTCTGGATGTGGAATCAGAAGAAGGCACCATCTTGTTCTTCACCTCAGGCAGCTGAACATCTTGGACCAACCCAGACTTAAGCATAAAGTAAAGGTAAAGGGACCCCTGACCATTAGGTCCAGTCGTGGCCGACTCTGGGGTTGCAGCGCTCATCTCGCTTTATTGGCCGAGGGAGCCGGCGTACAGCTTCTGGGTCATGTGGCCCCCATGACTAAGCCGCTTCTGGCGAACCAGAGCAGCGCATGGAAACGCTGTTTACCTTCCCGCCGGAGCGGTACCTATTTATCTACTTGCACTTTGACATGCTTTCGAACTGCTAGGTGGGCAGGAGCTGGGACCAAACAACGGGAGCTCACCCCGTCGCGGGGATTCGAACCGCCGACCTTCTGATCGGCAAGTCCTAGGCTCTGTGGTTTAACCCACAGCGCCACCCGCGTCCCTTAGACTTAAGCATGCATTACATTAAATTCATTCTTGAATCTGCACGCATGGATGTGTTTTAAAAAGCAACTTTAGGAGACCCCAGTCTGGGCTGAGATCATGGCATAAGTGGCTGTGTGCTTCAGCTCCCCCCGTGTTCTGTGTTCTTGATGAAAGTCCTCGCCAAGATTGCCCTCTCTCCTGGAAGAAAAAGTACTGTGGCAAATGGGGGGGGGGGGGCTGTGGTTCTCTAGATGGTGTTTTGCCGCAACTCCCAGCATCCCTGACTATTGGCCATGCTGGCTGGGGGCTGATGGGAGCCCATAGTCCAGCAGCACCCGGTGGGCTCTCTGGCGGTGTATTGGCTGCAATACCATCTTCCTGCAGCAAGCAGCAGCTTGGGGAGGGTGATTTTCTTTGGGATTATCACACGTTTGCCATCCCTGCATGGAAGTAGCATCTTTGCTGTCTTCTTGGGCGTTATGATGCAGCCCGCATGCAGTGGCTGTCCTGCAGTGGCTTGGAGAAGGGCCTCAACCCTCTCTCTTTCATTCTGTTCCAGTGTCCAAGAAGCATGGCAAGCTCATTGGGTTCCTTCGCACCTTTATGAAGTCCAGGCCCAGCAAGCAGCGCCTGAAGCAGCGTGGGATCCTCCGAGAGAGGGTGTTTGGCTGCGATTTGGGCGAACACCTCAAGAACTCAGGCAATGATGGTAATTTTGCCCACAGATCCTTCCTGTTACCGATAGTGCGGCCTCATCTGCTAGTAGGAAAACAACACACAGTCCATTTTATCTCAGCAACAACAACCCTGTCAGGTTGGTTAGGCTAAGAGAGAGTGAATGGTACAAGATCACCCAATGAGCTTCATGGCTAAATGGTGATTGAACTGTTGTCTGTCAGGCGTTAGTCCAACACTCTAACTGCCACACCACATTTGGCTCTCCTCTGCAGCGTTGGAAGGGGTGGAAGTGGCCTGTATGGCTGAGGGTTCTCCTCAAACTGCGTCAGGACTCCTGGTTTGATTTCTGTCCCTAGTATGTCCACCAACTGAAGAGCATTCTGTGGGATGGGTTTTAATGGGCAGGAGAGGATATATGAATTGCCATTTACCCTTCCAGGTGCCCACATGTGTGGGCTGAACAGAGCTAAGAGGAGAGGAAATGACATCACACAGAGCCCTCTCTAGCTATTGTATTTCTATGGTCTGAGTATCTGCCCACCCATACAGTTCTGTGGACTTAGCCCCTTCTCATGCTAACTAGCAAAAATATGCATCTGTTAGGTTTGGCTGCTAATCTTTCTTCACTAGAGATGTGCTCAGATCAATCATGCTGCCAACATTAAAAGATTTTTTTGCAGCTTTGTGGCTTACCACTTTCATTTCCCTGGTCCTTTATGAGTGCTTGTGGCCAGAGCTCAACCTCTATGAGAAAAAATAAAATAAACCAATTTAACATGTTGACCCACGGGGACAACTAGCCATCGCACTGGCCCTACCTTATATGATTGTTTTAAAGATGATTGTTATATTATATTGTTATTAGATATGCTCTTTGTTATGCCAGTCCCCCAGGTACTACGGTCCTGCTCTGATTTCATCGAGAAGCATGGCATTGTGGATGGCATCTACCGTCTCTCTGGAGTCTCCTCCAACATCCAACGGTTGCGGTGAGCCCTGGTCAGGAGGAGCAGGGGTTGTGGGCCGGGTCCTCGTTTAGCACAGAAAGTCTATAGGCAAAGGTGGGGTTTAACAACCAAATTAGACGGGATATGATGGCCACATCTATCTTACTCCCAAATGAAGGAGGGTCTATCCTGTACATGAAAAGGAGCATGTGGTGGTGGTGGTGGAGGAGGAGGAGGAGGAGGAGGAGGAGGAAGGAAGTGAACCCTGTGCCTTGTGGCACAGGAGCCGAGACTGGTAGTTCGGGCAAAGTTCCGCCCCAAACAGGAAGTGGTTCACCACATGGGACAGCTGCATACAAGAGGGACAGGGAAATATTTCTCAGCCTGGTGTCTGTAGCGCCTCATAGGCAACTTTCCATGGACTTTAGGTCAGTGGTGGGCAGGGCAAGTTGCGAAAGTGGGCGGAGCAAACCTTTGCAGATTAGGCTGCATTCCAGCCATGCAAAAGTCTGCTTCCTATGCACACACACCTTTCTCCATCCAGGAAAGCAATTGTTACCACAGCTCAAGGATACATTCCAACCATAAAGAGACCCAGAGGCCCTGGGTCTCTCATCGCTGGCATTTAGGCAAGGGTTCCCAGTTCTAGCCTTGCTCAGCCTTGCCACAGTGACCCATCAATTTATGATGTTTACTCCTAGCGCTTTATGTGCTGCTTGTAATATTTCATTCATATATATATATATATATATATGTGTGTGTGTGTGTGTGTGTGTGTAATTACCATTCTCAGAATTTGACATTTTCCATATGATTTCTTTTTGAGGTTCCTAGTTGTTTTACTCACACATTCTGTACAGAGATACTTATTTAATCCCACTACTTAATATATGGAATTCTTATTGATCAGTAGCAGCAGTAGTAGCATCGTTAGGTGTTTTGAATGCGGGATTTTAATTGTCTTGCATTGATTCCTTTCTGTTGGGATTTCTGAATGGCTGGAAGATTTCGGTTGAAATAGAAATTAAATAAATCAGTGCCACGATCTGGGTTTTGGAACTGGGAGAAAAGTTTAAAGCAACAGAGAGCATTGTGGTAAGGCGAGGAACAAAGGTTTCAGTCCTCTCCCCTACCCGCTTCTTTTCATGTATAGAATAGAGTCACCCCTTTGGGCAGACATGCAGAAAGCTGCCTCGTCACATCATGTTTGGCCCTAAGTAGGCCAAGCGAAAGGTTGCCTTGCTGTGGGTCACTGTGCAATTTGTACTGCTTTGTGTAATTTCTCTCTTCCCGCGGCTTCCTATCTCCTCCAGGCACGAGTTTGACAGTGAGCGAGTGCCCGAGCTCTCCAGGGACGTCTACTTACAAGACATCCACTCTGTCAGCTCTCTTTGCAAGCTGTACTTCCGGGAGTTGCCAAACCCGCTGCTCACCTACCAACTCTACAACAAGTTTGCTGTGAGTCTTGCAGACCACCGGGAGAAGTCTCCCACCCACTCAGCTTTCGGTCACTGCTGCCGCCTCTACCATTCCTCAGCTACCCCTTTAAGAAATCATAGAGTTGGAGTGGTTTATGTAGACCGTCTAATCTAACCCCTGCTCAATGCTGGAAATCCAGAGAGCTAGAAATTCAGAACTAGAGTGTCCACAACAGACAGCTGCACAGCCACTGTTCTGAATATATTTGAGATAGCTACCACCCATTCTCGTTACAAGGTAGCAGAATGAAATCCAAGGTGGGTGCAGGCAGGCTTTGGACCACATCTGAAATGACCTTGCCTCTCATATGCATCCGCCACACCACAGTTGGGAGGGGAGTCCAGAGCAGGACTCCGAGCTGCCTGTGTACATCATTCTGTTTATAAGTTGCTTTGAGCGATGTAGTCCTCATGGCAGTGCATGAACATACAGTGGTACCTCGGGTTACAGACGCTTCAGGTTACATACACTTCAGGTTACAGACTCCGCTAACCCAGAAATAGTACCTCGGGTTAAGAACTTTGCTTCAGGATAAGAACAGTAATCGTGGGGTGGTGGCACGGCGGCAGCGGGAGGCCCCATTAGCTAAAGTGGTGCTTCAGGTTAAGAACAGTTTCAGGTTAAGAACAGTCCTCTGGAACGAATTAAGTACTTAACCAGAGGTACCACTGTACAGCGGAACCTCAGTTTTCGAATGCAATCTGTTCCAGAAGACGGTTCGACTTCTGAAATGTTTGAAAACTGAAGCCTGCATTTCCAGAAGCATTTACGTCCGGAAAACTCAATAGGGAAGCTGCGTGGCACGTTCAGCTTCCGAAAAGTGTTCAAAAACGGAAGCATTTACTTCCAGGTTTTCAGCGTTCAAAAGCCAAAACCTTCGACTTCTGAGACGCTCGAAAACTGAGGTTCCACTGTACTAGAAACAGTAAAGTGAGCACAACTTGTGCCAATGACCCCTCCCCTTTTCCCTGCCAGATCCATCACCTGCCCTGTGTGCCAGGTGAGTTTCTGTGGGCGTCCCAGTGTCTCAGAAACGCCAGCTGTTGTGTGCTCAAACTGTCAAGTGAGAGTTGGCCGTGCCGACTCTGTGTGCGTGTTCCCAGGGCTAAACAATAAAAATTGGATTCGTAGAACAAAAGAGGAAGAAGAGGGGGTGGAGCAGTGGAGTACAATTACATCGCCCGCCAACGTTGATGCCTACACAATAATACGTGCAGCAATTTCTCCCGACTTCCTTATTCTTTTGAGTCACCTGCTCTTCGTGGTGGGCTATTTCAGGCTTGGTTAAGCCTGCCTCCCCCTTCCTCCCCCCCCTTCCTTTTAAATTCCTTTTGGCTTGTATTTGTGATACTTTGAGGGACAACATCCAGGCATGGCTAGTGATAAATATGAGCTGGGGTCTTCAGAGGCATGACTTCACCTTCTCAGTCAATTGAAAGCTGGAGCAGAAGGGATTGGTGGTGTCGCTAAGCCCACCCCAGGGGTGTTTCAGCCCCCTTTCCTGAATTCTCAGCTTTCATTTTAATAACGACAAGCAAGGCTTTCCCCTGTTACTTGGGGAAAATATAAGGAAAAACATGCATGCAGTAATCTGCTTAGTTGCCCGCTGTGAAGTAAACTTGTTCCCACCATCCAGTGTTCTGGCCAAAGAGTGCAGAAGCACTTGAATCATGGACAACTGCTAGGTCCTTCTTTTTAAAGGTTGTTTCTGTAGATCTCGGAAGTGATTTACAGCAGGTAAACATATATAAATATACACACACACAGAGAATAAGTGCAATAAAAACATTGCAAAATTATTACCATTAAAATAGGTTAACTACATAAACAGTATCCATGTTCATAATTACAATGAAATGAGAATGGAAGGTTTTGTTCCCCACGCTCCAAAATCTGCTTTGTAATTCATTTCTTTTTCCATATCACCCTGCTCTGTTTTGCTCCTGTTCATGGCCTTTCAGCAGCCTCCACACTTTCCCCTCCCTCTCCAAAAAAGATTGTTCTGTTTACTCTTCAAATACGCAAGGGCTGTCACATTGAAGAGGGCAAAGATTTCTTTTATGTTGCCCCAGAGGGCAAGTCTTAACCGCACATGCTTAAGTCATAGCTGACAACGTTTCCCTTTTTTAAAGGGAAATTCCCTTATTCCGAATAGGATTCCTTGCAAGAAAAGGGAAAAGTTGACAGCTATAGCTTAAGTGGTAGGAGGGTCGATTTTGGTCAAATACTAGAGGAAACATTTTGATCTGGGTTGGGAAAGCTTTACAACTTGCTGGGCCAGGGTCCTTATCAGGGCTGCCCACCTATCAATCACCTGACGCCATAACAGTGTTAGTTGTAAGACAAGTAAAAGCATTCCAAGTGGAAGAGAAAATTAGGAATTTAGTAAAAGAGGTGGCTTCCTCAAAACAAAATACCTTAATTGTCAAAGGCCAGAGTAAAGAGGTGCATTTTTAAGGTTGTGAATTCCCCTGTGATCCCCTGTGATTTTTGGATGGAGGACGGCATGCAAATTTAATAAATAATGATGTTCAGAATATGGCAGAGGCTGTGCAGTGAAGCTGCCAGGTGCGCCTCTTTGGGGAGGGAGTTCCACAATTTAGGGCTTGCCGCAGAGAATGCTCTCTCCTAGACCACCATTCCCCACATTTCCCAAGGTGGTGGAACCACCCAGAGGGTCCCCTCTGCTGATCTTAACACGCGAGAGGCTCAGTAGGGATAGAGGTGGTCTTTCAGAGGGCTTTTGTCATTTAGGGTTTCAAAAACTAATGTGAACACCTTGAATCGAGCCTGGAAGCAAACTCTCCCAGTCCTTCTCCACAGGGCTGTGCACTGGATCCGGTTGGACCCCAAACCGATATAGGTCAGCCCTGGATGGGATCAGGGCTGGTCCAAATCACCAGCTTAGAGGGAGCTGTGCACAGCCCTACCGTTCCACAAGAGGCCTGGTGACCACACTGACTCCTTCCCTCTGCTTTCCCCCTGCCCTGTCGTCGCAGGAGGCCGTGTCTGTTTCTGGGAACGAGGATCGCTTGGTGCGAGTGCACGACGTCATCCAGCAGCTACCCCCACCGCACTATAGGTAGGCACTGCTTGAGGCGCGAACACGGTGCCCGAGGTGGCTCTCCCAGCGAGGGGAGGGAGGGTGAATGCAAGAGCCCTTGCAAGGGGGGCGGTGGAATGGTGTTGAGGGCGGGGTTTGCGAGGGGGCCGGCGGTCCATCAAAGCGGACTGTCTAGCTGTAGCAGCTTCTGCTCTGTCCCAACAGGACCCTGGAATTCCTGCTGCGGCACCTGGCCCGCATGGCTATGCACAGTCAAAACACCAGCATGCATATCCGCAACCTAGCCATCGTTTGGGCACCCAACCTGCTGCGGTGAGACGCCCAGATCAATGGCCCTGCACTGGCACCCCCCACCCCAACCTGCCCCGTGCCTTCCCTGTGTTGCCACGATGCTCCTCTGACTTGCACCTTCTCAAGCTCTTGCCTGCAGCGCTCTTTGAATCCTCTCTCCATGCTACCCGCAGCATTTCCCCTGTACTAACACCAGCCCTTACCCATAACTCTCTGGGGCATGAAGTCGACCCTTCCTGCACTCAGCCCTGAGGGATAAGAATCTACAGCTCTTAAGCACCTCTCGACTTCCCCCATTTCGTCCCCAGCATTTTCTGGCACTCTGGCTCAGGCCTCAGACTGTGTGAGATTGGTGGTGTGTGTGTGTGAATCTTAGAATTAAAGAGCTGGAAGGGACCTGGGGAGCTCTCTAGTCTCCCTCCCTGCAGTGCAGGAATCTTTTGCCCAATGTGGGGATCGAACCCACAGCCTTGAGAGGAAGAGTCTCATGTTCTGCCTACGGAGCTATGACTCAGGGCTAAGGGGTGTGTGTGTAAGAAGGAGGTATGTTTTGGCCTTGCCCACCACCTGACTGGGCTCCCCAACCCTTTCCCCCCAGGGAATGTGATTGTCAGGTTCCCTACCCCTACCTTCAAGGGATTGTTGTGGGGCCCTACCCAGGCATTCCTGTTTAGGGCCTCTAGCTCAGCATTTCCCAACCTTGGGCCTCCAGCTGTTTTTGGACTACAACTCCCATAATCCTCAGCTAGCAAGACCAGTGGTCAGGGATGATGGGAATTGTAGTTCGAAAACAGCTGGAGGCCCAAGGTTGTGAAACACTGCTCTAGCTCAAAGATGGCTAGCGGGCAGGCTGTACCAGTCCCCCCATGACTCTCCTCCCTTGCAAAAAAAACAAAATGTTGTCATCCTTTTCACTGTTCCTGTGGGTCCCTGCTGTGATGCCATCATGCCCAAAGGGCTTTTTTTTGATGGTGCCTCAAGGCCTACCTACTTCCCACCATACTTGGGTACGATGGCACCCTGTGCAAGGCCAACATTTGGCGCCCTCCCCCCCCAGCCCCAGTCCTCACGCTGTCTTCCCAAAGGCAGGTAAGGTGGCCCCTGGCCTTGGGAAGGAGACGTGAGGGCTCTGGCAGGGTCCTAGAGCTTTCCACGTCTTTCCGAAAGCTGGGAAAGAGCTAAGTAGGCCTTGGGAAGGAGATGGGAGGACTCTAGGACCATGTCAGAGCCTCATGCCTCCTTCCCAAAGCCCAGCGCCTTACTTAGCGGGCTTTGAGACAGCACCCTCCTCGGCTCAGCACTTAGTGAGTGTGCACTGTTAATCTATCCCTGCACCCCCTCTGGCCTTCAGAGAGTTGACCAATGCAGGCCTCGGCCTGGAAATGATTAACCATCCTTGCTTGAGAGCTTCATCCAATACTCCACCTGAGCTTTTACTAGCATTTATTCTACCTTCCCCTCTAGCTCCTGATCTTGACACCTCCCCATCACTTACCCACAGTTCCCTGGGGTTTCCCTCCAACACCAGCCTCCTCCTCCTCATGGGGCCCTTTCCACATTCCACATGCGCTTCTCTCATGCTGCTTTGTGGGTCTGGCCCTTCTCAGTCATGTTACTGAGGGACTGTGCCCTCTGGGTTTTCAGCGATTATATTCTGGGTCTCTGAGCACGTGCTTGTCCCCTCCCCAGGCCCATCTTACAGGAAAACGCGGCTCTCTAGTAATCCCTCCTCCTCGCTGCTTTTTACGGCAGGTCGATGGCTCTGGAGGTTGTCGCACAGTGCGGTGCCGATGCCTTCCAGGAAGTCCGAGTCCAGTCCCTCGTGGTCGAATTCCTCCTCAACAACGTTCAGGTGCTCTTCAGCGACACTTTCACCTCCGTCGGCAAGGACAGCGCAGGTAGCTCGCGCCAAAGGGGACTTTTTTCTGAGGCTGCTATGAAATCTGTTAAGAAATCCCTCTGCCTCATTGTCACAGAATTGCTTGCTTGCTCCAGAATTCTTGAAGGAAACCAGGACAGTTCAGGTTGCTTGAATTTGTACGGTCAATGGAGCCCTGTTCACCTCGCCACTGTTCTCCAATCTACTCCCAAGCAAGGAGCTGTCACCGGTTTTCCTTGATGAAGAGGCCCCGTCCGCACCAGACATTTAAAGCACTTTCATACCACTTTAAACAGTCATGGCTTCCCCCAAAGAATCCTGGGAGCTATAGTTCATTAGGGCTTAGGAGACCCCTTGCAGAACCACAATTTCCAGAGCTTCCCAGGAAGAGGGATTGATGGTTAAACAACCCTGGGAATTCAATCCCTAGGGCTGGGAGAGACTCCTGCCTAGAACTTTGAAGAGTGGCTGCCAGTCTGTGTAGACAAAACTGAGCTAGATGGACCAGTGATGTGTCTTATAGGGCAAGGTCCTATGTTCTTTCTTATGGGGCCTCCCTAGTTTGCAGGGTATAATTCATCTGGTTGTTGGTAGAAGTGAAATTAAGTAGAAATGAACGGATACAGAGGGCATTCTGGGAAGTTCTGGGTTGAAAACTGCTTCTGCTTTCACCACTGAGCTTAGAGTTATGGGATGATATGGGATGTTACTGGGATTCTTGAAAGCATTTCGTTCTTGTTCACCATGAGGTCTGGCATAACATTGTGGGAGGTCCAATTTGAGCATTTCATTATATTCAAGGGTGCAAAAATTGAGGATCTGAATATATATATGGGCTGGCTTCTGGCACCAGGGTTACTAAAGAGGGCCAGCTCCTTAGGAACTGGCTCCTAAAATTATCTCTCTGGCTCCTAGATTTTTCCAACAATAAAATGCTCCCCCACTCTGGGATGGGCGGCAGTGGCGGGGGAATCATTCATGCGCAGAGCAGAGGCTGAAGGCAAACATTAACTGTTCTGGGTTGTTTTTTTTTATTGCTGCCTTTTTAATTGTTGACTCTAGTTTCATTTGTTAGCTCCTTGGGGGCCTTCAGACAGAAAGGAAGCCTATAAATTTTTAAGCAAACAAACAAATATTTAAAGAGCCCTGCCAGGAGGTTTGTCACCTACCAAATGAGCCTGGTTTTGCAATTTGCATGGCAGGGGTAGGTGTCAACAAGTCGAATACTGATTCAGCTGCCAGTTTCGCTCCTCTAATGATTCAAGAAAGGTTTCTTTTCAGGCAGAATGTACACGTTTTATATGTAGTATGTATACATCTCTTTTTAAAGTACCAAATGTTTTAAAAATAGTTGCAAAATGCAGCCGGCCCTTTCATTGTAGAAGATGGACCTCTTGTCTTAGGTGGTAGACTGGGAAAAGTAGCAAACTGATGGTCATCTAAGAGCACTGTGTCATCTTTCTTGCTTGGCATTGTGTTAAAACACACCTGAATGCTCCAGACCAGCAAACTGCCAAGCTTTTGTAGAGGTGGACACACTAGCTGATGATCAATTAAGCAAGGACATTTGTTTAGCAGCCCCTGCCTGCTACTTAGCCTCTTAATTTGTATGGAAGCAGTAAGGGTGTACTTAGTTTTTCACACATGATATCTCCATCTTGGCTTTATTTCTGTAAAATAAATCATGGCACGGAGTCATATGTCATGTGTTGTTGTTCATCTGAGGTTGCAATTACCTAATGTTAAGGAACAAATGATTTCTATGATGTCCTGATATGCAAAACCACATAATGCAGAGGGGGTGCGCTTTCTTTTCCCTATGACTGCATGCACTCCTCATGCTGGGCAAGTGTGGGCCTGGCTGCCTATCCAGACGGTGGGCCATGAGGCCATATCCCTCTTTGCACTCATGCAACCTGTCTCCTCCAACAGGGCGCTGCTTCCTTCCCCGACCCAAATCCCAGGTGGTCAGCTGCCCCTCCACCCGATTGCTGTCTCTGGAAGAAGCACAGGCACGGACCCAGGCCTTATGCAAGGCTACCAAGCCAGAGGCTAAGCAGGGATCCAACGATCTGCAGGGGCAAGGGAAACTTTCTTCTGTGTTGAGCTCACCTGACACCAGGTAATTGGGCTTCTATGTACAGGTGCAGTATACCTCTAAACATCAGGTGCTGGGAGCGAACAACAAGGGGGTTCACATCACTTCAATGCCCTGCTTTCCAGTTGATGGTGGAGTAAATAGACCTTACCCTGATCTGGGGAAGCAGTTCTTACGCTACTGTGAAGACCATTGTCAGATTGCTACGTGCAATGACCCTTCGAGAGCTGATGTTTCAGAGGGAAGTGGGTTGTAGGTTGTTTTTTTATTTTGTAACTGCAGTGACAGCAGGCAACTGGGACGGCTCTCTGCAATCTGGCACAGGCTCGGACTGCTTAGCTGCCGGAGCTGGTGGCCTTGGGCTGACCTGTCTCTCCCACCTGCAGGCAAAAGGCAGAAAGTAATGGGAGGCTGCGGAAGACGTCAGGTCCTAGCTGGAAGGCCTTCTTCGCCATTGGCAAAACGCCAGTCACGTTTCGCAAGAAATCGCACCGCCTCGGAGACCTTTTTGGGCTTGGAGAGTCTCTGCCAGGTGAGAGACCTGGTCAACACCCGATCGTGGGTTGCTTTCTTCATCCATGGATTTTTGGGACAGTGTGCAAATCAGGAGCGGTTCCTCCAATCTGGGAGGGGCAAGGTGGCGGTGAGGCCAGAGTTGTAGTAGCACTGGGTTTGCTCCACACAGCCCAGACCTTGCCACTTCTTCACTCTTCCTGGTAAGTTGCAGTGGTTCCACTGCTGTGAGGCTGTTGCACCACCCTGCTAGGCAAGTGGCGAAAACATATTACAGAACAGCAGGGAAGTGTGGATAAGCCCCGGGTCAGCAGCACTCTTAAGGGCTAGAAACTTGCTTTGTTTTTAAAAAGAAGCTGAGATACACAGATGCTCAGTCCTGCACCAGATAATAAATTCCACAGGTGTGGTGTGGTGTGCTTGCCCGGTGTACAATATATACTGCCTGGGAACCTGAAACGAAGTCTTCCAACTAGCATTCCTCTATGGCTTTATATTTATTCCAGAGTGGATAAAGTTTGTTTCATAGGTGAGGACTGGAAGAGAGATTGAGACCTTGAGTTAAGGCCCTTTTCAGTTAATAATCTACTTCCTTGTCCTGTCTTGCTTCAGGGGGCCAGCCTGAGACTGTCACCTTGCGATCAGCCAAGAGTGAGGAGTCCCTGACATCGCAGGCCAGTATTGCAGGTAAGAGGAAACCTCATAGGCTGGGACATATGGGGAGGTGGGGGCACCAGGGGCTGCCACCAGGGCTCCTTAGGAAAGGGAGTGCAGGATATAAAATAAGGCAGAATAATAGCTGCATAGACTGCCAACCTTCCAGGTGACTTTTGCCTTTGAAACAGGTGTGGGCAAGTGGTGGCCCTCCAGATGTTGTTGGAACCTAACTCCCAGCAGCCCCAGCTCTCACTGGTCAAAGATGATGGGAGTTGTAGTTCATTAACAGCTAGAGTTCCCCATCCCTGCTACAAAAACAGGTTGCACAAACCTACCTTTAGACTTGCAGCTGGGAGCTGCATCTATTCCCTCTGCTGGACAAACAAGCAAACTGAGCACAGGTCTGCATGGTAGGTTTCTGTGGTTTTAGTTCATGGCTTTAAACCTGATGGGTAGGGAGCCAGCAGCTGGCGGTGCTTTGCCCGTGAGGGTCCTGCCACCACAATCACTGGCCAAAAAGGTCATAGCAACATAAGGAAACTGCCTTGTGCCAGCCATTTGCCAGACTTCTTGGCCATCAAGTCGAATATTGTCTGGGCTGGAGGACTTGTTGTTGGACTCCAAATCCCATCAGCCCCAGCTAGCATAGCCAATAGTCAGGGATTATGTAGTCCAGCCACACCTGGAGGAGAACAGGTTCCCCACCCCTGGCCTACTCAGGTGGCACCTGCTTCCTAGCCATGCCAGGTATTGAAACCAGGACTTTCTGAATGCAAAGTATATGCTTTGCCATTGAGCTGTGGCCCTTGCAAAGGGGCAACCATGTATGCTGAAGCTCTGCAGGATGTGGAAAGTAGGGCTGGGCGATATCTGGTTTCCACCAGCTCAACGTTGCGATATACCGATATATTACAAGGTCTGAAATAAGGATGGAGCTATGTAGAGGCACTGGCTGGCTTCAAGGTTTTCCCCACGTTGTGATTTTTGCTGGCGCCTGCTGTTGTGATTTGCTGCCCCGCTGCAAGAGGCAGGGAAGAGCTGAGCTGGCAGAGTTAACAGGGGCTGCGGGAAACATTAGCTAGCTTCACAATTTCCCCCGCATTGTGATTTTTTGCATTGCACACATACACACGCATATCGTGATTCACGATACATTGCCAGGTCAGAAATTATGAAACCGATAACACAATATTGACCCAGTTTCAGGCTTGCACCCATTGCCTTTCAGGGGGGATCTCTAACTGCGCACCTGTATGCAAGCAGCCAGTACCCCAGAGGCAGAAGTATAGACCAAAGACCTACATTGGCTCCCAGTACATTTCCGAGCACAATTTAAAGCCCTAAACAGCCTTGGCCCAGTATACCTGAAGGAGCGTCTCCACTCCCATTGTTCTGCCAAGACGCTGAGGTCCAGCGCCGAGGGCCTTCTGGCAGTTCCCTCATTGCAAGAAGCAAAGCTACAGGGAACCAGGCAGAGGGCCTTCTCAGTAGTGGCGCCTGCCCTGTGGAATGCCCTCCCATCAGATGTCAAAGAGATAAACAACTACCTAACATTTAGAAGACATCTGAAGGCAGCCCTGTTCAGTGAAGTTTTTAATGTGTGACATTTTAATGTATTTTTAATCTTTGTTGGAAGCTGCCCAGAGTGACTGGGGAAACCCAGCCAGATGGGCGGGGTACAAATAACAAATTATTATTATTATTATTATTATTATTACCCTGTGTGGTGCTGAGCCTTGCCCCTTTCCTCTCGGATGTGCATCTGGTGGGTGACAGTGAGCCAGGGAGTTGCATGTCCTTTACCTGTGTGGGTTTTCTCCTTTCTCGGTTTGTGTCCTAGGCCTCCCCAAGCTGCCCTGCCTGCGACGTCCACACTCCAGCAGCGATGCCTTCCCTACCCTCAAACCGTGCCGCTCATGCTCCTCCCTGGGCTCCTCTGTGTCCGGCCGTGGCGAGGGTCTGGTGGCTGGGGCGGCAGATGTGGCCGCCCGGCGTCGCTCCTCCTGGCTGGAAGGTGACTCGGAGCTGGACTCGGAGCTGGAGCTCAGCCCCCCTGGCCTCCGCGGCCTGGACTTCGACCCGCTGACCTTCCAGTGCAGCCCCCCGGCTCGGCGGCCCTCGGTCTCGGACGACTCCGGGCCTCCAAGCCCTGGGCGGGCGCTCTCTCCCTGCTCGCCCCCCACGATCGGCAAGGATACGTCGGAGCCGCTACCCGTCTCCCTCCCTGAAGAGATGCTGGAGATGTTTGCCGGGGGCGAGGCCAGGGGCCCCGGTGGGCATGCCTCTCCGCCGCACATGATCTCAATGCTGCTGTGTGCTGCTGGCGGGCAGCTGAGCGACAGCTGCGAGCGTGAAGTCCGCTGCAAGATCACGCAAGCCAAAGGCCGCACGTCGCCACTCAGTAAGTGTTGGTGCCTTGTGGGTGTCGGTTGGTAATTCTCCTCAGCCAGGGTGATGTATCAACAGAGCACATGGAACCCCTGGAGAGCCTTCAGAGATTTCCTGCTCCCAGCAGAACATCTTCCAGAGTCCCACACCATTCAAAGTAACAAAGTGTGTATTGTCTCCAGACACGGGAGAAAGCTAAACTATAGATAAACTGCTATGTACAGTTATTCTGGTCTTGTGCTATATACCTGAAGGAGCATCTCCACCCACATCCTTCAGGCCGGACACTGAGCTCTAGCTCTGAGGGCCTTCTGATGGTTCCCTCACTGCAGGAAGTGAAGTTACAAGGAACCAGGCAGAGGGCCTTCTTGGTGGTGGCGCCCGCCCTGTGGAACACCCTCCCATCAGATGTCAAGGAGATAAATAACTACACAACTTTTAGAAGACATCTGAAGGCAGCCCTGTATGAGGAAGCTTTTAATGTTTGGTGTTTTATTATGCTTTTGTTTTTGTTGGAAGAGTGGCTGGTGCAACCCAGTACAATTAATATTCTTATTCTTATTCTTATCTAACACTACTGCATGAAACCCACAGCCTCTTCCGCTGACTTTCCACAGATTCAGAGTCAGATCCTGACATGCAAACAGTACATCATCAAGACAAAACACGCACACAGAGGACATAATGAAAGCAATGCCCTAGAGACAACTATACAAATCTCTACACATAGGCATATTTCCTGAACCAATGGGAAGGTGAATGACTCAGCAAATCATACACCCGGCGTTGCTGGTGTTGCTATGGTAACCCAGTGCACCTGGTACCCTTATCTCAGAACCTCCAGCCGTGGGGAGGGTGTACTTCCCAAGGCATGAGCCCAAGCATTGTGTAATTTAACCCATTGTTCAAATTATACCAACAGTAAGGACCGTTTGCTTACTGCTGTTATTACTTTGAAGTAGTAGCGGAGCAGCCTTTGCCCACCTGGTGCCCTCCAGACTTTTAGGACTACAACTCCCACCGGTCCAGGCAGCACAGCTGATGGACAGGGATGATGGGAGTCGTGATCCATCAACATTTGGAGAGCTGCAGGTACCACATCCTGCATTCATCAGGAACCTCCTTGTGCTCCATCCTGGAAGAGGAGCAACAACCAGTTATAAGATTTTTTGTGGTGCTCCTAGTCCTGGAAAGCTCCTTCACCACCCCAATGGGAGGACCGGCTCTAATCTCTCTCCCTTTCCCTTTTTTTCCTATTCAGGTCCGAAGGCCGAAGCAGCTCCCAACTCCCCCGGCGTGCTGTCTGTGCTGCGGCACATCCCGCCTCCGCCTCCCCCCAAGAACCCAGCTCGGCTGATGGCGCTGGCGCTGGCCGAGAGCGCCCACCAGGCGGCGCTGCAGCAGAAGCGCCAGAAGCAGGCTGGTCGCGGGCAGCGAGAACCCCGGACGCATTTCCGACGCTCCCTGTCCCTGGAGTGCAAGGCGGGAGAGATGACGAGTGGAGCGCGGGCGCTCTACTCCATGGTGCGCCCCAGTCCCAAGGCCCCCGGTCCTCCGGCCCTGCAAGGCCAGGCCAGGGGCAGGAGCATCGGCAGCCAGTTCCGCAGCCGCCAGGGGGAAAGCCAGGTGAGGGCCTTGTGGGTTCCAGAAGCTCTGGGCTGGGGTGAGAACTTACGAGGGCTCCTGAAAGGTGGAACACTTCTCAGACATTTAAGAGGGGTGTATTATTTAATAGGGACACGGGTGGCGCTGTGGGTTAAACCACAGAGCCTAGGACTTGCTGATCAGAAGGTCGGCAGTTCAAATCCCCGTGACGGGGTGAGCTCCTGTTGCTCGGTTCCTGCTCCTGCCAACCTAGCAGTTCAAAAGCACGTCAAAGTGCAAGAAGATAAATAGGTACCGCTCCGGCGGGAAGGTAAACGGCGTTTCCGTGCGCTGCTCTGGTTCACCAGAAGAGGCTTAGTCATGCTGGCCACATGACCCGGAAGCTGTACGCCGGCTCCCTCGGCCAATAAAGTGAGATGAGCGCCGCAACCCGAGTCGGCCACGACTGGACCTAACGGTCAGGGATCCCTTTACCTTTACCTGTTATTAAATAGACTTGATATTTCCACCCCAGTCCTTAATCGTGACACCACCTCCCTTGCTTTTCTCTCTCTCCAGGTGCCTCTCAGCCAGGCGTCCCCCCCAAGCAGCTCGGATTCCTTTTCCCCCTACCGGAGGGTCCTTGCTGACCTCGCCCAGAGAGACCACCCTTCGCAGTCCTTCTCGGATCCCTACCACCTGTCCTCCCCGTCTTCTGCCTCACCAGGTGCCTACAGCTTCCGCCACCAGCCGCCTCCCCTGTCTGTGCCCTGCCCTGCCCCCCGCCAGCCTCTAGACGCTTACCCCATGCCCAGCCAGCCTCTTGCCCCGCCAAAGCCCCCGCCTCCTCCGCACTTCCCCTTAGCCGCCGGCCACTTGCCCCTCAAGAGCAGGCCGCCTGCTTTCCAGGCCTACCTCCCGGACCACCAGCTCCGGCACCACGGCCGTTTCCCGGCTTCCTCCCGGGTGGGGGTCAATGGGACCCCTCCTCCTCCTCAGCTGGAACACGAAAATCTCTACTACGAGATTGTGGGGGAGCCTCCTGCGTACCCAGGCCTGGCCCGGCCCTGGCCTTCCTGCCCTCCCCCGGAGTATTTGGCCACCTTCAACGCTTCTTACGGGGTTTTCGAGCGGCCATGGCGCCAGCCCCTCCTCCCCCCAGCGCCCTCCTCCCTCCAGCCCATCTTAAAGAACCCCCGGGCGCACGCCCAGCCCACGCCTCCCGTGACGGCCCGCCAAGAGCCCATCTACGTCAACATACCCTTCCCTGAGCCCCCATCCACGACCCCTCCGCCCTCCCCGCCACCTGAAGCGGCACACCCCCGGAGCCACTCCGACCCTGGAGCCCCTCAGCCTCTCTCACACCACAGCAGACCTCCCTTGCCTCAAAAGCAGAGGCTCGGCTGGGGGTATCCGGCCACGGGGCAGTACCGCCACCTCATGGATGCTTTGCCCTGCAGCCGTACGTTGTTGCAGCTCTACCGCCCGCCTCCGGCCTGCTGGGGCCGCTCCCCCTACGGCCCGGAGCCCATCATCACCTACGACGGACCCCCTGCCCGCCCGGGAAGCCAGGCCTCGGCACCCGCCTCGTCTCTACGGAAGCTGGAGGAGTCTCCGCCGCAGTACGGCAACGTGGAGAGGAGGGAGGGGTCTCCGTCTGGGTGCTACCTGGGGCCCAGCTGGACGGTGTACACAGAGGGCCAGACGCACAGCTACTGCTGAGAAGGCCGCCAGCCTTGGATTCTCGGGGCTGGGCTCCGGGTCCTTGCCCCCTCCTCTCCCCCACCGGTGTTTATGGAATTATATTGTGGTACTGTTTGCTGTGGGGAGGGCGCGGGGGGAGGGGATGTGGGTGTTGGAAGGAAGGATGTGTCGCTATCGGTCCCAGGAACGTCGTGCCCAGGCCCCTCGCTGGCTGCTGCGCCTGCCTGTTTCGAGGACTGGCCTGTGGTTTTGTTTTGAGAGCACACAGATCTCCAAAGGCAGCTGCGGAACCCTGCATGATGTCCCCCACACTTCGACCGGCATGACATCATGGCAGAGCCTTTGATCGCATTGTTTTAAGCCTCTTTTTCGCCGTAATGGCTGTTTATGTTACGCTCCATGCTACATCTCTTGTCGTTGTCGTCCCCAAAATCTCCACTGCCAGCAGTGGATTCCTAGCACCTCTAGAGGAGGTCCTTCATCTCCAGTGCAAAGGGGCACAGTGATGTGTCTGAACCCCACCCTTGGGTGACGTCACCTGGTTTGCTTCGGTAACACTGCACCTAAGACATCGCCGGCAGATGATGTCTAGGGGAGCCGAATGATGAGGCTGGCGGTGCTCCTGGAGGTGCAGTTCCCTGAGCTGGCACAGTAGGGCGCTGTTCACTTAGCTATGCTATTGCGTGACATCGCTGGGTGATATCGCAGGCTCTTTGAAAGCTGGGGATGGATGGCACACTGATCACTCCCCTTAAAAACAAAATCGTCGAGTATTTCCATCCAGGATGAGTTCTAACTTTTTAACCGTTGTTTTAACCCCATTAAAACATTAACAGCACCCACCCACTCCCCTTTCTCCTGCTTTCCCAGTTCCTGGCGAGACAGCAAGGCACAAGACTCTTGGTTTCTTGCATATGTGCCAGGGGGTACAAGGGATGCTTTCGTTAGAGTAATGTGACTGGGCAACCTCCTGCTTCCTGTTCCCAGACCATGTGTTTGTGGCTTTCAAGCCAGGCAGACTTTGGCGTCTCCAGAAACTTCAGGGACGGCAGGCAGGAAAGGGGAAGGTCAGCCACGCATTTGTGAGTTTACTTAGGATTGGAGGGTCTTTGTATATCGGTTCGCGTGTGTGGGTTTGTTTCTTTTAGTGGAAGGTAAGATGCATGTGTGCTTGGCATGGGATGCTTATGTAAATTTGTGTGTGTGTGTGTGTGTGTGTGTGTGTGTGTGTGTGTGTGTTTGGGAACTGGGTTTGTGTGTGCCTGGGAGGACATAGAGTTGGGTATCCATGTCTATATGGTATGTGTGTTGTGTTGTCAGGAATTGGTGGGTGTGCGTGTGTATGCGTCTGTGATGTTTGTATATATTTCACGGGACAGTATTTTAGGTATGTGGGGTGGGAGGAAAGAGGGAGGGGAATCTATGCCTTATTCCCCTTTTGACCAATCACACCTTGACGCAAGGGCACAGGTGACAAGCCCCATGCGATTCCCACTCCACAAAAGCACTTTTGTACGGCCTGTAGGCTTCTTTGGAATGCTCATGATGTCAGATTCCTTTTTTTAATTTTAAGGAAGAAAAACAATTACTGATGGTGATTCCTGCCCCCACATCACTGGGGGGGGGGGGATGAGAACACTGCCTGAGCGCGATGCAGACAAATTGCACACGCATTTGGGTCCTATTGATTTCAATCAGAGTAAAGCTGAGCATGCCGTTAACACTCCCCCACTGAACTCCGTGTGACCTCAAAGTCATGCCCTGCTTTTAACTGCCTGATCCTACTGCATGTTTACTTGGAAGTCAAGTTGTACTTGGCTTGATGGGACGTGCACATAGGATTGCAGCCTTAACCTCGTCTTTTCAAAGCCACTTTTTGAAGGTTCTGGATTCCCTCGTGAGGTTTGGGATCAGCCATATCTGGATCTTGGCCACCCCAGCTGGCTGGCATTCTCTTGTGGTGAGATCCAGGTCTTCCCTCTACATTACCAGGCACCGGCCATCTTAAAGCAGATGATACTCGTGTATGTATAAAATGATATGCAAATGACTTGGAAATAATTCTCCACCTCCAATATGGTTTTCAGTGTGAAACGTGTGCCCTGATTTAAGAGTTTCGGATCCAGGACTGATGGACAGTTGAACCTTTTGTTTTAACTGCAGAAACTGCACTAATCTTGCCCTTTCTTTCTTTCTTTCTTTCGGTACTACTGCTGTGGCAATGACTTCCAGACTGCCCCAGGTCCTTTACCCTCTTCTATTTCCTAGCTTTACATAGGAGCAGTTCGTTGCAGGCTGCTTCTTGTGTTGCATTGCAAACACGTGTGAGCACATTCCGAAAAAACTGGTATCTAAAAACCCACGTAAAGCATGGTGCTGGAAATGAAACCAGTGGCCCTGGTCTGTGTTGGGGTGGAAAGTCTTGGGAGTTTTCGCTGCATATTTATTTGCTACATGGGCAGAGCAGTCCTGTGGCCCCTTGGGAAGGGCATCTCAGAGGCCATGGGAATCATCTGGTTTCCATTTCCAAGGATTGAGAGATTGAGAGAGAGTTCTGAACTGGGGAGGGTGTGAACCAAAGGAAGTCACCAGAATACCCCACAAAGAAGAGAATAAATTACACCAGCTCCGTAGGGATGGGGGAGAAATTTGATTCAGTTTGCGTTTAGAGCCAAATCTATCAGATATGCTCTTTCCAAAACAATAAGAAAACTGAAACATAAAAATGAATACATTTGTGAAAGAGACATACAAAAATGCATTGAATTAGGAGAAATTGTTTGCAGAATTGTGTGTATTAGGGCTTGTCCACACATGCACTTTTCCCGTGCCTAGAAAGCCCAAGCCCAAGAGGTTTTCCACTTGCCCTGCCATTTCTCCTGGGGAAAACCCGCTCTTTAAGCGTTGATCTGAGCAAACATCAATCCACGGAAATCCCAATTGATGTTTGCTCTGATTCGACCCTAAAGAGTGGGTTTTCCTGGAGGAAAGTGGTGGGACAAGTGGAAACCGCATACAATGATTATTCTTAGAAGAAATCAGCACTAACATGCGGGTGAATTTTCAGACGGATTACTTTTTAACTTGAAAATTGCTGAACAAATGTGGAGAACCGAATTTAAGATTGGAGAAAAGGAGAAATGGAGAGAACCAAAATGGACAGATCTTTCAATCTCTTGCCAGTTCAGGAGCTGGTGTGTTTTATTGCTTTTTTATTTAATCTCCCTGGAGTAATGGGATGGAATTAGTTAAAAACGAACAAACCAAAAAGCAGAAAAGGACGAAGGAGCACAGCAGAACCTCTCCAATCTCATTTCTGTTGGATGTTGGATCAGGCAGAAGAACTGCCTTTAGTCCTGTCCCCCACAACGCAGAGCCTTAGGATTGCAGCTCAAATGTCTAAAATTTGGGGGATGCTCATATTCACAAGTAAATGCTAATAACCCAAGATGACTTTTGAGAATGCCCGAATACACATTTCAGACACAGACAACTGCTGATAGCTCTATTTAGATGTGTTCTAGCCATGCGCAGCTTTTGCCTGGGTCTGCCGATGTGCCTATGTAAATGTGACAAAATTTTGGGCGTTCACAGCAGGATCATCATAAAAATATATACCTTCCATGGGAGATCAAGGTGCATATTGCTGTTCTGAACTTCTGGGCAATTAGATTGTAGATGTAGGTGCAGTTTCGGGGCAACCACTGTGCCTTTCAAATATAATGTTCTGTGCAACCCTGAAAATGATTCCTGACCTGGGAGACCGACTATTCAATTGTACATTTGGCAGGAAAATGGGTGAGACCTGCTTTGGCCTGGGCCCGACCTGCAGCAGAGCGAAGTGGCATTTATTTATCAAATAGGCTATCCGGATGGTTCGCAACCCATTTCTGAGATGGTAGAGCGGACTGTACCACCACAGATTGCAGGTGGGATGTGTCTGGGGTGTCCCATTTTTGTAACAGTCCCCTATGTGGAAAATCAGAGTGGCCAAATGCAAAAGAGGAAGAGGGCTCCTGCGCCTTTAAGAGTTGTGTAGCCGATTTCAGCATGTGTCGCTTGCCGCACGCACAACTCTCTTGCATTACATCTGGGCACTCTAATGGAAAAAATTGTAAGTAGAAAGTAGCACAACGGAAAACAGGCTGTGCAAGAAATTGCCTCCCTGATGCGCCGGTTTCCTTCCTGCATTTCATGGGTAAGCATTTAACAATGGTATTCCCCACTTGTGGCTTGAAGTGGTGCAGTTATCTCACGCCCCTTGGCATTCTACCACCTCGTTTTGCTGCCTGCATGCAAACAAACAAAACACCAAGGGATTGCTTCCTATTGTTTCCTCTGTGTGATGTCTCCCAGGGTCTGGCATCAAAGGGTTCTGGGGAGGGGAAGGGGCAGTCCCACAATCTCTGATGCTGTGAAGCTGTCACTGCCACGTGTGTCTGTGCCTGTGTTTCTAAAGGCCAGCATTTACTCACTACCCTGATGTGCTGCATCCTTCTTTTCGGATATGAATCGACCTCCCTTTCTTCCTGGACTCTTGTACTAAATGGCTTAAAACAAAACCAATTAACAAATAAAGGCAAACTGGCAGCTTGGGCATGTGGTCTCTCTGCTTACAAGGAGACGGATGGGACGAAACAGGGCTTGTGTCGCTTGGGGTCGTGTTCATCATCATCATCATCATCATCATCATCATCATCTTATTATTACTGAAATTTATATCCTGCACTTCTCTTTAAGGAGCCCAGGGCGGAAAAACACATCAACAATACAATACAATTTAAACTTCTAAAAACAACCTTCTAAAAACCAGTTGAAAGCCTCCAAAAACAACCACGTACTCTTGCAGTTTATAATTTCAGGGTTGCTGGATCTTTCAGCCACCAAATGCATGGGTAAACAGGAATGTTTTTAGATTCTTCCTAAAGGTTAAGAATGTGGGAGACAGATGAACCTCTCTAGTGAGGCTGTTCCACAAACACGGAACCACCACCAAAAAGGCCCTGTCATGGGTCACCACCAACCAGGTCACTAGGCCTCAAGCCTGCCTAGGGGTTGCCTCTGGGCCCACGTCAACCAAAGTTATCTGCTCAGAGGACATACCAATCCAGAAGCTAGACACGAACATCCCTTTCTCTTTAGAAATAGCCAAACAGGCACAAGAAACTCCTGTCTCCACCCAAATGCACCCAGGTCCAATACAATCTGGTGACTAAACCATATGACACCATCCACACATTTGCACCAATAGACCAGGGATGTCAGTGGCACTTGGCCGCAGTTCAATTTTGCTGTTGGTTTCCTTTTATCAATTCCAGATGTTGAGGGTGAAATAGGAGGTTGGTCATAGTTGTTTCCTACACACCACCACCAAACAGTGAGGCTAAGTGGTGGGTTCCTCAGCTCAACATCTATTTCACTATATACGGTGAGAGGAGTAGGCCCAATGATGACCAGAAGTCAAGGCCATTTCCAAGGGGAAGAAGAAGGAAGCCATACCATCTCCATTCCTCTTCTTTCTTGTGGATGACTTCCAGGATTTGCTGTCTATGTGCCCTTGGTAGTTGGTGGTTTTTGTTTTGTAATGTTCAACACATGCTCCTTCATGCGCTGTCTTACGAACACCTGTTATTTTTAGAGCGCGCCCAGATGTTTCCTCTCTGGGCAGTTTCCCAGGTCAACGGGGAGGAATTTTCATGCTGTTTAAAGTTTTGTAAAGTCTGCTGGCTAGTTTCATATCCAGAGAGAGCTTTTTATAGTATCTTTTAGCCTTTTCACCCATTGCAGTCATTTATTATTATTATTATTTTAATGACGAATGTGTGTTTAGAACATAGGCTGCATGTAAAGTGCGTGATTTGCCCCAAAGAACCCAGGGAACTGTAGATTGTTAATGGTGCTGGGAATTGTAGCTCCACGAGGGATAAACCACACTTCCCATGATTCTATGGGGGAAGCCATGGGCTTACATGCCTTAAATGCCCTTCCCTACTTTAACCATCTATTTGGCACAAAATGAGCTCTGATGACACAGTGTTGTACTTCTTTTCTTACTCGCCTAGCCTTGCTGCAAGCTGTGAAGTGGCTACCAAAGAGTGACATTAGAAAAACAATTTCTAAAACTGGAGGACTGATTCACACATGATCTAGACAGCCCTTGTTGTAGGAAGCGACCTGGAAGTTCTAGCACTGGTCTTTACAACCTGTGATAGCAGGTTCACACATGCCCATTAACACTAGCTGCCGCAGTCACCAAATGCAGAATACACGAGGTGAAACCCAGTTTAAAGAAGCCTAGGGTGGCATTCTCTGATCGCCCTCCCTCCATTTTACCCTATCAGCCACCAGGATAAAAGATGGTGATTTGCCCAGGGTCACACTGTGAACTTTGTAGCTGGCTCAGAGGGGTTGAGGCTGTGGTGTATGCAGGTTTGGTGGTGCTTGGGCCCCCAGCCAGCACAGTTCCTTGGCAAAGACATGTCACAGCATCTATCCTGGGAAAGTAAGAGAGGAGAAGGAATTTGGAAAGAGGTAATCGAGTGAGTCATGCCTCTTCCCTCAGAGGGATGTAGTTTTCTGCTCAGGGCAGGGAAGGGAGAAACAAAAGTGAAGGGAAGAAATAATATAACCGTAAGATCAGTTGTATAATAAAGTTGGACATTCATTTTGCTAACTTCAATTTCAAACTGGGAGTAGGTGGGACCTGGCTGGCTCCAGTTTGGTACATCATCCCCACCCACTTAGGTTTTCTATTTTTAAAAAATATTTTTTTAATTGAGTGCCAGGTTCCGGTTTAGCTGAAGGTGGATAAATAGGGCTGTTAAATCTGTGTGCTGTGGTGACTAGGGATGTGAAAAAGGCATCGTTTTCTGTGCCATCATATGTCACATGCACCTGTGCTTTCATTCTGCTGCAGTTCTGCTTCTGACAAAAGCTATTGATATTCATCTTGCTGTCTACTGTGGCGGAATTTTACCGTTCAGTACAAATGAAACACAATGCAGATGTGTGTGTGTGCACGCACACAAGCAATTAAGTCTCATTTGCAGATTGAAAGCAACAATGGTGAGTACCAATCCTATTCCTTTCATTGCTTTCCAATCTGGACGTGCCACAAATAAGCAAACCTTGGCAATTTTTGCTACCATTTCCACTGGAATTCTCTGACATCCCTAGGGGTGATCTGCCTATACAATTAAGTGGTGGGAGATCAATTGCTGTCGCTATTGTTAGAGCAACTGGAAATGGAAAGCCCTTGCTGATCTACTGCAGTGATCTGTTAGTGGATCCCCGCCTACCTTTTGCTCCCTGTTTCCTCAATCACCTTCCAGTAAGTGAACAAGCCAGATTAAATGCCATAGTTCTCAAAAAGAAAATATACACATACGGACAGAGTACCTTTTCTGGATTTCAAATATTTATTGTACATTCTTTTTAATAAAAAAAAAGTTTCACAAAAGAAGGTTAGGAAGATTCCTCCAAAGGACACTTGAGTGACAGGATGGCAGAGTTAAAGGTGTCCGGCAGTGACACCAGCCAGCCACAGTCAAGTTTGTGGGGAGCAAGTCAGCCTTACAGAACATGCTATGGTGCACTGTGACTATAGAAGGAAACCCGACGGAGGTTCCTCGCAAGGATGAATCAGGATGCTGTGCCCTGCCTTGAGGTGTAGGAAGATGGCTCCACCCTTCCCCATCATAGGGCAAATTCAGCTGGAGCAGCTGGGCTTCCTCACATTGTAGTGTAGTGGTATATAGCCAGGAGAACAACAGGGCACTGTGGAAGAGAGGACAACATATGACAAAATTGACTGCAACTCACCCTCCCTTAACCATGTCATTACAATTTCTTTTGCACCATGCTTACTCGGCACACCTTTGGCCCTCCAGAAGTTGCAGAACTACAACTCTTCCCTGACCATTGGCCATGCCGACTGGGGATGACCGGGTTGTTCAGCAACATCTGGAGGGCCAAAGGTTGGCCACCCATGTTTGAAGTCTTCTTCTGAGGAGTTCAAGGTGGCTTGCACAGGGCTGTGTACACAACATACTTAAATATAGGATCCTGTAACCCATCACATCATTTCTTTTACACATAAACTGTCAAACATGCACGCAATATTTTAATCCTGACTGAACCAGAGACAACAAGGAAGTCATTACACAAGGACGTGCTTCTCTTTTTCAAACAAAGGGAGAAATAACAGGAATTGAAACATAATGAAAATAAATCCAACTGAGTTTAGGAGTTATTAAGTGTTCCACATTACAGCATAATGTAAAGGAGATCTTTGTGCAAGCAAATCAGGTTGAGTGGTGAATAAGTTGTGTAGAGAAGCCCACTGACTCTCTTCATGAACATAAATGCTTTGATGGATCAGGCCAAAGGCCCTTCTAGTCTAGCATTGTGTTGTCACATTGGCCATTCAAAATGCCACTGCGAAGATTGCAAGCCAGACATGACTACATCAGCACTCTCCCTGCTTGCAGCCCCCAAGAACTGGCAATCGGAGGCATATCATGACTAGGTGTGAACATTGGCAGCCCCATCCTCCATGGTCTAGTCATCTTTTTAAAACCACCCAAGCTGGTGGCCGTCCCCACATCTGGTGGCAGCAAATTCCTTCCACCTCCTCCCCAAACAAACCCTTCAAGTTAGGACTCACCGTGAGCATGAGGATAGCAAAGCCGAACCAAGAGACTCCCCAGGCGTAGCTCTGTACTGCGTGCTTGATGTGCTCAAAGCAGCCCTAAGGGAGGAAGGGAGGAGAGCCAGTGAGATCTTCCCTGAGATGCTGAGAGTGCCACAATTGCCCCCGGGGGCCAAAAAGGAGGGCTGTCTTGACCTTGAGAGGGAGACTTCGCTCCAGGGCAGACAGTTCTGTACTTCTCATGAAGATGCCCAGGAATGGGAGGCAACTTCGGGAAGGGTGTTGAGGACCACAGTACCTTGGTATGGATGTAGTCGACGTGACCCAGTCTGCAGCCCTCTTCGTTGAGCATGACAAAGTTGCGATCACGCTTGCAGCAGTAGAAGGGCCAAGGGGCCACCACCTCAGAGTACCTGCTTCTGAAGACCGAGGTGTAGTTCACCCAATCCATGGGATTATTGGCGCCACAGCACTTTTGCTGGAGGTGGAAAAAGCATCCCAGTTAGTGTTAACACCTCGTACTGCGGTAGCTATTTGGGCAGAGGACCCCTTGCTTGTTTGCTATGCCTTCCCTGGCTATTATTATTTATTGAATCTGTTAGTCACTTTATCTTTTCCAAGGCAACTCAAAGTGACTTCCAACCAAACAGACAAAAAAACTCCACACAGATACATTTCTTCTTGGTTTTAACGAAATACATTAAAAATATCCCTTCTACTTCTGAAAGGCCACAGACAGTTAAAGGCCAAAGGCCTAGTTAAAGAGGAAAGTTTTCGCCTGGTGCCTAAGGATATACCATATTTTTTGCTCTATAAGACTCACTTTTTCCCTCCTAAAAAGTAAGGGGAAATGTGTGTGTGTCTTATGGAGCGAATGCAGGCTGTGCAGCTATCCCAGAAGCCAGAACAGCAAGAGGGATTGCTGCTTTCACTGCACAGCGATCTCTCTTGCTGTTCTGGCTTCTGAGATTCAGAATCCCCCCCCCCTTGTTTTCTCCTCCAAAAACTAGGTGCGTCTTGTGGTCTGGTGTGTCTTATAGAGCGAAAAATACGGTATAATAATGGTGTCAGGTGAGCCTCCCTGGAGAGAGCATTCCACAACCGAGGATCCACTGCTCATTCTCATGTTGCCACCCTCTGGACTTCTCTGGGAAGGGGCACACGAAGAAGGGGCTCACATGATGATTGCAGGGTCTGGGTTGGTTCATATGGGGAGAGGCTATTCTGTTCAGGCTTCCTAGAAATATCTGGGAAGGGCTGCAGTTCAGAAGAAGATCAAATGTCAGTCTTCTCCAATCTGGTGTTCTCCAGGTTGTTGGACTACAACGCCCATCAGCCCCTGGCTGCATGGCCCAATGGTCAAGGATGATGGGAGTTGTAGTCCAAAATGTATGGAGGGCAGTCGATTGCAGAAGAGCTGACACACATCGTGTATGCAGATGGCCCAGAAGCAATCCCGGAAGTTTTCAGTGGAAATGATCAGGGGATGAGAAGGCAAATACTTCTGTCCAAAGCCTAGGAGAGCCAAGAGTCTGACCCAAAGGCATAAAGCAGCTTCTCAAGTTCCTATTCAAGAGGGCCTTGTACAAACATGTAATCAGTTTTCTAGCAGATCTAGACTTTGCATGTACATAGAGAACAACTGCCTTCAGAAACATGGATGTGCTATGCCCCGATGCTCCCATCGCTTATGGTAGGTTCCTATATTAGGAGGTAGGCAGGAAGAAGATTATGTGGACATACACCGGGGTGGGCAACCTATAACCCTCCAGATATTGATATCCAACTCACATCAGCCTAAACCAGTATGAGGAAACTGGTAGCCTAGGAGGGTGACAGGCTTCTTGAGGGATAGCATGAGACTCTTGAGTTGTGGGTTCTAGCCCCACATTGGGTGAAATATTCTTGCATTGCAGGGGTTTGGACTCAATGAACCTCATGGTCCCTTCCAACGCTACAAGACTATGATTCCCCAGCTGCAGCATGCCAAGGCAACATCTCTTGTGCTGCTTGATGAAGCATTAGCAAATTGTTGTCAACAACAACAATAAGCTGGTCAGCTCTTGGCAGTTCTGCTCCACCCAGAGGTGGTAGTTTGGGAAGGGGCAGGTTACCTCCATCATGAAACGATCCCACATGCGGGTGAGTTCCCGGCCTTGGTCAGTGTCCGCCGAGTAGAAGGCCAACATCTGTCTTGTTATTAGCTTGGAATTCGAAACCACCTTGGGTGGGGAAGGGAGAGAGAATGCTGGTCAGCCACATTCCCCAGCACCCACAGCCTTTACAAGACCCATATGTTCTGAACATTCTGCTTGTAAAGAACGTGGATTGTGTAAATGCATGGCACAATGGTTTCTGGCAGAGAAGAAAAGTGACAGGCCTTAAATGAGCATGGGGTTAGGAAAAAACTATCATGGGGGATCATGGGATTAGGCAAAAACAAATCATAGGCTTCCCCCAAAGAATCATGGGAACTGTAGTTTGTTGAGGATGCCAGGAATTTAAGCTCTGTGAGGAGTAAACTTAATTTTCCTAGGATTCTTTCAAGGAAGCCATGACTGTTAAAGTGCTATAAATGTGCTTTAATGGGTGGTATGGATGTGACCCTAGGTTTTGTTGGTTCTCTACAATGAGAGAAATGGGATCACTTAAGGTGTTTAGTTTATTAGGCCAAATAGACTTTTAAAAAAACGTAACAGCCCACTTACTTCTGATATTTTTCAAGAATATACGCACCAGGCTCCCATGGTTGCAGCCTAACTGGGACACGTAAAAAGTAACTCCAACTAATTTAGCTTTACTTGTAAAACCTCTTTGTAAAGGCTTCAGCGCTTGAAATGCTAACTACCTGGACCATGGGAGTAGCCAGGATTTACGCTGAAGGGAGGGGGCAGAACTGAGCTGTTAGTTAAGTATTTCTATTTATTTACTTTATTTAGGGGGCAGCTGCCCCCCCCTTGGCAAAGCCTAGGCTCATAAGAGACAGTGGGCTGGTTCAGAGGATGCTTCAAGAGGACCAGTCCAGTGCATTAGTCTCATCTGCGCCATCCATGTGGCAATGGTCCATCCAAATGAGGGCTTTGCACTTATGCACAAAGGGCATAGGCCAAAAACTGGGCGGCTGGTTCTCAGATTAAAATTGCAACAAGTGCAATTCAGTTTGCAGAACGAAACCAGCACTACTGACAGTATCTGTGGCTCCTCTGGGCTTTTCCAAGAAGGAGCACAAGGCCAGGAGGACAAACAGAGTCTTGGAATTTGAAGGGAGGAAAACAAAACAAAAACAAAGGAAAAGTCCCCCAATGAAATATCAAAGGTCACATGTGGTTGTGTCTTGGGTGCTCGCTACAAACACACACAGAAGACACACTGTTGATTAGCTAAGGGAAGGTTATTCCCCCCTCCCCAATCATTAGATTGATCATCTGCTGAGCAGGGACTGGGTGATTTTTCCTCCTGATCATAGTGCTGGACAGAGCAGAGAGACTAACATTTCTCTGCTTAGCCCAGTGCTGTGATAAGAATTAAAACTGCTCTGCCTTTGCTGGTGTTCAGCCCAGTCACCTCCCTGTGGTGATGCAGCCACTACCTGAAAATTAGGTTGGGGGTTAGTGGGCTGGACACAGATCCACCCTTTCTCTCAAACTGGACAGAGCCAAGTTCCAGCCAGCGGCAGGCACAGTTGGGCGACTCTCCCTGGTCTGCTTGTACTTACATAGTCACGGTGCGTGTAGGACGTGATGCAAGAAGCACACTCAAATAAGTAGACAACCAGGATCAGCACCAGATACTGAAGACAAGGAGAAAGAACCAGGTGAGCGGGTAGGGAGACTGCTGACCGCTAGGGCCTTAGCAAGCCAACCTTCCTTTCCCAAGGCAGAACATGAAGGCTGGAGACAAAGAGGCTTCTGGGGAGTCCAAACTGAAGTTTTGAGGGTTTGTTTCAAAGCCCTGCTTGAAGCCACTGATGCCAGCCCCACTTCTCTCTGGGTTTAGGGAAAGGTGGAACATACATCACGAACCACAGCTCTCTCTTTCAAGATGCCTTCAGTTTTCCATATTGTCACCCACAGCAATCTTGCCCTCTTCCCACCAGAAGGGGAAGCGTATCAAAGCTGACTCCATCGCTTGTCCCCCAAACACTGCTAAGGATTGGCAGGAGATTCCAGCTGGGATGGGGGGTGGGGAAGATGAGCATTTGGTAAAGTCCCTTCCTCCTCCCTGCTTTACTCACCAGCAACACCATCAGGCGGTTGCCATTCACAAGGCTGATAATGCCAAATACGCACACGCAGAAGAAGCAGAAGCCGGTGAAGATGGAGATCCAGGCACCTGCGTAGACATCGTCTTTGCCTGTAACTCCCATGATGGGGTACACCTTGTAGGGATCAGCTGTTACCCAGACAGACTCTGCGTAAAGCGCCAGTCCCGCAAGCTGCATAAATATGAGAAAGCTGTGATATAGCAAGCTGCCTTGTGGGAGGTTCAAAATAGGAGCTGTAGCCAGCAGGGTAGACCCAATGAAATAACAGACCTGCCTCATTAAATTCAGTGGGTCTCCCCTGAGCAGGACTGGCATTGGATACAACCCTATTTCTCCACTAAGCTCAACCTTGAATCCTCAGACTTGTCCAACTCCTGTCACCCCCAACCATCATGGTCAAAGATCAAGGCTTAGGGCCAAAGTAGAGAGCATTTGGGGTGTGGGCTTTTGCCAACTGTGGGTGCCCAGATGTTGCAACATCTGGGGACCTGCAGATGGAATGGCCCACAGCCCAAATGCTCTCCACTTTGATTGGCAGTAGCTCTCCAGCAGGCGTCTTGCCCATTATCTATTCCGTCAACCTTTTAACTGGAGATGCAGACAGTTGAACTGGGGACTTTTGATCAGCAAAGGAGATGCTCCACCACTGAGCTATGCCAGTTCTCCTTTGACACAAGTTCTGATAGCGGGGCTGTGGTGCCCCAGGTAAGACACCAGATTCTAAGCCAAAAAACCCAGGGGTTCCCCTTCTACCTACAAACATGGTAGCTTCAGCACTCTCACCATGATGATCACATTGCCCATCACCAACAGCCCCACGACAAAAGATGAGCTCTTCTCCTCCATGTTTCCCAGGAAAGGTTCCTTGCAACAGCTGCTCAGGTTCTGTAGAAGGTGGAAAAGCACAAAAGAAATAAGAAGGTGATCCTGAAAAGCCAATGGGAAAGACTTGGGATTATGGTTTGATTCCACCACTCCTGTCTCAGTTTGCATAGAAGAGAAATGCTTATGCCAGTACTCCTTCCAAAACATCTGTATCCAACAGCGTGCAGAGATGGAGAAGATTGAATGGCAAGATTGATCTAAAGACCATCTTTATCAGGTTAGACCACACAGCATTTGAGATGAGAGTCTTTTCAACGTTGGCCATGATTATGGCATTTCTGACTTCTTGGGTTGACGTGAGCTTTTGGGCTGAAATGTTGAGTTTTATTACATGTTTTATTTTGTACTCCATTCCTAGAAATCGATTTTAATGTTTCACTGTTTTAACAGTTTGTATATGAAGAGAAGTAACTGTTTTCTATTTTAAGTGTGTCTGGAGGCAGGTAACTGAGCCAATAGGTATGGACTCAGATACGTAGGTTTTAGGGAACTCCACCACATTCCTGGGAGTCAGAAGAGCTCAGGGCAGGATGCAAAACTTCCTTTGCAATGAAGGCACACCACTATGTTTTTACTCCAATGAATCAACTCAGTGGCCTTTTATCAAGGAACTCGAGACTCAGTTGACCTAAACAGGAACAGTTGCTACCTGTCTCAGGTGGGAGGGAGGGGAGAGTACCTTTGACAGCTTGAGGGCCACAATCCCTTCTGGAAATCTTCCAAGGGCCACATACATGCTAGTGGTGGGTGGGGCCAGAGGCAAAAGTAAGCAGACCAATAAATGTAAACTTTACCTTTCTACAGTAGGCCAGTGTCTACACACACTCACACATTCCTCTTTATCTTCCACCCAGGTGAGAAAGAAGCATCCAAGAATTCATCCTAACCAGCAAAAACAGTTGAGGAGAAGTTGGAGCAAGGCCAGTGGGAGGTGCCCCAAGGGTCAGATAGAAAGGTCTAGAGCAGGGTTTCCCAAACCTGGGACTCCAACTGTTTGGGAACTACAATTCCCATCATCCCTGACCACTGGTCCTGCTAGATAGGGATGGTGGGAGTTGTAGTACAGCTGGAGTTTGGGAAACCTTGGTCTGGAGGATCAGATTTGGTGCTCAGGAGTGAACTTACCACCCCGACCCATCTTGCACAGGAAAAGTGCTTCATGATAGGGAGCAAATCACAGTTCTCTTCAGCAGGGATGGGGAACATCCAGCCCAGGCTTCCATTTTGGGCAAGCTTCGAAGGACCGATCAGGAGCTTAAAGGGAGTTCCTGATGGTTCCTTTACTGGAGCAAAGCACACTCAATTGGCCATTAGTTGGTGGTGAAGGAATGCACATTGCTCCAGGAGAAGGAAGCAGCTTCCATTGAAACAGCTGTTAAAATGGAAGTGGTGGTGGTGAATTTTTTTTAGCAGTAGTTTCAGTTGAAAATTATTTCTCCCTCCCAGCATTGATCCTCAAACCCCTGAAAATCAGAGCTTCAAAGAACATTATCAGGCTGTTTGAAAGACCTTTTGCAAACAGTCCTGTGCTGCCTCCTGGACTCATGGTGTCTCCTGAGATATTTCAGAACCATTTAACCCTGCATTTTCTAGAATGTGGGAAAATCAGGTTTCTAAAATAGCACCAGAGGCCTGTGTGCAATGCTCAAGAGTGACCAATTGTGAAAAACTAGGACAAATTTTAATTCAGTTGCCCGGAACTGCTTAGAATACTGAACCTTTTTTTTTTTTTAAGGGAACCCATGCAGGCATCAGCACTGGGTCTTCTGCAGGGGTGCTGAAGCTGAGGTGGGTATGCAAGGATGCCAGGTGATGGCACCCATCTCAGAACCAGAAAAAAAATTGGTGGCCAAACAGAAATTCAGATTAATTTAAAATGCAAACTTGTGTATATTAAGACCTAACAGAGCAGGGATTTGTATGATGGGACAGTCTTTAGAAAAAGAAAAAAACTGCCCCAAATTTATGGATAAAGGCAGGGTATATATGGAGCCAAACAACCCAAGTCCTTAAGAGATTTGAAGGGAAGAGGAAGTTCCTGGCTGGGTCTGGTGTGTGTATGTTTTTTCCAGTCTGGGAGCGCCTGTCCTCAGGCACCAGTTCTTGCCTAGCTGGCTCCACAAAGGGCAGGTCTAACTGGAGGAGCTAGCTATACCCTCAGGACAGCATTGCAGGGATTCCTGGCGATCCACATTGCCTCCTCCAGAGTTGTTTTGCAGGGAGAGGAAGGTGAACAGGCCAGTGCTCTGTGACTCAAACCTGTTATGCAGAGTACACATTGCCACGCCCTCCCTCTCCAAGAGGGAAACCACCAGTTTTGGTATTGCATGGCACCAGGGAGATGGCCAGATGTTGCTAACTGTTGATGAGCCACTACAAGACCCCTCTTGATCTCCTTGTGGACTTGGCTTGGAGAGCTATCCTTGGACAGAAGTTTGTCCTCTGACGCCTCTTTGGTTGGAAGGCTGCTCTCCGCACAGTAGGACACAAGGACACCTTACCTGGGTGCAATCTTGTAGGGTTCTTCCTACATCCTTCTGTTTAATGGAAGGGGATGAAGATCAGAGGCTAAATACCATCTAATCCAGGAGTGGAGAAACTTCTTTATCCCAAGGGCCACGTTCCCTTCTGGGCAACCTTCCAAGGGCCATATGCCAGCAGTGGGCAGGGCCAGAGACAAGCGTGGGTGGAGCAACCAATGCAAATTTTACTTTTGTACAACAGGCAACCTTCAGCTCTCTGTCCTCCATTCAGACGAGCAAGATCACAGTTCAAGGGCACCTTCCAGCCAAGTCAAAGCACTCAAGGTGTGAAGGAGAACCAGTTAGGTTCTCCACCAAACCAAGCCAAACAACTTCCAAGCATTACCAAGGACCTAAGGACATTTTGGCACCTGAGGTGAACTACAAAATTATCTATGCTAAGAGCAAGGGGTAGGGGAATCAAATCAACCTGACCCAATGGTTGAAAAGGAAATCAAAGGTCATAGCATGGAGGGGACAAGGCCTGCTCAGGAACATGCCAGAATAATAATAATAATAATAATAATAATAATAATAATAATAGTTATTCTTATTCTTTATACCCGTCCATCTGGCTGGGTTTCCCCAGCCACTCTGGGCAGCTCCCAACAGAATATTAAAAACACGCTAAAACATCAAACATTAAAAACATCCCTAAACAGGGCTGCCTTCAGATGTCTTCTAAAAGTCAGATAGTTGTTTATTTCCTTGACATCTGAAGGGAGGGCGTTTCACAGGGCAGGCACCACTACTGAGAAGGCCCTCTGCCTGGTTCCCTGTAACCTCACTTCTCACAGTGAGGGAACTGCCAGAAGGACCTCAGAGCTGGACCTCAGTGTCCGGGCTGAACGATGGGGTTGGTGACGCTCCTTCAGGTATACTGGGCCAAGGCCATTTAGGGCTTTAAATGTCAGCACCAACACTTTGAATTGTGCAGATGGGTGCAGACCCCAGGAGACCCCAGAGGGCAGTCCCTACCACCTTCTCCCTAGGGGTGGGAGGAGATCAGCAGTGCCCCCTAGTCGCTAAGAGGTCACTGTTGAGGTGGCATGGGCTGCCAAGGAGGCGGCAGGTCCATCCTCCAAGGAGCGTGCTGAAACCTTCGCTGTCGTAGCAGCAAGCGATGCATTCCTTGGAGACAAGATCTGCTGCCCCTGGGGACCATGCCGCCCGAGGTGGTCAGTTCACCTTGCCTTATGGCCCTACCAAGAACTAAAAGCCCAAAATCAGTACTGGGTTGCAAATGGGTTTAAGAATTCTGGAGGTACTTGCGTTCTGGCTAGGAGCATTTAGTCAAAGAGTTGCCTAATTAGCTGGAATCAATTATTTGAAACCCAGACTGCCCTCCTTATTGAGAGAGAGTTTGAGGCTGTTTGCCTTCATTGTTCTTCTTGTTATTTATTAAAATTGTATACTACCCTTCAGCCGAAAATCCCAGGGTGGTTTACAACAGAAAAATACAAAATGAGAATACAAAATACTTAATAAAGCAAAAACAAACAAATAACTCTTTCCCACAAGCACATTTCAAAAGCCATAGAATGTTAATCAGCCAAATGCCTGGTTGAAGAGAAATGTTTTGCCTGGCACCTAAAGATATTAAGTGTTTCTCTTCAAATAATACAGTGATGCCAAATGAAATTATGCGCTCAAGGTATGACCATCTTTGTATCTCCTAAACAGGAACCAATTGACACATTTTATTGTCATTTTAATGTTCAGTACCTGGAAATTAGTAAATATTGGTTATTTTCATTTCAGAGGCTTTTTGTGCATTGTAGTCAGTGTGTGAATTTTAGCTGGAGAGAAAGGTGGTTTTGCAGGCAATTTTCTGTCTTAAAAACAAATGCGTTTCCTGTGTGTTTACTCTGAAGTAAAACAAATCGTGCTCTATGGTGTCTACTCCCAGGCAGTAATGGCCTCCTAGGTTCTCTTGACTGGTTTCATGTTCCAGACAGCTTCTCTAAAATACGCTACATCACCATATACCATCATTTCAATGGAAATTTTGGGATATATTCTATCAACATGATAAGCACTGAACCAGACATAGAACATTTAAAGGTGCATTTATGCTTCTTCAAACCAATATGTGAAGTGAACTGCAGGCATCCTTCAAAATTCACACTTCTCATTTTTCCAAACTTAAGTTCACTTCTCCACATCAGTTTGTGATTTGATTTTTTAAAGTCTTCATGAAAATTCATTGGCAATTTCCCCTCTAATATACCAGTTTTTGCATGCAGTTTTGCTAAGCAATCTCCCCAACTATAAAGCATTTCTAAATGTTATTTTCACTAACAGATGCAATTTTCGTGCACATTTAGCCTGGTATTCTCATTGAATGAGAATTGAATATTATCCACTGCCATCCTGAAGTTTAGCCTCTGTTGTTTTTCTTCAACCCTCCGTACCACAGACCTAGAACTCTGCCACCAGCCTCACACTTCGGCTGCGTATGAACCATACATTTAAAGCACAATGCTTCCCCCAAAGAATCCTGGGAACGGTAGTTTGTTAAGGGTGTTGGGAATTGTAGTTCTCTGAGGGGCAGCATACTGTTCCCAAGATTCTTTGGGGAAAGCAACATACTTTAAATGTATGGTGTGTACAGAACCACACTCCTCTCAGCCACCTGGATGGAAACTGATGGCGAATCTGAGGCACAAAAGCAGGACAAGGGAGAGATTGTGCAAATACATGCACACACCTTCTTTGTGTGAGACTGAGAAGGTTAGCTGGATTGCAATAAAGCCTTGTTGACTATTTCTGGAAGGATCCATTTCATCGCACAAATGAAATGGCCCCACTTGAGGTAACTCAGCTAAAGAGATCAGATGCATCTTGCCCACAAAATCTTAGTCTTGAGGTGCCACAAGACTCCACGCTTTCCCCTGCAATGGCTACCACTCTGGAAGGACATTGCTATCAGAAGGCAGTCACCACTGATAAGAACTCTACACACATACCCTCTAAGTGTCCCTACTTACCAGAGACAGTCCCTGATTTACAGAAGCCGTCCCGGTTTCTGATTTGATCCCGGAATGTCCCACTTCTCCTTATGACGTCCCTATTTTCATTGGATAAACATTGGGATGTCCCCATTTTCACCAGAGAAATGTTGGAGGCTACATACATGGAGTCTTGAGAGTCCCATGGACTGCAAGAAGATCAAACCTATCCATTCTTAAGGAAATCAGCCCTGAGTGCTCACTGGAAGGACAGATCCTGAAGCTGAGGCTCCAATACTTTGGCCACCGCATGAGAAGAGAAGACTCCCTGGAAAAGACCCTGATGTTGGAAAAGATTGAGGGCACAAGGAGAAGGGGATGACAAAGGACGAGAAGGCTGGACAGTGTTCTTGAAGCTACGAACATGAGTTTGACCAAACTGCGGGAGGAAGTGGAAGACAGGAGTGCCTGGCGTGCTCTGGTCCATGGGGTCACAAAGAGTCAGACACGACTAAACGACTAAACAACAATAACACATACATGGAAACAATCACAGCTTTTCAGTTTGGGACTGCAGTTTTGAAAGGCAGCAATGGGCCCCTTTCCATCCTCAAAACCTCCCGGCTTACAGCCTCCACTCACCTGTTAGCTGCAGACAAGCCAGCTGTATCCTGTTCTGCAAAGTGCAACAATCTTAAGGCTGCCCTTTATATATTTGCCCAGGCAAAGTGGGTAGGGAATGAGGGGGGGTCAGAAAACTGGACTGGACTTTCTGGATTGGAGGCAGGAAGGACCAGGGGGGAAGATTTTACCACCTGTTTTCTGCCACTCGGTTGGTTGATGCCCCACCCAGGAAAAGGCTGACTGACCAGAGCTATCACATAGTTGGATCCTCCGGGTGGTTAGCTGGGGACGGGACTTTCCCTTGCAAGGAGCCTTTGAAAGCTTGCAAGACACCCTGGCAGACAAGCAGAGTGGAAATGAAATTGTGAGGTTCATTTTTTAAAGGAGTTGAGGTTGATCGCTTTTAGTAATAATGTTCTTTTATTATTTGGATACAGCTCTGGCTTTTATTTATTTTTTCTCTTGAGTTTTAAAGCAGGGAAGATATGCTTGTGTGTGTGTGTGTTCATCGCAAGCTGCCTTGAGCATTTCCCTTTTTTAATGGAAAAACGGGGCAGGCAATTCTATCAATAAATAAATGCACATACCTATTTGCAGCCACAATCCAATTTAGGGATAAGTCAACTCAATCAGCAGTTTTGAAAACCACATTTATTTTTAATGGCCGTCAGCTGAAATCTGAGCATTGATTTGAAACAGCAGATTATGGGTCTAATCCTAAAAATACTTGTTAGAAGACTCCTATTCCCCCTCCGCCTCACAGAGCTATAATTCCCAGAGTTCCCCGGGAAGAGCGATTGATTGTTGACGGTGCCTCTTGTCCTTTACAACTGTTTGTCCCTGTTGTTCACCACCTCTGCACTCTGTACACATTTGAAGAGCTTTGAGTAGACTGGGATGTTGTCCCAGTTCTCTTGGGGTGGTGCTAAAACCACCTCATTTATTTTCAGCAGACATAAGTGAGTCTGGTCAAATTTGAAGCAAAACCATCCCACTTTATAACCTGCCAAACAGAGGATTATACTGGAGGAACGTGATGCAAATATTTGATGACGTCTGTTCATGTCCATAGCATAGTTTACAGACTCTCCAAGTGTCCTTATTATCCAGGGACAGTCCTGGATTTACAGAAGCCATCCTGGTTTCTGATTTGATCCCGGAATGTCCCACTTTCCCTTAGGACGCCCCTATTTTCATGAAATGTTATGGAGTTATGTGACCCCTGAGCCAAGTAGATAAGTAACCTTTAGAAGACATCTGAAGACAGTCCTGTATAGGGAGGTTTTTTTAATTGTTTAATTGTTTTATGTTTTTATATATGTTGGAAGCTGCCCAGAGTGGCTGGGGCAACCCAATCAGATGGGTGAGGTATAAATATTAAAATTATTATTATCATGATTAGGGAATAGGAAGTCCTTGCTTTCATTGGAGAAATGCTGAAGGGTATGAGTTTATACTGTAATAAATAGACTAGTCCAGAGGTTCTCACACAAGTGGTCCTTGTGGCATGGAAGCAGAATGGATAAAAGCATCTGTACTTGGCCCTGGATTTTGTTATCTCCTCATCTTGACAAAAGAAACAGAGGCCATTTTGACCAGTTCAGATTATCAAGCATCTTAACAAAGCCATGGGCTGGGGCCTATGAGTGTCATAATATGGCATTAGTATGGTACACTAATTTCCCATTAAATTTTATATTTTAAAATGACCTTCTTAGCAGCTTGGTCTAGGGTCTGTGATTTTGCCTCACTGTTTTTGACAATGGGGCTGAAGAAAAAAAGCTAGTGTGGTCTGCTAGGGCCAGCCCAAGTCAATTTGCCACCAGAGGTGAAGGGCGTGCCAGCTGGACTGGCAGCTGGCAGCACTGTTAAAATCCTCCACTGAGGCAGCCAGTTAGTTTAGGCAGCGCTGGCTGGTGCCCATTGAAACTGGTAGGGAGGAAGGCAGGGAGGTCAACAGTAGGTGGCACTAGAGCCAATGAGAGGCAGTGTGAACTTACTCTTGTTTAGTCCCCATCCTCCACCCTGCTGAATCCTACAAGGGGCAATACTTGAGACTAAGGAGAACAGGTCTGTGTAGAGGCAGTGTGAAGCAACCACCTCAGGTGGCAAGTTCCACAGGGGCAGCGGATCCCAATGTAGCTCTTTATTACCCCCTTGTTCCTGATGTAGCTTTCTGTTAAGTTGTGGGTGAACATATCAGACGAGACAGCGATTCTTCAGACAGCTCTTGTTTATTCACAGGCCGGAACAGAACTGAACTGAAGGGTCAGCCAATCTTCTTATATACAGCTCCACTACAACGCAACAGTAACAACTTTCTGTAAGTATCCAATCACTGAACGTCACTTTCAATTCCTTATTTGCATATGCGGAGCTGAGTGAAAACTATCTACAGTATCTCCCTGCTGGCCCAGGGTGAGAACTTCAGTACATAACACTTTCACTCTCCCCTTCTTCCCTGGCGGGGTGGGAGATGGTATTTTGTAATTCGGTTCAGGTGCCAAAATGCCTTGGGCAAGCCCTGCTGTGCAGCCTAACACAGTCCTGTCTTTCCATGGATGGGAATGTTCTGAGGGCTTAGGAGGAATGGCTGGGGCAATGCCAAAGCTGCCCCCCAAAATCTGTCACCTGAGGCAGTCCCCTCACTTTGCCTGATAGGGTCAGCTCTGTGATCTGCTAAAACACCCAGCAATTTTCAAGTGACCCATCCTAGGAGAATAAGGTGGAACCTACACACATATAAAAAACTGTTCTGAAAATGCTTTTTTAAAAAGCGTTTTTAAAAATACATTGAATTTTCCATAAGGCTCACCATCGCCATCTAGTGTCACATTCTATATTGCACTTAAAGCATACTTAATACATTTCATTTACAGCTGTATAGTTGAGTCCTAAGTTTATGTTAGTATTTTAGGTGCCACAATATTTATATATTTTGCTTTCGGGGGAGACATTTGCTCTAACCTGGCTTGCCCCCAGTACTGGACCCTTAACCAGTAAGATAAGCCTTGTTGCTCTAGGGTTAGTAGGGAAGATCTTGTAAAAACCTCTTTGTCTCTCTAACATCCCCACCACTAAAAAAGGGGGTGGCCGCTGTGGTTGCTTTTGCCCAACTCTCTCCCTAGACGTATTACTCACCATCTCTCCCTTGAAGCAAGTAGGCCTCTTGGTTTGGCCTGACACACTGGCTTAAGGTATGTAAAACATTTCCCTCCCAGTCTTCATTGGGAAATCAGGGGTGGGCAACTGGAGCACTGGAGACACAAATGGACCTCGGTCTAATTTCATGACAGTATTGAGGAGGGGGAAAGGGGGGGGAGTGGTGGCAGAAATGGAAGGCATGGAAGGCGGTGGTAGAGAGCCTACTTTGGTTCTGACCTTTAGGGATGGGGTAAAAAATAGATCCAGATCACATTTAAAGGTGAACCCATCAAGTCCCCAATTTCTGAAATAAGACAAGAACCAAAACACAGTTGTTCTTCAAAACCAGTGCTTCCCTGAAATTTGCAACCCACGGTATGTGTGCAACAACGCACGTACCAGGGCAACGTGCGCATGAAAATGCACATATTCCTGAAAATAGCATCCAGAAATGTATTAAACTGGAGGAAGTTGCTTGCAAAGGGTGTGTATTCGTCAAAGCCACACACAGTAATGTCTTTATTAGGAGAAATTTGCACTAAAAAGCTGATGGACGTTCAAATCGCTGGCGCAATTAGAAGAACCGAATTTAAGATTGGAACAACGAGAAACTAAATGGACTGAATCTGGCAGGTTTGTCCATTCCTAGCGAACTTGCCCACCTTGGGTTCTGCCTCCTCTGCTTGAAGGCCCTCCCAGTCAAATGACCCCAGAGAGGCCGCATCAGGATCAGATCCTCCCCTTACTGTCAACAAACGGCAGATCTGCCTCCGTTCAGTTCCAACCTGCTGGGTCCTCTGGTCTGTTCAGCCCTCAATATGCAGTTTAAAAGGTTGGAGCGCTTGATTGATAGGATTATTCATGAGTCCATTCTTCGTAAACTGGTTTATCTTGCTTGTGGATGACTCATCCAAGCAAATGATGCAAGAGATCGTGTAATCCCCTACCAGCTATGAAAATCTATTTACAGTTTGTGCTGGAATGAACGGATCTCTACGCAGAAAGCCCAAACAGACTAGATTTTGTATTTTACAGGTGGCACCTGTATTTTTCCTATTTCTGGAAATATTTCTACATTGTTTTATGCTATCCTGGCCGGTGGCCTGAGCGATGACATTATTTTAGCTAGCCATGGAGAAAGGTCAGGCTTGAGGGCCTCACCTGGCCGCAGTACATTGCTCCCTTTCCCATCTTCGTTTGGCATTGGCTCATACAGAAGTGAGGAGCCTTTGGCCCGCTAGGTGTTGCTGAACTACAACTCCCATCAGCCCCAGCGAGCATGGGCAATGGCCAGGGTTGATGGGAGTTGTGGTCTCCCCAAATATCTGCAGGACACCATGTTGGCTGCCAGCAGTTGCACTCCAAGTGAGAGACTGTGATGGCGGCATTTACCTTTATTCCCCAGGCTGCCTTATCTCAAAACTAGAATGAGCACAAACCTGAAATAACACTTCCAAAACTGTTTAGGGCGCTAAGTGCTCAAGCTATGCAGACATCTCTTAGAAGCGGCTCCTGGGCTTTGACCAGGGAGATACCCTTTCTTCACGTGTTAACACTTTGTGGTAAAGATAAGCAGGATTAGCCGGCTGTTCTTCTTTCTTTGTGATCCAGGCAGTTTCTGAAGTACGGGCTGTCCTTGATCATCGCCCACTTGTCGGGTCACTGGCAGCTCCCCGGGGATCCTGTGAATTTCCTCTCCCTGAGGCCTGGTGTTGGGTCTAGTCACCTCCTTAATTCCCTGCTCTGCCCTGGAGTGATGTTATGTAAGAGAGCATTGTGGGAAATTAAAATTATGGATAGCCATGTGCCAGGGCTTAGAGTGCCACTGCCCACCACTTGCAAAGCCCCCCTCCCTGAATAGTTTTGAAAGGCCCCTGAGGAACATTTTGCCCAGAGGTCCCTCAAACCTTGAGTTGGCTCCATTAACAACGTTCAGCAGAACTGGCTCTATGGCTCACACAAAATGGGGGTGCTTTGTTGGGTGGTACCATGAGAGGGAGGTGGGTGAGAATTTTGGGGTTTGTTTGCATTTGAGTGGGAAACCACCTGATTCACATTTTTGGACACATACGTGAAGTGGCACACAATCATCCTCCAGAATTCACCCTTTGTGATGCAGGTTTCTCTCAATGCTGCGTGCACAAAAATGCATATATTAGAGGATAACGTGCATAAAAATGAATAAATCATTGGAAATAACATACAAAAATGTATACTAGGGGAAATTGCTAGCAAAAGCAACTTTGTTACTGTACATACTGTACTAATGAATTTTCATGATGGTTTAAAAAGAGTAATAATAGTAATACTGAATTGCTCCAGAAGTGTGGAGAACTGAAATCAAGCTTGGGAAAATGAGAAATGGTGAGGAACCAAGAGAAATTCAGCTCTCCCTCACGGTAAAGGTAAAGGTAAAAGGTAAAGGCACCCCTGACCATTAGGTTCAGTCATGGCTGACTCTGGGGTTGCAGCGCTCATCTCACTTTATTGGCCGAGGGAGCAGGTGTACAGCTTCCGGTTCATGTGGCCAGCATGACTAAGCCGCTTCTGGCGAACCAGAGCAGCGCACAGAAACGCCATTTACCTTCCCACTGGAGCAGTACCTATTTATCTACTTGCACTTTGACGTGCTTTTGAACTGCTAGATTGGCAGGAGCAGGGACCGAGCAACGGGAGCTCACCCCGTCACGGGGATTTGAACCGCTGATCTTCTGATCGGCAAGCCCTAGGCTCTGTGGTTTAACCCACAGCGCCACCCGCGTCCCTCTCCTTCATGGTACATACTACGTATTAAGTGGTACACAAACACTTAGTACACGTGCACACACACACACACGGATGTGGTGATCCAGTTTGTACCAGTCTCATAAGTCCTAGTGATGTGCAGAGGTGCCACCTTGGGCCAAAGATTGGGGAGCCAAGTGGTGCAGCACACATGTGACATTGGGAAGAAGCATGTCCTCGGGGGGCAGCCTTGCCCAGTGCCGTTCAGCTTCAATGGCCACAGCTCCTCCTCTCTTATGCTTAGGAGGAGTCTGCTTTTGATGCTGCGTCACGCTCGGCTTGGCGGTCCAGCCTCTTCTACCCTCTCAGTATTTCGGGTGCTGAGCCCCCTGCTACGGAATATTGAGGGGGAGGACAACACCTCCACCTCCTAAAGCTGACACACCTGACGACATGCTAACTTGGGAGAACAAAGAGACCTTTATAACAGCACCAAAAAAAAGCAGTCACCTTTTACGAAGTTGACCGTTATCATTGTCTTTATTCCCTTTTTTACTGTGAAGCCTCTCCAAGGCATTGTCTTAAGCTGCTGGTAGGTTATACATGCCACACCCCTGCTTCATCCATCACCACTTTCTCCTGTTGGATCAGGTGAGGGAGAAAGCAATCCTCACCATTCAATTTTGGGCCTAATGATATTGAAACCATGCTGGCTGGGGGTGATGGGGGGCCCCCACAGGTAGAAGAAGAAGAAGAAGAAGAGGAGTTTGGATTTGATATCCCGCCTTTCACTCCCCTTCAGGAGTCTCAAAGCGGCTAACATTCTCCTTTCCCTTCCTCCCCCACAACAAACACCCTGTGAGGTGAGTGGGGCTGAGAGACTTCAAAGAAGTGTGACTGGCCCAAGGTCACCCAGCAGCTGCATGTGGAGGAGCGGAGACGCGAACCCGGTTCCCCAGATTACGAATCTACCGCTCTTAACCACTACACCACACTGGCTCTCAGGTTTCCCATTCCTGCACTTATCCTCCTTTGCAAACATATGGACTGATTCAAAAGGCCAGGATGTAAAGTTGAATGTGTGCATGATCTCCATTGCCCTGAATTAGTGAGGTGATTATGAAGGCTTTGTCTGTGGTGGTGGATCACCGATATTGCATCACACGAGCCACCACTTGAAGGACGAAGAGATCTGGGAGGGTTACCTTCAGGTCACATCACTGAAAAGCAGGCCTGGTTGAGCCGAAAACCCGAATCACAGTTCGGCTGATGTGAACAAGTCTTGGTTCTCCCCACACCTGCTTGGATATCCTCCCTTCACAGCTGAAGCAAGCTATGGTTCTCCAGACGTTGTTGGACTCCAATCCTCATCAACCCCAGCTTATAGGAGGTGTGCTCCAACAACCTCTTAAAGGGAACCAGGTGCCCTATCCCTGGCACAAACCATAATTTTTCTGATTTGGACCTATGCAGGAAGTGAGGAGGAGAGGCTAAGAGTCCAAAGATTATTCTTGATGGCAACATGTTGGTTGGCCATCATAGAGAATTGGGAGAGGATGTTTATGAACTAAGACGGTCTTCTTATTTGACCTTTCCCCGACCTCCTCCTTGAAACCTCGCGTTTCCAGCAAAGAGTGGAAAGTGTGTGCACACAAAGAGCCCACTGCCCCATTTCCATCCTTCCCCACCATGGCCCCCTTCACAGAAGAGTCTGGGTCTGGCGCTGGGGTTAGAGAAGTGACAACATTTTATTAGTTTGGTGGGAGGGCTGGCAATTGAAATCCATCTCCTGGTTTGTCTGTTTTGACATTTGCATCTTGATTTCAAGAGTGTCAGCATTAAAAAAAAAAAAGGAACAAGAACTAAACCCGAAACAGGACAAGGAAGGGCACACAGAGTGAATAGACAACGAGGGAATTAACGGAGGGTGTTGGGGGCGCAAAGCCTTACATTCTTCATTCTCAAAACTTGAGTACAGAGCTTGCAGGGGGTTGGCCCACCCCTGGGACTGCAGGAACCTATTGGAGGAGGCAGTTCTCTGGGCATGCTGGCTCTCTTGACCGAGTGGCTATCACACTAATCTTTTATCTCCTAGGACCGCCTTTCTCAACCCTGGGTCCCCAGATGTTTTGGGCCTACAACTCCCATCATCCCTGACCACCGGTCCTGTGAGCTAGGGATCATGGGAGTTGTAGGCCAAAAACATCTGGGGACCCAAGGTTGAGAACCACTGCCCTAGGAAGATCTTTGAAGGCCAAGAGCCCAGTGTGAAATAGGATCTGGCAACAATAGGATCATTGGATATTGGCCTATACTCTGCCTCCCCTGTCAAAGACACGAATGCTTCCAAAAACTGGAAACTACAGGAGGAGAAGGTACTGTCGTGCTCAGGCCTTACATACAGGTTTTCCAGAGGCATCAGGTTAGCCAGCGTGAGAACAGGATGCTGGACTAGGTGGGTCACTGACCTGATCCATCAGGTCTTTTTCTTACGTACTTAACCCTTCACAGTTAGGAAGCCCAATGCCTTAAAGGCATTACATCTCGGGGTGGGGTGGGGGGGACAAAAAACAAAATCAAGACCAGGGCAAAGCATCGTTTCTTCTAATCTAGCTCAAGAGTCCCAGTTTGACATATGCCAACTTTATGGTCTATTCCCTTGGCTTGCCACCCAACTGCAACCCCCAGAAAAGCTGGTAAAATGGTACAGTCCAAAAGGCGGGACAAGGCCTATCCAGTAGTGGGGGTGGGGTGGGGGAAACACTACAGTGCAATTGGTGTACACCATCAGAGGTGGCAAGAGAATGGAGCCCGTACAGTCCCCGATTCAACCTCATTTTCAGATGCTGAGATGGCTCATCCCAAAATATGCATTGCTTTGGAAGGTGATCAAGTCGAGATGGCAGCACCCTATTGCGTGATTGGCAAGGTCCTACTGTAAGGGAAAATATCTCGCTGCAAATGACAAAAATAGGCATATGTTTATCACAGCCTAGCCCTATAATGGACCCGCCCCCTTTGGAAAAAAACAAAACCCAAACCATTGCTGAACTTTAGGATGGACAAAGACCAGCCCTCTTATCTGTTTCAGTAACTTTGCCCCTCCTATCCCGTACATCTTTTGATGGGGGGGGCGGGGAGAGGAGAAAGAGAGGGAGGACTAGGAGGCGGGGAGGAGACCTTCAATCCTCACTTCCCCCTTCCCTCTCCAAAACTAGTCAGTAAGGTGCTGATGGAAGTTAACTGGGCCAAGGGTAGCAGAGGGTTTACCTACTCAGGCCTACCCCTCTTTAGCTGGCTTTCCAATAAATTAAGTGCAACTAGTGAGGAGTTCAAAAGGAAGCATAATACAAGTGGAGACAGAAAAGGCAAGCAAGTGTAGGTGGACTCGTTTCCTATGCTGGAGGCAGACTAGGTTAGCAACTGGGCAGTTAGAGTGTGCGGGACACTCTTTGTCTCGCATGTAAACTACAGGCGTTCCATGGTTTGTTTGTGTGTGGTTTTCCTTTCTTTCAATTTTTCAAAATGAAAATCCCTGCAAAATGGAGTTGCAAGTGAGTGCAATGGATGGATGCATGGGGGGCGGGGCGGGGCGTGGAATGCAGTGTTATGTCGAGGGCACACAGGGTCGGGCTGTAATTTTAAAAACAAAATGGCGTTTGTCCCTGGTGCAGGTTAGGATGATGTGCATGCGACAGCCCCAGACAAGTTGAGCGTTGGTTAGTGGTGTGCACACATGAGTTTTTAAGGATGTGTTGTTGTTGTTGTTGTGTGTGTGAGGTTGGTTCTTGGTGCCCCAGGATGATAGTGTGGCTTTAATAAGCAGTCTGGGCAATGGCTGGAGAGGTATTCAGAGGACAGGAGCTGAGATACCCAGAGACTGCACCTGATACCAGCAGCTTGAAAGTGTGTGTGGGGGGTGTGTGTGTATCTCTCTCTCTGTGGTTCTTAAAAAATGATGAAGAATCGAGAGTGTTGTTGGTGATGGAGAGAGGAGAGGAGAGATGGGAAACTGCAAGTGGCAGGCCAGTGTTGAGAGCTATAAGGCTCAGAAAGATGCATGTGTGTGAGCACTCGCGCATGTGTGAGGAGGAATATGGCCAATGGAAGAACAAAAATGAGGTGGGGGAGGGGCAGAGGGAGGGGCGCGGCTCAGCCAGGGTACAGAAAGAGGGGCTCAGTGTGGAAGTGCTCGTGGAACCTCCCCCTCTCCCCACTGAAGATACCACCCCCCTCCCCCCACATGGCAACGCCCACCTCCCGCAGTGACACCACGTCCCCCGCCTCCCCTCTCCCCAGCACTGAGGAGCTCAGTTCATCTCTTCGAAGAATTTGTAGGTGGGGTTCTCGTAGCCGTGGTTTTGCATCTTGTTCAGCTGCCGCTCCTCGGGACTAACCATGGGATCCACCTGCCATGTGCAAAAGGGGGTGAGGAAAAGAGAGAGACAGAGAGGAAGGCATTAAACAAAGTTAGGGGATCACCAAGAGTCCACCAGCAAAGGACCCGAGGGCAGTTTCTACAGTACAGGTTGAAAAACTGGTTCCCCAAAAGGCAATCCCTTTCCCCAGAGTTCAAGGAGGGGGGTGGAGGAGTCTGTTGGGATTCTCAGTCAGTGCTCTTACCAAACTACAAATCCCAGGATTCTTTGGGAGGGGAAAGCTATGACCCCCCCCAAAAAAGCTTATACAGTGGTACCTCGGGTTAAATACGCTTCAGGTTACATACGCTTCAGGTTTCAGACTCCGCTAACCCAGAAATATTACCTCGGGTTAAGAACTTTGCTTCAGGATGAGAACAGAAATCGTGCAGCGGCTGCATGGCAGCAGCAGGAGGCCCCATTAGCTAAAGTGGTGCTTCAGGTTAAGAACAGTTTCAGGTTAAGAACGGACCTCCGGAACGAATTAAGTACGTAACCAGAGGTACCACTGTACAAAACTGTAGTGGGCGGCTTTACCTGTCACAAGATTCCTACATGGAAAAATACTATATTTATTTCCCTACAGGAATGCAATTATGTTCATACTTGGCGTCTGCTTCATTGCCATATTTGGGTTCAAGAGTTTCCCCCCCTCAGGTCGTTTTGGCAGGAAACTCTGCTTTTGTTCCCCCTGCTTTTCTATGAAATGTGTGGCTTGATTCCCTAGTAAGAGCCATCCAGTGCCATTTGCTCTGGAATGGCTTTCCTAGTGGTGGACAGACTCTTTCCTCTGGGCTGAGGAGAACTCTTGGTTTATTCAGGCTGAGGGCTGGATTAGATTAGAGATGGGCAGACTTGGCCCACTCACCTCAAATTGGCTGGAAAATAAAACTGAATTAAACACACACACACACACACACACGTTAATGTTTGCTTTCCAAACCATTCTAAGGCTTAGAAAATATCCCTTCCTGGGCAGCTTTGCCTGGTGCCCAAAACATCCTCCCCCAAGACTCCTAAACCCACTTCCTCTCCTTTCCCTTTACTTAACCACCTGGAGAAGAGAGGTCCTTCCCTCCCCAACCTCTTCTCCACCGTCCTGGTTCAGTGTGCCAGGGAGTTGTGGAAGCCCTTGGGGTCTACTAGTAGCCAAGGGCTACTGCAATGACAGTTGGCCTTAGGAAGGCTACACACCTCAAGGGTCACTGAACCTCTCTGTGTCAAGAGTGATGGGGAATCACAAAGGAAAGGGACAGGCCTTCCTTCTCCCCACATGCCATTGCCCCCCATCACTTCTCCCAGACTGGCATGATAAACTAACTGAGGGTCAAGGGAGTGTGCAGCATGAGGGCATAAGTGCTTCAGAGGTGAGAAAGAGCCTTTTACATATTTATGCTCAGCAGTGACCCTTTGCATGTGGGCTGCAATACCACTGAGTAAGTGCAGTTTGTGTGTGAATGGTTGGTTGGTTGATTGATTGATGGAGACAACGGTTACAGTGGTTGTGCAAATGGAGTGTGTGTGTGAGTGTGGGACTAGGCGAGTGGTTGTATGAATAGGGTGTTTTATGTTGGCTGGGATTCTACATTATGCTGCTTTGTAATGCTCTCTGACTTTTTTATATTGCTTTTAGGGATATGGATACTGTGTTTTAGATGTACATCATTTGACATTGTTTTTATTGGACTTGTGTGTGTGCGTGTGTCTGTCTGTCTGTCTATCATATAAACCACTTTGAGCTCTCCAGGTACTAAGTGCTCTACGAATGGAAAGAAAAGAATAGCAATAATAATTATGTATTATTATTATTATTATTATTATTATTATTATCATCATTATTATTATTATTCTTCAGGGTCTTTTATGAGCTTGAACGCCAAGAACCTAGCTAGCATCCTTCTCCAGTCATGCATCCAGCCACCCTAGGGGAAAAGACAGTCCTTTCCAACAGTACCTCAACAATGCCATGGCTGATGGTCCCGTAGGGCTTCCGGCGAACCATCAGGAGGCTGATGATGATCACCATGGCAACAGCAACTGCCACCACAAGGAGGCCAATCAGGGCACCCCTGTTGATGGTTACCAAGGTGTCCGGCTCCTGTGGAAGAAGAGATCCAATGAGATCATAAGCAAGGTGAGTTTCACTTCATTTCTTCCAAAGCTGATTGCTCACAATACAAAAGGAGGGAAGTCTTGTTCCACAACACTGAGGAGGGGTGAGATGAAAATAGTTCCTAAACATGGGACCTTTTCTTTCAAAACCAGCATTCTAGTGGCTCGGGAGTGTATAAATGCATTATAAAAATGCATTTATTTATTTTTACAAAAAGATTAAGGGGAGTTGAGAAAATGTCGCACACCTCATCAGTATCGTAGGAAGGCTTCTGGTGATGCAATCACCATCCCACGTGACCCTCAAACAACCAACAATATATCTTTGTTGGTTGGGAAAATCTTTGACATCCTCTCCCCCAGTGACAAAATTCTGGAGGGGAAACAAATGTTGAGTGGTGGGGGATACAACCTCTCTATAACAGAAGATGTCTAGATCCCATGAAAGAAATAAAGAAAACAGCTGTGTGTTTATTGCTATAGTATGAAATTGTCCAGACATGGCCCACATTGCCTTCTGGCTGATCTAGTAAAAAAAAGAAAATAAAATAAAAAGGTAATCTGTAGCTGGAAGTGGCAATAAAGTGATGCACATGGGAGATGTTATATAAAAACATTTCTATTTGGGATAAAGACCAAGTCGGTTTGAATTGCTCTGCTGTTAATCTGATAGCTATACTCTGGCAGCCTTTTGGGACATCTTTGGGAGAAAGGGCCAAAAAGTAAACCCTACACAAATCCCAAGTGGAGTCCCTAAGATGGTTGGGTGGCGCCTTGTACGCCTCCTTCCAGCAACTCCTGGTGCCAAATGTATTGCTCTGCTTTCCTTTGGACCACATCAGGAAGGCAGAGAGGGCGCTCTTGTTGTCTGGGCAGCCCAGGACCTCCATACACACTGCCCAGGCTTGCACCCCGGGAGGTCACTTTGGTAAAAACAATGCAGGAGGCACCAGTTGTAAGCTACCGGTCTCTGCAGCCACAGCAGGTGCTGTGATCCTCCAGCGGTTCAACTTCACCCTTGGAGACACACTCCATTGTCTTGTGAGACAGAAAGGTGTCAACAAGAACTCTGGGTGCATCCAGACATCGCAATAGAACATGGTTGGTCATAATCGGAATGAGCTATTGCCACCCGACCCCCCTCATCTCCCCCCCCTCCACCTCTTTCCCCCTTTTCTTCCTAATGTCTCAACAAATGAAACCGATTTGTAAAAAATGTTACATGGGAAAAAAAATAAGAGAGAGAGACATTGCACATACTTTTGTAAATCAAGAAAACCTTTAATAAAAATACATTAAAAAATAATAATAATCGGAATGAGCTGTGGTGAGCCTTTGGTGAAACTATGATGAGAAGTTGGGAAGCTCTTACTTAAATAAATAACCGCAGTTTGCCATTTCACTTGAACCCAACAAACTGAAGTTCAATTAATTTTTAACAGCAGTTAATCTTAACTACGCTTTGTTTTAAACAAGCCAACTTCCAAACATAGGTTACAGAGCTAGCTTGTTTCAACACGCTGTTAAGGTTAACCACAGTTTAGATTTCGGACATAATGCTAAACCGTGGTTAATCCAAAATGGATGTGGAAGCTTCCAGCTATGAAACTCCTTGCAACTATGTCGGAGGAGGAGAGGGAAGGAGGGAGCATGCAAGACGAAGGCACGCCATAACTTGTTCCTGTCATGATAAATAACAGTTTACGACGTCCGAATGCAGCCTTTAAATGCTTAGCACCAGGAAAGTTAAACACCTTCCTCCCATATGAGCTCATTAAGATCTTCTGGAGAGCACCTCCTTTGAATCTTGCCAACATGCAAACTGTTTGCTAGGACATAAGAAGAGAGCCTTCTTGGTAACTGCGCCCAGCCTTCCTCTTCTGAGGAAGACTGCCTTGACTCTTCCCTAATGACACTCCAATGGCCCACCAAGACCCTGCTCTCTCTCTATGGAAAGATGTCCTGCCGATGTTATAAACTCTATTTTTGATTTTTTAGTTTTCATGTGCTATCTGCTGGTTTTATGTTGTGTATTACAGTACTTATTTAACGCCTCTCGTAAGCTGCCTTAAGCTGGAAAATGGAAAAAGCTGGATAGAACTGCTATGGGTTCAGCAAGCCTATCCTCCACCACCACCCAGGTAGCTTTTCTTCTTCTCAATTTGCATAACATCCCACTGGTTGCAGAATTTGGCCCTCTATGTGGCCCTCTCTGTAGGCCACATTCTTTCTCCAAGACGTTAGCCTCACTAGCAACGTTCTGTACCCTTGAGTGCCTTTGCCTGGCTGGAACATGCCCTTTTAATTTACACATGTATATACTTCTGCAGCCCAGTTCAAGTATGAAGAAATGACTGCTTTATTTATGGAGGGCCCTACTACCACACCAATAGAGGACCTGAATTCCTGCACTAAAAAGTATCACTTCCTGACGCTACTCTAATATTTCTTCTCAATTTCCTGGAAGTTCATAGGTTCTTGACAACTTTTTTTCAAAAATTTTTTTAATTCCCAACTTAAATGCTTTTGCATACCTAGGCAGACCCCCGTATGTAGAAATCAACACCTTATATTTTGGGTAGTTCTGTTTCACTTCTAAGATGACATTAAGCTCAGCTGGTTGAGGGTTTATTATAGGGAGCAATAATATAGGCACAATCATCAGAGAACTAGTGTTGGTTGCTCCTCACTTCTAAGATTATTATTGTTGTACAATTATAAGATTATTGTAACCATCAATGCAGATTTCCTTGTGTTTCCTTTCAGCTAGATCTGCCAATTTTTGAGCACGTACGTCAGCAAATGATTTGGAGTGCTCCAATATCTTCTTTAGGAGCGACCTGTTGTGTTTTCATTGGATGTAACAGAACTCGCACACCATTCTCTTGAAATTGAAGCACCTTGTGTTTCCGGTGGTTCCTAGATGCTCAGCTTTGAAGCAGACACTCCAGAGAAGTGTCTCCCGAGAAGCGGACACGGAGCAATGGATCCAAACTACAAGAAAGAAGATTCCACCTAAACATTAGGAAGAACTTCCTGACAGTAAGAGCTGTTTGACAGTGGAATTTGCTGCCAAGGAGTGTGGTGGAGTCTCCTTCTTTGGAGGTCTTTAAGCAGAGGCTTGACAACCATATGTCAGGAGTGCTCTGATGGTGTTTCCTGCTTGGCAGGGGGTTGGACTCGATGGCCCTTGTGGTCTCTTCCAACTCTATGATTCTATACTACAAACCCTGAAAAGCTATGGTTTTCCCAGTAGTGATGTATGAAAGTGAGAGCTGGACCATACAGAAGGCTGATCGCCAAAGAATTGATGCTTTTGAATTATGGTGCTGGAGGAGACTCTTGAGAGTCCCATGGACTGCAAGAAGATCAAACCTATCCATTCTTAAGGAAATCAGCCCTGAGTGCTCACTGGAAGGACAGATCATGAAGCTGAGGCTCCAATACTTTGGCCACCTCATGAGAAGAGAAGACTCCCTGGAAAAGACCCTGATGTTGGGAAAGATGGAGGGCACAAGGAGAAGGGGACGACAGAGGACGAGATGGTTGGACAGTGTTCTTGAAGATGGCAGCATGGGTTTGACCAAACTGTGGGAGGCAGTGGAAGACAGGAGTGCCTGGCGTGCTCTGGTCCATGGGGTCATGAAGAGTCGGACACGACTAAATGACTAAACAACAACAACAAACCCTGATGGGGTGTCTCTAGGACCCTGGAGCGAGGGACCCTGCTACAGAAATACTAATGGGCCTTTGACCTCCCCAACCCCAGAGCACTACGCCACTCGTGGCAAATGTCAGTTTTCTGCCATGAAATGCGTAGAAAGGCACCGATCACGATGAAGCCAATGGCAAGCCACTTACTGCCTTGGTTCTGACCTGTTAAAAAGTGAGAGTAGGGGCTTTGTTCACAGGGCTGTTGTGTGGATAAAGACTGGGATGGAATTTGCACTCACAAAAGGCATTACTTACTAAGAAGAAAAGGATTAGGTAAAGATTACATCAACTGTTGCAAAGTTCCACAGCGCTCAGAGTAAGCTTTTGATCCCAGCAGCATTCATCAGGCATTCAGAGCAGAAATAAAATGGGATTTGTTCTCCTGCCCAAGGCCATTTTCGCAAATGATTCTTAAGTCAATGTTTCCAGTTCCTGCATCTGTAATTCAGATGTAAAAGCTACATGGGGCTGGAATGAACACTTTTTCAGTTTGCAAAATGGTGCTTCTACTTTCTATGCCATTTTGCCATATGAAGAAGGTGGGTTATTTCTATTTCTATTTCTATTTCTATTATTATTAAAAAACAACAGACAAAAACTCAACTTTAGCATCCCTTGTCAAGGCACCTTAACTGATTGCCATCACCTGGTTTGGCAGAAAACAAAGGACGTCTGTGGCCAAGCCAACTGGATGACATTTCCCAGTTTTGCCCTTACTGGAAAGCTAACACTTCCATCTCCAATTGCTCCCCTAAGAAAACTCCTTTAAGGCCCACAAACAAAAGAAATGTAGCAGAAGTGACCTTTCCTTCAAGCACAATTTGAAAAAATCTATAAACCAGGAAGCAAAAAGTGACACAAAGCAGAGGGTGACCTCAGTCACAGAACACAAAACAAAACACCCAACTCCCTTAGGATAAAGTTCTCTTTGGTTTGGGATTCTGCAGAGAAGCAAACCGGATCACCCTGCTTCCCACAGAGTAATCTGATGCCAGTGATCCTTTTGGAAAAGAGCTGAACTAACAACCAGCCACAACAGAGAAAGCAGAGGCCAAGGTGTAGCTGGAGGTTTATATTACAACAGATGTACACGGGGCAGAGAGTCAACTGACTCGAACGGGGATTTGGAATTCGGCATATAACCAAGAGCATCGTAAAGACGTTAAAAGACAAAATGTGCACAAGGTTTCGATGAGCCAATAGCACTTACAATCACAGAGTCAGAAAGGACCTCAAAAGATCCTCTAGTCTAACCCTCCACCAATGTAGGAAAGTCACTTGTACAGCATCCCTGATAGGTGGCCATCCTTGCCCATCAATGCCTCCTTTTCATCCCTGATGAGAATACTTGCTTAAGGAACTCTGTGTATGCTCTGAAGCCTTTATTTCCTCATGTGTCGCAGGTCTAAAGCCCTGACTCAAAGACAGACCCCGAGCCCCCTCATAAACGGCGAGCAATTATTAAAAGTTCTTTGGGCGTAGCAGTGTCGCAGGGGGTGTTTAAGCTTTAGTCTGTTTAAAATGGATGGTTCCATTGACTTCTACAGCACAAAATCAAGCGGCTGCATATAGGCAAGACCTCGGATATGGGGCATGTTTCTGCCTCTTCTCAACTTCAGAATCATCAGTGCCTGGAGTGATCTTATTGAACACAGTCTTCCAGACTGCAGCCCATTCCGCCAGCCTGCATCAATGGGTGAGATACAAAGCAAGGCTCGTTCCATCAGCTGGCCATTATAAGAACTGCTATTTGAAATTTGGTGCCTGAGTTATTCCTCTTCCCTCCTTGTCCCTTTCTCCTTGTGTGTCATGTTTGTCAGTAATAATAATAATAATAATAATAATAATAATAATATTCCACCTATCTGACTGGGTTTACCCAGCCACTCTGGGTAGCTTACAGCACATATAAAAACATAATAAAACATCAAACATTAAAAACCTCCAGATACAGGGCTGCCTTCAGATGTCTTCTAAAAGTTTTTCAGTTTGCAAAATGGTGCTCTTTTTTATGTCCTTGACATCTGAAGGGAGGCCGTTCCACAGGGAGGGTGCCACTACCAAGAAGGCCCTCTGTAAGATAGTATGCCTGCAGGTAGGGACTGTCTTGTTTCAAGTGATTGCCTGAAAGCCACTCTGGGCTGAAGAGCAGGACACAATTGCTTTAAAGAAATAAAATTCTCCCCTGTGGGGGACACTGTCATTTGGCTTGTTTTCACTAATCATATTTAAGATTAACCACAGTCTGCTCTGGGTTCAGACAACATGCTAATACTGCAGTTAATCTAGAACAGAAGCAAAAGCTTCTGAATTTCTCCTCATGGCCACACCTCAGCTCATCCTCAGCTCACCCTCAAATTGCTAAGCTATGGTTTAGTGCTTTGCCCGAAATCAGTTCATTAAGAAGAAGAAGAAGAAGAAGAAGAGGAGGAGGAGTTTGGATTTGATATCCCGCTTTATCACTCCCCTTCAGGAGTCTCAAAGCGGCTAACATTCTCCTTTCCCTTCCTCCCCCACAACAAACACTCTGTAAGGTGAGTGAGGCTGAGAGACTTCAGAGAAGTCTGACTAGCCCAAGGTCACCCAGCAGCTGCATGTGGAGGAGCGGAGACGCGAACCCGGTTCCCCAGATTACGAGTCTATCGCTCTTAACCACTACACCACACTGGCTCTCCCAGCCTGCTCCCATTCTGTACCTCCCTGCTTTGGATTCTACGGCTTGAACAGAATGCGGCAAAGACAGAAGCCAGAGAATGGCTTTTGTACGCAGGACGACGACAACAACAACAACAACAACATCAAAGGAGATACTCGGAGAAGCGCTTCAAGCCGCAACAAGCTAGGAAACGAATATTGGCTAGAAGGAGCAGACACAATTTCTGTATCCCAAAAAGTTGGACCAAACAAATAAGGTCATTCCGTGTACATACACATTTGTACAGAAAGAAAGAAAAATATATGAATGGCCGCTGCACAAAAGAGGGGTAGGGGTGGGGTGGGAAAGAAATTTGATTGTTTGCTTTTAAAGTCAAACCCACCACATTTTCTGAAACAATATTCAGACTGAAACACACCCATCTCTTGAAATTCACACTTCCCCAAATTTTGCAACGTAGCAGTCTAGCCAAGTAATGCTAATATATGCATGAAATGAAATCTATGCCACCCTTAAATTAAGTTCTTTATGTTTCTGCAGTAGTTTGCAATTTCTTTCTTTTTTTGTAAAAAAACAAAAACTTTTAAAAATCTGCCAGCATTTTAGTGCAAATTTCTAACAAATTTTGGGATGCAGATTTGCCTGCTATATAGAATCATAGAATCATAGAGTTGGAAGAGACCACAAGGGCCATCGAGTCCAACCCCCTGCCAAGCAGGAAACACCATGAGAGCACTCCTGACATATGGCTGTCAAGCCTCTGCTTAAAGACCTCCAAAGAAGGAGACTCCACCACACTCCTTGGCAGCAAATTCCACTGTCGAACAGCTCTTACTGTCAGGAAGTTCTTCCTAATGTTTAGGTGGAATCTTCTTTCTTGTAGTTTGGATCCATTGCTCCGTGTCCGCTTCTCTGGAGCAGCAGAAAACAACCTTTCTCCCTCCTCTATGTGACATCCTTTTATATATTTGAACATGGCTATCATATCACCCCTTAACCTCCTCTTTGCCCCAAATCAGTTCATTAAACTTTGCAAAACAGTTTCCCAGTATGCAATGCATTTGTATGTTATATTCATGAACGTATGAATTTTAGGCACAGCGTCTCCATATATATGCAAAGTTTGTGCCTGTTTGGTTGGAGAAATGCATTGCGAAATTCAGGGATGTGTGAATTTCAAAGAACAGCTGTGCTTTGTTTGGCATATTGGTTCAAGAAGCGTGAAATAGGTAGCTGCTCATTAAAATGCAAACAAAATTGAATTTCTCCCCTTCCCTACTATTAACAAGGATGAAATAATCATTACAGGAGGGAGAGGTTCCTTCCTTCTTTCCTTCCTCTTTCTTTCTTTCTTTCTTTCTTTCTTTCTTTCTTTCTTTCTTTCTTTCTTTTCCAAAAGAGCAATTCCTAAGATATCCCACTAGGAAATTTTGCCGATGCACATTTTAAAGCCTTTCTGAATACAGATCCAAGAGCACTGACTTGAATAACGTTGAGAAAATGTCCTTTTCTAAAAGTGGAGATTCAGCCCAAATGAAGGGAAATGAAGGAGCTGAAATTCTATCAGCTGAAACATAATAAAACGCCTAATAAGGTAAGAGAAGGGGGGGAGGGGGGGAAGGAACAGAGGAAGAAAAAGGAAGAATGAGAAGCATCTAGATAGAGACATAAAAGCCCAAGGAGAAGAATTTTAAAAGGGTTACATTAGAAGCAGGAAGCCTGCCAGGGAGAATTGCTTGGGTCATTAGACCATCAAGATGTAAAAAAAGCACTTAAGGACGACAGAAATATTGCAGAGAAGTTAAATGAGTGCTTTGCATCTGTCTTAGACAAAGACAAGGTTGGTGAGATACACCCAAGCTGTTCCCCATGAAGGCAATAAATCTGAAGAAATGACAGAAACTGAATCGTCTTTGGAGGACATTTTAGAGCAAACGGATAGATTAAACTCATAAATCACCAGGAGCAGATGGAATTCTCCCAAGAGTTCTGAAAGGAACTAAAGTTAAAAGCAAAAAAAGAGAAAGGGGGGGGGAGGGAGTAACTTTAGAACCCGGATCCAACAAGGGCAATCCGTGCTCCGAAGCCCAGATTTTGAGAGACGTTTGCCTTGCTGAATAATGACCACATGTGCAGAAATGGGCATGGCCAAAGCCCATGGATCCAGAGCTATTCCCATTTGAGGAACATGGGATGCCACGCACACCTGCTTAACAGATGCTTGGCGCTGCCAGCTTCAACAGCATCCAGTACCATTTTTGGAGAGGTGGTGGTGATGGAGGAACTGCATCTAAGCACCCCTTTCCCATCCACCCAGAGGTGATTGATAGTGCCAAAGCTGACGGTGCCAAACATCTGCTAGGCTGGGAAATTTGTCCATGCACTCGACTGCTTTGCCTTGGAGTGTCAGGGCTTTAGCAGAGAGCTACAGAAATGCTAACATTCTGCTAGTTTCTTTTTTTAATTAAAAAGAAATCAACAACTGGGTGTGATGCTGGAAGCCTTAGGGCCAAGGGTAGCCAGTGTGGTGTTCCTCCAGATGTTGCTGACCTCCTTATCCCTCCATCATCCCTGACCATTGGCCATTGGCTTGCTGGGGCACACAGAAATTGGAGTCCAGCAACATTCCTGCATTGCAAGGGGTTAGATGAGAGGACCGGTGGTCAAGTCCTATGCTCCAGAGCAAGAGAAAACAAGCTTGCTCCATCTTCCATATGACAGCCCTTGGGGTATTTGAAGATGGGTATCCTATCTCCTCTCAGTCTCTTCTTTTCCAGGCTAAACATACCCAGCTCCTTCAACCGCTCCTCATAAGGCTTGGTTTCCAGAACCTTAATCATCTTTGATGCCCTCCTCTGAACATGATCCAGCTTGTCAACAACTTTCTCAAATTGTGGTGCCCAGAAGACGACACAGTACTCCAGGTGTGGTCTGAACAAGACTCCTCTGTGAAGCTCTAGAGAACTGACGCCAATCCATTTGTGGCTGTATACCCAAGTGGGGCTGAGTTCGTTGCACCAATGTCTGGACTCATTGCAAGGCCTCTCTCTATGTCCCAAGCCTCAGGCAGACGCTTCACCACCTGAAGGTGCCAGGGATAGAACTGGGGCCTCCTGCCTGCAGAGGACTTGCTCTGTCCACCACTGAACTATCTCAGGGAGCGGCCTCCACCCTCTACATCTCAACCTGCCACCACACCACTACTTCCATCTGTGGTTTGGGCCTAGTGTGCTGAAAGCTCATTCCAGGAAGCTCATTCATGAATTTAAGGGAGGGAGAATTGCCTTCAGAAGCATATTTTTACTTGCTGCATACGTTCTCCCACACCTACGCATGATCACATGACAGAATAGCTTTGAACCACTGAAAAGACTTGACAGAGAGAGAGAGAAAGAGAGGCAGGCAGGCCTCAATGCCCAGTTTTAAAAAATAAATAGGGAGATAAATGACAGCCACTTCACCCAGCTCTCAGGGTCAAACTAGATGTCTCTCCCCAGCTACTTTATTCTTGTTGAAAAAGCTTGCATTCTAGGTGACAGGTGTTTCTTCTAGTTTGGGCCTTAGTCTGTGATGTGGGGTGGGGAAACAGACGAGTCTGGATGGATGAATACAGGGTACAGAATGCACATAAGGGAGGGTGTGGGGTTGGATGCACACCTGACCAGGTGGGATGGCGAGGTGCGGTTGTTTCTGGCTGGCTCCAAAGCCACTTACCAGCTCGTCACGTTGGATCTCTTGGGACTTGTACACCATGCCTTTGACATCTGAGGCGGACACATTGACCTGTGGTGAGGGGAGAGGAGGAGATGCTTAGATTTTGGAAGGGCTAAGGGAGAAAAATGAGACTTCAAAGCAGTGTTTACCCTCTCCTCGGTACCAAATCCCTCCAGCAGCATAGGGCAGCTGTCATCTAGTGTAAATAGTTGGACTCCAACTCATATCAGCCCTAAACAGTTGGGCTTCCTCCAGACATTGCTGGACTCCTACTCCCATCCGTCCCAGTAAACATCGCCAATGGCCAGGGATGTTTTCAATATTGGTTTTTAAATGGTTGTAACCCACACTGGGACCTACTGGTAAAAAATTGAATAATAGTTTTAATGGCAGGAGTCCAACAACATCTGGAGGGCCAGATCAGTTTTGGTTTCTCTCTGTTTCTTATTTGCCTCCTTCAAGATCTTAAGTTTTGTTCTCCACATCAGTTTTAAAATGATTTTTAAAGAAGTCCTCATGAAAAATTATCAGGATTTTTGTGTGAGCTTCTCCTAATATACACATTTTTGAAGCAATTTCCCCCAATATAATCATAGAATAGTAGAGTTGGAAGGGGCCACAAGAGTTATCTAGTCCAACCCTCTGCAAGGCAGGAATACTTTGCCTGGTTGCATGCTGTTTTTGCTTACATATGCATCCTTATGGCCACTTTACCTAGCAACTCCAATTTTTGTACAAGTTACTTGGTTGGAGAATGGCATGGCTATTTTCAGAGAATGGCGAGTTATGAAGGATGGCTGCATTTCAATTTGCATATAGTTTCAGGAAGTGAGAATTAGGTAGGTTCCCCTTGAAATGCCAACTTAACCACACACACACACACACACACACACACACACACACAGTTCCTGGCCCCAGTCATCTTTTACTTAAAAGAGCCCAGCAGTTCCCCAATTCATGCTTGACAATGGGAGTTCAAAACAGGTGGGGAGGAAATGTGGTACAGCCCATCCACAAAACCACAGTACGTCAACATCCCCATGGGGAACTACTGTATTTTTCGCTCTATAAGATGCACCAGACCACAAGACGCACCTAGTTTTTGGAGGAGGAAAACAAGAAAAAAATATTCCAAATCTCAGAAGCCAGAACAGCAAGAGGGATCACTGCGCAGTGAAAGCAGCAATCCCTCTTGCTGTTCTGGCTTCTGGGATAGCTGCGCAGCCTGCATTCGCTCCATAAGATGCACACACATTTCCCCTTACTTTTTAGGAGGGAAAAAGTGAGTCTTATAGAGCAAAAAATATGGTATTTGTTTTCAGAACCTCATGGCCTAAAATTCTCCCTCCATTTGGAAAGCCAACACATCAGAGAGTTTCATAGGCATCTATCCCCAGAAGTTGCAAGATGCTTAAGCCCATTTTTGATTTTGAAAGCAACCAGCCACACTTACTCACACAGCTAATAAAACTAAGAAGATAAAATGTTAGCGAGAGAGTTGTGGTGCCTAGACAGGGTGTCAGGCTAGGACTGAAGAGACTCAAGCTCAAAACCCCATTCAACTCACTGGTTGACCTTGAGCCAGAAAGTATGTCTCTCAGGCTGTGTACACACTATATCTTTAAAGCAAATTCAAGCATGCTTTCTCTCAAAGAATTCTGGGCACTGTAGTTTACTCCTCATGGAGTTATAATAATCAGCAACCCTTAAGAAACCACAGTGCCCAGAATTCTTGGGTGGGAAGGATGTGCTTTAAAGATGGAGTGGGTCTCAAAATATCTCACAGGGTTATTGTGAGGCTGAAATGAGAGTTGTGGTAGGGGAACCATGCCCATCACCTTGAGCTGCTTGGAGTACAGGAAGGCTGTAAATATTAATAAAAACAATGAATGCTACAGAAACATCCAGCTTACCTTACGTTCATATTCGTACAGCAAGGCCTTGTCACTGGTTGGATAGTCATATTCTGCCAGCCCTGAAGCTGTGGAACAGAGGAACAGAGGTCTCAAGTCATTAAGCGTCTCAGGTATCACCATTTACTCTGGCATGGAGTTATTTTGGACAAAAAATGACCCAAAACTCTTCTCCCCCCACACCACCAAAACTCCCAGGGGGTGGTGTTGTATATGGGCGTGGGGCACTCACCTTTCTTGTCCGCTTGTTCAGAATCTGCCCGTTCCCCACAGAGCAGCAGGAGGAGAGATTAAGCATAGCATAAAGAAAGAAAAGAACAGAAAAAGGAAGAAAAGAAGACAAGTTTGAGGCCCAGAGTGTTGAGATAGCAGAAGGCAAAGCTAGCAAGTAGGGCAACTGGTTTTCAAGCTGTGTTTGAAGGAGCACTGCAGATTCATTGGACATGGTATCATTAGTGGTTGGGATAGGGACAGGCGCTAACCTATCTGTTTTGGTTTCCCTCAATTCCCCATTTTTCAAATCTTAAATTCAGCTCTCCACCTTTCCATATCAATTTGCAAATCTCTTTTTAAAAGGTTCTCAGGAAAATTCGTCAGCATTTTATTGCAAATTTCTCCACACAGATTTTTGTATGCAATGTGTGTAACATACACATTAAAGCAAAGTGGTTTCTTTTTTTAAACAATGCATTTTTGTATGTTATTTTCATTAAAATGTGCACTTTTTTGCATACGTTACCCTAGTATGTGAATTTTTGTACACATTACTCGGCTGGAGAACTGCACTACAAAATTCAGAAACTTTCACATGTGAAAGGATGTCTGTGTTTCAGTTTGCATATTGTTTCAGGAAGTGTGAATTAGATAAATTTGCCTACCTCACCCCTAATCTGGGGGTCCCCTCAAAGAGAAGACCAGCAATGGCAGAAAAGCTTCCCTGAAAGATGCTTTGGTAATCACTTCCTCTCTTGTAGGAGAGCACTGGGTGAGTTCTGAGTGTGTGGTCTATTGCACCCATGGCAATAGCAAGAAGTTGTTCCAGAACCTTCTATACTGAGCAAGAGTTCCACAACTGACATTTAAGGGGCTTTTCCCGAGGCAAACACATCGGTGGAAGAAAGAATTCCTTCTACAGGCAAAAAATGTTTGAAAGCCATTGAAACAAGGCATGCCAGAAAAAGAAAGTTAAGAACATAAAAGGAGCGCTGCTGGATTAGACCAAAGGCCCATCTAGTCCAGCATACAGGAAGCCCAGATGCAGGACATAGGTTCAAGAGACCTCTCCCACTCGTGATCTCCAGTGACCAGTGTTCAGAGGCATATTGGAGGTAGTACACAGGCATTATAGCTAGTTGACATTGATAGCTTCATTCCCCATGAATTTGTCTAACCTCCATGGGAAGCTGTCCAAGTTTGGTGGCCATCGCTATACCTTGTGGTGATGAATGACGCTGTTGAACTATGCGCTGTGTGAAGTAGTTCGTCAGTCCTGCCAACATTTTATTATTACTGCTACTACTATTACTATTATTATTAATAACAAAATGTATATCCCATCCTTCTTCCTGAAGGAGCCCTGGGCAGCAAATCCACAAAATATAAAACAACTAGAACATACAAAAACCATTCTAATAAAGATGCAGACCAGGAAAGATGACTACTTAAAAGGCTAGTTGAACCGGGAAGGACTTTGTTTAGATTTGTTGAGACTCCAAGTCCCAATGAGCATGAAAACCCAGATCTCTGCCCATTTTCTGCACACCAGAGAACAAGGGCATGCCAAGCAGGTGCCCGGCCACTGCCCCCTCCCCATTATGAGATATCATCATTTAGACACCATCTGAAGAAAATAAAAACCGCAGTTGGTGGCAAGCAGGGAGACAAAAACAAATATGGGGAAGGTTCACTCTCCCAACAGCTGATACGTCTCCTCACATTCGTGTACTCATGACTGGGGACAAGAAAGTGAAAGGAGACACGGCTTGTGGTTCCTTGCAGGATACATGCAGCAGAACTGGAGACGTGATTCTGATGCGACAATCCCCGTTGGACACAGAACTATTGTCGCAATGACTTCACTGCCTTCCCCCCCCAAGCGGTTAGGGCCAGAAATGTGGACGTCAGGGAGAATGCCAATGAACGAGAGCATGAGGGTGCCTGGGACAGCGTAAGGCAGCCTCAGCCTAGCAATTTGCTCTTCTGCACCTTCCGATTGGCCCCTTCTACGCGCAGGTAGCCTCGAGGCTCCGTCAGTGCGTAACGCAATGATTAATAGGTAGCAGCAGGAGTTCCTGGCAATGCTGGCCGTCCATGTTGCTCTGTTCGCGTTCATTCCTACAGCTGCTGTTGTACGCTGTCGACTTTGCCTCTTTGGAGCACCATTCACATCACGGAGGTGATCGTTCTGGTGTAGCAGCCATCCAGCATAATAAGATCACTGCATCATTCACCCTCTTTTCTCTTAGTTCATTCATAGGCTGCTGTTTTCCTCTAGGGAACTGTGCCGTTCCCTCCGCCCAACTCTGCATACCAGAGGAGACGGCATCGCTGCTATTGTGCTACAGAAGCTCTTCTTAATCTAGGATGAAGCGAGAGGCGAGTTGCACACCCCAGAGAGCATTATTATTTTTACCATTCATGCTTTGAACTCATAGAAGCAAATTGAACGGTTGACATGAACCAAAGGGTTATTATAAGATTATAGCCAAAAGAGTGCTCCTGGGGTCTGACCTCCTCTAAAGATATCCCCTTCCCTAGAACGTTCTGCTTTCATTAGACAGAAGTCAGACCTTTTGCTTGTGGAGACAGAACAAAAAAAAACCCATGTAGGTATTTTACCCAACTGCTCATAAGCAGCAGTGCAAGCAAACAACTCTAACCGCATTAGGCAATCTCTGTTTTAAAAGCTGGTGGGCTGTATTGCTGCTTTGTGAGAAACTGAGTAAAATATCCCCCGTACGCGGCTGGGTTTTGGCTCCCCCCAACAAAATCCCCTTAGACCACAAAATTTCTGGCTGCAATATAACTTAGGTTATCACCACAGGATAACTGATGTTAAACATGTCCAGATCATACTCCTGCAAGCATTGGCGAGGGGCGGGAGGTGAGAAATTCAGTTCAGTTTGCATTGGAAGAGAGATTATCTGCATCAGGCTTTTGCAAAACAACAGCTGTCTTTCAAAATCTGCACATCCCAAAAATGTGTAAATTGGGAGAAAGTGTAGATAAAATGCATCTCTGACTGCAAAATAACACACAAAACATGCAAAAATGATCTAATAGTTGGTAGAGCGTGGGACTCTGAATCTCTGGGTCGTGGCACTGAGCCCCATCTTAGGCAAAAGATTCCTGCATTGCAGGGGGCTGGACTAGATGACCCTCAAGGTCCCTTCCAACTCTACAATTCTATGATGGGGGAAATCACTTGCAAAAATGGGTATATTAGCAGAAATGCACACTAAAATGTTGATGCATTTTCGTTAGGAGTTTTTAAAAAAAGATTCACAAACTGCTGCAAAAATCTAGTAAACTAAATTTAAGATGAGAAAAATTAGCAGCAGAGAGAAACTGAAACAGACAGATTTTCTCATCCTTTGTTGTTGCCCAAGCAGAAAGGGCTTCAGTGAAATAAGTCTCTTCCTGAAACCCAGGGCCTTCCAGTGAGGCTTGCAGATTGCAGAAGACAGGCACAGGGAATTGCCTTTTGCCAGGCCTGATGTTTCCTCATCTAGTCCAGCATAAAGGAAGCTATCTATTCTCTACCATTGAGCCAAAGGGGCCCTTCCTCAAATGGAAGAGTACTGCCTACTCAGATTGACAATGACCCTCCAAAGTCTCAAGCAGAGGGTATTCCCGAACGCCAGCCACTTGGACCGGAGATGCCTTGGGCTGAACAGGTGAGCATCTGCAAAAGGCGCCAGCAGAATTTTCTTCTAAGAACTGGAATGCTTTCGAGGACTGCTGGTGTTTGGACCCAGGCTGGGTCCATACACAACAGAAGCAGTGGTAAAGTGATACATGGCAAAGTGGTAAAGTGCAAGGGCCCCTATAGACACACCCCAAGTCAAGTCCAAAAATGCAGGCATTATTATGGGAACGCACAGCAGCACATTAACACAACCACAGATCAACACCACTGCAATCCTATGCTTGGTTTCCTGGGAGTAGCTCCATTGACCTTCTCATTGTATAGGTTCAACTCAGGGGTCAGCAAACTTTTTCAGCAGGAGGCCGGTCCACTGTTCCTAAGACCTTGTGAGGGGCCGGACTGTATTTTGAAGGGGGGGGGGAAGAATGAATTCCTATGTCCCACAAACAATCCAGAGATGCATTTTAAATAAAAGCACACATTCTACTCATATAAAAACACACTGATTCCCGAACCGTCCGCGAGCTGGATTTAGAAGGCGATTGGGCCGGATCCGGCCCCCGGGCCTTAGTTTGCCTACCCATGGTTCAACTTCTAAAAACACACCGATACCTTCAACCAACTGAAGTGCAACCTTTAGCTAGCAATCAAGTAAAGAAATGAAATGTTGCTATTCAAAAACTGAAGGCATGAAAAAGGAACCCTATCAAAAGAAAAGGAACGAAGTATCCAGCCTCTGGATTATTTTTCCTCATTCCCTGACTTCCTCTATGCTAATCTGTCGCAAGCAAACATGAAAGTCTCGCTACTATCTCATTCACTTGCCAGAGCAAGAACAAAGTCCATCAGTTACCCCCCGCCTGGCGCTCCAGAAGATGATGTCACTGCTTAGGATCTGAAAAAAGAAAGTCTTGGAACTGCAACCTCTTCAAACTACAGGTGGGGGATACTGCTTTGGAATGCTTCCTCATGTTACACACTCAGCAAGTAGCAAAGCAGAACAGCAGAGCTCTAGCCTGTCTGTCTGCTGAGCTCATTCTCTGTTTGCGGGGAGCTTTTAGCATAGCGGAGAACTCAAAAGGGTGTGATGCTTCACTGCAGTCGATTCCAACACTTCATTCTACTGCGTGTCTAAGACTGGGCAGTGAGATGCGAGTTCAAATCCCAGCCCAGCTTTGGTTATGCTGCACTCTCAAAGGGTCCAATTAGACAATGCTATTAAACAAGGAAACACATTCAGTGTGCTGAGTCTTAGCACTGCATTGTTTAAATCAGTGTTTTTTGGACCACAATTCCCATCATCCCTGACCATTGGTCCTGCTAGCTGGGGATGACGGGAGCTGTAGTCCAAAAACAACTGGAGATCTAAGTTTGGGAAACACTGGTTTAAATTGTTGTTGTGGGAGGGCCTGATCAGGATTGGGTTTGTGAACGTAAGAGAACAAGATCCTTCTAGTTATAAAATCGTATAATTGTAGAGTTGGAAGGGACCCTGAGGATCATCTAGTCCAACCCCATACAATGCAGGAATATGCAGCTGTCCCATGCAGGGATTGAACCTGCAACCTTGGCATTATCAGCACCATGCTCTAACCAACTGAGCTATCCCTAAACAGCCCAGCATCCTGTTCTCACAGTGGCCAATCAGATGCCTCCGGGAAGCCTGAAAGCCGAACCCGAGTCCAATAGCAATCTACCCACTTGTGCCCCCCAGGAATTGGTATTCAGAGGCATATCCCCTCCAATATTGGGAGGTAGTACACAGCCATCATTATTTTCACTTCTTTATTATTCTTATATCCCACCCTGCTTCCAGAAGGAGCCCAGGCGGTCTAACAATAATCATACAGATAAAATTAGCATCCAAACAATAAACACAGAAAGGTTAAATCATTAGATGCAATACAGTGGAAAGCAAACAACTGGACACTCAACCTCCCATCTGACTATATGCCAAAGGCCCAGACAAATAGGTCTTAAACTGCTGCCCATTGGAAATCAGGGTGGGGCGCAATTGGATCTCCATCAGGAGGCAATTTTGCAATAGGGGCAGCCACAGAGAAGGCCCTGCCACACATTGCTACGCCAAAGGCCGTGTCCATTGGTGGAATCACAAGCAGAGCCCCTCCCACAAATATGAAGAGGCAGGACTTGTAAGTATTGGGGGAGGCACTCTTTCAAGCCTGTGGGTTCCAACTGTTCAGGGCTTTGTACACTAATAACAACTCCATAAAATTGACTAGTCTTCCAAGAATTTGCCTAACCCTCTTTTAAACCCACCCAGGCTTGTGGCCATTAACTTTGTGCTGTGTGAATAAGCACTTTCTTTCTTCTGTCTTGAATCTTCAAACATTCAGCTTCATTGAAAGATCCTGGCTTCTAGTATTATGAGAGATGGTAGAAAACATCTCTCTATCCTTTTTCTTTACATAATATTCTCCCTTGCTCACTTTCTCCCACCCCGCCCGAAACTAAAAGCTCCTAACACTGTAACCTTTTCTCAAAGGAGTGTTGCTCCAGCCCCTTGATCATTTTTAATTGCCTTTTCTTCAATGTTTTACAGCTCTACAATATTGTATTGTATTCAGGCACGGTAACTGGAACGGCACACAGTATTCCAAATGTGGTCGCACCATAGATTTTTTACGATGACATTATTATATTGGCAGTTTTGCTTTTCGATTCCTTTCCTAATTTATATTCTTAATGGTCACCAAAATGGAATTCACATTTTTCACAGCTGCTGCAGACTGGATAGACATTTTCATTGAGCTATCCACCATAATAATCCCAAGACCTCCTTCTTGGCCAGTCACCGCTAGCTAGACGTGAAGATGCAGCATTTTGCCCCCTAAGTGCAAAGCTTTGCACTTGCTTGCGTTGAATTGCATGAGCTGTTTTAATGCCCATTCACCCTGTTTGGAGAGATCTTTTTGGAGCTCCTTAAAATGGGAGATAAATGGAATTTCTACAAGTAAGGTCATTATCAACATCGAAGCAAAACTGACCATACTGATAATGCATCAGATGTTGGAAAGAGAGCACTGAACCAAAAAGTCAAATTGCAGAAAGAGTCAAATAATGAGCAACAACCCATCCACACAAATTTCTCACTCGGCTGTATCACTCAACCCATTCATATGGGGCATGAGTTCCGGGTCTAAAAGTTGAGTTTTATAAAGGTTAAGAATAGCCCATAGGAAACTGCTTTCATCCATGTCAGAATATTTATTCATCTATCTCAGCCTTGTCTGAGTGGCTCTCCAGTGTCTCCAGCAAAGGTCTGTCCCACCATCGGCTCTTAGATCCTTTTTAACCAGACACGCCAGGCAACTACTGAGCTATGGCCTTTGCCCATCAAATTTAAGATATCTTCTTTCTTCGTTTCTTTCACAGTCTGCATCTCTGTGGACTTTGATCATCTCACCATCCATCCTTCTGCCCAAGCATGCAATCTCGGCACTCCTCATTATCCTTTGATCCTCAGATACAATCAGTCACCAAGCCAGCCATTTTTACATCTGGAATGTGTCTGTTATCTGTTCTTTTCTGTCTCCAGACTGCTGCTGTTTGCTTTGGTGGCTTCTCTCATTATTTCTCTTCTCTGTGGCTGGATTCTTTTCGCTGGGTTCATCTCTATCGCTCTTATTTTTAAACCTGTATGCCTCTCCAGACAGCCTGCTTTTCGTGCACTCGTGGTGATGATTGGGTTATTGCACTTTATATAGTTGTGGTAGGTTTTTAAAAAAAAAGGAAAGAAAATCAAAGCAACTTAAAATATAATACAAAAATAAGTGAGAATTTGGCTAAATTGAAAACAGAGCCAGTTCTAGAAAAGGCTTTGTTGAGCAACCATTGCGATTTCTTTCTGGAGAAATTAGATGCTGTCTACTGAATATTTGTTCTGATTGGATCGCAGGGAGGTTAGATGACATTGCATAAAGCAATTAGCAACCCACAATTCCAGGTGAATTTCACTGTCACTTTCCTTACTGCAAGAAGTCTGGCTTTTTTTGGGGGAGAAGCAAGATTAAGGCTTCCTAATCAACTATTATCATACAACCTGAATCTGTTCGGAAGTGACTGAATCACACCTGCAAATAGCGACAGCCTAGAAGCACCTTAGTTTCCCCAGCGGATATGTCTTCCCCAAATATCTATGTACCAAAAAGCAAGTCCTACCGAGTTCACTCACAAGAGGAAACAAACAAGCCGAATTGAAGTGACAAAATTAGAAGTGAGAATTTCTAAGGAAAGCTATGTTTTGAAAAATCCAAATTGGGCAGGTTCACATTAAAACTCAAACAGAACCAAGTTTCTCCTCCATCCCTGCCCATCGTTCAGGCAGTTCCTGATGATTCATGCTGGATTCTTCAACTCTATATGCCTGTATCATTTCCCCCCCAAATGTTATGAATGCGTATCTTTATGGTGTGAACTGTTTTGCAATTCTCTGAATAGTAAGTACCCTAAACATATTTTAAAATAAAAACAAGATCTCCTGTGAACCGGCTCCTTTTGTACTGGGCCACTATGATGCTCCAGGGACAGTCATGACTTGAGGAGTGTGCTGGTCACCTTTGCTAAGCAAAGCATCATCTCTTTCAAAGGCATCCTGAACTCACCTTCTCCATCACGTGGGTACGAATGGCTCTCAGAAACCAAGTCCTCGCTACTGTCCATGGGCAGGAATTCCTCAGTGGTGCGTGTCTCTGAGATGGAGGTGGTGAGCAGGTCGTTGGTGGTCACCCGTTCTGAGCGCAGCAGCTCCTCTAGGAGAGCATTACAGAGAAAGGGGTCAGAGAGTTGCCCTGAACATCAGCCGACTCCACTCCTACCTTTTCACAATTACGTGTGCTGCAACCGTTTCCCCCAAACCTTATTATTATTATTATTAGCCATCCTTATGGGATCCTCTCTGTGCTTGCTTGGCAAATCTAAACCCATCACTCAAAGAGGACATTCAGCATTTTGCAGTATTTCCCTTCTTTAATAAATAAAAAAAAAAGCATTTAGACCACCCTTCATCTACAGAGACACCAAGATGGTATACAAAAGCAAATATAAATAAAAATGAAGGCCGTACGATTAAGGAGCACATCAGCATACATAACAACCAAAGACAAAGGTGTTAAACAAGCAAGCAGAACAGGCTGCCTACTAATAAAATTCCTAAAACTTGGGACTTTTTGGAACAGCCCAGGCAAATGAAGGAGTTTTGATCTGACATAGAAATGATTATAACACTGCCGGCAGTTTTTACCCCTCAAGGGAGGGCATTAAGACTATATAGACAGCTGCCTTAAACTGAGTTGGACCATTAGGCCACCTAATTCAATATTGTCTCCACTAACTGGAGGCAGCTCCCGAGGGTTTCAGACTGAGGACATTGCCTGCCCAACCCGGAGACATAAGGCCCAACCCTGGGACCTTCCACACGCAATGCAGATCTTCTTCTACTGGGCTTTGGCCCTTCTCCAAAATAGGCACATGGGAAATTGCCTTTTACTGAGTCCATTGAATTTAGTATCGCCTACTGATTGTCAGGGATCGTGCTGAGGAGGGCTGCACTGAGGAATAATGGTGGGAGCCTCCCCCTCCCCCTGCTCCTAGTCAGGACCCTGAATCTTCCCAGGAGCATTGGGACAGTATAGATTTGGAACAGTGGTTTGCAGAGGGACATAGTTCAGAAGGCAGAAGTTGGGAAGGACTGGGTGGTGAACAGCTAGGAAAAGAAGAACTGGGAGAGAGTTGGTTAACAGACTCTCTCTTGCTGGAAAGCGTCCATCCGCTCAGCCCAAGGTCAAGGAGAGCAGAGAAGGTGGCCGCACAGAAAGCACAGTGGTTGCAAGACGAGGAACTGACATGGGTGACTGGGGGGAAGCGGGTGGAACCCTTAATTGGGAGCACCTTCATTCCTAGGAATGGATTCTTTGTTCTCTCGCTGTGCTCATTAAAATCTCTAACTGGTAAGTGACTCCTTTCGCTTGTTCTACTTATCTACTGCCAAAGGGGGTGGGGGAGAAGGAAGACGAGTCCCTGAAGCCTGACACTGACGGGCATTTCAGAGATGAGGCACTTGCCTGCAGATGTCAGGGGGCTGAACCTGGGACCTTCTGGGTGCAAAGCAGATGCCCTACCGCTGAGCCACGGCCCTTCACCTCCACAGATATGGTGCCATCAGAAAGAAGGGTCTGAACTTCACAGGACAGCTGGCTGGGCATAAGGGCCTCATCTAAAGATCTTATGATATGGGCAGCTGGGATAAGGAGAGGAGGAGCTCCACAACATCCCCCTGAAGGCAGTCTCTAGGAAACCCTCTCCTACCCGGTCAGGCCTTTGGGTCCATCTCATCTAGACCTACCAATGTCTCCTCGGAGCTCTTGGGCAAGCTGAGGGTTCTTGTAGAGCAGCGCCAGACTCTGGTTCATCCGTTCTTCAATGACATGCAGGTGGGTGTAGACCTGGGGATGAGAGCAGCCCAGGTTTATTATTGCTCCCCTCCTCCAAGAAGGTGTGAGTGCAGGGACCCCAGACAGGGGCACCTGGGGGGCGGGCAGGAGGGGAAAGAAGAAGAAGAAGAGGAAGGATGGAAACCAGACCTGGAACTTCATTTGCTCAGCCTTCTCGGGATCAGCAGCTGCCACGTGCTGGTAATGTCGGAGGGTGTGGCGCTGGTCCTTTTGTTCTGCCCGCACGTATCTCTTCAGGGCTAACAAGACGCGGTCCGGCTGGGTCAAAGGGAGAAGACAAAAGAAAAAACAAAACAAGTTAGGCAGGTGCAGGTGTAGCTCAGCGGTAGAACCTTGCATGCAGAAGGTCCCAAGTTCTTTTCTTTTTTTTGAAAAGTTTTTATTGTTAAAATATTTCAGCATTAATACACACATATTGCGAATATACAAACATACAAACATACATTTCATACAATCCTTAAAAATGTTCAAACATACCTAAACTCAATCCCACAAATAATTCCTTTCCCCATCACCATCCACCACCCCTCACCCCACCTTTGTGTTAGACTTCCAATCTACTCAATTGCAATTTCTTTCTAATCTGGGGAACCGGGTTCGCGTCTCCGCTCCTCCACATGCAGCTGCTGGGTGACCTTGGGCTAGTCACACTTCTCTGAAGTCTCTCAGCCCCACTCACCTCACAGAGTGTTTGTTGTGGGGGAGGAAGGGAAAGGAGAATGTTAGCCGCTTTGAGACTCCTGAAGGGGAGTGAAAGGCAGGATATCAAATCCAAACTCCTCTTCTCCTTCCTTTAGACTTCCTGGTACTATTCCCAATAGAAAACCACAGAAGGTCCCAAATTCAATCCCCAGCATCTCCATGTAGGGCTGGGAAAAAACCTCTCTGCCTGAAACCTTATAGAACCACTGCCAGCCAGTGTGGGCATTATTGAGGTAGACCATGGGTAGGCAAACTAAGGCCCGGGAGCCGGAGCCGGCCCAATTGCCTTCTGGATCCAGCCTGTGGACGGTCCAGGAATCGGCGCATGGATCGGCATGGGGATTCTGATCATTTAGGCTGCACCATCCCCCCCCACTGTGGCGGCACCTCCTCCCTCCCTCTTCCTGGCTTTTCCCTGCCCTGCCTAGAGGAGGAAGGGGGCCGGGTTTGTTGAGCCGCGGTTGGCTGAGCGCCATTTTAAGCAGCCTCTCTCTGGAGCCAGCCCTTTTGACAGCATCTTAAAAAACAGAGACATCACCTTGCCAACAAAGGTCCGTATAGTTAAAGCTATGGTTTTCCCAGTAGTGATGAATGGAAGTGAGAGCTGGACCATAAAGAAGGCTGATCACCCAACAATTGATGCTTTTGAATTATGGTGCTGGAGGAGACTCTTGAGAGTCCCATGGACTGCAAGAAGATCAAACCTATCTATTCTGAAGGAAATCAGCCCTGAGTGCTCACTGGAAGGACAGATCCTGAAGCTGAGGCTCCAATACTTTGGCCACCTCATGAGAAGACTCCTTGGAAAAGACCCTGGGAAAGATTGAGGGCACAAGGAGAAGGGGAGACAGAGGATGAGATGGTTGGACAGTGTTCTCGAAGCTACTAACATGAGTTTGACCAAACTGTGGGAGGCAGTGGAAGACAGGAGTGCCTGGCGTGCTCTGGTCCATGGGGTCATGAACAGTCGGACATAACTAAACGACTAAACAACAACAAGTCCGCAAGCTGCGCATATTCCATCAGCCACGATTGCTATGTTTGGTCTCCACTGTCAGAGGCCGAATGCTCTGCTCATGTGCAGGCATCCCATAGGTACATGGGAACAGGATGCGAGACCAGATGAGCTATTGGCCTGATCCCAGCCGGCTTGCCTTCTGATGTTAGATGTGTCCACTTCCAAGTATGCTATCAACAACATCTCTAACGTAACCAGCCAGGATAGCTGAGTCGGCAGAGCAGGAGACTCTTAAACCCATGGTCGTGGGTTCGAGCCCCGCGTTGGGCAAAAGATTTTCTGCATTGCAGGGGGATCTGAAGGCAGCCCTGTTTAGGGAAGCTTTTAATGTTTAATAGGTTATTGTATTTTAGTGTTCTGTTGGAAGCCGCCCAGAGTGGCTGGGGAAACCCAGCCAGGTGGGCAGGGTATAAATAATGAATTATTATTATTATTATTATTATTATTATTATTATTATTATTATTGACCAGACGACCCTCGGGGTCCCTTCCAACCCGACAGTTCTGCGACAGCTTCCGTGCAACTTTTCTGCGTCCTGCTCCCCCTTCCTGCTCGTATCCGGTCCATTTCCAAGCACCCAAAGGAGGCGCACAATACCCAGCCCTTCACTTTGCATGGTTTTGATCTGTATTGCTTGGAACACATTCGCCTCGCACTGTTCATATTACAAGACACAGGATGACAGGGACGAGCATCTTTCTCTTCTCGGCACCTGCACGCTCCGGAGGTTATTCCAGGCTAACCGTTCTAACCCCCCTCACCCGCCCTCTCAAAATGTTCAGGCAGGGTTTGCTTGTCTGTTATCCTTCCAGATCAACCTTCATTTCCATCTCTTTCCCCGCGGAGCAAATGCAATAAACAAACAGTTGCTTTATTGTGCATTCATGACACTCGACAACGTGCTTGCTACTGTTCTCCATTCACAACTAGAGGCCTGTTGCGGAGGCCACGGGAGCGACACAGTCCTCTGACCAGAGGGCGTGGCGCTCTGCACAATTATTGCCATTATCATTATTATTAATTGGATTTATATCCTGCCCTTCCTTCCCAAGGAGTCCAGGACAGGGAAGATAACAGTGCCATCTAGGGCAGCATATTCTGGTTCAGTACATCCTGCCAGCCTCCGTCCGTTCTCAGCCTGCCCTCCATGCTGTCCCAAAGTTTGTCATGAGTTCTAATCCTGCCCTAGCGCTCTTGCTCTGCTGCTCAGCACATCAGGTGACCAAAATCTGAACAGAAAATTGTTTCCTTACTCTAATCTTTAATGTCTTTGCAAATGTGCCCTGGAATAGGCAGGAAAAGGCCCCTGATCCTCCTTTCTGGAACAAAGGGATATCAGCCATGCCAAGGAGTTGGCTAAGCTGCCTCTGCGCTGCCTCCCCAAAACTGCAGCTTAGCAGAGATTTTTTTTCTCTCTCGGGGGCTGCTGTGGAAGACACCCCTGGACTCCCAGCACCCCAGGCTGCCACTACGTTTGCCTTCAGTTAAGCTGGCCCTGAAACAGCTTGATGAATAACAGGGAAGAGGCTGTACCAGGCATAAGGAGCAGCAGAAAGCACAGAGGAGACAAAGGAGATAAACAGGAAAGGAGCTTGCAAGGAAAGACAACAGAAAGATAAAGGCAGTAGAGAGGGGCGATCTCTTATACCTTCCTCCCTTTTGCTTATTTTTTGATTACAGGAAGTCCAAAAGTCATGTAGCAAACAGCCATAGCTTTTAGCTCACTGGAATTCTGGTTTCAGAACTTTAACTTTGCATTGCCCATACGGGTTTCAAAAACTCATATTCTCAGCCTTTGCTGCGTAGGAAAAAAATGCTTTCTTTCTTAAAATGTTTATCAGAGATTCTCAGGAGTTCTACCAGAAACTGACCCGAACCCACATCTTTCATTTCATTTTTTGCTCAGCCCTTGCTCCAAGGAGCTCAGGGCAGCAAACATGGCCCCCTTTCCCCATGTTCTTCTCACAACAACCCTGTGAAGTAGAGCTTAGGCTGAGACACAATGAATAAAGACTCAAAGCCATCCAGTGAGATTTATGGCTGCGTGGAGAGTTGAACTGGATGTCCTGGGCTGAACAGAGAAATTCTAGCCATGTTTGCTTGATGTTAAGTCCCAAAGCGTTCAATAGAGCTTACTCTCTTTTAAAATATGTCTAAGATTGCTGCCTAATACTTTAGCCACTTTGCTGCTCTGTGTATGTGCAGGATTCTTCCCCAGTGCCAGATTCCACACTGGAGTTCACAGAGTCCAAGCACACAAATAACTTGAATTATAAAGCTTGATTCTTCTAGGTGATGGGTGTAAAGCATTTACCCATGTAAGCATGTCATGTGCAGTCAGTTATATTTAAATGCACACATACATGGAGTGGCACATCCATGTGCAATGTGAAGCATTCATGTTAATCTACATGAGATTGGGCACGTGCTGGACAAATGTGTCCTGTATATTAACATGCCCAGATTTATAGTCGGGTCAGAGCACAAGGGAGTCTGGGTAATAAGGTCTCCAAGGAAAAACAAAAAGATCTTTAACAGAGAGGGTGATAACAATGGGGAGAAGAAAGAGTTTGAACTAGAAAAGGATAAGTTAATGCATAATTTTTTTAAAAAAAACCCCCCTCATATTTTCCCCTACAAAAGGGAGCTGCTTAAAGTGGCTTACAAACGAAAGCAACAATTATCTTATTTTTAAAAACTAATTTAACGGTGGAAGGTTCACAGGCTATGAAGGACTTGCTCACAAATTCATTGACAGCTGCACGAATTATTATAGCCAGGAAGTGGAAGGGGCAAGCAGAATATAAAATGGAAGAATGGTATAAAGGGGTGTGGGGTATACTATTAATGATAAATTAAAATGTGCCATTAAGGTAAGATGGGGAATACGCAGGAGAAATGATTTTGAGGAGATACGGAGGGTGTTTGTAGAATTTGTCCTGTTAAAACGGGAAGGGGTCAAACCATCGCAAGAGGTATTGACATTCTGGGAAGTTGGATAGTTACAATGGAATGGCCTCGGTGGTGGGGTGCACATTTTTTTTCTTATTTATTTATGATTATGACTTTGTCAAAAAAATGTTTTTTTATAAAAAATAATGTATAAAATGTAAATAAATGTATAAAATATAAATAAAATAATGAAAATGAAAAAACAAAACAAAAACTAATTTAACAAAACCAAAAAGACGCAAAAAGGCCAAAGAGTGGTGCCATTCGAGGGAGGCAATGGCATCCAACCAGGTAAAAGTACAGGTAAAGGTAAAGAACATCATCCCTGAGCAGCTTCCCACCCAACTCATCCCCTCCCTCCTCTATATGCTTTTCCTTACCTGGGGATTATCAGTCTGCACAGCAGTCAGGTAGCTCTCTAGTGCCGCCCGTCGATTATCATTGAGCAGGGCCACCACACGGGCCAAATGAGTCTCAACCAGCCGCTGTCGCTCTCGAGACACCTGCTCCTCCAGCGTCTGAAGGATGGACTGGAAGTGCTGGGTCAGCCAAGAGAGAAGGCGAGAGGGTCATGAAGTTAAATGTATCTGCTGGGACCAAAGGGTGATGGTCTGGGAACATCTGGTGATGTACAGCACCGCTGAAGTTAAGCAGATGTGCAAGCCCTCCCAGCTGCCCCCTTCAACACCTGATGTTGAGTTTTGGGAGGGTGGGAGGAGCAAGCCGCCTGTCAATCATGTGAAATAACAATTGCGTGATGCGGTTGACATGTGGGTAGCTATGCCCACCAGTTAGAATTGGCTCATAGGGTGGGGGCAGAAGCAAATAAGATTCCCCAAGGGTTAGTGTGGGGTTTTTGGAGAGGTTATAGGAGGGGTTGGATGGATGGCGGCCCCAGTAAATACATCTACACAGACAAAACATGAAGTTAATTCATATGCTTTCCCCCACAAAATAGCAGTTTGGGAACGGGGGAGATAAATGACGCCATTTCAAAATAAAAAAAATATCGACATTCCAAAGCCAGCATTAAAAAATGGAAAAATTACAAAAGGAGTCAAAAGTAGCAATGAAAGAAACTTAAAAATGTGTTATTTTCAACGCGTTTTAATTTATTTTAGGAATTTGTATCCTACCCTTCCAACAAATTCCCAGCGCAGCTGGCATTTTTAATACTGGCATGAAAAATACCTCCCCAAAAGCATTTAAAAGCCTAGAAACAATCTGTCCAAGATGTAAAACAATTCCCAAACCAGCACCATCATTAAAGAAAAACACCTAGGAAAAAGTAAGCTGGAATAGGTGGTTGTGTTTTTTTTAAAAAAAGTCCATTAAAAAGTCTCAATCAAAAGCTCCATTCACACTTTGGTAGGTAAAGTGTTCCATAGGTGTGGGGCCATCACTGAAAAGGTCCTTTGTTATGCTTACTAACGTGATTTGATTTTACTGGCAAAGCGTCTCCAGAGCTGATCTCAATACAATCCTTCTCCAGTCCTCACCTCATTGAGTGCCTGACGATCCGTCTTGGGCAGGTTTTTTGCTTGGTTGTCTGCCTCAGCCCACTCCTTCATCACCTGTTGAATTGAAAAGAAGCAATGAGGTGCGGATGATGCTCCCACGAAAAGGCCCACATCTCTTCCTGGCACAAACCCTGACCCCGTGATGGAGCTCCTATTGTGTCCTCTTACTCTACATCTCCAGTATCTCTTGTCAGGCTTGAAGGCATGCATTTTATATATTGGATATTGCTGTTTCGTATAAAGCAGGCACGTCCAACTTCCAAGAAGTTTTTTTTTGGGGGGGGGGCACTCAGGGTCCTGCAATTGACCGGGATCAACCAGGGACACCCTGCGATCAACCGGTTGGACATCCCTGGTATAGAGTAAATTCAACGTTTAGAGATGGAATTATGGGCAGGTGTCCCAGGTGATCGTTTGGAGCCCCTGCCACAGACTCTCTCCTATCCACTCAGCAGCCAAAACAAAACAATCAGCTCATCTTCACTCGTAAAGCTGGCCTACATGACAGGCATTGTGTTAACACTTGGTTTGTCTTATTCATGGGGGAAATTTACAACATCAAAGCCTATTCAGCAAGATGTGCCTTTGAGCGATTGTGATCAAATCCACACATGCAAATTTATCATCTTATGCGACGAGGACAAATTGTGCCTTCTAAGTTGGGAAACAGGCTACCGATGCATTGAAGACGTTCACAATTTAAGCAAGGGGAAGTGTGTTTCACCAAGGACACCCCTCAATTGGGGTGACAGTTGCTCTAGAGCTGCCCCCCAATCACCTCGTTGATCTGTCTCATGCGCCGTTCCTCCAAGTCCATCTTGGCACGCAGGAAGTTGGCGTGTTCGTTCCCATCTCCGGGCATTTCGAAATAAACGTCCACTCCGTCGGTGGGGCGAGGGGTGGGGGCCACTGCAAACACAGGAAGTGAGTTACACAAGGCGACATGCCTCGGCCCTCCCACCCACACAAAACATGCCCCGCAGGACAGGGGGCTCCCCACTCAGGCGAGGCATCAATACACACCCTTCTCCAACCTTCTAGAACTCCAGCTCCCATCAGCCCCAGCGTGATGGGAGTCATAGTCTGTAATATTGCCTCACATGGCATAACGCCCCCCCCATTTTTCAGTTGCTGTTTCATTAATAGCGTTTCACAGATTTTATATATTCACTGTGATATTCACTGTTTTATATATTACTGTATTGTCGCTCTATAAGACGCACCAGACCACAAGACGCACCTAGTTTTTGGAGGAGGAAAACAAGAAAAAAAATATTCTGAATCCCAGAAGCCAGAACAGCGATCCCTCTTGCTGTTCTGGCTTCTGGGATAGCTGTGCAGCCTGCATTCGCTCCATAAGATGCACACACATTTCCCCTTACTTTTTAGGAGGGAAAAAGTGAGTCTTATAGAGCAAAAAATACGGTATTTGTTGATTATTTTATATGATTTATGCTGTACAGACAACTCCCAATTTATGAAGGGGTTACGTTCCAAGGCACTGTGCATTTAAGGGAAATCGCATATATTTCAAACAACGTTGAAAAAGCCTGCAAACACCTCATTCCGCCCCTTCCCCATTCTGCCCTTTTTTGTGACTTTTCCGGGTCACTTCCAGGTTCAGTATGATGTGCGCATGCGCGGCTGCGCGTGTATTGGACATGCCTAGAACGGTCACTGCCTGTATTTGTGATGTTCTACCATGTTGTTGTTTCTTACTGTTTGTAAGCCGCTTTGAGATCCATTTGAATGTAAAGCTAAACAATACATTAAATTGAATCAAACCCCACCTCTCACAAAAAATGTACAAGGCAAAAAAATGCTGAATTCTCAGCTCCACTTGGTGCCTCATAGACTGAGGTGGGCATGCCCCCTTGTGCCCCGCCCCCGAGCTGTGTCGGCTGAGGGACGCACTGGCTCACTGCGTCTGCCCCTTTGTGTCAGGGAGAGCCAGGTTCAGAGCTGCCTCTAGAACAGGCGCCCCATTGTGAGGAGGATGAGGAGGAGACGTGACTAGGACAAGCAGCTGAGCATTTCCGTCTTGTCCTACCACCCCTTGTAGCTGCTTGCTGGCTCCATGCGCCCCTCCTTTCCTGTGCTAACATCTGAAGCAGGGATTCCATGAACTTCGCCCTTCAGAAGTGGCCCGAATGGGAGCGCTGACTTCACCCGCTCTCAGAAAAACGAAGTACGGCTAGGTTCAGGTTCCATTTCTTGAGATAAGCATCTTCAGTAGGCCTCTCTCATCCTTGCTTTTTATAAGACAGATCAACAGGGCCTCCCAGAAAGGTGATGGAAAGGATGGAGGAGGATGGAGCTCCTTTACCTCCCTCCCTACTACTTCTAGAGAGGTGAACAGGCAAGTGAGGAAGAGCAGGTGGGGAACCTGTAGCCCTTCGGATGCTGTTGGACTACAACTCCCATCAACCCCGTCTATTGGCCACACTCACAGGGGCTGATGGGAGTTGGAGCCCAACAACATCTGGTGGTCCACAGCTTCACCATCCCGGCTCCAGTCGCTAGCCCTGCCCTGTCCTCCAGAGCTTACCTTTGATATCCTCTTCGGTGGTCTGTGTGGTGGTCGTGATGGTAGTCTGGGTGATGCTGTCGTCATAGTAACCCGGCTCCACAAAATAGTCATCCCAGGCAGCAGGGAAAGGGTCGGGGTCAGGGGCACTATCTCCAGGGCTTTCCTCCTCATCGTCCTCGTCCTCCTCCACCTCTTCATCTTCATCCAGGTCCCCTTCTTCCTCCATTTCCAGGCTCTCTTCCTCTGTTGGGATGCGTCCTGTCGGAACCTTGTTGCTGAAGAAACAACCATCCGGTCAGGAGACTGCACAATAAATACTGAAAGGGAAGAGTGTGCATTTTGGGGGGGGTCTTTCTGGCAAGGGGGAAACTGTGTGGGGAACACCTTGCAGAACATCTTAGGCAGTCTGAATGCTACCTGGGTGGAAGCAAATAGGGCCTTGAATTTTGCACAATTAAAAACCTGAATTAAAATAAATTCTGATTATTTTGTGGGGGGAGGGGAATATATTGCAATTTCCCAACATGGATCCTCCAAAGTGTCCCATACAGCATGCCATCCACATTAAAGGGTGAGTGGCAAGTGCAGCTTGGGGTTGTTTGCTCACCTGTGCAGGGCCTCCTCTCTCAGATGGGCAAGGATCTGGGGTGCCTCAGTGGCTTGTTCCAGCCTGAGAGCTGTGGGGCGTGCAGGGCAACACACATATTCGACCCCACGGAAGCGGTCTGCCCCACAGGGCAACAGCATGCCATAGCTGTGAAGCTCCAGCTCCTCACCACTGCAGGCCTGGGAATGGGAGATGAACAATGTCAGAATGCTGCTAAGTCACTCATTGGCTCAGTTCAGACACCAAGCCAAAGCATGATTTGCGCTAGCCATTGTGCTTTGAACCTGCGCTATGGTTTGAGCTTCAAGATGTACAGCAAGCAAGCCATGGTTCGCAGCCACTTGTCTCCTTTCATTTTCCATCTGCTCAACACACACCTTCACCCCTCTCACCATGGGGCAACAGCCTCTTTTAAGGCAGAACAATGACCCTAACTGTGGTTTGTGACTTCAGATGCCGCAGCAAACCGTGGTTAGTACAAACCATGGTTTGCAAACCACCCCCCAGTTTGTGGTTTGGATATTCTTATTTGGCAGGCTTTCACAGAACATGGTTTGTAAACTAGCATAAAAAGACAGACATAGTACCAATTCATGGTTTCCAATTATGTTTGAATGCAACCAATTCTCACTGTGAGGTTGGCAAACTTTACATTTAAAAGAAAATTAAAATTCTGCATCAAAGTATCTCAAAACTCTGTTACGAGGAATACCAAACAAATCATGCAACTTGTAGACCTTTTGCAAATTAAACACATCTACATGATTTCTCCCGCTGTGCATGATATATTCTACACTTTAAAACTGGTTTTCCTAATTTATCCCACTTTCTGCTACTCCAGAGTGGGGCAGGGCAAAGAAGAAATAACGCAGGGACCTGAAACCTCATCCCTCAGCTAGAAACCTTATCCAGCAGCCATTCTTGTTTCTGAGATTTTGGCAGACACTGATTGCACCGTGCCAACATTATTTTCATACTCATGAGGTCTAAAAACTTTTTTTTTATAAAGGAAACCTATGTTTTTTGGAAGCCCTCCTATCTTATTTTACTCCTCAGATTAAGAACATAACCCATAAAGACCTCGTCCTCCATTTATTAACTGGAGTGAGATTAGTGACTGCAAAAAAAAGGGGAAAACTTTAAAAGCCTTGATTTCACAAGTATTGGACATTGTGCATATGGACAAATTAACTAATTCACAAAAGGAATATCCGCCTTGGGGTGGGGAGAAAGACTCACACCTTCTAAATGACATGGTATCCTTTTATTGACTTGGTTAAGGGAACCAGACAGGGATTTCACCCTCCATTGATTTACGGAACCTTATGGCTACTTTCATTTGGCTGCCTTTCTTGGAACATATAAAGCTACAACCATCAGCTCCTATTTTTTCTTTCTTTTCTGTATGCCTACTAAGCTCTGTATTCCTTGTATGGATATGTTTTGTAACTTGAAATTAGAAAGCAGCAAAAAACCCCACACTATTTTAAAAAAGGAAGCTAAATTCCATAGTTTTTTTCTGTGCTATTGTGAAATTGCCACACACACACACTTATACCATACCAGGAGTGGGCAGCCTTTTTGCGCCCAAGGACCACATGGTAGTGGGTAGGATCAAGACCTGGCCAGGACTACTATCTTGCTCGCCCCCCATTCACAAATGCACCCAGTTCACACAAACTCTCCCCTTTAACACTTATCTGACACGCAGACTCGCAATCCCAGACACCCACATTCCCTCCGTGTTCCCCTCCATTCACACACAACACAACAGCTGCCTAGCTCTGCAGGAACTTCCATGTTTCCTCTGCTCCCCAGCCCCAAAAGAAAGTCAGCGGTAAAAATGACTTGCTTGACATGATGTACAGTATTATTATTAATATTTATTTATTTTACTTCTATACAGCCCTATACCCGAAGGTCTCAGGGAGGTTCACATGAAAAATCACTTACATAAAATCAAAACAAAAACCAGATTAACCCCCCTCCTGAAAAGAGCCAGCATTTTAAAAAGGGTATAGGATGTCAGGTCAGGCAAAGGCCTGGTTGAAAAGGAATGTTTTTGCCTGGCGCCTAAAGATGTTTGTGAAGGCGCCAGGCGGACTTCCCTGGGGAGAGCATTCCACAGAAGGGGAGCCACTGCAGATAAGGCCCGTTCTCATGTTGCCACCCTCCTGACCTCCTGAGGAGGAGGCACACAAAGAAGGGCCTCAGAAGATGATCTCAGGGTCTGGTAGCTTCATATGGGAAGAGGCGGTCCTTAAGGTATTGTGGTCCTGAGCCGTTTAAGGCTTTATAGGTCAAAACCAGCACTTTGAATTGGGCCCAGAAATTAATCCTAGGTTGCATTATATCACGGTCATCCTCCAGGGACATTTAATAGGAAACTTGGGAGGTTAAAAGTTATCATTGCCAGCATCCTACTTTGGGAGGAAGCGGCGAGGGTTATCAAAAACCAGCCTATAACTGCGGCACAAACACTCTCTCAACTCTCTCTTAAAGCAGTGTTTCCCAAACTGGGGCCTCCAGCTGTTTTTGGACTACAACTCCCATCATCCCTAGCTAGCAGGATCAGTGGTCAGGGATGATGGGAATTGTAGTCCGAAAACAACAACAACAACTGGAGACCCAACTTTGGGAAAACACTGTTTTAAAGAGTCTTGGCAGCCTCTTCACCTTCAGCAGAGCTTGCCTTAAAGCAGGGATAGGAAACCTGCAGTCCCTGGCTTGTTTTCAAGTTCCTGGGAAAGGGAAAGAGGGCAGGTGGAGGATATGCTAAAATGGGCAGAGCTTTGGAAGGGGGAGTTTTCTACAAACCATTGACTGAGACCTTGGGCAAGAGTGATCTTCCCTTCCCAAGGCAGCCCACTCAGTGGTGGGGAAAAGAGAGAGAGGAAAGGGGAGGCTGGCAGATCGCTCCTGAGGGAATGTGATCCTCAACTGAAAAAACGAAGGTTTCCCACCCTTCCTTTAAAGTATCTGCTACTTTCCCTTCCCTAAGGTGCTCCCAGCTGCTCACCTCTTTGGCCACGCTGTGCCAAAATAAGTAGGTCTCGCAGGAATCCATTTTTTCTTGGTGCAGGAATTTGCACTTGTCGGGCACGAGGAGAGCTTCGCTCACAAATTCACCCACTAGAGAAGGGACAGAAGGAGGCAGCGTTACAATTTATGACTTTTTTTTTTAATCCCACCCATCCTTGAAAGAGTTCCAAGGCAGCGTACATGGCCCATTTGATCCTGTGATCAAACATGGCCCACAACCCTGTGAGGTAGGTAGGTTGGGGAGAGAGAGTGAAAGATCCAAGGTCGTGAAGCTCACTGTGTTGGCTAAGTGGGGATTTAAACCCAAGTCCTCCCGAGAATGATAGAGTTGTACAGTTGGAAGGGACCCTGAGGGTCATCTAGTCCAAGTCCCCACAATGCAGGAATATGCAGCTGTCGCTTACAGGGATCGAACCTGCAGCCTTTCTAACCCAAGCTTCCCCAACCTGGTGCCCCCAGATGTTTTGGACTACTACTCTCATCCATCCCAGCCAGCAATGGTAAGAGATTATGGTAAGTCCAACAACACCTGGGGATCCAAGGCTGGGAAAGGCTGGTATGGGTAGAGCATGGGACTCTTAATCTCAGGTCCGTGGGTTCAAGCCCCACGTTGGGTAAAAGATCCCTGCATTGCAGGGGGTTGGACTGGATGACCCTCGTGGTCCCTTGCAACTCTATGATGGACAAATAGTCTGAATCCTCTCTAAGCCAGCTTCCTAGACAGCAAGCTTCACATAGTCATGCAGCTTACAGCTGGTCCATACAAAGTTCTCATCAGCCCCAGCTAGGATGGCTAATGCTAAATGGAGGGCACCAGATTGGGGAAGGTTGCCCTTAGCACTGCAACACACTGGTGCTGCTCCTTCTATTTCCCAGTACAGTGGTACCTCGGGTTAAGTACTTAATTCATCCCAGAGGTCCGTACTTAACCTGAAACTGTTCTTAACCTGAAGCACCACTTTAGCTAATGGGGCCTCCTGCTGCTGCCGCGCTGCCGGAGCACGATTACTGTTCTCATCCTGAAGCAAAGTTCTTAACCCGAGGTACTGTTTCTGGGTTAGCGGAGTCTGTAACCTGAAGCGTCTGTAACCTGAAGCGTATGTAACCCGAGGTACCACTGTACATTTCTGAGCACAACTCAAAGTGCTAGTGGACTAGCACTTTGAGTTGTGCTCAGAAATGTACTGGGAAATAGGCCCTGTTTACCTGAAGGAGCATCTTCAACCCTATTGCTTAGCCTGGACATTGAGGTTCAGCTCCGAGGGCCTTCTGGCAGTTTCCTCACAGCAAGAAGTGAGGTTACAGGGAACCAGGCACAGGGCCTTCTCGGTGGTGGTGCCCACCCAGTGGAATGGCCTCCCATCAAAAGTCAAGGAGATAAATAACTAGACAACCTTTAGAAGACACCTGAAGGCAGCCTTGTATAGGGATGTTTTTAATGTTTGATGTTTTGTTATGTTTTTGAATATGCTGGAAGCCGCCCAGAGTGTCTGGGGCAACCCAGTTACATGGGTGGGGTACAAAATATAAACAACAACAACAACAACAACAACAACAGCTTAGTAGGAAAGCACTTGCTTTACAAGCAGTGAGACAATGATCTGCAGGGTCTAGACCAGGAATGGGGAACCTCTGGTGTTCTCCATGCTGATCAGCTTCCATCAGCCCCTGTCAGTTTAGCCAGGGATGATGGGAAGTGAGGTCCAACCACACCTGGAAAGCCACAGCTTCTCCAGCCTTGGTCTACACGAAATACAGCAAGCACAGCTCTCGTGCCAACTCCCTGCGGCTGTTCCTCATCTGGCACTTACCCAGACACTGATAGGGCACCACGATGTGCTGGTGGCCTTTGCATTTGGGCCTCCCCTTCTTGCACCAGTTGTCGATCGTGACGGGCTGGGTGCCCTCCACAGCATTGGTGATCTGCAACTCGGGATACACCTGCAGGTGGTGCATAGAAGAGGCACACAGATCACAGCAGGGAAGGGGAGACAGGGAGAGGGGACACAAGAGCTTTGATCCTTACAATGGCACATGCATACACTTCTCCTCCTCCCTCTGAAGGAGCACCTTAGAGTGGCATACCTGTAGTTCCTAAGTACAGTGGTGGCCCTACCATGAGGCAGAGGGAGGCAGCCGCCTCAAGCGGTAAGTGCTGAGGGGCAGGGAGCAATAGTGAGGTGTTGGGAGGGCCATCTGTGCACGCTAGGTGGCCTGTTCTGAACCCCGTAAGCTAGCCTGACGCCTTCAGGTGGGGTAGAGGATGCTGCCCTGTTGGTGGTGTTGACGCCAACTTCAACTGCAAGTCTTCTCTGGCACGTTTTTGTACAATGAAGGGGAGAGGGTGTCAACCTGTCCTTTGCCCCAGGCAGCCTTGTCTGAGAAGAGCTCCTTCAGATCATACTCTGGGCTCAGATTCCATGTTCAAGGCACAGGAGTGGGTGGGTGGGTTGCAAGCACAAACAAGAAAAATCCCATTTCCCAAACAAGAGCAGGGTGAACCTGAAGGGGCAAGGGACGGCCAGCTCATGATAAACTTTGGTGCCTGAGGTGGAAAATGGCATCCTTCTGCTGATGTGTCTCGTATATACCTGCCGGGACCCCAAAAACCTTTTCAGAAGACATTTTCTGGATATTGCTGCCTAATGCGGCAAGTCCAGTGGTCACAAGAGACAGTGACTTTTCAGTGGTGGCTCCTGGTTAGGGAATGCCTTCCTCACTTGTTCACTGCATTGTGCTCTTTTCAGCACCAAGCGAAGACCTTTATATTTCCCCAGTTTCTCCAGTTTCAGAACTTTTAAAAACAGTTATTTATGCTATTGCTGTTTCTCTTGCTGGTTTTAACTATTTCTGTGGTATATATTCCATTTTTTAATTTTTTAAAATTACTTGCATTAAACGCATGGCTTCTGGTGGATTTGTGAGTTTAACTTTTATTTGTGATCTGCACAGAGGACTTTTTGTTAACTGCAGGTAGGAAATCTGCCGCGGCGGCATTACACAACTCTGGTTTGTTTGAACAACAGTTGTGCTGGAGACTAGATAGAGCCCTATGGACCACCTCTCTCTCCCCTCTGCAAACACTTTGAACTCCGAAATCTGCCTCCTCTTCTTTGCTGTAGGACCACCCTTGGGAAAGCCATAGAGCTGCAGTGTTTCTTCCAGGGCAAGGGTGGCTATGGAGGACCTTTTCTGCTTGCTTCCCCCTTACATCATTTGGCTGGGCTAATTTGTCTGCACCTTTTGACTTAAATCACCACTTAATGGTCCGTTTATTACAACACAACGGCATACGTAAGGCGCTTTGAATACTTGAGCATAAATGCAGATGTGGCGTTATTATCCCCATACTGCAGACAGGAATGCTGAGAGGGGGTGGCTGGGCTAGGGCCAGCTGATGATTTCATGGCAGCTGAGAGAGCTTAAACTTTGAGGAAGGGTCATAGCTCAGTGGTAGAGCATCTGCCTTGCATGCAGAACGTCCCAGGTTCAATCCCCAGGTAGGGCTGGGAATGTCCAAGTCCTTACTGAGAGCATGCAGGCGTCCTGCGCCTTCTCTGCAAACAGAGTGCTTATTATGATCTGGATTAACTGGGGGTAGTGGGAGGGCGGGATGACGCTCCCTTATTACGGCAGGTAGTTGGACTTTCCTGATGTGCCAGTGGTGCAATACTTGTCTTGGGTGGGGGGAATGGCACTGCCAATAACATTCCCAAACGGGGGTGGGGCACTCGTATTTGATAGTGGCCTTGCCTAACGCATCTGTTTCAGCATGGGAGAGAGAAGTCCTAACCAAAGCAGCAGGGCACACAGCTTGGTGCGTGAAAGACAGACAAACAGAAAGTCTGATGCCAATGCTTCTGGATGCTTGTGTACTTGAGGGGCTGTCTACCAACGCATTTTGAGATGGAGTGGGGACCTCTGACAGTCCTTATATAATCCACTGATTCCAACAACCAGCACCAGTGTGGTTTTGTTGGTGTAGGACCTGGACAACTGGGGTTTAAATCCCCACTCATCTCACTGGGAGAGCTTGAGCCAGAGACCAACTCTCAGCCTGGCCTACCTCACAGGCTTGCTGTGAGTAAAACATGAGGGAAGGGGGAAATCGTGCATGCCACCTTGAGCCTCTTGGAGGAAAAGTGGGACGTAAAGATAACAGCACATAAAAGATACCAACAAACATCACTTTCAGCACTCATGCCCCCAGGCACCTCAGCATATAGGGAATGGCAGTGGGCAAAGGGACATCATTCTAGAAGTGAGCTCATTTATTATTTTCTTGCCCAATAGGTTTATAGGCCATCCAATAAGCTTAGCATTGTATACATGGAATGCCCAGGTAGCTAGACAGCCGGGTAACTGACCTGTTTGGTTTCACTGATGAATCTATGCCTGGTGCATGTGTGTGGTTCTTTGTGTACATTTATGAGTTAGCAGGCAATGGGAAATATGTCTGCCTGAAACCCTGGATAGCTGCTACAAAGCTAGCTGGACGAAAAATCTTAGCAGATATAAGGCAAGTTCCTAACCACACCAAATAGCCTTGGGTCATTTCTCTGGACCCAGTTATAGAACAGAAATGGGCTTCAATGGATTGAGCTGGTAGACCAGTGCTTCCCAAACTTGGGTCGCCAGCTGTTTTTGAACTACAGTTCCTATAATCCCTGACCATTTGTCCTGCTAGCTAGGGATGGTGGGAGTTGTAGTCCAAAAACAGCTGGATACCCAAGTTTGGGAAACGCTGTGGATGAGAAAGACAGGGACAGCCAAGGTTAGATTCACAGTGATGTGTGTATAGACTCCTGTGCAGGGCTAAGCATATGGTTCAGGGTGAATTGAAGCAGAATTGGAAGGTGGAGATGGGACAAGGCAAAAAGGAGAAGGAGGGCTCGAGGAAGCACTGGGCGTGGAAGAGGAGCAGGCGAGCGCTTGATACCTCCTGGCAGTAGCTCCGGATCTCCTCACTGGTGTGGAAGCAGGTGTTGGTGCCGAAGGCGTCAGGCTCCCAGCGCCCTGTCTGTACATTGAGATGCAGGACCAGCTTCCCACAGAACATGGCCACTTGGGGAGTCCCAAGTGCTGGGCCAAGGGCTGCCCCCATCCCCTGCAACACACAAAGGGAAGAGAGGGGTGATAAGACGGGCACGTTCTGCAAAACACCAGACACACGTTTGGATCATGTTGAACAGTCTCCTCCTGGCAGGGCACCTCCCAGAGCTAGCAGGGAAGGGTGTTCCCCGGCCACATCACTCCCATGACCCCCCACGAAGCCTCGCATCTTCGCATCTACCTGCCCTTTTGCTGTTTCCCTCCCCCCCATCTTTGTTTGCACCATCTCTCTGTCTCTCTCCGTCTTCTCCTCCTCAGCAACCGTGGGGATGTTGTTGCTGTGGCAACCGCTCCCCATGGAGTTGCCAGATCTTCTCTGTTGCCATGGAGACCAGCTCCCAGATGGAAATTAATACTGCATCACCAGCCCCTCCCTCAGCAGTTTCTCATCTTGGGCCCACTCCCACCAGGCAGCACCACCACCTCCTCCTCCTTGTCTTCCTCGCCGCCCCCCCCGCTCCCAGCTCACCTTCCTTCCACTCCTTTTCTCTATTCCTTCATCTAGAATCTCACTATGCTGCCATCCATCTCTGTCCAAACGCCATCTCCCCCCTCAGTTTCCTCCCTCCCTCCCATCTCAGTCAGTGTTTCTCACAGTGCTGCTTCATTGGGCCTCCACAGCTGGCACCCACTTGAGACACAAGGTGTGGGCGAGCAGGGGATCCCCCACCTTATCATTCTCCTCTGTCCCGTGTTTGCCCCTCTCCACTTCCACTAAGGGGCCAGGCCTCTGAGGGCCACTGCAGCACCAGTGTGCCTGGTTCAGTGACAACAGCGCTGTTTTCATAACTTCACCCGGCTGGACCAAAGGCACAAACAAGGCCTTATTCACCACAGTGTCCAAGGTAGCAAGTCAGAAGGCGGCACTAGAAAGGGGGAGACAAGGCCCCAGCTAAACAAGCAACTGTAGGCTAAGGATAGATGGGTCTGTTAATTTCAGTTCCTCCCCCTATTTTCTAATATTACACTCAGTTCTCCACATTTTCACATCAGTTCGCGAATTTGAAAGGTCCTCATGAAAATTGTCAACATTTTTCTGCTGATTCCTCCTAATACAGTGGTACCTCGGGTTACATACGCTTCAGGTTACAGACTCCGCTAACCCAGAAATAGTACCTCGGGTTAAGAACTTTGCTTCAGGGTGAGAACAGAAATCGTGCAGCGATGGCGCAGTGGCAGCAGGAGGCCTCATTAGCTAAAGTGGTGCTTCAGGTTAAGAACAGTTTCAGGTTAAGAACAAACCTCCAGAATGAATTAAGTACTTAACCTGAGGTAATACTGTATATATGTGTTTTATGCAATTCTGCCTAATTCATGTTTGCAAGCAAAGCACATTGTTTATGTTACTTCTGCTAGCATAGTATATTTTTACTCTCATATATGCATTTTTGTACATACTGCATGGCTGGAGAGGTGCATTGCAAAATTCAGAGAGACGCATGAATTTTGAGGGATAGAATCCTAGAATTGTAGAGTTGGAAGGGACCATGAGGGTCATCTAGTCCAACCCCTTGCAATGCAGGAATCTTTTGCCCAACGTGGGGCTCAAACCCCTGAGATTAACAGTCTCATGCTCTACTGACTGAGCTATCTCAGCATGGTTGCATTTCAGTTTCTGTGCTGCCTTGGAAAACGAGAATTACAACACAAACCGAACTGAACTTTCTCCCCTGATTCCTAGCCACAGGTTCCTCACCCTTGACCTAAAACAGCCCAACATTTCCCCAACATTTTCCTGACAGAGCCAATTCAAAACAGCCAGGCAGAAATGTGGCACAACCTTCCACAAAACACCAACATTCACAACAGGGAATTCATTTATTTCTGAAACCACCTCTGTGTCAAAAAAAAAATTGTCTCCATGCAGAAAGCCAATACATTAGTGTGTTTGCTAGACATCCTAGACTCACCCTTCAAACATAGCTATTTTACACCCACCACAGAATTTATAAGACATGCAAGTCCATTTTTAATTTAAAAGCAAAACAACCAAACTAAAAGGGGGCATTTAATTAATAAAACATTTGGTAATTGCAAACTGAACTGAATCTCTTCCCACTTTCCTAGCTAAGGCCAAAGCAATAACAGGTCTGGAAGGAATCAGAGGGATGTAGCCAGCTAAGTCATACCCAGAGTAGTCCCACCGAAATGAATGGGTGCACGATATTACGATTTATTAACTTACATATTGGTTCCAAAATGGCTTCTAAGCAGTTTCCAAGCACAAAATTCCTTACAAAATTCGTACGTAATCGAAATGCACAATGAAGTTAGCCATGCCCGTTCGTTTCAGTAGGTCTACTCCGGGTAGGACTAGCAGAAGATACAACCCATCGGAAGTCCGAATCTGGAGAGACAAATTGCAAGCAGTGCTGGCTCCAGGCCAAGGATGGGGGCCAGCCTGTGAAAGGGCTACAGACACACAGAGTTTGTTTTAAGCGTGGGTGTAGCAAGAGCAAACACAGCACTGGAGGGACAAGTGTAAAGAGGAGCTGCAGGAGGACGATGAGTGTGGGGGACCTGTGGTGCTAGTGGCGGGGGTGGGCGGGAGAGGAGATGGGGGGAAGGCAAAGATGGCTTTGGTTCTGGCTAGGAGAACCAGCGGTGGAGCTGCAAAAAGACTTCCCTGCCACTCCCACTTCCCCTGCAGTCTCCGCTCTGCCTGGATTGAACTAAGGATCTCGGTTTTCCTGCTCTTGGGGAGGAGGGAGGAGGTGACAGCTTGAGGCGAGGGAGGGAGATTAGGAAGACCTGCTCTGCAATCCCCCCAAGAGATGGGGGGATGGACAGCACAACCAGGAACACACGTCAGGTACATACGGGGCCTGCACTTTCCCTCCAAGCCGGTGGAGGGTGGCGGGGGGGGGGGGGAATAGAACAGGCAACCGTGTGTGTGTGCGTGTGTGCAAGGGGGAGGACAATGGAGAAGTGAGGCTTGGATTAAGTTGGATCCCGTGGCTAAGCTGCTGCTCTGAGCGATTAAGCAGCTGCTGCAATTTGGTTGCAGGCTGACCTCTCTGCAGGCCGGGGTGGAGTGGGGTTAGGCATCAAAAACAAAAAGGGGGGGTGCAGAAAAAAAGGAGAGGCCTGAGTCATCACCCCCCCAATCAGCACCCTGACCAAGAATCTGGGGTGTGTGTGTGCGTGCGCATACACACAGCAGCATCAATGGCAGGTGAACGACGACAAAGAGGTAGCAGGGAAATGGAAGCCAGAGCGGCACGGAAGTGGTTAATTGGCACCGGGATTAATAAGTGCAGCGCTAATCCCCCCTCCTGCTCCCCCCCCCCACAAGCACTTAGCGAGATGAGATAGAGAGGAGAGGAAGCATCCACCTGCTTCCCCCCTCCCCCCCTCCAACACAGGATCTGCGGGGTGTGTGTGTGTGTGTTAGGGACCCTGCAGAAAAAAAGCCACAGTCTGCTGGCTCTCCCCAACTTTACGTTGCAGGAGGAAACTATGCAGGGTTAAAAGAGGGATGCAGCCTAAGAGAGGCAGAAGTGCAGAGGGGGGGAAGTAAAAAGGAAGGGAGATGGAAAGGCTTATGTTTTCTCTCTGCCTCCCTCAAAGCTGCAACTCGCCCTGCATCCCATCCCTCCTGAGCTGATTCAGGCTGCTCAGAGCATCACAGCACCAGCTAGCTGTGTGAGATGGAGGAAGAGCGGGCCGGGAGCCAAGCAAGAAGCAGAGGTGGAAGAATTGAGGCTCCTTTTTGCCCCTTCTGGCCTGTGGAGCAGAAGGCACCTCAGGAAGCGCCCCAAATTTATGGGGAACCTCGCCCTGCAAAGATGATGGATTTTGCAAGTCTCTGCAGAAATGCAGGCTTGTGCAAGGACCCCATTCCCTTGTCCAGTGGAGGAGGGTGGCAAGTCCACCCACCCACCAACCCTTGCTTGGCACCACACACTTGAAGCAGATCAGTCAAAACACACCACTGCAAAAAAGGTGAATGGTCTCTAGCGGGAGGGTCATCTGGGGCTTCTACACGGCACGTTTTGGTTTTAAGACCTAACAGAACCTTCATGAAGGGTATGGAGCCTTCTCTGTGATTACACGGCCACAACCCCCAATGTGACCAGGAGGAGATGAATACAGCAACTGGATGAGTCCTTCTAGCCCTCTTGGTAGATTGTGGTGCATGCTGAAGGGACAAGTAGAAGACTAGAAATAGCTTTCATTTCTAATACCGCACGCTATGTTCGGATTTAGGAACAATGGCAACTCAACTGCATTTACAACAGAATTCCTCTGTACGCTTTTACCACTGCTGTCCCACTTCAAGCAAGCCACAAATTGCCCGAGCTGCAGACAGTTCTCTTCTCTCAAGGAAAACAAAGAACAGCTCGTCACAAGTCGCCCAGCTGCCGTGAAGTAGAAACAGGGGACACCTAAGGGAGATGTGGGCTGGGCCTTGTGAAGCAGAACGCTTTGGGTTCCACCCCTGCTGACCCCATCCTCAATATGATGGGGAGGGCAAAGGGTGGAAGGCCCATCCAGTCTTCTTCCTAACTGAAGAGATCATAGAATCGTCTTGCTGGAACACAAAGATCATGGCTCTGTCAAGACCAGTGTTCTGTCTCCAACCATAACTAGTTCGCTGCCTTGGACAGTTATAACTTGGGCATGAGACCACAAGACAGAGCTTTTGGCTTGTCCAGGAGCTTCTCTACTGGAAGATGCCCTACCAAGAGATGTGAAGGTCTGGAAAATAACTGGGGGTGGATCTGGGTTTTCTCCCTGCTTTTTTGGTGGGGAAGAACAGTGTGTGTGTGTTTTTTATAGGGGTGGGAATCTGGGGAACAGGTTTTTCCTTAATTTTCCTTGTTTCTTTCCTGGGCCTTCACATCTCTGGCATGACTTCCAGAGGTGTACCACCCCCGACACCTTGCTGGGAAAGGACAAGTGGGGAGAGTGCTGTTGCACTCATGACCTGCATGTGGACTTCCTAGGCATGTGTTTGGCCACTGAGAGAAAAGGAGGCTGGGCAAGACGAGGTGTTAAATCTGGTCCAGCAGAAGACCTTCTCACAGAGGTGCTCTATTTAGCCAACAGGTAGGGCCTGCAGAAAAGTGTTGCAGTAGGAAGCGCTCCTGTTCAGGGCTCAAGCCAGCTAGCTATGCCTACTTCAAGGTACTCCATTCCATTCTCTCTTCATGCTGCCTCCCCCCAATACTCTACCTTTTATGTTGACAGAGCAAGCTAAAGTTTCATTAGATTGCTTAGGTTCCCCCATTTGTTGTCCTTCTCTAGCCTGCTAGGACCACAAAGCTTGCCAGTCCGTATATTAGATATGGAGATGATAGAAGGTAGGTCTGTCTGAAACTAGCAGCTGCCACCATCACAAGAACACACGAAGAACCACAGTTCCCATGGGCTTTCTTGCTTTCTGTTCAGAAAGGAGCCAAGTTCTGTATTGAGAACACAGGATCTTAGCGCTGACCGAGACCCATTTGGGAAGGAATAATTATTATCACATGCCTCCCACCAAGAAACAGCACATGATGACTCTATTGCCATTATTCACCTGTTCTCGGGGGGGGGGAGTATCCTGAGATCTGGTAGGGTACAAGCAAATATGGCCAATTGGTTTTCTTTTGCCAGCTAGGCTCTTCAGCACTGACAACCTCACCACCATGGCAAACACAGATGGTGCTTCTCCGGCGCAATGTGCCAACCCATGGCCAAAAGCCATTTCCCCCCACAGAGCAAAGCAAGAAAGGAGTAGCGAGCAAAGTCTTCCCCATCCCCTCCAACACATGCACCACGAGGAATCTGCATCCAAACCAAGGCTTTGGATGGGGGTCTTGTGCTACAGAGGACCAAGAATGGTGCAGCACCAGGAAGTTGCTTCTGCATCTTATCTCAGTGAGCTAAGGGTGGGAGGCAGGACTTGGCGGGGGCTCCTTTGAGTCAGAAACACCTGCAGCCTTTCATCAAAGGGTTACAACAAGGTCCTAAAGAGAGCCAGGAAGGATGAAGAGCAGGCCTGGGAGGGGAAAGGCAGCATAGTGGGCAACAATCGAGACCAAAACCACATCTGACATGGAATAACTGCAATTTGAGCTCCTGGGTTTTTTGTTTTTTTTAAAGGGGGGCTCCAGATTTAATCTGAGTAGCAATGGTGGGGGCAATACTGGCTCTATGTTTTGAAAGGCCCTAGGCCTAAGCAGCCTCCCTACCTCCCTCCCCCCCCAGTGAGCTAACCCCCCACTGCAGCAGGTCCGGGGTGTCTCTTGCCAGGGGAGGGGGCCCTCAGCAGATGCTTGAGCAATGCCAATTCTTGATAGGGAAGATATGGCACAGTCTAAGCTTGATGTTGCGAGTGGAGGAGGAGGAGGAGGGAGACCATCCTGCGCTCCACAGAAGAAGGCAGGTTGACAGCCCAGATGGAGGACTGCAATCATCACCAGGCATGGCTTGGCCCACTCTCTGCTGTGCAAATGTGAGACAGACAGACTCTGCAGGCCCCATCGCAACATTTCAAAACAAGTCTCTTTTGGTACTTCCCCTGAGCTCAGGAAGGCCACCATCTGCTTAACCCTCATTGCTGTGCTAGATGGGACAGATAATAGGATGGTTCCCTGGCTTCCAAGCCATGGGGCTGAGGGGCTGTGAAGTTCACCTGGAGGAATGTGCCCCCCCTGCAGTGGGTCAGTGGGATTTGGGCTGCATGCACACCATACATTCAAAGCACATTTCCCCCACTCCCCACACCAAAAGAATCCTGGGAAATGTAGTTGGTAAGGGAGGCTCAGAACTGTAGATCTGGACAGGGGAAACTACAATTCCCATGATTATGCTTAAATGCAAGGTCCGTATGCAGCCTTGCTCACAGGCAAGCAAAAACAAAACAGAGTGCCAATCCGGAGAGAAGAGCCACACTCCCCAAAGGAGCCCAAGGGCCCCTTAAAAAAATGCCCCACTGGCTTTGAAACAAGGGGGCCCTGCAGCCCAGCCCCCAATGTCTCTTTCCCATTCCGGAGGCAAAAGGTGAGACGTCTGGGGTCCAGAGGAGGTCTCAGGGAGGAGAGGGAGAGCGCCACGCCACACCGGCTCTCTTCTCGCTTTGGGGACACCCCGTCTCCCAAGCAGATGAAGTGGGTGGGTGTCGATCCCCGCCCCCCAGGCCTCCTATCTCCAGATGGAATCTGGGCAGGGCGAGCAAACAGCAAAACAGATGCCCGCTTCTCCTTGGAACAGGCACTAGGCGCGCAGGCAGAGAGGGGGGCGGCTGCTGGGCTTCCCCCCTCCCTGCCCAGTCCCTTGCCTGGCCATCACCTACGACGTCGCCTCCTCCAGCCGCTACCCTCCATGCTAGCCAGCCAGCCAGCCTGCCCGCCCGTCCGCTCTCCCTCCAGGCGCAGGTTTCCCGATAAGCGCCTCCTTCCTTAGCCTCTTAACCGGGAGGAGATCCGAGGGGATCAAGGGGTCTCTCCCCTGTGCCAGTGACCTTGGGCAGCTCGCCCCGGACACCTTGAGCGCGCCATCCTCGCCCGGCAGTCCCCTCCTCCTGCGCTCCAAAGAGACACCTCGTCGAGGCTGGGCAATAAAAGCCCCCGCAAGCTCTCCGGGCGCAGCAGCCGCCCAGGAGGCTCTCCCTTCCTTCCTCGCTCCCGCCTGCCCCACCCACCCACCCTCTCGGCGGGCTCACCTGGGTGTTGGCTGCGCCTCCGGGCCCCAGGCAAGAAGCCAGCAAGAGCAACGGCGCCAGCAAGCAGCGCGCAGCGACGGCGCATCCCGCCGCCCCAGCCATGGCTCGCTCGCTCGCTCTCCCTTTCAGCCGACGCTGCGGCCGCTTCTCCTGCGGCGCCCGGGAGCTTCCCGCCTCCTTCTGGCGGCGCGGCCAAGGGGGAACCCGGGATGGGTGGCGGCGCTGGGGGAGATCCTAGGGCTTGGGGGTCGTCTCCCTGCGCGCGCTTGCACCAGCTCAAGCGCTGCTGCTGCTGCTGCTGCTGTTGCTGCGGCGCCGTCGGTTCCCAGCTGGGCTGTGACAGGAGGAGCTGGCCCCGCTGCTGCTGCTGCTGCTGCTGCTGCTGCTGCTGCCACCGCCTGCTCCTCCTCTTTCCCCGCCGCCGCTGCGGCTGCAGCGCTTCTCCCTGGCCCCTCCTCCTTAGCCCCTCCCGCCTCTCTGCCTGCAGCCACAATAGCTGCGACGTAGCGCCCAGCAGGGCGGAGCCAGAGTCGCAGCAGCCTGGGGGCGGGGCTCGCGGGCCGCTTGCAGACGGAGGAGGTGGGCGGGGAGCCTTCGCGGCTGCCCCTTTTCCAAGCAAGAGAGGGGGGAGGGAGGCTGGGGTGTCCGGTCCCCGCCGTCGATCCTGGTCGCCGTGCGCTCTTCTTCCCAGCCGGAAAACGCCCTTCGCCCCTTGGATCCGAGGTGCCTGGAGGAAAGGCGGCGGGATTGCGGAGAGAGGCGAGGGAGGGGCCTGCGGCGACCATGGAGAGGGTTTCTGGTAGAAGGGAATGGCACTCTGTCCATGCTTAGGGGAGCTACTCGCCCTTCCTGGGCGGTCTCACTTTAGGCTGCAGTTCAGAGACACCGCTTACCCTGGAGCAAGGCCCATTCAGTTCAATGGGATTTATTTCCCAGTAGGATGGGGTTGTTAATTAGACAGTGGGTGCGGCGCGAGGAGAGCTCTTCTTGATGAGCCTTTGAGTGATGTCCGAAAGTCCCTTAGTGATGCGCTTAGGTAGTTTTAGACTCTGGACTTTATGGTCCCATGCACCAGCTTTTGATGACAGTGGGGAACTTTGCTTCCTTCCTGCTTGGAGACCCTGGTGGGGCCTTGCCCCCGACACAGTTTGTTCATAGCAGTCAGAGGGGCAGGAGGCAACTGCCCCCTCTGTGAGTTCACATGAATGCCTAACTAGTGCTCCCCCCACAAGCCCTCTTCAGACATCCAAAAAACCTTGTTTCTGCATTTATATCACACCTTTCCTCCAAATAACTCCAGGAGAAGCACACAGTTCTCTCCCTTCTGCATTTTATCCTCACAAGCCTGTGAGGTAAGTTAGGCAGAGAGAGCACAACTGGCCCAAGGGGTACCAGTGAGCTACATGGCTGGGGGGGGGGGGTCGAACCCTGGTCTCCCACGCCCAGCGCACTAACCTGTTGCAGGGACAGTGGGGTGCATGATCTTGCTTAGCCAATCCCAACACTGATTATTCACAGCTTCTGAACATCCCAAAGAGCCTTTTCCCTTCTGTTCTCCTTTGAATTGAGAGACTCCTGTTGCTCAGATGAGTTCAGAGCAGGTTGAAGTTCCCCATCATCTGGACTTCCCTAGTAAATTTCTGTTTGCTGTGTACGTTGTTAAACCTTTCAGATCCTTGGTGCATCTAGTAGCCCAACACTGACTGCTCTGACTAGAAACAGCTCTCCAGGGTTTTGGGCAAAGTTATATCTCATCGCTTGGTACCAGAGATCTTTTTATTCATGGAGATGCCATGGAATTAGTGATGGGTCCCAAGACTTACATGCAAAGCAAGTTCTGTGCTTCTGAGTGACATGAAACTCACCCATTTAAGACCTGCCATGAGGAAAGGTGGCCTCCGTAAGCAAATCCTTTGGCCGTTGACACAAAGAGATTGTGAAGAGCTCTAGAAACGATCCAGAATTCTCTCTCTAAACTGAGAGAATGGTTAACATGGCAAATGCAATTCAAGTGTAAACAGGAGCAAAGTGATGCATGTTGGGGGTGGGGACCCATAGTTTCACATATATGCTCATTGGGGTTTGAACTTGTGGCGAGTGACCAGAAATAAGACCTTGCAGCTGCAGTAAGTAGCTTGATGATGATGTTGGTCATGCCAGTGTGTGGCACATCTCTGAAAAAGACAAAATTCACATGGAAGGCAGCACATGGCAGCCTCAGGGGTAAATTTGACAGCAAATTCAGCCTGGGAAACGTGGAAAGGGCGCATGTTGCTCTCTTGTCCTTTAAGAGATGGGGACTTGGTCAGCAGCTGGTTAAGAGATGGCTAGAAGCCCCCTGTGAGCCGCTCTGAATTTTCCAAGGAGTGATTTTGCCTCCTTGGAATGTGCCCTTGAACACTGATAATGCTAGAGAGATGATATATGAGTGGGTGCGCAAACTTTCACCCGCTTCTGCTCCTGACCACAAGAAGCTTGCTGCATGAAGGAGAACATCACATTCCGTTCGCTCACTTTCCCTTCTGGCCTTGCCCACTGCTTGGCATCTAGCTCCCAAAAGGTTGCCCTGCAGGGAATATGGCCCCTGAGTTTGAAAACGGTGCCCCTATGCTCCAGAGACCCCTCATGTGGGAGCTTTTGCTGCTGCTAAGTCAGCCACACCTTGTCTCTGTGGCCTGTTCATGCAGGGATGTTGGCCCCTTGCTCAGGGCAGCCTCGTGTGACAACCTGTGTAAGTGAGCGAGACGTACCTTCTAAAAAGAGGCTATTTGCACATTTAGCTGCTCTTTATTTTTGAGTAATGAGAGAGATCAAATGGACGAAGAATGGCCGGTTTCATTGGACTAACCACTGCCTCTTAATAGCTGCTTGATCTGCAGGTGCTGGATCTCTCTTCTCTCCATGCTTTGAAAATCTGCCCAGCCCTACATTGATGTTACCATCTTGGTCCAGTAAACATGGCATTATTGGGCTGAGGATGAGTCTGGTGGAGCTCCCTTCCTTCCTCTCCTCTCCTCTCCTCTCCTCTCCTCTCCTCTCCTCTGGTGCTTCATACTGCAAAACTTCCTGTCGGAACCACTCTTGCCTGTGTTTGTTCCATACCCATTCTGCTCTGTTTCTGTGCTATCGGCACATTTTTTTTTAAAAAAAGGAAAAAAACTGCACAAAAGTTCATATTTAAACACCTACTTTTGAATGCCTTTTGTCATGTGCATTTCTGTAGCATCTCTGAAGTCACACTTTTATACTGTTTCCTCCTAAGATGCACTTGGAGTGAAATGCAAAGCATAGCTACCCTTGTAAAAACATCAGGATCTGATCCATTGGCCTATGAAGGCCAGCACCCCGTTTTCACAAGCGGCCAGCCAGATGCTTATGAGAATCCTGCAAACAGGATCGGGAGCGCAATAGTGATCTTTTGCCCATTCTGATTTGTCAGGATTTGTGCAGATCGACGTTCTCAAGCATCCCTAGTTAAAAACTTTGGCTTTTCACTGACGTCTGAAAAACTGGGAATCCTCTTGCTCCCTTGATGGCGAACTGGGATGTGAAGCCGGCACAGGAAGGATGAGGAAGCAGAAGTCCTCCATGCCCCAAATCAAGACGTAATTCTTTTAGGGAGGAAAAGTGCCCTCTGGCATTCAGTTACAACCACATCGCATCACCTCATCTCTGCCTTGTGACACTGACACACTCTGTGAACAAACACTCGCAGAGCAGGGACCCAGCTGCTCTCCGCTCTTGTTATGATGCCCGGCAGTGTTAAACAGAACGCATTATGGAGAGCTGCAGCGAGGGCCAGGAGATTGCTGCAACCAATGGCAACCAGCTAGCATGCTAGTGCAGCAAATGCAATTAAGGCAGCTGAGAGAAGGAAGAGGACCTCTCTCTCTCTCTCTCTCTCTCTCTTGCCTTCCATGACTGGCAGGGTGAGGCTGGATGGTTTGCTAAATCACAGCTTGTTGCTCTCACCCGGCAAGCATGTCCCTGTGTTCAGCACAGGAGCCACAGATTGCCCTTCTGGGTTTTTCATCAGCATCAAGGAAAAATCCTTGCATCCCGTGTGTGTGTGTTTGCATGTCCACACACCCCAATACAGGCACATTATCAAGCAGGTGTTGAACAGCGTCAGCTCAAGTAGCACAGATCACCTGGTTGGGGGGCTGGTGGAGGTTGTAGAGTTGGAAGAGGCTGCAAAAGTCCAACCCCCTGCAATGCAGGATTCACAGCTGAAGAATGCCTGACGGGTGGCCATCCAAAACCTTGAATGAAGGAAAGTTCACTACTGAATATGAAATACCTTCCTCTTCTGAAAGAAGCTGTCCTTTTGGAGTGTTTTTACTTGCAGGAAGCAGGGTTTAGCTAGGAAGGGGCAAAACCTATGAAATTTGCTGGTCATGTGCATGATTTCGGGTTGCAACCTGGAGATCTACCCTGTATCTTTAAATTCCCTGAAACGGCAGTGGGCAGAGAAGCTGACCTTTCTCCCCTATCTCCTGTCATCCATCTCCACCCCATTCCAGAGATTCTTGCTTTTTACAGCAGGGGGTGGAGATGACACATTCAGGGATAGAAGGATTAGAAGTTGCTGCCCCATTGGCACAACTGAGCTTTCTACCTTGTGAGCTGGCAACACTGCTTTGGCCCTCTCTACTCAATTATCTATCCAGCAGCTGAAAAAAATATAACATCCTTTGCCAACCTGGTGCCCTCCAGAGACTGGCCCAAACATGGTTCATCTTTGCTTGTAAAGCTGGTGAGACCAACTTGTGCAGTCAACATTGCATTGGCATTCCTTTCTAAATTGGCTTAAAAATTGACAATATCAGTGTCCTTTTGGACAAGTCATCCGCACCTGAATGATCGCAGATTCACACATGCAAATTTACCACCTTATATATGGAGTGCAAGGGAATAAACGGTGCCATGAAATTATGTAATGGGCTACAAATGCCATTCTTAAAAACAGGAGGAGGTAGTCAACCATGTTTTGCTCACGAGCTGCCCCACGGAAAAGAACGGAACCAATTTAGCCCTGCTTATTAATTTCAGTGGGTCTACTTCGCGTATAACTTACTTGAATGCCACCCCATGTATTTGTCAGTTTGCATTTCTTAGTACAGAAAGTATTGATCTGATGTGTAGAGATCTTTCCTATTCTGTTTAATACCAGAAGGTTCAAGAAGGTTTCTGATGTTTGGGTTATTTCTTCCGGGAAGCTGAGTACAGCTGGTTTAAACTGGTTCTGTTATCTTCCTGTCAAGGTCGTGCTGACTATAATAATAAGACCAGGAGGAGTCTGGGTCTCACGCACTTTTCTCTTTCTGTCTCTCTGTTCTAGCGTGGTGTTCTGTATGCTATAGTGTTTAAGTCTTATTGTAAGTATTGTAAGTTTTATTGTAAGCCCTCAACTGGATTTTTGATGGACTGTGCCAATCCTGAATGTA